CCCCCCCCCCCCCCCCCCTTTTTTTATTTCCCTGGTTGTCCATGGAACTGGATCCGATCAGGGGGTTGTTGTTCAACAGATCTCGTGAAATGCTCCAGTTAATCACCCTCCCGAGATGGTCCATGGACTGGATCCGATGGAGGTTGTTGAACGAGCCTAGTTAAGCGCTCCAGTTAATCGCACCCGCCCGAGGTGGTCCATAGACTGGATCCGATCAAGAGGCAAGACATGTGACTTATTCTGTACCATGCTGGATTGGTCCCAGGTTGATATTCCCGCACTATCTGTCCACAGGATGGTCATCTCTAGGTCTTCGTTTAAGAGGAACTATTGAAGCATGGAAGGAGTTCTGGGACCACTTCTCAAAGGGACAGCCAACACCGTACGTACTTGGCCGAAGGTGCAAGTTGACGTACGCATCTCAAGCCTTGACGTCTGTCCGCAAGAATTTAGCTCACTGTGAAACGTCCAAGAGCCATTCTCCAGATTCTGTGGTGGCTTTCGACTATACGTTTGATAAAGGAGACCGAAATTACAGGTCACACTTCATTGACAATACAGTCCAGTGTCTGCATTTCCCAGACATCGATCTCATTGGCCGAGCAATACGATGTGGCAGGCAGGCGAAACAATGGGGATGGGCATCAAAGGGCGTGGCTTTGTCGACGAGGAAAAATAAGACTCAAGTCCGGATACCGGCGCACAGCTTTGGGATGTGACGGTTCGGTTTGGGGGCGAGTGCAGGAGCAAGCTTTTGCTACCAATTGTATAGTTTTACCATAACCAAGGCCCGAGGCCTCTTTTGCACCCAGAAAGTGCCTGGAATATCAGACCGTAAAGCAAGTCTGTTTGCTTGATTGCTGGACTTGAACAAGTTCTGGGTTTGTCTTGAGATTTTGCGAGCACTCAGGCTTGAATAGGGTTGAAACAAATCGTGCTTTAGGCGAGTTCTAGAGCCCGGAGGGGTTACATCATAACCGGCGTCATTCGACATCCGTCGGAATGAAGCAGCCTATTGGAGTCCCATCGATCGTCACACCGTTCTTCCCCAGACTAGACTAATTCGTAGGGGTGGGAATGATGCGGGCTACATTCCGCCTCAGCCTCTCTTTCCTCATGGCAACCGAGCACTGACCTTTATATCTTCCTCCTTCAACATCGCTCGATGCCTTTTCAAGGTCGATTCATGTATAATGACAAGGACGAATCCGGAAGAGTCTGCCGGATTTTAAGTCGCCGTGAACGCCGATCTGCCACCAATGTCTATGGACTTTGCTACAGCGGGGGAACAAAGGCCGCAGACAGAATCTCTGGCCGTTTCGATGAACGACCTGAACTCAACCGGTGACAGCTATTCGCCAAAAGGTAATGCCTCCACCGAGAGCCTCTTGCCGCACCCTGACACCTGGAACTATAGCATTCGAAGCGTCCAGCCATCCCTTCTGGTGCATTGTGTGCTCGCGAGGGTTTCGTAACATGTAAGGGCGTCCCTCCTTTTCTGTGGTCATCCCCAGGGGAGGCCATCAGACTTCGTCGATGCGGCACTGACGCGTTGTGCCCGCTCACCAGAGCTGCGTTGGAACGACACGCTTCCATCCATCTGCACCAAAGTCCTCCTACGACACGGCAGAATATCCGCTTCACACGTTCTGGACCTCGTGCATCCCAAGCCTGCCAGGCCTGCGCTTCTGCCAAAACGAGATGTGACAATAGAGTCCGTTGTGGACGTTGCACACGGAAAAATATTCCGTGTCTACGCAATCACCCCGTTGTTGAGATCGAGACCGCTTCAGACTTAGGGCCCTCTAATCGCGACGCACAGAGCTCATCGTCCAAGCTTTCCTTTCTTTCGAATTCTCACAGTCTCTCAAAGGAGCCACACCTCGTGGACCAGTTCGCAATCCCAAGTCCCAAAATAAGCGCCGAGGTAGAAGCCTCTGCGCCGGTCTACTCAGGTTGACACTACTTCTTCCCCTCCCCCCTTTCTTTTGGTCGTCGTTCTTGCCTGACATGGTTGAAGATCCAATGACGCTGGAAAGTCAGAGCTTCTATGCTGTTCCAGATGCTTCGTCAATCGGTCTTTCTAGCCGGATCACCGAGCCGAGCCGATCCAGGATAGACTGGGGTTTCGGCACCACGTATAACTCATTTGACCTGGGAAGCGACCAAGACCTTACGTTGAGTAATCAGGAATACAACTTCCTGGCATCACTTCCAACACGGGGCCAGGAAGCTGAACCCATACTGCCATTCCCGGTAGCAAGTTCCCATGCCCTGTCCAAAGCTTTTAAACGGTCCGTTGGTCGCTGGGACCCTGAGAAGCGGCATTATAGGGCCGCGGAAGAGTCTCATCTATCCCTAGCCCGAGCGGGAACTACGAAGATAGACTGCCTAGGAGATTGGAACAGTCAAATATTCAGTCAGAATCTCTCATCAAATATCCGGGATGAAATCTTGAGACTTGTGGTCAGCTCGTGTGAGCAAGACAATATCGTCAATATTATTTCATCCTTTCCCCCCATCGAGGTCATAGACAGACTGCTCAAGTCGTTCTTCACGCAACATGCCACTCTCACAGACACATGGATCCACATCCCTTCGTTTCAGGTGACCGACACCAGGCTAGAGCTACTTATCGCTTGCATAGCGTCGGCGGCTGCAAGGTCTTCAAGTCGTCCCATACAGAAATTTGGGCTAGCGTTGCAAGAATTTCTGGTGTTTCAACTCTGGCTCGTGGTGAGTACGAGAACCCCCTTTTTTTAGTATTTTCACCTTAGATAAAACTGACCAATTTAGGCTGAGAAAGCAAATATGCTGACTCGCGATCTACAATTTTTACAAGCATTTGCCCTCCATCTCGAGATCGGACTGTGGAGCGGTGTCAAGAGGAAAATGGAGATGTCTGGAAGCTTTAGTTGTATCTTGACAAGTGTAAGCTAGGCCCTTCCATGCTTTGTTACACTAACCAAGACTATAAGTCGCTGCGAGGGGGTGGACATTACCGCTATGCGACTTGCTCGCCACCCACGTTAAGTCTCGCTGACGAAGGGGAGATTCTGGAGATGAAGTGGAAGCAGTGGGTGCACGAGGAGTCTTTTAAAAGGTGGGCCGGAGCCTAATATCCCTTTTGGACACTGGTGAAGCATGTCGGATGGAGGAATCGGAACGGCCGTTCGTTTAGGGTTTCCAGAGCACTAACAATCTTCAACCACAGACTCGTCTTTCACGCCCACATTTACTGCTCACAAGAGTCCTTGATGACATCAGGAACATCGACTCTACCTCACACAGAGTTATCGGTGCCAGTTCCTTGCTCCAGAGAGTTGTGGTTCGCCAAATCAGCTTTAGAATGGAAAAGGATTTATTTGGAGTCTTCGGGTATTGGCCAGGGGGGTCGCTCACCATCCTTCGCCGATATCCTACCAGACCCCATAAGCTCCAGGACTCTATCAAGATTATATGACCACCGTCTCATTCAGTTCTGTTTACTCTACTCGGTATCCACCATGATCCGGAGATACTGGCAGGATAAAAGTATTTTCTCCTTGACCGGACTTAGCAGTTTCACACGGGTGAGCGGCTTCTCGGATGAAGTTCAACATCAACGAATTCTGTACATCCTCAGTCAAATCAAATCGAGCTACGAATATCCAGAATCATCGCACTCAATCGAGCTGGATCTGATCTCAGACTTTCTCTCCATGCACCTTTTCGCCCCTTTCGATCAGATGGAACTGGCCGCTGGCAAAGAAGGTCTTGAAGAAGCTCAAAGGGCGGTTCCGTCACTAGTGCAGTGGTTCCAGGCTGAACGCCCGAGACAAGCCGTCTGGCACGCCAGTCAAGTGCTACGGGCAATACGAATGCTGTCGCCCGAGCGCCTCATGCATTTCTACGCCGTTGCAGCCTACCACGCTGGCCTCTGCTTGTGGACATATGGCGTTCTATCGCAGCAGGTCGAAAGTCCGCCTGCGCACAATGCAACATCAACTCCATCGGTTCCAGACGAAGTTGTACTCGACCGCGAAGAAAGTATCAAGGCACAGAGATGGATCAACTTCAATCTCGGAGTGCCCGTTATCTCTAGCGGACACGAAGATCAGGTTACCAACGACAAGCGCACGGTTCGCATCCATTCTTCTCAAGCCCTTGCCAACACGCTACTGCAGGACATCATGTCAAGGTTTTCGTGGAAGAATTCTCTGCTCGTCGAGAATGTCTGTTGCCTCATGGAAGCTTTGCGCAATATCGGTCAAGGCACCGAGGGAGGGGAGTGAAGGGGGTAGCTGGTACTGTACCTCAAAGAGGACTTTAGTTTGCTTCAATTTGCTGGTTAATTTGCTCCTACAGTATCGTCAAGAGAACCACTGAATGAACCGTGTCGATGACATTGGACTCCAGAACCATATACTTACCATCCTTCCTCCTTCCATGCTGCTTTGTGTTCACGTACATTCCTCAGGTTGTTCGTCCATTGCCTGGGCATCTTATGCTTAGATTTGTTACATTTGAGAAGCACTGCAACAGATGATGTTTCTGCCGCATCGAAGAACAGTGTTATCCGCTGCAATCAGGCCCAGTTACTCGCCAACTTCCCGATCCTCCGACCAGTGTGCCATTTTTCGGATCACGGGCCATTTCCAAGACGCCCGTCGGAGGCGGTCGCCGTAGAGGAAGAAAGGGATGAAACCTAGGAGAATGGCGCCAACGATACCTCCCATAGCACCAAATGCTCCAAGGTATCCGTCTTTCTCGACCCAGGGATCGGTATAAAAACTCAAAAGGAAACTGAAACAAGCTATAGACGAACATTAGAGATTTATCGGGCTGACGAACGACATTGGCCTCATTGGTAACAAGCGGGAACATACCTTTAAAAGTCGACTGCGTGACTATCACTTCACCCGCGATGGGGTGGTAAGAGTCCAAGATATAGACCAAAGAAACATTCATAGATTGTACGATAGTGAAGGCGACTGGAGATATCAGCCAGAGGATGACTAAAGAGAGTGGCTTCGGACATACCTAATCCGATTCCTATCACCGGGCATATCCAATGGAGATGTTCTCCAAATCCGACTCCGTACAAGATACAGGCTAACGGACCCGTTACCGCACTAACGGCACGTGCTGGTAAACGCATCTCTGGGATCCGTACGCCGCCATTTCTCTGGGTCAACATATCGGCGACCCAGTCCGAGAAATGTCCAGCGAAAAAAATAGCAAGTATCGCGGCGATTATGTTCGAGACGAAGGTAAGACCTGCTTGCCAGGCTGTAAACCCGTAGATTGTCTGAAATGCAGTTGAGAAATTCGAAGAGAGGACGACAACCATGCCGATGGTGACCGAGTTAATTAGGTAGCCCAGAGGACCCCGGGCAAGATAAGTAAAACCACTGGTCGGAACATCAAGAGTAGGATCTTTTCAGTGGTGTACGCAGGGGACAAAATCTTCATGCGCTGTAAATATGGTTTTCTCTTGGAAGTGGTTGGCTGAGGAACACTGGGAAGCTCCTCGAGTTCCTGCAGACGATCCTCGTCCTCAGGTTTCGAAACCTTGACGTCTATCGACGCACCGCTCATAGGGGGGGCAGCTGTATGGATGGGAACTGCCCGGGGGACAGTATTAACTCGATTGTAATTGGTTTCAGGGATGGTGAACAGCATCACGAGGGTGCAGAAGCCAGCGAGAGCGGCTGCAATCCAATATATTACGCGCCAGTCCTGGGTCTTAAGGGTCATGCCGAAAACAACTAAGCCGAAGGCTCCACCCAAGGAGAGCGTGCAGTTATAGATACTATGTGGGAGTCAACTCGGGCATGTTATGTCCTTGGATCAAATCGATTACTCACCCCATGACCTTTCCTCTCTGGTGGAGAAAGAATATATCCGTGATTGTCAGAGAAGCGACGAGCTCCTGCTCCAATACCGAGGAGAAGTCTCGCCGCAAGTTCGCTCTCATAGGATTGGGCAAACCCACACCAGATACAGCAAACGGTGAGCAAAGCAAAACATGCGATGTACACCGGTCGTCTTCCATACTTGATGGCAACAGGAATCCAGATGAATTGTCCAATAACCGACGGTAAGGTTGGCGCCGGTGAAGAAGGAGATTTTTGAAACATATGTATCAAAATTAGGATCGCTTGGTGGGCCGAAGAATTCTGCAGCCATCTCCACCGCCCCCGCTGACGGGCCCGGGGCGCAGACATTGCATACAAATATGCTGAAGCAACAAAAAGCAAATATGTAGTACTTTTCTGCGAGTGGTCTTTGTCCCGAGAGCATTGGTCAGAAACGACGCAGAGGATAAGTTGGGATACTGAGTTGGACGTACCAGTTAAAAGGACCGTTAGCATCGTTCGAAGGCTCTGGAACTAGGAGGATTTCATTTGTCGTCTGATGGCGCAGTTGGACGGTTCCCAACCTCTCGCCAGTTGGGCCTTTGACGGGGTCTTGGGATTCGATGGCTTCTGTAGTCATGCTGACATATAGCGTAGTCAATGAGGTAGCACGTAATGATGTCCGTTCCTTGAGACTTTGTAGACTCTGTATCAAGAGCAAGATCTGATGTCCGTTCTGTTACAGAGGCTGGTGAGTTGCGTCGTGATAAATAGGGAGATGCAAGTACAGTTAAGAGAGCGAAATGCAAGGCTACGCTAACGATCCTCACGGTTTCCCCTGGCGCACGGGTTCTCCCACACCCCGTACCCAGGCAACTGGCTCCGGTCTGAGCTGAACTCCACCATCCTCCAACTCACTAATTGTTCCAATCGAGAGATGGCAGGCACACCACACGATAGTTTACAGGATGTTTCAGAAAAATATATACAAGGGTTACTGACGGTAAGCCGATATTCCCCCAGCCGAGCCGTATGCCCGATGCAATCGGTCCCATGCAGTATCTGCAGAGCCACGATTACTCCGGGGCCCTAAGACCATCAGGTGGATAACAAGTCTAGTAGGTGTTTGCAATCCCAGCAAAGAAAATGATTAGCTCAATTTGGGTTTCCAAAACAGCGTTCCCTTGTTGGATGGTAGGGGGTTTTGCTCGTGAGGGACCATCGAACACGATCAATTCACTCCCATACATACACGGTTTAGGAACCCTTCCAAGATTAGGTCAAAGCCTCCAAGTTGGTTGTATGTTCCTGTCACAGGTAGCTTTCCCATGTACTAGTTTGAGGTGGATGGATTTGTTCTGGGCAATATGAAGGCTAGCAGGCAGATGAAGTTGGAGTCGGCTATAACAAAGTCTACCTTAGGAGTGTGTCAAAGACATACTTGGTAGCGACAGCATAACTGTCGCATAAATCTAAAGTCGGATACAACGAGTTTACAGAGAAGAGCGCGCGAAACAGATATCTCCATTGGAGCCTGCGGTGGGAGTTAACTTCAATGCCCACGCTACGACGTTGCAAGGCATACCGAAGAAAAAGGTTAATGGGGTCAACCTTGGGCGCGGCTTGCCTGAAACTGATGATGAGCGGAATAGGACACCCAAATACAAATGTGGAGGATTTTCGGCAACCCGTTGTACCACAGCACTGCTAACGACATCCTAAAGCCTTGGGATTTCCAGCTTTCCAAGCTTCCTCTATCAAGTCAGATATACCACTTGGGCAAATCCTTCTCACAACAATGGGGAATACATACGAATCATCGAAACCGGTCTTTTGGTTCATTACCGTCGGTAAAATCGAGTCATGGACATACGAACGCTTCCATCACGAATACAACGATATACATGCGAAAATGACGGCTGGCGTCGCTGAGCAAGTTCATGATTTACAAGACTATACTCAGCTTATGGTAGAATACGATGAAAAGACGGATAAACCAACTAGAGGCGCCGACGACAATGAAGGTTGGCACGGCTTAACGATCCACATTTGGTCCAGCCTACAAGCCCTATACACGTCTTTCGCGGACCCCAGTTATGAGGCGTCCGCCAAAAAGCACATATTCTGCAGACAGGATCAGAAAGGATGCTTTGCGGAACTGTTAGCCGAGTTTGCGTCGCCAGGCTATGTCTCGGATGGGTCGACCAAGGTACGAAGCATCATATTCCATCGGAAGAATCCTTTGCGCGGAGATTCGCAGTCAGACCGAGCCTGGCTAGATGAACGATCAAAAAAAGCAAAGCAATTGATTGAGGGTCGCTCAAACCTGCTCCGATATCGCCAGTATCTCGACTGTACACCACAGACCATCAATCATTTCTTCAAGGGCACGCCGTTCGCTGGAGGATCTTGGCAAGAATTTTGTGCAGCGGAAGACATGATCTTCGACGATCTGGAAGCGGCGTCGCGCTTTTTGAACGAGTACAGAGACTGGATCTATGACGGTAAAAAGCCTTTGATCATAACTGGCAAGGGATACAAGGTTTTTGGAACAGATTGATACCGAAACAACACGGTGTAGCAATGTCAAATCCTGGGAAATATTTCTTTCCAACCCCTTCTGGTCTAATTTTCCAGAACTATCTATTGTGTCTAATCAACGTGTAGACCTCCAGTCACAAAAAGATGTGCACCATTAATCCATCGAGACCGCTCTTCACACAAAAAGGCTACTGCAAAGGCAACCTCCTCTGGCTCTCCCAGTCGCGGATCGCATGGAGTCCCCTGAATAGTCGGCTGCAAAAGTTTCATCATTTCTGTCCCCGCCTCCGCAAAGCCTGGGGTCCTCGTCGCGCCTGGGCTAACAGCGTTTACCGTACAGCCGTACTTAGGAGGAAGCTCCTTTGCCCAACATCTTGTGAAACTGTCGACCATGCCCTTTGTTCCAGCGTAGATTGTTTGGCGAGGAGGTGGTCCGCGAGAGGAAATGCTCACGATGTTCACGATCCTTCCCCCACCGCCATTTTCCTTCTTAGGAAGGTGAGGGAGGGCTTCCTTTGTCAACAAAAATACACCTCTTCCATTTAGATTCACCAGAGAGTCCCAGTGCTCCAACGTCTGTTCTTCTAGGGGTAGATTCACAGCCACTGCAGCGTTATTCACCAATATATCAACCTTATCGAAGGCCTTCAGAGTTTCGCTGACCAGCCGAGCCGGCCCATCAACAGTCGAGAGGTCGGCAGCTACTGCAATGGCCCGTGTTGGTAAGGAATCAAGAATGGCTTCCGCTGTGGCTCGTTGATGCTCAAACGGATAGTTGACCACGGCATGAGCACCTCTGGCTGAAAGCTCCCGAACGATGGCTTCACCGATGCCAGAAATGCTTCCCGAAACAATTGCGACCTTGCCACGAAGGGTTTGGGGAAGGTGACTGCCAGTAGCTGAACCATTGGTGACATGTGATGCGCTGTTCATGGTGCCAAAAATTTACCCCAGGATCTCGAAACTTCAGGCGATCTTTTCGACTTCGAGTCTCTGGGGAATGCAATGCTACCTCGAGATCAAATCAAGCCAATCCACCTTTCTTGCAAGCCTGTCGTTTAGTTGAGTGCATGAAGGTGGAAAATTTGTCCAGATCAATCAGAGATAAAGTATTGGAGGACTTATGAACCGTTAGACTTGAAACGTCGCGCTTCAAAGCAATTGGTACCATAGGCCCCATCGACTCAGAGACACCTTGGACGAATCGACAAAGCGGCTGCACGCAACACACCATACGCGATGCGGCATATGAGCGGAAATCCGACGCGGCAGACCGATTTTGTCGTCGGAAGAGATGTACCCTAGAGTTATCGAATGCCGTAAGCAGCAGTCCCCAGTCTCTTAATCTCGACAACCTACAGGACTCTCTCTTTGCTGTCCTTCCCGACCAAAGTCCAACTACCGTCTTGAGACTTCGGCAGCGGCTGTCACTTAAAGGGTGTTGCACGGCTTTTTGTCTTGCAACATCGATCCGCTCCGCAAGGAATCAAAGAATTGTCGAGCAGAGTCCAACAATTCGTCAAATGAAAGACCGGGCTATCCGACCATGTGTTCGAGCACTACATAATTATCTCTCCAGGAATAGTTCGGGATCTTCTGATATATGTCTGCAAATAACTGTAATTGTTATCTCGCTCTCTTTAAGCTCCAACTCTTCCATACGGTGGGCATCCAAAGTCGCTCTCCACAATGAGGGCACTGTGGTACGACGTCTTCAAAGACGGGAAAACAGGAGCAGATGCTTCGCCAAACGTGCTCGCAGAGGAAACCAAGTTGGCCTGGAGCACAAATGTCTCTGGGAAAAACACCCGATTTTTCAACGTTATCCAGGACGATAACGAGGATATTGCAGGAGCCGTGGTGCACTTTTCCGGAATCGAATCCTATGACAGTTTACTGGAATTTACAAGGGCTATTCCGTGGATGCAACATGACTTCGCTGTCGGAAGGGCCTTCTCTTCGAGAACTTTGTGTCAGTCCAGAAGTTGTTCCACCAGGCTGGCAAGTACTGCGATGTCGAACATGTAAAGCGCCTCCAACCATTCAGAACGAGCCCGACCGTCGCTTGGTACGCTGTATTGTCTGCAAAAGAACGTGATGGCTATGACGAAAATTACGGGTTGGATGATGCTCTTCAAGCATTCCGCTTGCTCAAAAGTGTGTTCCATATCATCGAACTGATGGTTTTGAATGCTAAATTATAACCTAGGCAATATTACCGAAGAAGTGTTTGATCTCCTTTCTCCAGACCAAGGCAAAGTAAGCCGTTTTGTCCCGTATATGAAACCTGAAAGAAAAGCTGAATCCCTCCCTCTATTTCCGTAAATACTTCGCATCAAGGCAAACGATAGAAAGGAGGCGGAAGGATACTTGAAACAATTCCTATCCGTCCGCGAGGAAACTGTTGATGTTCTCATCCTGAGAACCAAATCCACTTGTGTTTGGGATTTTGCCTTCTTCTAAATCAACAATGCTTAGTTTCAGGGCAAAGAGCGATGTTATCTGGGCATGTGGCAGTGTAATGGACGTGAAAGCTTTTCGGCAGAGGGCTTGAATGTATACGTCCGATGTGTCGGAAGGGAGCAGGATTATACCATAGATTCGGCCGCCATCCTTCGAGTTCGCAATCTGTACAAGTAAACTCCTTGGTCACCTTTACCTAGCTCTTCATACCTATGCACAAGTAGTGACGGCCCTCTCCAACATTCTGAGCCCTAGTATGGGTCTGGCGTAAGGTTCCCTAAGACTTCTAGGTCCCGGCGTGGAAACTTGAGGTTCCTATCAGGGATGGGCTCGCCAGAAGGCGGAGACGAGGTCAAATGGACACCTATCTATCTATATAGGTGCAAGCGTGACATCAACTTCCACGATTGGAAATCCCATATGTGTATCCTGCGCAACGCAAGTCATATACACTATGCCCTTGGCATGGGCATTAGCGGGCCATGACTGCTCTGAACATACCTAGAAATCTGGTATCCGAATCTTTGTGTACATAGCTACAAACTACGTGCTCCGATTCTCCACAGAGTACAAAGTCGACGCAAAATCTCCCATTCAATAACCCCCTTTATTTCTGCATCTCTCCAGGAGCATACCAGAGCTCAAGCCACATTACTAAGCTACCACCGAAATTCTGATGCAAGAGGCTTATGATCGGGGTATATGCAAGAGGAGAGATAACTCTGGCACACCCGATCTTGGGCTTGGAGCCTGGCCATACGCACGGATCTCTGCGGAGATGTTCTACAGCTCTGGACTCACCGGATCTTCGACAAATGCAATCTGTTTGATGATCTTGAGAAAATTCGGGTCAAGGCCCTGCGCCGCGATACCTTTCTCATTCTTCTCCCATGTGGGAATGGGTATACTCTCATTCGGGCCTTCCCCAACGTCCTTTGTAATCTTTACGCCAGATTTTCCCAAATAATGTCGGATCTGCTCGATGTTTAGCTGTTTGTGGGTATCCGAGATAGTACACTGTGATAGGTCTTGTATTGAGGCCATGGCCACTAGTTGGACCTGAATCTGACAGAGGAGGCTCTGGTTGCATGCCTCCAAGGATGCGGACTCCAACGGGAGGTTCCTGAAATCTTGTTTCTGGAGAACTGGTGGTGGAAGACATAATCCTCAGTAGTGATTGTGTTCTCTAGGGGCTCTGACCGCCTTCACAGAGTCATTCTGAGTTATGCTGGGCGATATTTCGCATCGCTTGAGTAATGCTGTTTTAATAACATCACATCAATTGTGTTGAACAGCAGTTCGTGGTGTTTGTCTTCTCCACCGTAGTGTTTGACCAGGCTTTCGAGCATACGGCATCCCGCGACGCAAATCTTCGGGAAGTGGATTCGTCGGTTCTAGTATGACTGTAATCAAGATGGTATTGTAATAATCTACAGGAATGCCGATGGGTCCGGGACGGCGCCCCGGTCTTGTCCTTTCAGGATTAGTTTTACTTGGTATGTGGGCCGGTTGCCGGCTGAGAACCACCTCGCTAATTACCAACCTCCTTCCATATAGTGAAAGCTTGAAGCCGTTGTGTTACAGTGGCGTCTCTGGTATGATGGCTTCAATGACGGGGATTTTGTGGTCCCTGCCTAAAATGGTCGGCCATCGCTACGGCTTAGTGGCTTGAAGAGCCCTATTGAACTAACATTCATTAATTTAAACGAATCAGGAATCACTATGCTGCTACACAGGAAGCATGAATTTGTAATCGAACGAAGCCAAGCTTCACCAGCTTGAAATACGAGGCGGACAAGCAACTTAGATGTATAAGTGCTACGAATGCTGATACAAAACAAGCCCATGGGGTCCAGACAACTTCCGTCCATAGTCGTCACAGTTACTTAGCTTTTTGAATGAAATCATGTTCCCATTAAAGCCGGCTTCCGAAAGCCCAAGGCGTAAGAATGAACAGCAAAACCCAATGCGTATGGTACAAGATATCTTGGATTTTGGCACGGCATGGATCGACTTTACTGCCTTAGATGCCTTCAATCAGCTCGCAGCCTCAGGAATCAAAACACAAATCTTTTTCGAAGGCCGAGGCGCGGGAAATAGTGCTCTCTCTAGATATTGTTTACTTCCAGACGCCCAATTACCTCATCGGCACCTGGATCACACATTAAGAGACAAGATTCTTGCGCTGGTCTTGAGTACCTGCAACCGTGAAGCTTTTGACGATGTTGCATCATCCTTTCCGAGTCCAGAATTGCTTAACAGTCTGATGGAATACTATTTAACAATACACTTTGCTCAAGTCGACTCCTGGCTCCATTTGCCGACATTTGAGATCGGCAAGCAAGGAGTCGAGTTGATACTTATGATAATATCAGCCGGTGCTGCGGCTTGCTTGACGACAGAAATGCGGAGGCTTGGACTTGCTCTACAGGAAGTGGTAAGACAGGCACTCGTGCAAAAGGTACGAAGAGTCCCATTTCGCATAACAAATATATCTGACTATTTCAGTTTGAAGAGAACAACGGTCTTCCTGAAGACCTAGCAAGCCTCCAAGCATTTGTACTCCAACTGCAAGTCGGCCTATGGAGCGGTGACAAGCGAAAGATTCAAATAGCGGAGAGCTCTGTCCAGCCTCTCATCACTGTAATTTCCACCGCTGTGAAACTGTTTTCTAGTAACTGACCACTATAGATGTTGAGACGGAGTGGACGCTTCAGGCGTTCGACGAGTTTCCCGTCTCCCCCAACTCTCGATGACTCTCACAAGATCCTCGAATTTAAATGGAGACAATGGGCACATACCGAATCCTATAAACGGTGGGCGGCTCTCCCCCTATCTTGGGGCAGTTAATATTGATCGATGCAGATTGGCGTGTCGTTTGTTGATCTACGATGCGGAATCTTCAATAGCTCTTCAGGTGCCTCCACTTCTATCTCCGACAGAAATTACACTAGAACTCCCTTGTTCTCGAGAACTATGGTGCGCAAACAACGCACAGGAGTGGCGGTCACTTTACCTAAGACAGGGTAACTCAGTGCAAGACAGAGGTTTATCCGTCTCGCAATGCATCAGCAGTGTGTCACAACTCAGACATCAACCTAATTTGGATATCGCATACTCAACAACAGTAGTTGTCTACAGCTCCTGGGCCTTGGTCTGGAATCACGCGCAACTCAATTCTTTGATTCGATCCCAACCCCAGCATCAAGCACTTTCGGAGGTCTCCATGTCAAGCTCGCGGGATCGAGGACTTCCCCGACTTCTTGAGCAGCTGCGCATCACATTTGCGGATTGGAACGAGTTATTCCCACCAGAGATGTCTCTTGTGTTGGAAAGGACACTTCTCGATTTGTATATTTCCTTTGAACAAATTCGGCTGTTCGCTGGCAGAGAAGGAGAAGAAAAGGCTCGCCGAGCCTGGTCTGTTTTGCGGCAGTGGGCTTCCAGCAGCTGTGCTCGGAAAGCCGTGTGGCATGCTGGCCAAGTGTTGAGAGCGGCAAGTCGGTGCCGGGAATATCTTCGAGAATTCCAAGCCATATGTCTATATCACGCCGGGATCTCCTTTTGGACATATGCCCTAGCTTCCACGTCTGCTTCTCCGAAAGACTCCGAACCTGTGTGGCTGGATGGGAATCAATGTCCCGCTGTCGAAAAATTCATCGCTCTCAATCACGGCAGCCCGGTCATATCAGACTACACGAGGGAGCCTATGAGCAATAATGTGGCAGTCCATATCAGCAACCCAAAGGCGGTCATGGATATGTGCATACAGTTGCTGAGAAAGAATTTTCCCGAGGAAACAAACCGAACTGGCTTACCCTTGGTGGAAAACCTTAGTCGACTCATGTACGATCTAGGCAATGCCGCCCAAATGTTGCTGTATAAGAATCCAACAGGCTCCAAGGAACCGCATATCAGGGAACCGTCGAAGTTGAGAACTTGGATGAAATCGGAGGCTGAGTGGTCCGCAGACCGAAAAGCTTGATTGAGGTGTCTCTCGAGGAAACGGTGTCTGTGCCCAGCTCGGTGAGGAGGGAGTTCATGCAGTACCTTTAGAGCATCAAGCGTGCGTATGACACAGAATACACGACGAAAGGACTTGGCATTTGCAGGTATGCATAGTCTATCCGAAATCAATTTGCGATCGCGGAGAAGTGATTGATGAGCCATCCGTATTTCCGGATCTTAAGGAAGGTTGAACAAGGTCCGTGGCGGAGACACTGCTGTCAAATTAATCCAGAATCCTCACCATCATTTTCATAATCTGGCTCATTCATCTTAGTCGATCACTTTCGACCCAAACACTGATCCACAGGTTGTGTCAAAGTGTATCTTTGAGTGTAAGAGTGCCGGATAAAATATTGTTCTTCAGATACGGAAGCCAAGGGATACACAACTCGGCCTTGAACGGCATCGACAGCATTCTTGCTGTAACCCGAGTCAGCGATTGAGGCAAACAACAATTTAATGCGCATCATATGCAGTGGCATCGATTCCGAAATGAGTGTCGAGCAAATATGATGATTCAGCAGCGTACGAAAATATCAATGTCTCTATTGCTGGCCCAGGAGAGCTTCCCCTCACGGACTCAAAGCCGAATTGAGGCACAAGGTGATAGGGAATTTTCTTTTCGCGCTATGTGCATTCCGGGAGCATACAGGTCTCTCAAGACCTGGAAAAGTTGACGATTAAAAGCTCATCACATCCGTCAGGTGCTATGTGACTTGCTGAAGTGGCCCAGTGGTCGTAGGTAGGCCTAAAGACCGCTTGGAGGGACGCGACTGAGGGAGGAAATACCGTCACTAGGCCCATGGTCAGTTATTGAAGAAGTCGAGATCGTACGAGATGTGGAAGTCCGAGTTTCGACCCAACATCTCAGGGACCACAAACCAGGCAGCGATAAATGTCGCCGGCATCATCGTTGTAAATGTATGGATGGCGTGACGATGGAAAAGAATAAATTCGTTAGCCCGCCCATGCAATCCTCTGAGTTTTTGCTCTCAGCCGCAACGATGAAACTTCACCAGTAACGACATAGGATGCGGGCCATACGCCCAAGCCCGCGATGAGCGTCACCAGACTGGTTGTGACACCAACCTACCTGCATATTGTTAGTCTCAATGCTCACCACGATCCAATGGTGCCGGGGGCCTTACAACGCCGAGACAACAGATTCGGTAGAGCCTGTAATACCCATACCCAGCCAGAGGAACGTCAAGGGCAACATGGTAGAAAGAATGAGCTTTCGTCTTCCGATAAAAGTCAGCAGCCACATGCTGATGATGGTCCCCACCACTCCAAAACTTATTCCAGTCACCAAAAAGATGAAGCTGGTTCATCAGGCACGCCAGTTTTTTGCAAGAACACCAAGTGCCACAATGCCCGTTCGCCGCAAGTCGGTATTCCGGAGGCAGTCGACATATTTGGGTCCATTGGCGGATGCTTTCCCTTCCTCATGCCGTATGGACGCCTGTAGCTGGTTCAGGTTTGCACGGCTGTCCACCTGAGGAGAGTCGAGACGCTTCTGAGCTTTGAGTGCGCCAGCCAGGTTGCCTCGGCGGATCAGATAGACGGGGCTCTCTGGCATACATATGGCGGGAGTGACAGAGATTACTGAGAAAGGCCATTCGGAGGCAATGGCGGTCAGGTATGAGGTTCTCCCCGGTCTCTGCTGCAGGTCCAGAACGATCAGGAAGAAGACGGGGAAGAAGGCGAGAAGTGGACCGCGGGGTGTGGGATGGGAGGCCTTCCGAAATGTAGGTTTGCGTCGTGGTGATGACCACACCGATGGTGAGGCCTTGAGTGAAGTTTCCGACCATGAAGACCACATGGCGACGGCCGCTCACATAAGAAGATGCGAAGACGACTGCGATGCCGAGTGCTGAAGTGAAGGTACCTAGACCCAGATACAGCATTTCAGATGAGAGCAAAACCGGGGGGCTCTGAGAAAACCTACATGAACTTTTCTATCCCATACACGTTGCCTGACATGGCCAGGTCGTATCCCCAGAGGAGAATTGCTAATGTTAGAGCAAGGCAATAAGATGACACCCGAGAATTATCTCGCCACGCTGCCCATGGCTTGGCCGCAGCTGTGATGGATTCTGATGAATCCAGTGACATCGAGCATGCAGTAGGTTCTTTGCGCAATCCGGCATTGCTGGCCATACCCTTAGTCCAACACCCAATCATAGGGTAAAGAAGAGTTGGCATGAAAGCAAAAAGCCGACTCGCTGAAGGAGATTACAAGATCTGGCCCTCACTTACTTAAACGCGCGTTGCTTCGAGGCAAGGCGACCTCCGTAGGGATGAGAAATAATAGCGTCGCTTACTTTGACATTCTGCGACTCTCGCACATATTCCCCGAGACTAACCATACGTAGAAAAATGTAACTATTCTAAACATGGACAATGGCTGGCTAATATATTTAAGTTATCACAGCGAGTTTCGCTCATCAATCCGACCATGGGCCTCGTTCTCATGCTCTCTCCTTATCCTCTCCCCGACCGGGAAAAATGGATCATCTACCGAGCACCAAACATGCGACAGGTCCCTCTCCTGCAATTCCATGCTGTTGCAGAGAGAATTATGATGATCTCCCGTTTTATGGCTATCCTCTGCAGCGAGGGTTTGACCTCAGTCGAATCAAGGCGGGCGACTTCACGGAGGCTCCTCCAAGGGCCATAGCATCTTTTTCTGCAGACCTTGTTGTCCTTCAGCACTTTGATTGAGGTTCTGGGAAGATATCAATTGATCAAAGCCCTAGATTTTATGGGTGCAGATATGATATCTGGCGACGTCAACCCTAGGCGTTGTACGATTCGTACACACTTCGAAACTGTATAGTCTGACGAGCCCTTGGACCCCTTTGAAATGGGACAAATCCTCTGTAAAGCCACATAATTGTGATTGATGGGCACGCCAGGGATTATGAGTAAAGCGGCCAGCCCTATCGAAGACTCAGCAAAGTCCTAGAAGATCTAATTCCAGTTCCACTGCAGACCCACTAAAGTGAGTTAGTAGCGGAGTATGAAGCTAATCATAAAGTCAAGAAAGCCAACATCAACCGCGGGCCAGTTGCCGGCTGCCGCTCTAAATACTTCTCCGTTAGACGGTGTTCCCATCCAAATCAATGAGGGGGGCTAGCACAGAGATACGACGCGCTTGCTATTCCTCGAATAATATGCGTGAAATGTTGAACAGCAGCCAGTGCCCCGCTATTGGAAAAGGGGGTTATCATTCCTATTCAGGATATAGGGGTAGGAATAGGGGTCAACAAAAACGTATGTATACACTGGCAATCTGGTATGACCAGTTGCCAAACAGATAGAGCACCAACAACAATCAATGTACATGTACTGATTGTTTGACACAAAAGACTTGTAGGCTGGTCATCGTGTCTACTTTCAGCATGCTCTTAAGAAGCGCCATCTAGGCCGTCAAGACTTCTACACAGGACTACCTGCTCTATTGACACTTTGCCAAAAAGCTTTTCTCACCATGGACAGCACCTCACCGTCTATTCATCTTCATCATCATCCTGATTGCCTTCTACAACCTCATAGCCCTCGCTGCCGTCGAGGCCGCCATCATCATCGTCGTCGTCGTCGTCGTTATCGTCATCCTCGCCATTGATTGGCTTCAATCCATAGTCGTCCTGGAAATAGTTGAGATCATGGATCTCAGGGGAGAAGCCAGCACTACTAAGTCCGTCTGAAATGACCTATAGCATGAATAATTAGGCTTTCCTCTTTGAAGTCGACTGCAAAAGACTCACCTCTTTCAGAGCAGGAGCACATGTCACAACAACATCAGCCTTTCCTGGTGTAAACATATTGTACACCACGGTCTTTAATGCATTTTTGATATCCTCCACTTCGATTTCCCTAACCTTCTTCAACAACGTCTCCATGTAGTCCCCGGGCAATCCTTTCATGACCGCGCGCACAAAACTCGCTACAGCTGCACTTGCCAAAGTTTGCTGTTCAGTGGCGAAGGCGACTACGATGCTGCTAATTGCACCCTCCAGCATCAATGGATCAAACTCAATCTCGCCATTCATGTGGCCGCGCACGACTTTCTGGCTAGCTTCGAAGGCCTTGTATGCATCGGGTGATCGGTAAACGTCGAGGTGAATGTAACCTGACTCAATGTCGTAGCCCATTGTGGTACCATAGGCAAGGCCCGTGCCTCTCACAGCAACCCACAGGGGTCCTTCGACGGCGTTCATGTATGCCATTGCCACCATGACTGCTGGCATCTTCGGATCGTCGTAAGAAGTCGGACCTCTGGTTACGGCGTACGCAAACGAAGAGTCTATCGTCGGCATTGGAACCACGTAGGCGAGTTTTCCTGGGTTGATCCCTGCTTCACTGAGACGGTCTATTCGGCGGCCAACGGGGGAAAGCTCCTTCTTCGTCTCTCTTCCTGCTAAGAAAGACTTCCATGCGCTGGCAGGTTGTTCAACCTTGTCCAAATCCGTAATTACCAGGACTCGGAAATTCTCAAATCTGCAAAGAATATTGCGCAGCCGTTCCAGTCGGCGGACGACTTGGTCTGGGTTGGCCTCTAGCAACTGCTTTATTCGTTTGAGATAGAGGGCCTTGACCAAAACGCTGCGAGCGCGACCTATCGACTTTGGAGCCAGATGGGTCATCAGATGTACGGCAATCAACATGTCGTCGCCGCTACGCTTTGAGTCAGGTACATTCGCGAGCAGGCGGGTGTTGATGGCTTTCAATCGTTCGACATCGAAGATGGAATTGTGGAGTAATTCGGTCAGCCATTTGATGGCGACTTCGTAACGTTCAATCTCCACCTGAAAACTCACTTTAATCCCTTCGACATTTCCTAAACTTCCGGCAGAGTCGATCGAATAGCCCACAGTATCCCGTTCGAGCTCGATTACCACTTGTTCAAAGTCAATAGTTTCTGACCCTCGTTTGATTGGCAAGTCGAAGAATGATTCCATGTAGATGGACAACAGTGGGCGCAATTCATCCGGAAGGGTTTCCGTGGACATGATCAGGTTGACACGTGCAAAGTGGGTCGGAATGTGTTCAAAATCGAGAAATAGAGGCACATCCTTTGCGTCCCTATCCACAAGCTTTTGATATTTGTTGTTTGGTTTTCCTATTTCGAGAGCAAGTCCGGAGCGAGCACTAGCAGGGTTGACGAAATGGATCGAATCGGTCGAAGGTACTTTGAATTGTCCCAATAATTCTCGTGGAATCTCACGATCATTTTCCGCTTTGGCCTTATCAAGCTTTTGTTGCATTTTCTTCAAACCGCCAGGTCCCAGTCTTTCCTTCTGTTCCCCAATCCTCTTGGCTTCGTCGGACTTTAGTTGCTCAGACAAGCGGGCTGAGGGCACTCCGAGGATCGACACATGGGGAGCATCTGAGATGTACGTTTTGATGAAGGCTTTCCAATTTTCCTCGTCCCAGGTAGTCAAAGTCTGAGTATATTGTCGCAAAGATCTCACCTCTTCCAGGGTCGAGCCGTCTCTTTTGCCATAGAGATAGTCTGAGATGATATAATCGGCAAACGCGGTGGGAGAGCCTTCTGCATTGAATTTGTATGTCCGTACTTGCCGGTCAATGCAGTCTTTCATGAATTTCATATCGAGCGGTGCATCCATGGCCTCTCTCAACACCTCAAAGAAGCGTTTCTCCACTTCTGCCAGGCGCTCAGTTTCTACACTGGACATAGAAAAACTTATTTCAGTTCGCGGGCGACTGTCGATCTGGTAGAAAACGCCACTGGCCAATTGCTCCTTTTCGACCATGGTGTTGTCAAGAAGTGCTGCTGATGATCCGGCCAGATACAAGAGAGCGACATTTAAAGCGGCCGTAGACAGAGAATCCGCACAATCAGGACCTAAGAACCGAATGTCGATCTCTCCAAAAGATTCGTCTTCTTCCGGAAACTCCACTCTCATCAAGGTAGATTTGGTCAGAGCGGGGGCGTGTGCGGACTCGATCCAGGGTCGTTTAAACGGGGCATTAGGATTAGGGATGTCAGACAGGATTGACGTCTCAAATTCATCCAGAATAGTCAATAACTCGTTATGGTTCACTTCTCCGAAAAGTGCCAAACATAGATTTTTAGGCTGATACATTTCGCGATGGAATTCTCGAATGCGATCTGCCGTCAGAACGCGGAGTTGTTCCATCATACCTCCAGTTTCGTAGCGAAATCCAACTCCTTCGGGGTAAAGAATTCGTTTCGACTGCAATTCGATCAGTTCCGACGCGGTGTTCTGAACACCTTGCATCTCCGAGTACACGACGCCCGCGTCGTTACCATGACCGTCGATATGATGAACTTCGGTGGTGCAACCCGCATCGGTTAGTGTTGGAAGGATGACATGCTCTAGATAGACGGGTAGGATCTGGGCAAAACCGGCCCAACCTGCGGTTTCCAACGTGTATGCCGTGTGGTCGGTCGCCGTCCAGGCGTTGGTGCCGGAATATGCTCTAGTAGCCAGCTTGTCTAAGAAGCCCTTGTACTTGTAGCTCTTTGAGCCCATGAAACAGAGGTGTTCCAACGTATGTGGAGCTCCAGAATCATCGTGGATTTCGGTGGCCAACACGAAAAAGCCATGCAATTTGGGGCCTTGTTGGTCCACCACGACCACTCGCATACCAGTGCGCTCAGATTCATACTGAGTGATCTTACTTGGACAGTAGTCTGGTTCGATTTTCTGAAGCAGCCGAAATCGGGGGCTGGTCCTGATGGAACCCATGGCGGCGAAGAATGGCACGTGAGTTAGCACTTTTGGTTGGCAAGGTTTGAGAATCGCGGTTCTGACACCAGTCTCGAATTAGTTTGAGATTCTTTTATGGCTGAACAAGAAGATATATGAGGATCTTCTTGGCATGAGAATGGCCAAGGGCCGCGAGCCCTCATCAGCCGGAATCTGACTGGACGTCATACATTCCTCCAGGGCATTTTCGTCAGCAACGAAGGAGGCAAAACCAACAACAAACAGGATTCCTCCACCATGGACTGCTATTCGTTGGGCAAGACTCACTGAACGACCGAAACGGTTTCAAACCCCGGGGCTTTCAATTCTCTTCCCGCGGTGGGACGGCTGTTTGGTTAGGATTCGTCAGCTGAGGAAGAGTGGCAAGATTTCAAAATAGCGACAAAGACTGAATATGTTCTGCAGGAAGGGACCGACTATATGTCCCTGGCAAAGAGAGCGAACAGATCCGCCGCAGCGAATGGAGGCAAATCCACAGATCTCAAGAGCAGAAGTCGTGTTCGTCCAACGTCCGTCTGTCCAGACAGAGAAACGAAAGGAAGTCGTAGTTGGGCCTCAGCCACACCGCCACAAGCCATTCGCCTCAGCCCCGAATCTGGCAGGTTTGCCCCAAAGCCTATGGAACCTTTTGGCGGTTCTTCGCGGGGGGGGAAAAAAAAAAAAAAAAAAAAAAACACACCACAAGGTATTATCTTACAAGTAATATGCAGAGTATGTATCTATAATAGTAGTCGAAGGTCGCCATCTATACACCACCAATGCGAGATCTTTTCCCTCCCTGTAATCCATATTATCCCAAGAGACTTTTATCAACCTGCCCCCAGTGCTGATGTAGTGTGACTTCTTCGCTTTCAATAATCCGTATCCGGTATGCTGCTCATTAAGTGCTTCAAATTTTTGCAGAATGTGTATTGTGGTTACGCTGCGTTGGTGTACAATTCTTGAAGGGCATTCTGCCCCTTTCGAAGAGCCCAAGTTTTTTGCTTCTTATCTTTCTTTAACTTCATCTCGGCCCATCCTTGCTCGTCATCTTCGTCGTCCTGGTTGGCCAAAGGTGACCTTCGGCCAATGGTGTTCACTGAAGGCTTCATGGCGTGCATTGGAACTCGAGGGGTATTATCTGTTTGGGACCAGGGCCGGAAACTCGAAGATGTGAATGTGGAGGCTCGCCGAGGAGATATATTATCAGGCTCAGGGGCGGTCGACACGGGCCTGTATCTAGAAGCAAGGCCAATGTTGCTGCGCTCCGATGGCGCGATCGAAGGGGCATAGTTGCCGTTGACATTGATGGAGGGAACAACTGATGGGTTAGAATTCCACGGGGCCATACTCGGGTTGAGAGTGCTCATTGTCCTTTGCCCAGGTTGGGGACCGGAGGCATTTGGGATCGACGGAGGTCTCGGCCCTTGATCGGGGAAATTTTGCTGTCCAAACTGAGGGGGCGCTATATCCGGGTTGGGATTGAATTGTCTGCCCATCATTTGTTGCATTTGCTGCATCCATTGCATCTGCACCTGCATCATTTGAGTCATTTGTTGGGACATTCGAATCTGAGCTTGATCTCCGGGACTCATCATTGGTGGCATCCCTGACATTCCCATCGGCGGGTAACCCATAACGGGCAAGCTGCCGGTGGTTTGTGATCTCGCCATTCCGGGGTGTTGCGGCAGTCCAGGCATGTCATAGCCTCCTGAAGGATTTGGGCTACCTCTTCTGGCGGCCCGTGCCCTCTCCTCTCCAGCAATGACGCCCACCAGTCCTGCTGGGTGTACTGGATGAGCAGTCGAAGGACCTGCTCCCAAAGAAGGACTAACAGGATGAAATGCCAGAGATTCGCGATTCGAAGGGTTGACCAGGCTGGCTCCATAATACGGGTCCTGAGGTAAATGTCGAGCAAAGACAGGTAAATTGCCCTCTTTCGGAGCTTGACTGGCCGCGGAGGGCGCGGGTTGCGCCTGGCCGACACTTCGTAGGTTGGAATTCGAGGGGGAATGAGCCAACCGTGTTGGAGGCCTGTTCTTGTTCGGAAATCCGTGTGCTGCAAGAATACCGAGTGGTACATCCTCATCTTCATCCTCATCGTCTCCGCTACTTTTACCGGACTGCTTCGATTCCACGGTCAGATGCGAAAGTCGGTTGTTGAGGTCACCCGAGCTTCCTTCTCTCGACCGCATCACGTTGAGAGAGCTCTCTGCTCGAGGCGGAGGTGTTTCTCCCGTGACCTTCATCATCTTCTGGCGGTACACAGCCAAATGGGCCTCTTGTTTCCGCCGTTGCTTTGCAACCTGACGATCACGTTCTACCTCGTCCTCATCCTCGTAATTGTCACCTGCTTCAGAACTGCTGTCGTCAGAGAGGGCACCCAGCCTGCGATCCATTTCTTTCTCCTGTTTATAACGCTCCCATTGTGCCGGCGTCATGACCTTGTTCGAGGGAGCTGGTTTTGGTGGAGCCGGTTTAGACTCCTCGTACATATGGGCAAGTTGTGCATCAGCCGCAATGGTGGGATCCAATGTTGCACTGTGCGTAGAATTTGGCGACGTCCCTCTTTCCATTTCTCTGGCTGGACTTGTCGAGAGGAGGTTGCTGTCTGTTGATCTCGTCTGTTGAAGAGGTGGCGGTTGTACATCCTCCTTTTGTGTGAGCGACCTTTGGCCCACAGGCTTTCTGGAAGGCAACTTAGACCGTGGCATTGGATTCTGGCTTATGTTCGGAGCGGTGTTCTCGTTCGCCTTCGCAGGGCTGACTTCGGTAATGGTCTTTGAAGGGCTGGGAGACCGCATCAATCCTTCACGGGAATCATGAGAGGTCCATGAATAGGGGGACGTTTCGACAACTTGGGTACGGTCGGTCGTGATTGGTTTGGGGGCCGGGGCCCTGCCAGAGCGGATGGGAATGGCGGCGGGGTAGCTAGTTGGAGGATAACTTGTTGGAGAAGAAACAGTATCCTATCGACAATTAATATGACAATGGAGTAAAGAGAGATCGAGGGAAGGGAGCTGTACTTCTTGTTGTATAAGCCGGACGGGGGCCGTGTCAGGGCTAGACCCGATATGGTCGAACATGTTTCCGAAGCCATCCAATTCGGGATTTTCAAGCGCAAGGTCGGAATCAAACAATCGAGGCGGCGTAGCCGTACTGGTTGTGCTTGTTGTCGTTGCTCTATTTCTGCCGTTATCAACTAGGGGAGGTATGCCGGCAGGCGAGAACGAAGTTGGCGATCGTCGATCGTCCCCCGTCACGCCAAAGGAACAGGTTCGTGTTGGATTGCGAAGGAAACCTGGTCTGGCCGATGCAGGTAGCGGCACGGGTATGTCGTTATATGGTCTCGATCCGGAGCCGTGTACAATTTTGTCTGATCTCGTATCAATGGAGGAGGGATTGGTAGAAGAAGTACTGAGACGGGTAGAAGAGGCGGCACTGTCGTTCGGGGCAGTGGAATGGGAGCGCTCAGTGCCACCACTCCCACTTAACATGGTCAGTCTATAAAGGTGGTTTATACGTGAGGTGCCTCGCCTACCGGTTGCTTGCATCGTGACGACCTGGTGCAAAGATATCTTCCTCTTCATGCTCAAAGTGGTTTTGGGGTGGAGGCCTTGGGGGACCTGGCGTACCCATCCTTAAGGACGCGCCGCCATCGAAAGATTTTCCTTTGCTTGCCGGCCTCTCCAGGACTCTAAAGGAAGAGTCGGGAGGATGATGTGCCTCCTCCAAGGCATTGCCCGAAGATTTTCGTCTCTGAAAGCCCTTTGGCAGTTTGATTGGCATGAAGGAAAACGTCGACCGGACGTGAAGTAGCCGACCGGTGGGATTAATCGAGGGGCTGATTTGTGTTTGACTGGAATCTCAACGGTTCCAGGCCTTGACCAAAGAGCAAACAGGACTAGGTATGGAAGACTAGGACGAGGACATGGGAAGGGAGTCGGACGCGGACGGCAACCTGCATGAGGCATAGGGTCAGTAAGATCCCCAACTGAACGAGACAAAAAGTTCAAAATCCTACAGCGTCTCTCAGAACTTTTGCTTTTGTTGTCAGGACAGCGATAGGAAGACACACTCGGATCACAAAGCTGAGCCGCTGAAACAAAGCGATGGGCGTGGCTGGACCGAGCGTTATGTCAGTGTGAAAAGACAGTCTTGATTTTATAGAAGCGAGGACGTGTACTCCCAGGAGCGCGAGCAGAAAAGTCGACCCGGGATGTTTGACAATGACCTTGAATAGGGGAGGAAGAGTGGCGGCTGAGGGAAATGATTAAAAAAAAAATTGAGTAGGTACGAAATAGCGAGAGTGAGAAATGAAAAGAGAGATTTCGCAGGTGAATGCAGCCGCAGACACAGGTACAGGGCACAGGCATGATGAGGAGACGGGCAGTATGCATGGCTCAGCGGGGGGCGCTGTGTTGACAAGTGGCATGGTTAAAGCCCAAGACTGGCCGTAAAATACTGGGGTCTCTCCTTTAGGCCGCTCTCAATCCCAAAAAACAATCCCTGGGCCCCCCTTTAAGCGAATTTAGGTAATGAACAGCCACTACAGCCGAAATGTGTTAAATCGGGAGGCTGTCAAGGTGCCACCCCAATAGACTTTCACTTCACTAGCTCTTCATAACTTTCTTGTTTTATGCGTTTCCATCTCCGTCCTTTTCTGCTAGCCTCGCGTTTAACAACGCGAACCACGGCATCTGACGCTAAACCTGGGATGCTGTGCTATGCTGAATCTGCCACTTTCGGCCTCTCGCCATCTCCTCCCCCTCCCGGAGATCTTTTAAAGATGCGCCAGCTCTGTTCCTGACGCACGTGTTGGCCTCTTTGCTCCAACCCAGGCCAATACCTCGTGTTGGTCCTCCCGTCATTTCAGTGGGTCTTGGGCAAAGTCCGCTTGCTAGTAATTAACCTCCCTCAAAAGTCTATTGACGTGCAGGACGCCACGACCAGTCGGATTGTCGAAATTGACCCCGACTTCATAACAGGAAGCTTCCTATTTCGAGCTGGTCAGTCCGTGGCATGCCTGTAGTTGAAGGAACTCCGCAAGAGGCATCACCGACAAATAAGGTACCACCAAAGGAAAATGTGATTGACAGTTTTCCCCTGTCGCTCATCTCTCGTATTGCCAAATTGTTGCTCAAGCAACTCTGGAAATTCTTCTTCAAGTCTGGTCGTCGCTCCGGTTGATCTGCACCGCTTTGTCCTCACCACCGCTGAGAATGCCCACGTCACGATGCCAACACACGGCAAAGACTTTGATGCCATCACCGACCGCTGAATTCAGACCGCCTTTCAGGCTCGCCCTGGGCAGCATGTACAAGCTCTGTCCGACAGCGCCTTCTTTTTCTTGTCGGGCGCTGCGGACGTCCCAAACTCTGCATGTTCCATCGTGACTCCCGCTGACAAGTGTATAGTCGTTGGTAGGATCTTGGGCGAGGCTGACGACCGAATTCTTGTGGCCTTTGAGAGTCATTGCAGCGACCGTCGTGGCCGACGCTCGTGGATCCACCAGTTTAATGACACGGCTGACAGATCCTGCCGCAATAAGGTGAAGGGAGGGCATGTGCTCAATGCAAAACAGCGCACCCGAGGTGGTCCTCGTGTCTACAAGAGACGCTGTGACCAAATCCCATGTCCTCACGGTCTGATCCCAGGAACTGGAGTAGCCGACTGTGGAATCATTGCGGTCAAAGATCGCTCCCGAAGCCGGTCCCGTATGTTGCTGCATCAATGCAAGGGGACCTCTCTGCGCCAAGGATACCTCCGAATTTAATTTTCTCCTCTTACCGTCCTGGGTTCTTGCACGAGGCACAAGTGCTTCCGGTGCTGCTGGCGCATCGGCTTTTTTAGTTGACCAAAGTCCAACGGAGTGATCTGAAGAGGCCGAGAGCAAGCGCCCGGACGCCTCATGGGGACAGACAGAATCCACCGACGATTTGTGACCGTAAAGCTCTATTTGCGGTGACAACGTCGCCGAAAACCCTTTTTGCTCTTCTGAATACTTCCATAGTCTTAGCGTTCGATCGAACCCAGCCGACACCACTTGTTTCTGCGATATAAATTTGGCGGATGTTATGAAGGAGCCGTGACCACCTTGTGACACGCCCGGCGACGTAGCAAGAACTCGTGATGAGGTGTTCCACACTCTTAAAAGTCCATCGTAGCTGGCCGAGAGAATTCGGGGAGATTCGCCCGACATCACGTCGATGTCGCTGACCCAGTCATCGTGTTCGAACGATGCAACATATTGCGGCGGAATTCTCGCTCGCACATATTCGACAGCAAGCGTTGTTTCTGCAGAAAGGCCGTTATTCGTGAGATATTCTTCAAGGGTGGTTCGAAGGTATGTCCCATTGATGATGAACTCGAGTGGAACTGGTTTTTCTTGCTTGAGCAGGCTGTTGACAAGCGTGGAAAGTGTATAGCGGCGGAAGGATGTAGGAACGAGAATGGGCGCCGTTTCTTCGAGGGCGAGATCAGAGTCTCTGGTTATTAGTCTCACTCGCACTTGAGTATTTGCAGCGTCGCCGGGCATAGTAGCCATTTTGATCCAGCAGACCGTTAATGAGCTAGGCTTTCAGGGTTGGTTCTCTACGCAGGAGGAAAAAAATTTACAGCGGATCAAAACGCCACCACAGGCATTTTACACATGGGGCTAAATTTCTGGCCTCCACTTCCATGAAAAGAAGAGCAAGTTAATACGGACAACTTGAGGACAGCTGCCGTCGAAACTCTCAAGGAGATATGCTAGATGAATCTGAAGCCTCCGTTTCTCTATGCGATGCCATCGTGAACAGCACGTTTCCTCAATCGGAAGATCTCCTCACCTCTGAACTGTCCTCCAAGACCATTCCATTACTGCTCAACCAGATTTCCGCGATCCGAAGCGAGCTGCGCGATGAAATAAAAGCCACCAGCAAAGATGATGTTGGAGATGTTGACCAGTGGATATTACAGGCCAGAAAAGTGCAGGAGAACATTGCAAGATGTAAACTCGAGTCGAAAAGAATCGTGGAAGATTATCAGCATGTCCGGGCCCTACGAGACGAAGCTACGGACTATCAACATAAAGTGGACCTCCTTGAAATAGAAATCGAGTTTACGGAGACTCTGAGACGAGAGTTGCAAAACGTGGCTCAAATAGCAAAGTCTTTACGAGAAGTTGAGGAATGTTTGTTGCAGGATGACCCTTGCAGAGCAGCCTCCAAATTGCAAAACCTGGAAGGCAATATTACAGGCATGCTGAGATCACGAGCCTCAACACTAGGCCGAGATCTGAAAGATGAACTACGACTTAGGACTCGCGTACAACTTGAGGCAAAGTTGAATGCACAGATTCATATCGGGGGGGGACCGCAACAATGTAGCATCGAGGCTCTCCCGAGTGAGACCGACGCCACATCGATGAACTCGGACGCTATTCTACGAGCTCTGGACCACTTAGGCGATTCGCAGGAGTCGATCGAAGCTTTGACAGACAAACTCAAGACGTTTGTCTTACAACCTCTACGACGCTCAGCGAGATTCAAGCTGGCTCGTTATAAATTAGGACGGCACGATATGAGCGTTCAACTCGATCTGAATGGCCCATCCATGCAGTTGGTCCTCGACTTTGTGCTTGATTTTATAAAGTTTTTGCATTCATCGCTGTCCGAAACGATACAAAAAGCAGCAGCCAAACACGTCCTGCCAGATCTGATGGCGCTGTTGGCAACTGATTGGCTGAATCCCGGTCTTCCTACTGAACTTACTGAGCTCGATCGACTCGATGAAATGCAACAACAAGTAAATCGAATTTTAGACCGACTCAAACCCCTAAAATGGGAAGGACAGGCACAGCTTCAGGGTTGGATGGACGAAATACACCGTGCCTGGTTAAATCAACGCAAAGCAGCAACTCTCGATGCAGTCCGAACGGCGTTTGCTTCGTCCAAGGGAACTCTGCGACAAGTTGAAAGGGTAGAACGGCAGATGGTACCAGCTGCGACGGAAGAGGAGAGCCAGGCTGAGGATGACACTATTGACTGGGATGCTGGCTGGGATGATGATAACAAAGACAAGGCAACAACAGCAGAAACAACAAAACCAGATGACGACGAAGATGCCAGTGGTTGGGGGTTCGATGACGATGACGATGAAAATCAAGAGAAGAAAGGCGAGGAGAACGGGCATCCAACACAAACCGATGGTGATGACAATGACGCTGGCGACGCATGGGGCTGGGGTGATGGCGATGAAAGTCCAGAGGAGACAAAGTCGGAACCAACAAGCAAAGATCATTCCCGCCAAGTCAATGGAGCCAACAAGCCCAAGAAAGTTGAGAAAGTGGTCACATTATCGGAATTCTACAGCATCAGCGAGATCCCCGACCGCCTTGTCGAAATTATAGGCAGAGACATCTCTGATGCCCAAATCATCCAAGAGACTCAACACAAGAGCCTCGACTCCTCAACAGCATCAAGAGGCCTTCTCACCCTTCCTACTCTAGCTCTAGCAATGTTCCGTGCTACAGCACCCAGCTACTACGGCGCCTCCGCTTCTTTGACCGACATCCACCGATACAACGACTCGCTGTACATCGCCGACCGACTCCGTGACATGAGCGTGCCCAGCGGCATGCCGAATATCGAAGCGGACATCAAATCTATGGAGAAATTCGCGCGACTCGCCTACTCGAAGGAGATGGAGACCCAGCGCATCATAATCTGGGACCTCCTCGAAGGTGCTCAGGGATTCACATCCTGTACCCAGTTCCCATATTCACAGGAAATCGAGAACGCCGTGTCCGCCGTTGTCGATCGGATCCGGGCCCTGCACACGGAATGGAAACCTATCCTCTCCACCTCGGCGCTGATGCAGAGCATCGGCTCCCTCGTCACTATGGTCACGGCCAAAGTGATTTCTTCCATTGAAGAAATGGATGATATTTCCGAACCAGAATCCCAGCGCCTAGCTTCATTATGTCAGCAGATCGCGTCTCTGGAAGATTTGTTCTTATCGACCCCGCCGTCCGGCGAAGAGCCTGTGCCCATGACTGCCGTGTATGTCACCAACTGGCTGAAGTTCCAATATTTGATCAATATCCTAGAGAGTTCGCTCGTGGACATCAAGTATCTCTGGACCGAGGGCGAGTTGAGCCTGGAATTCAGCGCCGATGAAGTCGTGGAGCTCATCAAGGCATTATTCGCTGAGAGTGCACATAGGAGAAATGCAATTGCTGCTATTAAGGGGCAGCGGGCGTCGCGGCAGTAGATCGGTCGCTGTGCGTTAGGAGATATATGATTTGGATCTGTACGTAGTTTGGGGGGTGGGGGATTAAAAGACGACGAAAGGGCATTAAATATTGAGTTTGTCCAGTGCTATCATATTCATAGGTATATCGTCAACTGGAAAGGGGAAAAAAAAAGTATATCAAAGAATATCAACTTTCCTAAGCTGCTCGCTCGAATGCAAAGGCGTAAACTTCATCATCATCCGAAACTGATCCCTTCATTGCATAAAACATCTCTAGATCCAACGACATAATATACCTTCGCCCATCGTACAAGCAAAAAAGGGGGGGGGGGGGGACAGCACAACCGGTATCAGCAAAAGAATTTATACCACTTCTTCCACGTCGGCCAATTGACACGATCAGCCTTCTCCTCCGCAACCAGACTCTTAATATTCATCTCTCTCTTACCAGTAAATAGATCCATATCTCTGGCCTTGAGGATCTCTGTCTTCTTCCAAATTTTGTAGCCAATGTACATGAGAATCACGACAGGAGCGGCCAGGTAGGCCTGGAAGAAGTTAATTACGAGATCACTGGTGGACATGTCGCTCCAGCCAACGGGGCTGAAACCGGTCCAGAACTGTGCGACGAGCACGAGAATGTTGAAGATCAGGCCGACCCAGGATCCGACGACGCCGACGGGGGAGCGAAAGGCGAGCTCATCAAGCCCGTGGCCTTGGATAGCCCAGGCATTACGGAAGCGGATGTGCGCGAAGCAGATGCTGGACCAGGTGAAGATGGAACTGAGGCCGGAGAGTGCGAGCATCCAGTTGAATGCGTCTTGTTGTTTGTTTGAAGCGGCGAGGAAGGCGAGGAGGCCCAGTACGGAGGCAATGATGATGGCGTATAGAGGCCGGCCTTTGCGGTCGATGTAGGCAAGGAAGGCGGGTGCTTGTCGCTGTTCGGCCAACGCTGCTAATGTGCGTGAAGAGCCGTAGATAGAGGAATTGCCGACTGAGAGGACAGAAATCATGATGACGACGTTCATGACAGAAGGGAGGACTTCAATGCCTGCATTCTGGATTGAGATAACGAAGGGTGAAGCTCTTGTGTGGAATCGTTAGCAAGGTGGGAATTAATGAAAGAAGGCATAGGAATATCAATGTGGTCACGCACTTTGCATCGGCGCTATTTTCGCCGTTTAGAAGTCGAGGGTCGTCGTAAGGAACGAGAGTGCCCACGAGGAGCAGACTCACAATGTAAAATAAGGTGATACGCCAGAATACCTATTCAAGTTAATAAGCTGCACGACGACCATGTATTAGCAGAATGCCTCACCTGCTTAATGGCACTTGGCAAGGCTTTCCTGGGATTTTCTGTCTCCGCGGCAGCCAGGCCGACCAATTCTGTGCCAGCGAAGGCAAAGGCTGCGGTCACAAACGTACTACACAAACCTTTGAATCCGTTGTGAAAGGCTCCAGGAGTGTGCCATAGTCGAAAGCCCATGTAACTTCCATCAGGTTGCCCAGCGCGATTGACGCCGCCCATAATATTAATGAGCACTCCCAGGAGACTGTGACGTTGTTAGCACCAAGACTTCTTCTCTCTCGTCCCAGAAAGCATACATATATCCTATCACGGCGGCGACTTTGACAATAGAAAAGACGAATTCTGCTTCGCCGTATCCTTTCACGCCGAAGAAATTGATCACGATGATCAAAACTAAAAATATCGATACCCATGCGGCATTGAGAGTGATATTTTGGACCTATTTCGCTCCATTAGAAACAAAACACCCTTTGATATGAATTCTGACCATACCCAGAAATCCACGGTAATTGATGCCGCTACAATTTCCAAAGGTAGAACTACCAACCATTGCATGGCGTAATTCCAACCCATGGCAAATCCCCATGCAGGATCCAGAAATCGAGTCGAATATGCAGCAAAAGATCCCGCAACTGGGAACAAAACTGCCAACTCTCCCAATGCTTGGACTGTGCAGTACATCATGACACCGGTCAGGGTGAAGGCGAGCACCACTGACGCAGGCCCTCCGTATGCCAGAGCTTTTCCACTTCCAACGAACAATCCTGTGCCAATACTGCCACCGATGGCTATCATCTGCAAATGCCGACCCTTGAGCCTTCGAAGGAGAGGTGATAGTGCCGTGGCCTGCGCGGCAGCTTCAGCATCGTAGTGTTTCGAATCGGCCGCACTGAATGACGCCCACCTCGTTACGCTCGCGTTCGGGTCTCGTTTGAAACTTTCGGTCATGCGCCTGGTGAATGTTCGTCTGACATTGCTCATGTCACCCTCGTAGGCTGATGGGCCTGAGGAAGACTCTGGGCTCCAGCTCTTTCTGTCAATCTCCATGTCCATGAGCAGCGGGGGTCGTTACTCGACATGGAAAAAAGAAAAAAAAAATCCTCGTCGCTAGGCACGCCAGCCGTGGGTCACCGCAGCATGTGAATAGCAGAGGTGTTCGGCGTCGATGGTGATGGTATATAGAGGCGCATGACGAGCGCGAACGTGTGAGAGAAGAAGAGAAAATGCGGCAGGCCTAGAGCAACTAAACAGTGGCCCAGGCTTCTTACTGATGAAAGTCACAGATAAGGCTTGCCGGGCTGATTCCCACTCGTGCTTCTGATAACGAAACTTTCCCGGCTGTCAAATTAACCTGCTCACGTGACGCATCAAAAGAAACATTGATCCTCCTCGTCAGTCAACAAACACGTGCTCATAGGGATCAATCCGTTCGAGTGTTGAAGATAAAGGTATACAGCTACATGATTATATTTCCCGCTATATCGACACACCGTCATTACGTCGTTAGAAGTCAAAATCCACAGCAGGTGAAGAGAGCCACCCATTGAAAAGGGAACAGGTCAAACCGTCTTCTCGTTCATGTTCATACCCATGATACGAGCGTTACTGTCATGCAACCGAGAATTTTTTTTTTTCAGGTGCTTCATGGTGAAACTGTGGTCAACAGGTAAGAAAAATCTTTTGTACATTCGCCAGGATATGATCAAGGACTTTTCTTCATTTCGTGATTCAAATTGGGTCTTTTCCATCGTTAGAATCATGTTTGTTAGGTGTCGTTGGTTCCGGCTGATCGAAATCCTGTTCACGCTGGAGGGGCGGAGTCGTCAGGTTGAGAAAGATCTCCTTCAGGGACATATCTCTGTGACTCGGGGTCTCCATCCTGTTCGTCCGGAGTGTCAGGCTTAACTTCTGCGTGGGCCACGTTCTTTACATCCTGCGAGCTGAGACCCCTTTCCACAGCTAACCGCTGAGCTGCCTCTCGCTTCTGTTTGATTTCCAACTCCTCCTCCCGCTCCACTTGTTCTTCCTCCTGTCTTAGGTCGTGCAGAGTGGGTGGCTCCGGGTGCTCCGTGACCAGAGTTGGTGATATTGGGGCAAGACTCTTCTGTGACGAGGATCTTTGACTGTTGTTACTTGGGCTCTTCGCAGATTTAGAGGAGACGGTCCGCGTCGATCTTCGAGACGCGCCCGGGCCCTTGCTGCTGGGCGTTCTCGCCTTCCCGCCACCCTGCTCTTCCGTGGAACCCTGGTTCGTCATGCGACGGCTCAGCATGACGGCGAATTCGTCGTCGAGCGGAACAGCATCTTCCTCTTCGTCACTCATAATCAGATCGCCTCGAGAGCTAAGCGAATTTGTCGTCGACCTGGAGCCGGCGGTATCGCTTCGCTGTCGGCCATGACCCTTGTTCCATATACGCCCTTCTATCAGAGGTTCAGTTTCAGCATCTCTGGCCCTTGCACCACCGGGGTTCTCTTGCAAGTCGGCGGCAGAAGGTTTGTAACGCAACTTGCGGCTGCCAATCTTCCATGGAAGTCGTTCTAGAAATCCTAGGTATGACGAGCTCGGGATGATGGTTGGGTCTTGGTCAGAATCGGCTTGGACTCTAGAGGGCTTCGGGCGTCCTCTTGACCCGTAACTCATTGCCCTTGGTCTCCTCGGTTGCCCAGAGATAGATCCACGACCTGCCAATAGGCGGTCTAATTCATCGTTTCCCCACCCCATGGGACTGTTGGCGAGGGCATCATCATCATCCTCCCACGCATCATAGAAGTCAAAATTGTATTCGGATCTGCCCCGGGATTGCCCTCTCTTTCGGCGCAAGTTGTCCTCCCGGTTGGGGAAACATGGCGCGGTGCACTCATAAATGCACGACTTGATTCCCGCAAGACAAGGATCAATGTATAGTTGAGCGAAAGTGTAGATGTTCTCCTGAGCCGCTTGGTTGGCGGACTCGAGGTTCTGGGAGATATTGTGGAGGGTTTGGCGGAACTCAGGGTTATTCATCGCGAGGCCAGGCCGACGGAATCGGTCAGGTAGTGGCAGGGAAATGATCGTGAAGCCGCTGCACGATAACGAGGCTGGGACCGACGCGCTGAACCAATGTGCGCTGGTCGCTCAATTGCCATGCTTAAATGAAATATGTTTGGAGATAGCCTGGCGACTGGATTAGCAGACAAGTCGAAGGATAAATTGGGATTGAAACCGAAAATGCTGGGGGCGGGACTGATAGCGGGAGAGGCCAATCCTGGAGGGAACTGGTGAAACCACGTTCGGACTCACGTGATACTGTTTGGAGGACCGATATCACGTGGGAATCACGGAATCCGGTCAAACTGTTCTTCCGGGATCCCGCCTCACTTTCAGCAGAACAAAGTCGAGCAACTTGTTCACCTGATCATTTCTCCCACTTCAGCTTCAACTTCAACTTTTTGACCGCTCGAAACAGTCGCCGACCTCTTCCAACCTTGCCCATGGTCCATTACATTCGCTTCTTGCGTACGCCGCAGGTCGAGGCTGGCAAGAAGACTGTCGACGTCTCTGCCGTGGTTGCAGTCACCACCGACTTGGGTGATGCCTTTTATGCCGTGAACGTGGACCTGGTTGCGGAAGCTGTAGAAGCTACTCGTCCTCATGTCGTCTTCCATTCTCAGACATTCCCGTGGCAGGCTACATCCAGAGCTCTTAAGTTCTCTCTCAATTGTCCCGGCAAGTATGTTTCTAGATCTGTGCGGTTGCATGTGACCACGAAGGACACGATTGCTTCCTCCGCTCGACGGGAAGTCCCTCAGATCCTTGATGTCTGGAGCATTGCTTTTCCCTTGTCTGACAAACAGCGGACGGACCCTATTGTTGAACGGCAAGTGCTGCTGCCGAACAACTCCCCGGTTTGTATATCGGAGGAAACGGGCGACAGTATTGCTCGTCATATCTGGTACATCTCCCCCCTGCCGGCTGAATTTGACTGACGAGCAATCACAGGGATGCGGGCTTAGGCTTTTTGATCTACTTTGCGAAAGCTCTATCGGCATCCCCCACAGAAGGTGTTTCTCGATGTGCAGCTCTGTGGAAGTCCAGTAAGGTAAGGCGACTGAGGGTGCTGGAACTCGGTACTGGCTGCGGGATTGTTGGCATTGCTTTTGCACAACTTGTCAAATGTGACATACTTCTTACCGACCTGGAAGATGCTCAGGAGATTTTGGCAAGCAACGTCCGGTATGCTTCGCCAGTGGCAGGATCTATGATCCAGACTGGGATTTTGGATTGGGCTACTGGCCTTGATGATAGCTCCAATGCGAATTTCGATCTCATTTTGGTTTCGGACTGCATCTACAATCCAGAGAGCAGTATTCATCTGGTAGAGACTCTGAGACAGCTGGCCTTTCGTACACCGAAGCTACTGATTTTGGTGGGATTCAAACGACGACATGAAGCAGACACCGTCTTCTTCGAACGGATGCAGCAAGCCAATTTCGACACAGTTGAGAGGATCAACATCCCCCTGCCTTACACGACTACCGATCAAGACACAGACCCGCCAATGATCGAATTTTATACCTATGAACATCGCTCGGCTGCCAAAGAACCGAAATAGGATCGACCATCCGTGTACACTGAAACGAATTAAAAGAGGATTTCCCGCGTCTCATCGTCGCCTGTCTCTCAATGGCGGTCTAGAGGGCCGTCTTCGGTTAGGCACCCATGGACCCATCTGAAGTTATCCAAAGCTACCCAAAGGGCCCCAGTGGCTTGCCTGTCACGTGCTACAAAATTCCCGCACACAACCCAAAAAAAAAAAAAAAAGCTCTACGAACCCACCTACCAAACGGCGGAGACAAAAGGCGATGAAATCGGCAAAAGACGGTGCGATATTAGCGCTGATGCACCCAGTCACCCAGTCACTTTGGATGATTCATTTCCCCGTCTGAAGTCTCTCCTTTGGCCCCCCACCAAGCCGTGGTCAGTGAATTAAAATTTCCTTATCGACAACACAGAAAGCTGTCACCTTTTCACCATCTTTGCCGTTCTATTTCCCAGACTCGACCGCTATCTCCTGTACACAGTTCTATCTGGAAACCTCTCTAATTCGTCTTTGGTGCCCCCAAAGGCACCCCCCATATCACGGCTTCGACGTCATTTTGCCTTCGCTTTCAAACTGCATCGTCGTGTAAACACCGACATATTCTCAACACCCGTCCACCTCCTGCTGAGGTCTCACACCGTCAGACCGCTCCCGTTCTTTGAGTTCGAAACCCCCAACCAGCCATTTGCTCCATTTCAGCTGCCGCATAGGTCGCCACTCGAGGTTCTTCCTCTTCGTGAGGGAGAGTCGCTGAGGCAAAGCCAACGTCCCATAGGAGCGGAATCTCGGAAACCTCCCTAACATTTAATTTGGGGTTTTCTCTCAACCGATCAACCCGGAACCTTTTTACATGGTTATGGCACCATCTGCCATCGCCATTGATGAGAAAGAAACCACGATTTTGAATGACAGTAAAGTCAATTACATTGACATTGACCACAATCATGGCGTTGAATCCGATGTGACGGGCTTTGCCTCCAAGGCGCTTATCCAGAAAGTTCTCAAAGAGCAAATTGCTCGTATCAATGTCGACACCTGTGAACCCGGTGAGGAAGATGCGTTCTACGTGGCGGACTTAGGAGAGGTGTACCGCCAGCATCTCCGATGGAAACTGAACCTGGGCAGAATCAAGCCCTTCTACGGTGAGTGCCGCCCGTATTTGACCCCAAAAAATTTTAGACGCGAGCTAATCACTTGCAGCGGTCAAATGCAACCCCGACCGGGAAGTGCTTCGTCTTTTGGCCAAATTGGGTACCGGTTTCGATTGTGCGTCTAGGGCTGAGATTGACCTGGTACTCGGCCTTGGCGTGCCTCCGAGCCGTATCATCTACGCTCAGCCGTGCAAAACCAAATCGTATTTGCGGCATGCTCGAAAGGTCGGCGTGACTCAGATGACCGTTGATAACACCGATGAGCTTCGGAAGATCAAAGAGTGCTATCCGGATGCCGAACTGGTCCTTCGTATCTTGACGGACGATTCAGCCAGCCTGTGCCGATTCAGTGCCAAATATGGTGCCAGCCTGGATGACGCTCAAGAATTACTCCGGCTCGCGAAGAAATTGGAATTGAATCTCATTGGTGTGAGCTTCCACGTTGGCTCTGGAGCGAGTGACCCCAACTCTTTTGGGAAGGCGGTCAAAGATGCACGCATCGTCTTTGACCAAGCATCTGAGCTCGGTTTGGACCTCAAAATGCTCGATGTGGGGGGGGGATTCGTCGATGAAACATTTGAGATGTTTGCCCACAACCTGAACGAGGCACTAGAAGAGCACTTCCCACCTCATATCCGTATTATTGGAGAACCCGGTCGGTACTATGCCTCCAATGCCTTTACTCTTGCCACCAATATCATTGCAAGACGTGAAGTCGCCATTGATCCTCAAGGTGGCAAGGGTTACATGCTCTATCTGAACGATGGCGTCTACGGGAATTTCTCCAACATCATTTTCGATCACCAACATCCGGTCCCACAAGTCCTCTCCGCCGCTTCGGCGGATGAGAAACTGGTGGAGTACTCGATCTGGGGACCGACTTGTGATGGAATCGATGTCATCAGTGACCGTTACTTTTTGCCCGGAGTCCTCGATATTGGAGATTGGTTGTTCTTCGAGAACATGGGAGCATACACCAAATGCTCCGCTACCAAGTTCAATGGATTCACGGATGATCACGAAGTCATCTACATCTCCAGCGAGCCCGGAGCCTCTGCCCTGCTTGGTTATTGAAGACTAAGAAGGTATTCACTCAAGTTCCCAATGAAAAAGCGTGCTGGAGCCAACTGTCAGGCCAGTGGGGGATTTCTTCAACTGTTATCGCACACTCCCTTTTGATCTTTTTGGGGACCCATAGATTAGACTAGACTTCTCCCTGCAAGAGGGATGATTCAATTCACCTTTCACTTGATCATGTACCTTTCCCCTATTGCAGTCCTGCTGGCCACTGAACGGTGACGGCAGAAGTAACCATCTTCCCACGAGCAAGGTCTACTACAAATTGCCTGATGCTTGATCAATCATGGTTCGGTCCAAGGCACAGCATCACGTGGGCGAGTTTGAAAGGGCCGTATTGACACCAACATCCCAAGATCCCAGATCTAGCCCAATCGAAATCAACGGCCCAGCATGTTGCTTCATCACTCGTTCCTTTTTCACAAAGTCAACATCGTTTTCAACTTTTCCTTTCATTGCCGACATTGGCATTAGTCTCCTAACTGTGCACCCGGCCGGTACGGCTTCAAGATGGCGCCAACTCCAGTCACGATCATTACTGGCTTCCTCGGCAGCGGCAAGACGACGCTGATACTGAATCTCATCCCGCAGTTACCAAAGACGTACAAAGTGAGTCTCAATCTCCGGCCCGATGTGGAATTGCCACTCCTCCGCCCCCACGCAATGGGCAACACAAAGCGAATCATCATTGCCTGAAGAAAAATCCATGTGAATATTCCCTTGTCCTAACAAAACCCCGTAGCTGGCCCTTTTAAAAAACGAGTTCGGTGATCTTGCAGTGGACTCCCAGCTTGCCGGCTCAGCCTCAATCTCCGGTGTCCGCGAACTTTTAAACGGTTGCATCTGCTGCAATTTGGTAGGCCAGCTGAGCGAGGCCCTATTCCAACTCCACGATGAGGCTGCACCCAGCCGAATCATCATCGAGACATCCGGTTCGGCATTCCCTGCCACTCTGGCGTTGGAAGTCAATCGGGTGGCGCGGGAGAATCCGGGAACATTCACACTCGACGGGGTCATCAGTGTCATTGACGTGGAAAATTGGAAAGGCTACGACGATACCAGTTACACGGCAAAAATGCAAGCCAAGTACACGGATTTGATTGTATTCAACAAGTGGGAATTGGTGGATGAGAGCATGTTCGAGGACGCATTGGATCGGGTGGGGGATTTGGATGTCCAAGTCGCCTGGGTAAAGAGTCAGAAGGGATGGGTCGATGTGGACGTCGTAATGGGAATCGACGGGGCCATGGTCCGCGAGCAAGGTCTCCGAGGAGCCATCGAGGCTCACGACGAGCATCATCACGACAGCCACGGACATGCACACGACCATCATCAGGAAGAAGTCGAGGTTCTCAGCGTCGTCTGCTACCACGAAGACATGTCGAAGCCGCCACCTGGCGTGGTCTTAGAATCCTTTGAAGATCTCCTCCTGTCCGCACCAAAAGACGAAGTCTACCGCATCAAAGGCCTCGTATTATCTTCGAAACCACCACCCGACTCGACCGGCGACTCTAAACCCAGCATTGCCGTCGACTCCGAGGGCAAGAGTCTCTACGTGTTAAACTGGGCCTTTGGCCGGTGGACGTACGCCCCTCTCCCCGGCGCGGCGTTCAAGGCGATGGAGAATGCCAGCGCTCGTCTGACGTTGATCCTAGCAAGAGGAGAATCGAGTAAATGGATACGAAGATTGGAAAAGGGCTGGTTCATCGCGCTGGAGGGAGCCGGCGGGAAAGAAGAGAAGGGCATGCTGAAAGTGGAGAAGATAGGCTGAAGCGAACGGGCAACAAAGCTGGGTTGAGAACACTCTTGACAGGACTTTTCCTCCTCTCGCGCCAATGGGTTCCGTGCTCGATTTGATCGCAGCCTCGGCCGCGGCACGGCCACGTACCGAACGACCAATTCGTTTATATTCACATGTAACGATCTTCACAGCCGGCGACCTCTTCCTGGTCTGGCCTCGCTCATTAACTAGAACGTCCAGCATGAAGAACGGCAGGGCCACAATCCGGTGAACCGAATACTACTGCAAACGAACGCGCTGAAATGTTATCCCACCAGCATTTACTTGACCAATTGGGCATAGACTAGCAAAGATGGAATGAATAGAAAGATACTCTTTTACCTTGTGCACAGATCGGTCCCCCAGAGAGATTTTGGAGCTTCTTTGATGATGATACCCGCTAGAGGAATACAAATGAGGGACATGGGACGCCTTTCAGAAGACTCTCTACGGAACTTCGCCTTTTCGTTGAATGAAAACGAGTACATACCACTGAACTACCTCCTTTGCTAGTCAGGAGCTTGTCCGAGAACATCGAAAGGGGTACGAAGATTCTGAAATGCATTCAGCAGTCATATCACCGACGCCTACCTGGGCACCGCCTAAATAAACAATCGTGGACAACGTGCTGTCTTACATCCTGTTCTTATTTCGTGCCTACCTCCTAAATTCCGCACCCTTTTTTCCTTTGCTACTTCCATCCTCTCCTCTCCTCCGATTATCCACATGCTCGTCCACACACAAATACCTAAGATCCCTCCACTTATTTCTTCCTTCCATCGCACGATATCTCGTTCAGATTGACCTTCTCACAATAGTGCCCTAATCTCTCCCTTCCCATCTTTATCCAGCCCCAAAAACCTCACCACCTGGCCCAGATGATCAAAGCCCCAGAACCCCTCCACATTCCCCTGCGCATCCTCGCAGTGAAACCACGGCAATCCAAACGCCCCATCCTCCATTGCTTTATCGGTATTCTTGGCCAACTGGTTCTTGACCTCCGGCGTGTTCATCGCCGCCATGTTCTCCTTCACCACCTCTTCTCCCAGGACCTTGGCAAGAATCGGTCCAAAGACTTTCGGATCGGGGAGGTTGGCCTCATTGGGCTCGGTCCAGAGCGCCGCATACAGTGTATCGAGCGCCGGCGTCACCAGGTCGGGACGAGACATGTCCAATGCTGTGAGGAAGCGTTGGACGTGTAGTGTGGGCTTTGGAAAACCAGAAGGAAAGTCGGCGGACATAGGGATGTTGAATTGGCGGGCCCAGCGGGTGCGTTCTAGAGAGATCCATTTGTTTTTGTTGCGGATTTCGATGGGGGCGCGGTTGCCGCAGGCTTTCATCAACCCGCCCAAGAGAATGGGAACATAAGTGACTTGCACGGGCCGGAAGACGGGAGAGTTCTAAGAGGAGGAAATTAGGGATAATTGCAAAGAGAACGGGGCGAAAGTAGTAGAGATCGGAGTCTGGTCTTCAGGCCTTCTATCAGAGTTGCAGTTGGAGCACAAAGGGAGAACAAGACACCCATGATCCATCCTTCACACATGATATCCAAGTCAGACACCTTAAAAAGCACACAAAAATCCATCTTGTGTTCATCCGCAGAGAAAATGAGCCGATGACGACGTTGAAGGCCTCACCGCTGGGGTTGGGGGAAAGGACAGCGCCATACAAGCAGGAGAGAAGCGAAGCAAGAACAAACGAGGCTCTAAGACTCACCCGTAGCATGTAATACCCCAAATACGCAAATGGACTAACGATATCGACGTAGAGCGTGATCTTGGGTCCAGCCATCTCTGCCCCTACTCTGCACCTTGGATGGGACTCGGCGTGTTTGGTTCAACAATCAAATCACTCCTTTCTCGCTCTGCCGACACCGGTTCTGGACGTCCCGATGTGGCAGGTGGTATGCTATGGTGCGTGTTGATTGGGTCTTTTTGAGTGAGGGTTCGCTCGAACTGGGTTGAACTAGTCGAGTTGAAGCCGAAATGTATGACAACGTCAAGAATATTACCTGTTTCGGCTCTTCGTTTGCCTTGTACCGATTGACGTTGTTGGTTGACTGGCTCGATTCCTTGATTCGAGAACCAAATCTTCAAATGCCGAAATCGATGGCGTCAGTTCTGGGGTGAATGGCGGGATCGATTAGTATTCCCTTTTGTGTGTTGATCTCGACATATATGTCCGGCGCATTGCAGATGCAAAGTAAAGTCGATCGACGAGGTTCAATCGGTGTAATCCTTGGATAGGTACCTCACTCTCGATCCGACCCCAGGAATCAGGATGTCTTCGACCTCAGGTGTGCTTCTTTTCTCGACAAGGTGATGTTATATTCCAGCTCCCCCGCGTAGAAGACTTGCGCTGCTTATGTAAGACCGACACGTCGAACACCTATTTGGACGCCCGATGCAGAGGTCAAGGTGGTTCAATATAAATGCTCCGATATTGCTGTTTCCGGGTCGATACACGGCTGCTCGGCTACTTTCTCGCATGCTGGGCTGAGATGTGGAGATGACGATACCGAGGCTCAGGCCGCGAAAGAGTCTTTTCGGTTACGGGTATCGAGTTCCATGAATGCGGGGGAACGCTTTGCGTGGGATGCCGCACGACAAAAACGGAAGTACAAGAGCGGGTTAGGATAAGAATTAAGGATAAGACATGGACGCAGGGGTCAAAGGAGATCATTCGGAGATCATTCCATGATCACCGTCATGACGGCATTAGCTGCCCCGCGATCTATGATCGTGTTGGCTATGTTCCTTTGCAGATTGCGAGGTCCTCGGTCCATATACGACCGCATAGAGAGCGCGACGAGTGGCCCATGCTGGGCCAGACAGAGTTAAACAGGCAAAGCATGAAGCGAAAGTCGGTTCAATGAAAATGATGATCCTGATTCAATTGCTAAGTAGTGTATGGTCATATCGACGCGACCAAGAGGCTGCAAAGTGGAGGGTGCCCACCTATAGCCTATGCCGTCGTCCTATACCGAATTCTTTCTTGTGAGACCAGTTGTCATTCAGGAAAACTTGGTGTCTTTGTCCTTGACGGGCAGCTCGGAACCCGTGGCAGACTTGTCTGCGTTTTGTGCACATCATGTCAGCAACCGGAGGACCAAACACAGCCATCCATCTATGTCGAGGGCGTTGCACGCTCACATTGGTCTCGGATGAAATCACTGATCTGCTCATCTTTGGCTTGCTCAATGGCACTCTCATTGTCTTGAGGTCCTTGCTTGAGGAATTTCTCTTGCACATAGTCGACTCCTACAATCACACCTCCGATCAGTATTTTGTTCTTCATCACAAGGTCTCAATGCCAGAACGGAGGTCAAACCCTTGTCAAGCATATCCTCATTCTTCTCGCCCTCCTTTCCACCACCCGCCGCTGAGTTGAGTTTGTCACCTAGTCCACCGAGAAAGTTGCCCCCTCCAGAGCTGCCCTGGTGACCACCTTCTTTGTTCTCATTACTTCCTGCAAAGCTGCCGAGGGCACCTTTGAGTTGATCCATGATATTGCCACGGAGGAAGGATACTGTTGGGAATTGAGGTTCTGAAGGAAACCGGTGATCGTAAGGGTGACCGAGGGCCAAGGAGTTAAAGGACGGAGAAGACGTTAGCAGAGGGAGTGACAACTAAATACCAAGTCACACGAATGATGGGAGAAAGAAAGAGCAAAATTCAACGATCGAGATTAAGTGAAAGGAGGGGCAACATAGGTAACACAACAGCTGAAGATTTGACTAAACGAGACGTCAGAAGTGGTTTTGGATTCCAGTTTGATTGTCAAGGTGCAGCCAAGTTGCTTAGACTGCAGAGATACAGGATGGACTGAAACCTTGATATGAACCTTCAGCACCAGAAAGGTCAGAACCTGGTAGCAGAAGAAGCAAGAGGCAAAAGAGGGAGCACTGGGAGCATCCTTGAAGAGAGCAGCGAATCAACTAGAAGGAGGGGCCAGCCACAGGACCCCTCCAGCCAATGATGCGGGGTGACGTGGGCCAAGACAGAAAAAAATCCAAAGGTAAAATGGATCCGAAGTTCAGCTGATGGCAGGTTATCGCCGGTACTGAGGTACATCGTCCTAAAACGCATAGCCTCAGCCTTATCCCTTTCAACTTGACCTCCGTCAAGCTGAACAATTCGTAGCAAACATTGACCATAGCCTCGCCGCAGTTCATTCCTCTTTTTCCGCACCTTCACCCTCAATACTCAGCAGACTCCTTCTCCTCTCGGCCTCATTGCTTTCCTCTTGATCAATCTCTTTCTCCCAATCCTCCACGACCTCTTGCTCTTGAGCCATGACCTTCAATTTCTCCTCATTCTCCTGCTTCTTTTTCTTTGCTTCCGCCAACCGACTTCCCAACACCGTGAAAACCGGTCTCTGCCCCATGGGTTGGATTTGAGATGCCTGAGCAGGTGCAGCCTTCTTCGCCGCTACCTGGGACCATCCGTTGATCGCCGCATGGCTCGGTTTACCTGGGTGTTGAACGACTTTAGGCTCGAATCCAGATGTGTCGAACTGACAAAGCACCACTGACGCAGCTAGATGGTGTTTGATCACCTCGCCCGCAACTATAGGTTGCAGGCTCGTGAGCAACGTGGTCAATTGTTCAGAAGTTTCCCAAGACGTAGAAGGAAGCAGCGCAACACCGTCGTCGTTCGATAGGAAAATGATGTCAAACTCTGGAGCGGGTGCTGACTTCTTGATGAGCGGCCGCAGTTCATCTTCGGTCAAGGCAAACTTGGGTTTGGTCAACAATAATCCATTGTAGTCGTGCCTGACTTCATCTGCTCGGCGTTCGGGTGTCGAAAGGATTGGGGCGGACACATTTAACTGAGAACGCTTAATCCTCGCCGCTTGCGCCAACGTCTTCATGGGAGCCGACACGAATTTAGGCGTCTTGAACAAGAGGACATGTCGATGGGGTTCGGGATCCAGACTTTCTCCATCAAACCCAAAATCGGCGGCGATACTGTGGAGAAATGCTCTCTGTCGACTCTTCATCGGTTTGAATCGATATCTCTTTTGCGTCTCATCAGCTGCGAATAATCTCAATATTTCTTCCTGCTTATGAGCCCATGCCACGTCCTGCAGATACATATTCAAAGTGGTTGTCGAATATGGGACATGATCATCAGCGTGGTCATCCGAAATATGCAAGGCCCGTGCCAGATTTCGGTTTCGCTCCAGCCTGGCACATTCATCGTCGCATTTCAGCGAAGTTTGTCGCCCGGGAGGTTCCGGGACATGGGCGCGGGTATTGCATCTCACTTCTTCTTTCTTTCGCTGACAGTCGCAAGTGATCATCACCTTGAAGGGGCATGCTCTATCCTCCTTACAAGCGGACGGGGCGTGACAGGGTCGTTCACAAGGATGTCCACAAGTTTTCTTGGCCTTTCCACACTCCTGTTGACAATGCTGATGTGCGTCTTCGCAATCTCCCGGCTTATGACAAGTCTTGCGGCAGGTATGTGATCCACACTTGAGGACCTTCCCACATGTCAAGCCGCACAGAACGTCCGAACGCCAACACGGCTGATTCTTCAAAGTCTTCTTCCCACAGAGACAGTCTTTCTCGGTAAGAAATGGGCATTTGGGGCAATCTTCCTTTTCTGGATGGCAATTGTGTGCGACCGGAGGATGTCCACAATCTTTGACCTGGGTGCACGGAAAACGGCACGATGGAGGCCGGGTACCACAGGGCAATGGCGCTTGAAGCACAGTCCTACCACAGCGGCAAGAAATATCGTCAAAAACGGCCTCTTTACAGCTGCCACATGGTCCTCGATGACAAAGGTCGGTACAGTCGTGATTCCCACATTTGAGCTTACGCCCACATACTCGGGTGCAAATATGCTCCGCTTCGACGTTGTCACTCAATGCTCTAGTGACGGCTCCGAGGGGTTTAAGCTTTCGTTTCGTAGCTTGACGTTCTGAAGCTTTCTTTTCCCCAGGACAGCATCGTTCACCGCATTCATGTCGGCCACAGTTCAGTGTTGCTTTGCATAGACGTGTACATTGAGGAGGCTCATCCATTGCCTCATGGCAAGTAACATCACATGAGTTGCGCCCACATCGACAAGATATTGAGACTTGGAGGGTGCAAGGTTTGCAATCCCCTGGATGGCAGATTTGTGTGCATTTGTGACCGCATGACAATATTCGGCCACATTCATTCCGGCAGCTCGGAATCGGATCAGTACAAGCCGTCCGGGGTTCGACATCGAGCTGGGTTAAAGGAACTTTGCCACAAGGGCAGTGTGTAACAACATCCACTGATCGTGGGCAGTGCGGTGTCGTCGAATCTCGAGGGTGGCAGGTCTTTTCACAACGATGAATACCGCAATCCATAAGATTCTCACACCGCTGACCGCAATCAAAGCAGCCAATCCATCCCGAACTTTCTTTCTCGTCTCCTTGGTCTTTGCATTGAAGTTTCTCTTCGACCTTGCCACAATAACAACGAGCATCGATCTCCGTAGTACAAGCGCCACAGAATCCCTCATGACAAAGCCTCTGACAAGGATGTTCACCACAAGGCATTATATCGCCACAGATAGAACCGCAGCTCCAACCCGTTTCATAGTTGGTTTCAACACATCGTCTTGTGGTGTCTTCCTTGCCGCAGAAACAGGTTTGCTTTGGCCCCATAGCGGAACATGGTGGACATGGGCCAGCATGGCAGAGAAGATCACAAGGATGCGGGCATAGTTTTGGAAAGGCTCGTTCTCGACCGCATGTCTGCCCACAGGAATGCGGTGGTATGCCAGCGATTGGTTTTGGATCCAGTTCTTTCTCACACCAACATGTGTAGACAGATGGATACGTGTCTTTGGGCAGATTGCAACCCGGACATCTCCACTGCTTCCGTGCGGGTGCCTCTTCGTCATCTTGGCCTCCAGACCGATGTACGGCCGAGCCTTCATTTTTGGACCATCTCTTTATGCAACCGATATGGAATACCGTCCAGCAAGTCCGACACGACCATACTTTGGAACCGCGACTGATCTCGTTTGTACATATTACACATTCATAAATGCCGCGGGATATATCTTCCTGAATCCTCGTAGCAATATCTGGGGCCGTGGAAGGGGACAGCGATTCTCTTCCCCGATTCTGGGGCGGTGTCCGAGCTGGAGTCGTCTTGTTACGGCGAGGAGGTTGTGACCGAGGGTTTCTTGGTTGAGGATGTGTGGGAGGAACGATAGACACTGAGGCCGGTGTAAATACCGGTGCTTCGACACGCAGTCGCGTGAGCTGTCCACCAAATGGTCTCGCAGCTGGATTTCTACCGGGAAGGGGAGCATCTTGTGTTCGGGGAGGCCGCGAGCGTCCGGCACTGCCTCCGCGTCTGTTTCTTTGACTTCCGTTACTCGGTCCCGAGGTCTGTTGTGTTGTAGGTTCTTCCATGCTTTTGAGGTGTGGCGAGGATAATCGTTCTCTGTGTCCGCCAGAACAGACGGGCAGAGGGGCAAACCAATACGTAGGTTTGGGATGGGGAGGAAATTGGGCTTCAAAAAAACAGCCCAAGAGACTTGATAAAATACCACAGACAAAGCGGTGCAGACAAAACAGCGTAATTTAATGGAATTGGAGCAGAAGAAAGCGAAGTTCTCTGGCGGCTTCTATTTGTCGGCACGTCATGGGCTGTGCTTCAACTCCGCTTTTGATGGGAGTCACGACAAGGCTGACCAATCGCATTTATTTCAAAGCGAAGTGCAAGCTCTTACCAGCGACCAAAGGGAGAGTTACATCGCCATTTATGACCAGTTCCAGGATTGTATGACTCCCATCTGCCTTACGCTAGCTTACACTCCTTACTCTCACCCTGATATCGACAATTACTGGAAAAACCACCCGAAATCGGTTTCCATTGGCTAGAAGGGTTGGCCGCCCTCTTGCCGAGTCCCCCAGTCAACTACCTGAATAGAGTACATTTTCTGAACGCCATGCATTGAATATGATCATGCAAAACCACGTCCTTGCTCTGCACCGTGCCTTGATGGTTTCGCTTAGTTGACCTCAGTGCCGTACCCTCTAATTTGGTCCGCAAACGCCCAGCTTTGGTCCTCGAGCTTCTCGTCTTGTTTGAGTTCGACTCCGTCTATAGTCACCACCGCCATGCTGTATCTATCTATACTCCGGGCGTCTCTGTAGAAAAGCACTTTCATGCATTCCTTGACAGCATTGACAGCCTGCTCTTTTGTCACATCCTTTACACTTTCCTCGTCATGCGGCATCAGCTTTCGTAGCAGAGGTTGCGCCAGATGTGCGCCGAATCCGGTGGCCAATGTCGGGCTTGAGAATGTGGTCCCCAGCAAATCGGCGCTCGCGAGGAACGGTCTGTCTTCATCGTCCAGACCAGCCACCAACAGCATGTTCCACAGTGGGTTGAAGTCGCTTCTCCTCTTGTACAACACTTTTGACAAGTAAGTATGAAGATTTCGTGCATTCAGTGTGTGCTCGGCGGAAGACAGGTAGTTTTCTCGGATGTCGAGCGAGGATAGGAGTCGGTCAAGGTATTGCATGTCGGATACGTCGCCACCAAATCCAATGACGGTATTCGGTGGGAATGTTCTCAGACGCTTCACGTCCGTGAATCTGGCCAGAGAGCCATAGGAAGCTGAATAATTGTGTTAGCCAACTAAAGTCGGGGGACGAATGTTGGCGGCATGTACCCAAGTTGTCTGCAGCGATAACAACGCCGTCTCTAAATTTGACTCCTAATACCGAGGTACCGGTAACTGCTGGCGATTGTGTGTGAGTGTTAGGTATAGAGGTCTGGAGGCGAGACGAGTCATATGGACCGTAAATATCGTCTCGAGGCTTCTCACGTTAGTCGTATTCATCGCATGCATCGGATGGACTATTCACAGACCCGACCCCAGGCTTGAGGGTAGTGATTCATTTTGAAGATTCTGTGATAGAAGAATCGAAATCAGGAAAGTCGATGATCGTGGCTTGTGATGAATGAGGAGTTGGCGACGAGAAGTATTGAAGATTTGTTTGACGGCCCAGGCTGATACAGCTGCGTACTGTGGCTGCGTACCATTGGTGCGTGAGTTTACGCGGAGTAGGGGTCTTTTGGCGGCTCACTATGCGCTTACCGGATATGGTGCTTCTATATTAGAGACGAAAAGTAGTAATATCTAATGGTCCCCAATCTGAGTTCCACAAGACATCTTAATATTTTGTTCAGCTCCTACTGTACGTCCCATACGACATAGAGATGATTCAGTCTCCTGAACTCTCACATGGGTATCTTCCAAGCCTCCTTGTCATAGCTCTTGGGCCATATACCGTTCTTCCCTGGAGCCAAAATACCCCGGGGATCCAAAGCATTCTTGATTTTCTCATTCAACTTCATCTGTGCATTATCATTGAAGTTGTACGTCCCAGCAATTTGATCCATCAGTGCGAGATGTGTCCGATACTCTCCCCAACCTTGCTTTGCTGCATCATCAACAAGCGTACTAATGAGTTGGTGTGCCCGGCGCCGTTGTTCGCGATCCTTGCGATTGAAAACAATGCAGACGATATGGTGCATTTCACGCATACCCACAACAAAAGTACCAATGAAGTCGAATCCGAATTCATGGCTGCGGCGACGAGTCAGTTGATACTGTGCGACAGCATCATCACCAGAAACTTTGGCAATGGGGCTGAAGAATAAGTGTGCTCCGTTAGGTAGCCAGTCAACCCATTTCAACTCCGTCATGGTCGGGATACCCTGCAATGTAAGATTCCGTGTCTGAAGAACCGTATTCTCGGGCATGTCTTCGGGGAAATAAAATTTAGCTCCAGGGATCGTTGAGAACGATGCCTTCACCACTTGCCACATCACTTCTCTGACCGGGGGAGGGCCATACAATGCACCATAAAAGTTCCAACGGCCCAGGTTCAGTTTCGTAGCTATCGCGTCAAGCTCTGCGTCTGTCAAAGGCTTGTCTGAGTTCGAGTAGGTCTTTCGATCTCCCTATATACAGATCAGCGATGCTTCTGTCATGTGTGGGAGTATCCCACTTACCATGACTGCGGCGTCGAGCAGGATATGACGAAGGGTGGGCACATTTTGCAGCACCATTCCGACTCTCAAAGGCCGGATAATTTCAATGGCCTGATGCAGATCCTCGTCCCGGGGTATAGTGACCAGATAAGATTGGTATCCACCAGGGTTGGCCATGAGCCATATACCCATCTTGACGATAACACCTGAATCACTGTCAGAGAGGGTATGGAATAGAACGACATGTTACGGACCAAGGGACGACTGAGTGAATATTCCATCGTTGTATGGTCCAAATCCATAATTGAAAAGCTGCCAACACTTGTTCGCCGGTTGTTCATGCGGAGGCAAACTCGGATCGCCATTGGGATCTGGTAATGCGCCCATTCCAGTCCGAATAAGACTCCCATCAGGAAGCACGACCTCCAGTCCACAATGCATCATCCAGTGATCACCATAAGGCTGTTTAAGCAAAGATCAGCAATGGAAAATTCTTTTCCACCCTTTAAGCGGTACGAACCGTATATCCAACACCTCTTTCGCAGGTGTTCCCCAGGACCGAACCACCTCCGAGATCTGGAACATCAACCCAGAGCTTATCTCGAAGATTGTTTTTGACAAGATACTCATGCAAGTCCGTAAACGTGACGCCAGGCTCGACGAGAGCATATGCCCCGTCCACGTCCACATTGAGAACCTTGTTCATGTTTCTGCCCATATCAAGACCGATACTACCGGGAACTCTGGGTGCAGCTCCACCGTAGCCGACGTTTCTGCCGATGGAAAACGGCCACACTGGAATCTCGAATTCATTGCAAAGCTTCATGATATCTTGAACATCTCGAACGTTTCGTGGGGCTACCACTGCCGAGCTGACAAAGTAGTCTTCGTCAACGACATAGAACATATCATGGACTTTGCTTGGGTCCATGTAGCTCTCTTTGTCCAACTCTTCGGTTTTAGTAATGACAGTGACATTTTCAGAGCCAATGACGTCTGCAACACGCAAGGTAAATTTCTTGAAAGTCTGGGAGTCTATTCCAGGAGGCAACACCAATGGATCACCCGCATTTCTGGGGAAATCTCCATTGGGTCTTCTGTACGCTCTAGGCTCATTATTCGGATCACCCATGTTGAGTGTGCTTTGAATTGCGCTTGAATGAAATCAAAGTCAAACTCCTTCCAAGCTATCCACACACCTCGGTATATATACGGAGGCGGTATCAGATCAGTCTTGTAAAAGGCATCCAGCCAAAATGATCGGGGGGTTATTCCGTGACGAGCTCCCGTGGCGTGACCTTCGAGAAACTGTCATGAATAGACACTGTCCCTGGAAGTGACATGTGTATCTGAAAATGTGGAGATGGGAGGCGGAGTAGCGGGGGCAGTGACAATCCCGAGACTTAAGTAAGTCCCCCCTGAAGTCCAAAATCTATCTGTCAATCACTGCGCCCGGTAATATGGGCTACGTGTCAGGACTAGACTTCGCATGGACTCTCTTCAGTATATTACCCGTCCCTTTCGTATGCGGTGAGGACACCGACAAAACGCAATATGTACAAGGGGTTGCACTCAACCGGCCCCACAATGTCGAGCATTTTTTCCCCATCTCACTCAATGATCATTTATCTAGGCCGATAAGACCATCTGTTGCATGATAGCTCGAAGTCTATGTTCCTGGCACTGAGGGGCCTGTTCAAGATCTAGGGTAACGATAGATATCTCAAGATATTGATGGAAGCCGGGATGAGGAAGATGCCATTGACGATGAATTCGTTCTTCCGGCACTGTAGAGTGAGCAAAGCGTTAGACCTAGATTCATCTCGATTAAGGGGGAATCTCCCATTCGGATTTCTTGATCCTAACTGGTCAAACGGTACCAATTGTGGCGCGGGGCGACCTCTTCATTGGCCAACATAGAAGCAGCCCATCTTTCTGTGTCGCTTCCAGCATTTTGCGCAGGTCAGAATTCTTAGTGCCGAGACTAATGATCAGTTCACGGTATGCTGTGGCAGTGTCTGAATCCGACGAAAGCCCATGTGTGCGCCCGGTTCCTCCTCGTTGACGTATTCAACCCAAATGATCGGTCTTGTCCACAACGCCAAAGCTAAGTAGTTGTGTCCTGGTAGAAAGCCATGGTTAAAGATGCAAAATTTAGTCTACCTACTTGGGCTCCCACGACGAGCAGGTGCCAGAACAGCCTCGAATGCACAATCGCGCTTGAAAAAGTTCCACGAGAGCACCTCAGCCCTGAGATAGTTTCTCATTGGGTAAACCTCAACATGTCTAGAAGAACACCCCCTATCTAGATAGGTGAGATTTATTAAGACGCAGCATCCGGATTCAGGCAACTAGTTCTGAGTCCAAGCAAGACTTTACCTACTTGGGTACCCTTGTTAAAGGGGACCGTGGCACAGCCGTGCCGTTGACAGAGCACTGAAAACCGGAAAGAACATTAGAGGGATTACAGGTCAATTTACGGGAAGGGCGACTATCAGAGCCATGGGAAAAATCATCTGGTCCTGGTAAACTCCGGAGTCAGCCGCATGTTTGAGCAATACGGCTGGTGTGCTCGCGAAAGGAAGATCATCAACGACCCAACAGAAGGTGAAAATTGTGTTCTCTTCTTGAGCGCACAATAGATTCGATGAGACGTTAGGGCTCGTCATAACAAATGTGACATGGGACGTATCAAGCATATCAAATCAATGATTCGAAATACTAGACGGCCCATGTGCACAGCAACTGCGAATGCGAGTTCATTGGTGTCGGCAAGGCCGAACATGGAAGAGAGAGTACGCCCACCAAGATAGTAAACGAAGTACCTAACTTGAACTCCACGCTGTAACTGCTGTTTTCACGTAAAATCCACTCGTATGTGCATTCGTTAAATGTCCAGGCCATTCCATATGCAGGCAAATGTATCCCGCACCCTCCAATCCCAAGACAGAATCACCAAAAAGGAGATCCCAGATCTCCAATACCGATGGAGGCTGTCTCATACATTGACCAGCGTGGGCGACCGAGGCTCCTTGCCCGCCGCCTCCAGAAAATCCTCCATGGCATCGACCACGACCTGATGATCCTCATGTTGCTTCAGACCGCTCACGACAATCACGCCGACGACGCCCTCAACACCGTGTACCCTCACTGGCACACCTCCGCCATGTATAGCGTACTCCCCCGCGGACTCGCCGAGCATATACTTCTTCTTGAACGCCTCCTCGTCGCCGTGCATTTTATTATGCATGAACCACGTGCTCACGCCCCATCTTTGGACGGTCTTTCTCTTCCTTGCGATCCAGATGTCGTTGTCCGGCTGGACGCCAGGGCGCGACACGGCGTGGAAGAGGAGATTATTGCTGTTGGCCAGCGTGATGTTGACGACGGCAGAGAGTTGGGATAAGGCACGCAGTCTGTTACGGATAGACAGGCCGATTTCGAGCGCATCGTCGGCTGTGAAGTGTGGGAGGATCAGAGCCTCCTCTTGTTCGGCGATTGCAGAGAGCTGCGAAAGAAAATTAATGTGAATTTCTGGGGACTGCTAGTTTCGTGCGGTTGCGTACGTCTCGAGGTGCCTCACGCAAGATTGGGCCAGCCTTACCTGTGGAGAAGGCCATGGCCAGTTTGTGCAACCAATGGTCGCGTGTAATACAGAGAGAATTTGTTTAGATCAATCAGAATCGATTTGGAAAAAGATCAGAGGGAGAGATTTTCCCCGCTCCTTTGGGTGAAATCATCCGTCGTCCGACCAGTCAGCGACCGTTAGGGTCAGGATTCCCCCAACATCCAGAAATTCATGCCCATCATGCTGCTCTTTCGCCCTGATCAAGCTGGGCGAATCGATTCTCGCTAGGTATCCATCCTACTTATTTGCCAAAGCCGTCCCCTCTTTCGAATTTACGGCAATCGAACATGATACTCTGAATTATTTTCGGCTCCATATGGGTGCCCTTGGCGCATTTCCGAGCCTCACAGAACAGGAATTCTTCGAGGCGTGCCAGTCTCTCGAATGCAGGAGTTCGGATAAGATAAACGACACGGATTGGTTGAGCGTAAGATGGACAGGAAAAGAACTCCTGATCAAGCAGAAGCGGAAACTTTCAGATCAGAATCACCAAAATCCCAAGGACGATGACGAGGCAAATCGTGACGACACGATTGAGGAGGGGATGGAAGACACAATCTATCATAATACCGTATGGAAGGTTTTGATTTGGTCTTCGTCGCACTCCTCGCACTAACTGGGAGCTGCAGCTTGTCCCCAGAGGCAACGGCTCGGATTTCCTGATCGTCGATTTTTCCATCACCATCTCACCAACTTATCAAGTACCTGTGCTGTGGTTCTCTTGCCACTTTGGACTGGACCAAAAGCCGTTGAGCCTCGACCAAGTGTATCGCTGGATGGTCCCTCAGACATTACACGATTCATTGCGTCGCGTCAGCGTCATGGGGGGAATCAGCATGGCGGTAAGATGGCGACGGTAGAGAAATTCCCCACTCGCTGACTTTCCCAGCATCATCCAGTCTCGGATCTACCAGCCTTCTTCCTCCATCCATGCAACACACCCGAAGCTCTTTCAGTACTCAGGCCGGACGAGCCTTTGACTCCAGAAGGATATCTGATTCTCTGGCTCGGTCTGGTCGGCTCTGTGGTGGGCCTGCATGTTCCTAGTAAGCTTTTTGACCACGGAGTAGGATAGGAACCTTTGAGAACCTTTGGATCCTGTAGGAGGATTTTCCAGCTCTCCTTGACTTGGACAAAAGCATCCTGACTATCTGGTCGGCTCTCCAAAAACCTGTCCCATCAAGGTATTGGGATGAGACTATATGCTTGTCGCGAAGAACCATCTGAGGTTTGGGTGTGCGATCCCGCTATCGAGATCATTGATGTGCTCACGCGAGAACCGTTCGTCCCATGCATTCCTCAATCGTCCTCATCCTCTTCCATCGGCGCATCATCTTCATCCTCTTCCATTGGCACTTCATTCTCTTCCTCCTCCTCCTCCTCCTCCTCTTCTTCACGCGCTCTCTTGGTCCCATGGGGCAAATTGTCAGGAGCTGTTTCGGTAGCCTTCACTCCGTTCTCGATTGGTTTGCTTGGGATTCCGGCCCCAGGAGGGACATCAAAGATGGATTTCTGTGGCAGTGTAGATTCGGGAACCGACTTTACAGGGGCCGGTGGTTCAAACGTCCCTCGAAGTTTCGGAATTATCTGTGATTGTCCCTTGGCGTAGACAATAACCTATATACCCGACAAAGTTCAAGGTCAACAAATGTGATTCGCCTAAGACATGGAAATGAAGCACACGTACCATCTCCTTCCCGAAAAGGTCGAATCCTTGTAACGCTCGCATAGCTTGAGTACTCGTCTGTATGTCGCGAAAGACAATGTGTGCCTGGCCACGCATGCTTTGGCCTCTGGATCCGATTCGCGTCGTCACTATGTCCAGGACAGGTCCATACGTCGAAAAGAGCATGTACAGAGCGCGTTTTAGTTCGTTCTTGTTGATCGAGTCGTTCAGATTCTTCAAATATAATCTAATAACACGTCAGAGAGTGTCTAAAACCTCAAGAAAGCAGAACGGAAATACTCACGTCTGGTTTGGTGTTCCCGCATTTTGAGAATCTTTGTCTTTAGAGGCAACTTGGGCCGGCTTCGTAGACATTTGCTGGGGGTTGGAGGGCAGGCGTAATTTGGTACAACTGGAGTTGAGTGCCTGGGTTCTTCGATCAGGAACAAGTTATTTCATCATTCTCGTCCGGCAAATGTAGAGTTCCCACCGGCATCGAAGCCTGAGATTTCAAGGTGCCGATGGAAAATTTGGCTTGGTCTCGGAAATATGTAAATCCGCTCCGAGATTTATTGGACTCATACCCCCCACCGATACAGTGGATAATAAAAAAATGAACCATGGTTTTATTGTGGCATTTCAAATTTTGGCACGATGACCCTTCTTGTTCTATCTAGGGCTATTGAGCTTCAGGTGTTACTTCTGGCTCCAGAGCCCGCAGGTGCAATATATTGAGCGCCTTGCAAGGTCTTGCTCAAGGAGCTCATGACCCAATCTTGTGGTCAAATGGATAGCGCCCGGTTAGTTCTTCTCAACCGTTCGGCGTTCACTTTCCTCTGGAACGCTTGTGCTTCTTTTTAATTTTTCAACTACATTGTCCACTTTGATCTTGTCCTGTTCACTCTCTTCATCCAACTTGATATTTCTCATGAACCACATGATGATGAGGTTCGGTGCTGAGATCGCAGTGGCAGCTATGCCAAGCAGTTGTTGAGATTCCCGATAGGCTTGATCAATGGCATCGCGAGCAGGTGTCCCCGGTTCGAAGCTCTTAGCAGTAGGGAGAGACTGGAAGATTTTAGCGGCGCTGGCTCGGTCCTCCTGTGGCAGATAGTCCAGCAGTTTGTTTGGGAGTGTATTCCGCCAAATTGCACCGGCAATACTAGAGTCATAGTTAGCGAAGGCGAATGGGAAGGTCACAGAGGTAGGGGTGATTGTACCTGGTGCCAAAGGCGCCCCCAATGGTGGTAGACGCTTGAAAGATGCCCGTCGCTACCGCAACCTGTTGTCTAGAGACGACGGCTTGAACCGCGACCTGAGATCCCGTTTGAAGTAGTGCCCTACCGATGCCAATGGCAACTCGAGCGGCAACGAAAGCAGCTTCGTTGCCTTGTCCACCGCCGTTGTTGACAATGTATATTGAGACACCTTGGCCAATAAGCACGCAAGGCGGACCCATCAGCACCCACATCTGTGTCCTCTTTGTGTATTTCATCCCCACTGCAGCAAGAAGTGCCACGATCTGAAAAGCAACCCGCAGAGAGTTGCTATTCCACATTAGTGAAATGAAGCCTCGTCTCATCGTACACACTTACTCGATCCGAACAGCTTGACCGGGAGGGTAATTGGGAGCAACCTGCAGGTAGCTGGAGAAAAACACGTTAAAGAGTGAATGGCCCATGAAATCCAAAATCTGAATCAAACATCCAGCGATCACAGTCCGGTCCTTCACGATTTGATACGGCATTAGAGGCTTTCTCGCGAATTTGAGGTCCCAAGCCACGAAGAAGCCAATGAGCACAAAGCCGAGGACAAACATGGCAATGAACGATGCTTCTTTCCATCGATCAGGGTTGAAAGAGCCCGTCAACGCCAGAGGAATAAGAAGCAGAGACAAGCCTGCAGTTAATAGGAACATTCCGAGGAAGTCGAGTTCGGTCCAGATCAGGTGGAATGTCTTTTTCCAGAAAGGATCACTGTCCTTGCTATTTGCCACGCTGGCAAGGCTCTTCACCCATAGGCCATGACGTCGTGCTCTTTGTTGCAAGACAAACATTGTCACCACAAGAGGAATCGCAGCGAACGGCGTGACGATTGCCCAGATCCCGTAACCCCATCTCCAAGTGGAATGCGTGAGAAGGTTCTCTCCGATAATCGTCCCCACGTACATTGCCGGGAGGTTGGTGACGGTCTCTGGGAGCGTAGACCAGAATGCGCGGTTCACTAAGTTTGTAGCATCTGCCACGAAAACTTGCTGCATAATCAGGAAACCAGTACCGCCGATCGCATCGAAGATACCAGATACCTAAGTAATGTTAGCTCTCGGAACGACCCTTTACTGGATTCTCTTCCGAGCGTACGAAATACTGTCCAATATTTTGACTCGTCGCGTAGAGAACAAAGCATATGGTCGAGATAGAAAGGGATAGCGTGAACATCTCAGCCCTGCCAAAGGTCTAAAACATGTTAGTCAAACCATGGTTTATGATAGGATTCGAAGAGAAAAAGTACATCACTCAATTTGGCAATAATTGGAAAAGCACAGATACGGCTGATGTTGTTAACCACCTTGGCAGCACTCAGAGCTGAATGCTGCTTGAAGGAACTCGTGACGTAGGGATCGTAAACTGATTGTGAATAGTCGGAAAGGATGAGAACAAGGGTGGTGAGGAGCAAGCTGGCATGGCCTGTCAGTCCCAGAGCGTTAGCGTAGACGACGTTCGAATGGATACCCGGTAAAGGCTATAGTCAAGCTTATAGGTGACCATGCTTTCTTCAAGAGAATGGCTTTCTGAACCCCTGGCTGAATCGATTCAGGCTCGGAATGCAGAGACTCGGCATCACTGTGAAGTTCAGGAGGCTGATCCTGAGAAGTTGTTGTGGTAGCATGACCAACGGGGGATAATTTGACATCATTCATTGTGTTGGCCATCTCCAGCTTTGGGAATGCCGGAGATATGCTGAAAACAAAGAATCGGGGGTCGTGAATGAGAAGAACCTTGCCCCTAAGGGGCAAAGCCCATTTGATATATCATTTGATAGAGGCTACCATTTTACGCCCTTTAGTTCTTGGGCCACGTGGCAACAACTATTGCTCGCTTCGCCGTATTCTATCATGTCGATCCACCAGCCATGCTGTGAGAGCACACTAGGCGCAGCGAAACGAAAGGGGATGCAAAATTCCACTATCCCGGCAGGTCAGCCCACATTTTTTGGGTGTCGAACACTAGAAGACAATTTCTGCGACTATGCGACGCACATTTTGGAGACCAGACGTACAGAAACAAGGTCTTGTCCTTGGTCGTTTCAACAACATGAAGGGTATTGATCCTCGCACTTGCCGCCTGAACCGAAGCATGTCCGGTCTCGGACTGCAGACACAGTTCATTGAGACTTTTACAAGGTCAGGGTCTGCTAGAATGCTTTGCGCGGTCGATGGTCAACTCATTCCTTCGATGTGTTCCTGGACGACGATTCGTTCGAAGTGGTGTGAAAGAGGGTTTGGTTAAGCGAAGTCTCCACCAAGAAGTTCAGCCTTTATCTAATCTGATCAGATGTTGAGTCGAAGATCGACATGCCAATGTGCACTATACTGTAACATGGCGTCTTCATCATGTCTTGGTAGAACCCCGAACATGCTCGCTAAAGCCCAGACTTCGCTTCACTCGTTTGTCAGTTTCCTTCCCTGCCGAACGTTTCCCTCTCGACAAGGGGATGATCGTTGACCTTGGGAGAGAGACGGTTTGCGATCAAGCACTCTGCGGCTCTCGGCTTCTTGTATGAAGGCGCCTTTCAATGACCCTTGGCTGTCTCTCCGTAGCTCTCTTATCACGCCGATAACCGGCGCAGATCCACTGTCCTGCTGTTGCTTGCAACATGATATCTATTATCGGGTCCATGTAGTGACTAAAGGTTGCAATGCTGGTCACATCAGTCTCTTTGACGAATATCGTCTTCCCAGATCATGTGAGTGGAATTCAAGCATCCCCTACCATGGGGCATTCAATCTCCGAGGTCTTACGGACTTCTCACACGCTTGAATGTATACTCTCTTTCAATGAATTGGCATCTGTTTGCACAAGATGAGCGATGAGACAGCCGACGAAAAGGTTCAGGGTGAACGTCACAGGGTGGGAATAGACCGCTCCGCTGATGCCACCCTGGACGCCGATATCCTCAACCGCAGTTTACAGGACAAAGCTGGCAATGGGGGAGATACTTCAGCTGGTTGCCCTCAAGTGTGTGCGAACACCGAGTATTCTGCAGATGTTGACACTTTGTTAAAAGACCAAATCACGACCCCGAAATCACAGTCCTCGTACAAGGATCTGTATCGCTATGCATCTTCCATAGATTGGCTGATATTAATACTCAGCACAGTGTCTGCAGTCGCCGCTGGTGCCATTGTACCGTGCCTTCCGGTAAGTCGCAAATCGATTTCTGTGCCGTACAAGAGGCTGACAAGTCCCAACCAAAAGCTCTTATTTGGTGACATGGCTGCTTGTTTCAAGCAGCTGTACTTGAACAGGTGCACCGAGACGACTTTGATCGTCAACTGTCGCAGAAATCCTTGTAATTGGTGTACCTTGGAATTGGCGAATACTTTGCCATATATATATCGACTGCCGGGTTCATGCTCTTCGGCGAGCGTATGACGCGGCAACTCCGTCAAAACTATTTCCGAGCACTGCTGAAACAGAATGTCGCCTTCTTTGACGACAATGAGCCCGGCATGTGATCCTACCTCGATCCTCGTTGTTTGCGTGGTAACAGGAGCCCTGAGCACAAGGCGAATCATTAGATACACCCGCGACGCTATGTCCGCCTATACCATTGCCGGAGGAATTGCTGATGAAGTGCTGCGCTCCATTCGGACCGTCAAAGTCTTTGGTGCGCAGGGGGCATTCGCGAAACGATTCGAACAACACTTGCAGACCGTGGGACAGGCAAGCCGTAAAGGGACAAGTGATTTCAGCAGTCATGACTGCCATCATTATGACGACTACCTTCTGGAGTCATCCTCTGACATTCTGGTCCGGGTCCTTATTCATCGCAGAGGGGCACGCGGCTCTTCAAGATGTCATAACCGTGGCCTTTGCGATGTTGCTGGCCGCGCATTCGCTGTCGATGGTGGCGCCCCATATTCGAGCCGTAAGCGGAGCCGTGGCGGCTGCCAGCAACATCTTCTCCATTATTGATCGACCTTCATTGTTGGATCATACCTGGAAGTCGGGGGCTCGCTTGGACAACGTGCAAGGTTGTCTGTCTATCCCAGACAGCTAGTGATAAATCACCTGGATCTCCACTTCCCGGCACGCCAAGTGACCGCCATCGTGGGGCCATCTGGCTCGGGCAAGAGTACGATTTTCAATCTCATCGAGCGATTCTACCCACCTGTCAGTGGGAGAATCCTCCTTGACGGGCAAGACATTACCACTTTGAACCTTAAATGGTACCGTCAGCAGCTAGGACTGGTCGGTCAAGAACCCATTCTCACTGGCAACACAATCTACGAAAGCATCTGTCACGGATCCTCAGCGATACCACCCCGGCAAGGCATCGACGATGAGGCCACCAAACAAAGTGTCATCAGCGCTGCAAAGGCCGCAAATGCACACGACTTCATTATGGGTCTGCCGGAGGGATACTCAACCAAGATCGGTGAGGCTGGTGTACAGCTTTCGGGAGGCCAGAAGCAAAGAATTGCTATTGCGCAGGCACTTATTCGTCATCCGACTGTACTTCAACTTGATGAGGCAACGTCGGCCCTTGACGCGGATTCCGAACGTTTGATCAAAGAAACAATTCAGCTATCGGCCGCGGAACGGACTCTGATTATTATCGCCCACCGACTTTCCACCATTAAACATGCCGATAACATCATCGTTCTCGCCGATGGTAAATTGGTCGAGCAAGGAACGCACAGCGAGCTGATGGCCAGAAATGGCATGTATGCGTCACTTGTCAAAGCACATCAGGCCGAAAGCAAGGAGAAAGAGAACGCCGTCACCTATTATGAGAGCGTTGACGATTCAGGCACGACATCGCCCAAGTTATCCCACAAGCAAAGCTTCACCGAACAATTGTACGAGGTCGACAACGAGAAGTCCTCGGATACCGGCGAGCGCGGCCCGTCAACATGGACGTTGGTCAAGCTGACCGCCTCATTCAATCGCCCCGAGGCGAGTTACATGACCCTCAGGCTGATGTTTTCCATCCTCGCAGGTTGCTGCAACCCAGCTTTAGCATTTGTGCTGGCCAAAGCGATTGCCGTGCTGTCTCTTTCAACGTCGACGATGTCTAAACTCAAGTCAGATGCCAGCTTCTGGTCCTTGATGATGTTCGTGATTGGGTGGGCGAATCTACTCAATGGAGTTACTCACGGCATCCTTTTCGCATATTGCTCGGAGAAATTGACCTATAGAGCAAGAAGTCAAGCATTCCGCTCGATGCTCAGCAAGGATGTGGATTTCTTTGACGACGAAAAACATCAAACGGGCTCTTTAACCAGAATCTTATCTATTGAGGTCCAGAACCTCGCTGGTATCAGCGGCGCTACATTGGGAACAATCCTTGCCACCACGACCATGCTTGTCGCCGCCATGGCTATTTCTCTGGCCGTTGGTTGGAAAGTTGCCTTGGTTTGCGGTACCACGATACCTATCCTGTTAGGCTGTGGTTACTACCGGGTCTGCATGATTGCAGCATTCGCACAAAGGATGCACGGCGCGCACCAATCTTCCTCTGCGTTCGCCAGTAGAGCTATATTCTCAATTCGCGCCGTAGCATCTCTGACACGCGAGGAGGAAACATCCCAAGAATACGAGGAACAGTTGCTCCAACAGGAGAGGAAAGCTGGTATCTCGATGCTGAAGTCATCAATTCCATTCGCGGCCGCGAAGTCCTTTGTGTTCTTCTGCGTCACGCTTGCGTTCTGGTACGGCGGGACCCGAGTAGGCCACGGAGAATATTCCATATTTCAGTTTTTTCTCTGTTTTGCCGAGATCATCTTCGCAGCTCAGTCCGCCGGATTTGTGTTCTCGTCTGCATCAGATATCGGCAAAAGCGAAGAAGGCCGCGAGAGTCTACCACGACCTCTTACGGCCTCTACCAGGGATAGAGTCTGACGCCACGAACTGTCACACGCATCAGATCAATTCCATTCAAGGGTCTATCGAATTCCGCGATGTATTCTTTTCCTATCCCAGTCGTCCTCCTCATCCAGTTCTCGAAAACCTCAGTCTCAGTGCGGAACCTGGCCGGTTCATAGCCCTCGTGGGTGGCAGTGGGTGTGGGAAGAGCACGATCTTGTCCTTACTTGCTCGACTTTACGATCCCAACTCAGGTGCTGTGTTGGTAGATGGTCATGATCTGAGGGATCTCGACGTTCACCACTATCGAAAGCAGCTGTCTTATGTCAGCCAAGAGCCAGTCCTCTATCAAGGCACTGTCAGAGAGAATTTGTCACTTGCAGTCGAAGACGAAGAATGGCAAGCGGGCGAAGAGGAATTGATTCAGGCGTGTAAAGATGCGAATCTCTACGATTTCATCGTATCACTAGAGTAAGTCCCTTCCCAATATTGACACAGGAATAGGCTGCTAAAGACCCTGTTAGGGACGGGTTCTCGACGCTCGTGGGAGCTCGTGGAGTCATGCTCTCTGGCGGCCAGAAACAGCGTCTAGCGATCGCTCGTGCCTTGATACGGCGTCCACGCATTCTCATTCTCGACGAAGCGACATCGGCTTTAGACTCTGCATCCGAGAAAAGTGTTCAGGAGGCCTTGAATAAAGCGGCTCGCGGCCGAACAACGATCGCAATTGCCCACAGATTGAGTACTATTCGGCATGCCGACAAGATCATGGTTATCGATCATGGTAGAGTGGTGGAGAAGGGTACATATTCAGAACTCATGGCCATGAAGGGGAAGTATTACTTTCTGGCAAGGTTGCAGGGCCTCGACCTCGAGAGTTCGTCGTTGGTTTCTTAACATAGGAGACAAACCAAGACATGTGCTCCGTTGGTGGAATCTCGCAACCGTACTCTCATCGTCTCAATTTTTTTTTCTTCTTCCTTGTTTTACTTTCTTTCTTTCTTTTTTTTAAGCGAAAGTGAACCTATGCGCCAATTCTTAGGCCTCGTTCGCGGCTGGTAGCTGAGATGACGGAAGGCTGTCAGCAGGGCGGGAAAACCTAAGATCGAGCGTGCAGCTGACTGGCGAACAGGAAAGCAAATCGTGAAAGTCAGCAGGCAGACTTCGATCAATCGGAAGATGTCTTGATTCTGATAGAGACAATATTGCCTCGGTGTCATATTCTAGATGACCCTAACCTCTCGTAGTTGAGTGGTAAAGGAGATATTGCCGTGAGCTTCTATATTAGGAAACACTTTGTTTAAGTTCAAAATGGTGAGTTCTTGGCGTCGCATCTGGCGCGTTCAAGTTCCTCGTGCTTCACTCGCAACGCGGTGCTTCTACTGGATGTCAAACTGCACCCCACAAGTCTCTCCCATCCCCCGTGTCCCATTCCCTGTGGCCTGGGTTTGTCACCATCTTGAACTCCCTCCCTACCACCGGTCCCAATTCTTAATTTCTCTCAACAACCTGTCCATAAACTACTCAGTCTAGACATTAGTCTCCTAGCGTCATTCATCGCAGCATCTTCCTTCAATATTGACACCTTTCGTCCCCGGGAAGACCGGCCACGGCACGAGGAGAAACTCCTCGACGGTACATCTTCAACTGGCGCATTTGAACCCTTGAGTCCGAACACCAGGGCTGTCGGCGATGGGGAACATCAGTAGCAGACTTGATGAAGGGCCCATTCTTTACCTAAAGGATCAAGCACGCTGTATGTGGGCTTCATTCCTGTCCCATGCAACCCGGTACTGAATTTATCAGTCTCCATTAGCTCCATCGTCGTGAGCAACGGTCGGCGGAAGGTCCTGCTCAGTGTCGCTCCGAACGCATATCCTGCATTACGTCTCGTTGGAAAACCTGATGTGGCCGATTATAAACCAATTTCCTATATTCAAGTGCGTTTATCGGTGCCCCCCACCCAATATCCTCTGACAAGTCAAACAGGACCCTGAATCCTCTGCCCCTACTTTTCTGCCTCGATTGGATCTCGAAGATGAGCTCGACATTCGATTCACATTCACGACCCGACAGAATTCGGGTCCCCTCCCTCCTACGCCTTCCACGGCCACCGCCGCTGTTGATACGAACATCACGGGGCTGACCTTCGCCTACGCCCCAAATGCCAAAGATTTGGATACATTAATCACACGGGAATTCCACGCGGACCCAAATTTGCACAAAAATTCGAATGTACAATTTATTGGCGACTTTGGAACGAATGGCAGTCCTGCAACGACTTACGAATGGAATTGGCGTTGGAAACCGCCCAAGGCTTACGAAGACCGGGGCGGAGGATGGCGCAACTGTTGCAGTTTCCTCGAGTACGATTCGAGGGCACACAGATTAAACACCCTCGCCTCCTTCACGTTCTGGGTTCACAACGCGGCGCTGCCAAACGCGACGCCCCTTGCTTCCCCCAACCTCGAGCTTATGGTCCCCCAGCAGAGAAATCGAATGGCGTCGTCCCATTCCTATCAGTCCACCGTGAGCGACTCAGAAGGTCCGGCTGATCTCCCGAATCCGCCTTCGCCACACGTGCATTCGGCCGACTTCAATTCTAGTGCGTCAACCGTTGCGCCAGCCGTTCCGGTGATCGACGTCCAATGCCAACGACCTGGAGAGGATGTCAGTGCGGTTGAAGACGGCCCCGTCTTTAGAGCCACGATGAAATCACTGGAGCAAAAGACGGGGACCATGAGAATCCAAATTAAGAAGGTGCTGAAACGGGCGGAGGCCGCTCAGCAAGCGCAGGTCGAATGCAACCAAGCAATGTCCGGCTTTCTGAGCGCCCTGCAGGAAGCCTCCGGTTCAAATGCCACCGCCTTCAAGCCTGCGCTTGACCATTACTTCACGAATATCGCGCAAAGAATTTTGAAGTATGAGAGAGAGAACTGCGTATTGCTACAGAAACAAATCATCGATCCAATATCCAAACTGTACAACCTCGACATCAAACAGGCCGAGGCCAAGAAAAAGGATTTTGAAGACGAAAGTCGAGATTACTATGCTTACGTTAGTCGATATCTCGGTCAACGGCAGGATTCGCTCAAGGACAAGAAAAGGGCTGAGAGTGATTCCAAATACCAACACAAGAAACGAAATTTTGAACTCAAGAGATTTGACTACTCGTCCTTCATGCAGGATCTCCATGGCGGCCGTAAGGAACAAGAACTCCTCTCCCAGCTCACCAAATACGCCGATGGGCAGGCCAAGTCGTTCCTCATGGCCGCGAAGAAGGTGGAAAGTCTCACGCCGCAATTGGACGCGCTTGTGAAAGAAGTCTCTGCGGCAGACAAAGAATATAATTTGCAAAGGACGGAGCGAGAGGAAAAGCGCCGGAATCTCGAAAAGAACGGCCCCCTTTATGTGGAACCCGAACCGCCTCAACAGCCGGGGCCCATTCCAAGCTATCCGCCAGCCCAAAATGGTCACACTGGGCATACTTCCGATACAGACTTGAGCAGGGCCGATAGTACCGGCTCACAGTGGGGACACCCGTCAGCCAAAACACTATCCCCATCTGGCAACTCTACCCTCTCAGGTGCTCCAAGCGCCGTACTCTCTGCATCACCTGGAGGCTCTTCGACAGTGCCAACACCCAGCAAATTCAAAGGCATTCGTGACCTTGATGAAACCTCCGTCTCAACGACGACAACAACCACCACCACCACCACCACCACCACCGACAAGGCACCTGGCGCGCAACATCGGAAAGAAGGACTTTTATGGGCACTGAGCAGACCTGGCTCTCATATTGACCCCAAAGGCATCAACAAGCAAGCCTGGCACAAGTAAGTTATATTCAACACTGAACTCGACCAAGACTGACTCCTTCAGATTCTGGATTGTGCTGGATCAGGGAAAGCTCTCTGAGTATAGCAATTGGAAGGACAAATTAGATTTGCATCGCGAACCCATCGACCTACGTGTCGCTTCAGTACGCATGGCACGCGACGCCGAGCGACGATTTTGTTTTGAGGTTATCACGCCACAATACAAGCGAGTCTACCAGGCGACCACCGAAGAGGAAATGAACCATTGGATCAATGCCATCAACAACGCCCTGCAGAGTGCCGTGGAATCCGGCGGACAGATAGCTCAACCAAGTCGGAATGAGCCTTCGAAACGTGAATACGGCCAGATGCTCACCGGGAAGAGCTCATCGCAGTCCGGCCCACACAGCTATTCTCAGCGCAATGATGCCCTTGGAGTCTCACGTCGGATTACAGTCGGTGCTAGACCCACCTACACACGAACCAGCAGCAACAGTTTTGAAGAAAACCCCTCAAAGCTATTGGATCAAATCAGAAACAATGATCAAGGCAATCAATATTGCGCTGATTGTGGCTCCACCTCCAAAGTGGAATGGGTGTCACTGAACCTGGGAATCATTCTCTGCATCGAATGTGGCGGCATTCACCGCTCCCTGGGGACTCATGTGTCCAAAGTTCGATCATTAACCCTCGATGTTCATTCTTTCACTACTGACATCGTCGAACTTTTGATGCTCATTGGAAATCGGATCAGCAACATGGTGTGGGAATCTTTGTTGGACCGCTCCCTGAAGCCCGGGCCGAGCGCGACTCGAGATCAGCGTCTCAAATTCATCACTGCCAAATATGTCGATAGGGCTTATGTCGAGCCTGTGTCTCAACACGGAACCGCCGACGATGCATTGCTGACGTCCATTAAGAAACATGACATCCAGGGAGTCTTGCAAGGCATTGCTCAACGAGGGAACGTCAACGCCCACGATCGGTCTAGGAACACGCATGCCGTGTTCTTAGCTCTGGCTGCCGCCGACCCTGCTCGACCTGCTTCATCTCAGTCCAACACGACATCTCCAGCGAACAAAGCCTTCGCGGTGGCAGAGCTATTGGTCCAAAACGGGGCCGAAATCCCTACAGACGCACCACCTATACCACTGTCTCCGGCTGCGCAATTATACACTGAACAGCGAACGTCTCGAGCGGCTACAAATCATGGCAGTCATACTGATACGCTCGGTCCTCTCCCTACTATGACGAAGCCTTTGCCATTGTTCTCATCATCCTCCGAAGGAACAGCCAAATTGCAAAAACGCGGTAGTGCCGGCGCAAGGTTGGCTGGGAGAGTAACGGGCTTGGGAGAACGATAGGGCCATGATAAAAGCAGTGATCGAAGCCGATATCTTTGCGCCCGGGCTTTCGTGATTCACTAGAGATCAGTGATGACTCAGGTATACGACTGGTGCAGCTGAAACTGAAAGCGGGTTCATGACGATGTGATTGATGAAAGAGATGAGATGTTCAGGGGCTTGAACGGAGCATTTGAGATGAGTTTGGAAATGGAAATGGGATGAACACACTGAAACGCATCATGACGAACCAATTCTGATGCGTAAAACGATGGAGTCATGTGCATCATGGTGCTTGAAATTAGGAAGACGGACAGTTCGAGATCCTTACTTGTAAAAAGAAGGACGTTAGTTACTTATATTGGGTAATGAGTATTCAGCAACTGCCCAGCGGCAGACAATCAATCATGAAATGAAACAAGGTCTGAATGATGGTCACACACAAATCAAATGGAGTTTCCACGTTGACCTTAAACCTTCACCAAAAGTAGCGTCCTAACAGGGAATGAAAAGCGGCTCGGCCTCGACGGGCGGAGATTCAAAAGGAAACAGGGCCTTCAACATCGAGTCCAGCGGCATATAGCAGACAGAGAGACTCTGTATCTTTCTCTTTTGTGATGAGCGAGTCAGTCAGTCTTCTCAGGGCAATTGTGTCACCTTGCGACAAGGCAAAGGTCGCTGCTAATCATGAATATCTGCACGTATATATGTTGCTTTCTTGTTATCGAGATTGTTTTTCCCTTGGGCCAAAACAAGACAATTCACGGGAAGACAGTAGTAGATTCCATTCTCGCTCTTTCTTCCTTCTCATCAGTGTTGGGCGCGTTGCGGTCACCAAGAAAATGCTTAGAAAGAAAGACGCGTTTCCAGCGCAACTTCGCGGATGTGTCACCAGGAATACAGGCCGGGTTGTTGTGATACTCGTGTTTTTTGGCAGGTCTTTCATCGACTAGTATATTAGGATCGTACTTGGTTGGGAAGAGGCGGAGGAGGGGGAAGAGGGGAGGGAGAAGCGTTGAAGGAGATGATGAGATTTGGGTATATTTCTTGTCAATCTCGATGAAAGTGTATTGGTATGGTTAGGCAGGTTTATTCGCATCTCGCCACTGAAATAAGTCCATATGGTCATCCGTTGGGTGTGCTACTATGTGAAATGATGTTCTCGTAATGGCTTTCAAAGGTCGCAGACTAGCGTCGTCTTGCTTCGAGAATTGTTCTCTGGGCCTTTCTACTTAGAGAGCAAGATGCAGGGCCATCAACTTACTTCGACTTCAGCACAGGAGGCGAACAGAAATCCAACATTGAGATGCGAATGCACTACATCCCTGCAGTGCTTCAAACAAGGTAGTATCTTTCAATCGGTCCCCACGCGATGGCCTTTGTTCTTCCTCGCTCTTCCAATGAGCGATGCGTCTCTCGATATTGGCAGCCTGGAATACTCCTTATTGCGTCGCGGTCCTCAGGTGTCGAAATGAAAGCGGATTCCTGGGCCCAAGTGCTGTTTCGAGACCGTGATTAGAAACTCATAGGCAGCCGCCCGCCATCAAAGCGGGTAAAAGAAAATGGGGACAGTTAGATTGAGACATGACTGCTCATAGAGACTAGAAGTGAGTTCCTACCAGGGCATGCAGGCATCTCATTCTCTCCATTCACAGACCGACCATCAGGCTTGAGATCTTGGGTCGGTGACGAGCCCTACGTGCGTCAATGAGATCGCAGAAAGACTCCTTGAAGAACATACGATGCCTTCATCCATGCATATGCTGGTTGAGATCACGGCGAACCCATGAATTAGCCGAGCAGGCAAACACGGCTAGATCTGGCAAATGGACAGTGGCCAGTGGTATGGAGATGGGTGGTGCCAGACGGATGTAGAAGCCCTTGAGACATGCCTTCCCTGCGAAAGACAAAGGATACATACAATTCATATCTGGCCTAACTATTCAATTGATGGATATCATCACGGGAGCGGGCAGTGTAGAGGAGCTGTGGCAACGCTATGAAGCAAAATTTTGGCCGGTGGATCCATTGTCAGTGCCTGAAAGCAACGGCAAGTTCGGATCAAGGATTTCACTCAACACGAAGGAGGATGGAGACGCTAAAGACGCAAATCTGTACTTTGGTTGGTGTTCTTCCTCAGGACACGTTGTCCTATGAAAAAGCAAATGCAGAGAGCTTCACGCCTCGCCTGCAGACAAGCCTCAACAACGGTTTGAGTCGGAAATTCCCCAGATTCTTGGTAAGAGGCAGCATCTCTGTCTCGATTGGTGGCACATGCAGGGCATTGCCACAATCATCTTCGTCCGAGTGTGATGACCCCGTCTCCAAAGATTGAAGCATTGAATATCAACCGCAGGGCCGAAGTAGTTCGCTCCGGGTGTTTCTCGCTGACTTCAAGGGACCGGTGACCACGGCCAGGTGTGGGCTTGAAGTTCTCCCGTCATATCAGTTCGACTTCTATTTCGAGTGAATTCGATCGTCGAAGCTGGTGGAAGGTTCGAGTCCGAGGTAGGCAGGTGGAAAGCGCCATTGGACACGTCTCTGAAACCTCGAAGCGATCGACAGAGGTCGAAAGGAGGGAGTGGCGAGAGAGAGGAGCGCAGGAGGACGATGAGATAAGGTTGGAACAAGGACCGGCGATCTGCCAAGCCCAATGACGCCATGCCACCGGTTGGCCAAAAATGTTGTCCTGTCCCGGCGCCGCCATTCCTCTTTTGGCGGGCCGTCGATATGGAGGTTTCGCAACATCTCCATCTTTCACCTCCTGAGTCCCGAATTTTCCATCTCGGAATTCTAGAACTTCAAAATAGGCTCAGCCACAGCCCGCGGTCAGGGTCCATCTTCATCCAATACGCCTGGCTTTTCCTCCCCCTTGCCTTGCCACTCATCCCTCCTCTTCCCTTTGCCGTTTGCTGGTGTCTATGGATGTTGCCACTCGCTCTGCTAGAACTTATCCAGTGAAAACGTGTGGAGACGGGTTATTAATAGACGAAGACCACCATAGATGATTAACACCTGTACCTACACCAAGCATAGTGCTCGTGTACTGGATCAGCACCGTACCTTTTCGGATGATGTGCAAAATTCGTCATGCCAACTATCGGTAGACTTCCATTTCTTTAGCCCAAAGCTACATTTGGACACTTGGACCGGTGGTCTTCTCGGCAGCTCAAAATCTGGACACCGCGTCACCCGTAAACCAAATGTCGGACACTCAATCGCTCCTGGACTCCTGTCAGCGTTGTCTTTTGCTGCCGAGGGCTATATCGTCCCTCCAAGAATTTGGAGCTGAACAAATGTACATCTTTCCCAAATAGTTTGACTAGCACCTCTCGCTCGCTACGGCAATTGCACAACGTGACTCATAAGATATCGCGTGAACATTCCCTGGTCACCGTGAAAGCCGCCAACGTTGGATTTAGTTACTTGATCAGCATTCAAGCCGGCAAAAATTAGGCATCCAATCCTGATATTGATGGGCCCACTACTGTACCTCTGCTGATGACCTCGAAACCGGACAATCTTCTTGACGTGCACAAGGGATTGGCATTGTCCCGAGGCTGGTATGTTCACGCAGTCGCTAATTTTATAACACAGGTGTATCCCCATGCCCATTATTCTCGACGGGAGTTGAGCTGATCGGGTCCAGAAGTGCAGGGATAATGTGGAAATGTGGCTTGAACGCAACCCCCTGGCGACACATGGTTCAGCCTAACCACGGCGCTTACAGGGATTTTTCAAATCTAGAACTTCACTCCAGCTCTTTTGGCGCTAAAATGTGCCCTCTGATGTACCCGCATCAGATGGGACATCGCGCGGGCGCAAATCATACACCCATTGGATTGGATTACTAACCTACCGCTGCCTTGGAACCGCCTGGATTTTCCAGGAGCGCACACACCCACGGGCGCGCTTTCGTCCACAGCGACACTCGTCTTCGTACTTTTGGCGAATGCAAGCCGTTCGATCTGGCTGCAAGTTTGTACCATGGATAGCTTTGCGCTACAGTGGGATATAGCGGGGCGCTGAATCAGGATTTCCTGACCAATTAACTAAGCAATGCTTAGACTTGACACCTTCCCTGGCGAATAGCGCGTCTGACAGCCCCATTTTCATGGGAGCTGGAGACCCCCTTGTCGGGCCTCGCCACAACTCTTGGTTCGTAACTAAGTGGGTCCCGCTTTGCGTTTGTTGCAGACAATTCTGCGCTCTGCAGGTGCTTTCTCACCTGTTGGCTCTGATAGGGACATTTTACAGACGTCCGAGAGCTTTTGTTGGTAGTCATTGGAGAACATTCCTCCAACCTTAGGTCTGTCCCCAGTTGAACCGGCCCAAAGGATTCCAGGAAAGGAGGACGAACACCGCCACTGCTTTCTCCATTGACCCACCAACCGAGCGAGAAGAAATGCTCGAACTTTGCGAAGTACGTCCAGCTCAAGGTTACTAATTAGTACGACCACGTCCAGCTCATGATCGTCACAGAACTGGCCTCAGTTGGCCGTCCGGCAATGGATACCTTTTCAGCCTCTTCCGTACGACGGTCAACAGAGTGCCAGCTTTCAGGTGGGCCGGTACCTTTGTCGCCGTCTCTCTACTATTCACACTTACCCCTTTCCGGACCTTGACATCGCATCAAAGTTCCGGACCAATAATACGGGTAGGAAATCTTTCCCAGCACTCATAGGTCCCACGAATGCCGCTCGCTACTCTGACAAAATCTTTCCTTAAGTACAAGCGCACGAAAACTGTCATGGATTTCTGTGAGACTATCACTCCTCAGTCTTTTCGGTTTCCCCCTAGTGTCTTTCGTACCCTGCGATACTGTTGGCTTTGGTGTCGGTCCTATTCGTCTACCATTTCCCTTTCCCCCCTTCTCACAGGGGGCCCTTCTTCCGGTCTTTCCCAACCATAGCACTTCTCTTCTTTTTGGCCACTGGACTCCAGTGGACCCTGACGCGATTGTCGAATTTTCACTTGCTACGTCTCACTGGCTTTAGGAATATGTGCTTCGCTATCGCCACCAGCCACCATCTCCTTCCACGCCTTGTCAGGCCACATTTGAGACACGGTTGGATGTGAATGCCGTTCTTACTTCCCTTCTCTTCGCGCATATAGATTGAACCAATAGTTTTTCAACACTCATCTTCACCACCGCCACAAGAGCCGAAGTCCTTCCTCATCTAGTCCTGTGAAACATCCAGAGCATTCTTGTTTGCCAGTTCACTCCCAATTTAACACCGACGTGCTCGTTTCATGTCCCCTCTGGAACAGCGAGTGACGAGCAACCGAAAAGAACTCCCATTAGAATCTCTTTCGACAATCAACAAGATCATTCGGATCTCTTCTGGTCCGTGCTCAGCCTTTCTCCTCGATTCGAATGAGATCGTCCTGACCGAGAACGTAGGCATTCCTATTTGAGGTATTCCTATCTTTTTTTTTTTTTTTTTTTTGTGGACAGTATAGGTTAACCGATGGCCGTCTTCGAGATAGATATTTGAAGATTTAGGGATGGGAGATGAGCCTCCATCTCGACTAAATCCCACTCCCAATATCAGCGACGACAGTTTGACCAAAGGTTTGCCATACCCCGAGGCTTGGGTGAGGGCGGAACTGACTGCCATAGGGCAATCTCCAGCCCAAACTGTACCTGTGACAAGTGTCCACCAAGGACAGACGGTCAACATGGAGTTTGAAACTTATCTTGGACCGCAATTCGGTATGAGCCATTATCCTGGAGCGGGAACCCTCGACATGTCCAATATGGTAGCTGCATTACCCGACTATCGAATACGACAATTCCCGCATCCGTCGTTTCCGCAGCATTATCAATCCCCTCGACCTGCTACTCAATCTATGATATATCAATATCACCAAGGCGCGCAATGGGCTGGTCAGACCGCCAGTAATTATAACCAATCCTTTGCTCAACAGTACCCACCACAATATATGCCGGTTCCTCAGTCACGGCAACAGCATACACCGTATGCGCCGTTCACCGGAAATCCTAGGACACCAACTAGCCAACCTCCTTTTCAAAGCCAAGGATTTATGTTACAGCGGCCAATACTTCACCGGCCCAGCTCGGCCCCTTATCATCAGCAGCAACAACAATCACAACAGCCTGTACAGTACGCACAACCTCACGGCAGTCCTGCGTACATCGCCGAGTACAACGCCCGAGTTGCCCCAGCATATCCGCTTCCGCAGTTGCACCCGGACCGCAGCCTTGTACATCAGCAGGCTCCCAACTTCTATCAGCCGCCAATACCTCAAGGTAGGTAGAACCCCTTGACCTTGTGGGGGAAATATTCGCTAACGCACGCAGCCGTGAGGAAGACCAGTTCCAACTCGTCCCTACAGATGTCCATGCTGAGAGGTCCACCCAGAAAACCGAAACAATCTGGTCATGCCCTCTGGGTGGGCAATCTACCTCCCGCCACCCATATAATTGATCTCAAGGATCACTTTTCCAAAGATGCGACGGACGATATTGAAAGCGTGTTCCTAATCTCCAAGAGCAACTGCGCTTTCGTCAACTACAAAACCGAAGCGAGTTGTGCCGCTGCCATGACTCGTTTCCATGACTCTCGTTTTCAGGGTGTCAGATTAGTGTGCAGATTGCGCCGTGAAAACACTTTGACAACGACGCCGGGGCAATCTGTTGGGCGACAGACTGTCGAATACGCTGAAGGAGGTGAGAAACCCCAAGGGTCTCGCGGCGAGGCGGCGACCCCTACGGCGGCGGGAGAGGCTGAGGTAACAGCGGAACCCGAAGCCATCGAGAAAGTCAAGGAGAAATTCTTTGTGGTCAAGAGCTTGACGGTCGAGGACTTGGAACGAAGTGTTCAGAGTGGAATCTGGGCAACTCAAGCTCACAATGAGCACGCGCTTAACCACGCTTACCGGGTGAGTGACTCCTTCCTAGTATTCTAGTCCGCTCTCTGACACGAGTATCAGGCTGCTGAGAACGTGTACTTGATATTCTCCGCCAACAAGTCTGGCGAATATTATGGTTACGCCAGGATGGAATCCGCCATCGAAGATGAATCCACCGCCCACATCGACTACCAGCCACGACCGGAAGCTCCCGAACCAAGTCCCTCTGATCTGCCATTGATCATTCCCACTCCTGCAACTGCGACCGCCCCCCCAGGTCGAATCATTGACGACTCGGTCAGAGGCACCATATTTTGGGAGGCCGATGTTGAGAACAACGGAAAAGATGAACAGAACACAGAAGACGATGGAGGGAACGTCTCGGGTGAAGGAGACGGGTCTACAAGCCCTGCTGCCCCACAAACCTTTGGCAAACCATTCAAGATTAAGTGGATATCAACGGAACGTCTCCCTTTCTACCGGACTCGAGGACTGCGAAATCCCTGGAACGCAAATCGCGAGGTGAAGATCGCTAGAGATGGTACAGAAATTGAACCGACTGTCGGTCACAGGTTGGTCAGTATGTTTCACCGTCCTCAAGTTCCCTCAGCAAGCCCCAATGCGGCCAGACAACCACGACCTCCTCAAGGACCCATGGGTGAGTTCATGTTTCCTCACGGTTCAGCACCTGGCGGTATGTACGGAACGAATTTATTGAGATGATGGCCGTTAATTTCAATGAATGTTATTTGTACAGAATCGTCAATGCGATGTTGATGTTTTATGTTTGTACGACGACATGATGCTACGACAACGAAGGGAGAAAGACACACAATCCAACGAGGTGCAACCGTTCGAGACACTCGTGATAAGGCCCTTTGAAAACCAACAACACGACAACTAGACTTTGCTGGCCGAGTCTTCTTTTCAATTCCTTCTCAAGGGTAAATAGCAGTGGGGAAAAGAAGAAGGATGGAGAAGAGAAGTGTTGAGATATTCAACATAACAGATCAAACTTTCAAAGCTCTTCTGCTTCAGGATCACTTATTCGTCGACTCCAGCTCTCGAACTAATTCCACAAAGTCTTCATCTCCTTCCGCCGCAAGCCCGCGAAATTCATTCATGTTGGTTTTGAGCCATCCTGCCTCTTCGCCCACCTTTTATTTTTTTATTTTTTTCCAAACGATATTAGCATTCTATGTCTTGCTCGAAAATTTCACCACGCGATGAATGGAGTTCACAACTTACCCGGGGTCTGGCAATGCCACACACTCCACAGCAGTGGTCAACGCACCCAACACCCATACCATCCTCAATCCCATCTCTCCTTCCTTTCCGACGATTTCTTCCCAGATTCTCACAATGTCGCGGCAATGCTCGTCATACAGTTCCTCGGAGCGTTGTTCACCTGCGCGAGTTCGCAATATGACGCGGATATATGTTGCTCTCTTGCCGCCTCGGAACACAACCTGGCGGCTCACCTCGGTATAACGAACATTGAGGAAACACCGGGGCGTTTTGAAGCGGGTCGCGTGGAGGTCGGTGAAGGCATTAGCGAGAGCAGACTGTTGGCCTGAGTCTAACGGAGTGACATGCTCGACGTCGTAAAGGGGCATTTTTGGTCACGTGCTCTATGTCGTTGGTTTAATTCTTTTTTATTTTGATTCAAAGCGATCAAAAGAAGACGACAATTGGAGAGCGACCGACGCCCTTTCGGCCAAAAGCTGCCCAATTAAGATACATCCGCTTATATAATCCCCTCCAGCGGCCAGATCTTCTCTGTGCCGCCCACAGCGTTAACAGCGCTGTTGAAACAGGACCTACTGTCCAGCATCGCCCTTGACCGCATAAATCTGATACGAAGCCACCCACTCATTGAAATCGATCTTCTTGTTGTCGATACCAGCAGCAGCCTCCCCTTCAGCACTGTTGATGTTTCCGCCACCACAGCACTTCTTCTCTTCCCCCTCTTTGGTCGCACAACATGACGCCGTACCACTTTCATCATGGTAGACATTCAAATCCCTCCCCGTGTTCACAAAGACGATGCTTTCCCCACCAAACCCAGCTTCCAGCATCCAACGCCGATACTCCTCCACGAGACTCGCACCGGCAACACACCCAACCAGCAACGCCGCGTCTCTCCTGACATGCTCCGGCAATGTCTTCTTCGCCAGCAAATCACTGACTGCCACTCGTCCACCGGGTTTCAGCAATCGATATATTTCCCTGAAGACCTTCGGCTTGTCTTGGTCTGGCACCAGATTGATAACACAATTACTGACAATCAGATCAACAACCGCGTCCGGGAGTGCGATATCTGATATCGGGGCTTCGATGAACTCGACCAGACCCTCTGGCAGGTTTGCCTGGGCTGCGTTCTTCCTGGCAAGAGCAATCATGTTTTCATTCCGGTCGACGCCGTAAATTTTCCCCTTGGGAGAAGCATCGGCTTTCAGCATCTGTTTCGCCGCAATCAGACAATCGAGTCCGCCGCCCGAGCCAAGATCGAGCATCGTGTCAAATGGTTGAATGTTCGCTGTGGCCAGCGGGTTGCCGCATGACAGCCCGAGATTGGTGCCTGATGGCAGTGAAGCCAGGTCTTCAGCAGAGTAGCCGAACGAGGTGGCGACATGGGCGTTTTTGGAGTCCTGAACTTGATCATCTGAATGCGCCGAAGATGCGATCGAGGAGTACTTTCTGTTCACCGCCCGGTAGATGGTGGAGGCGTCCATAGTGATACTTGGTAGCGACGTACGAGTGAAGAAGATGGTGAATTTGTTTGGGAAACCCGGCAGATCTTGAAGAATATTCGCCAGTCAAAATGAGATGTTCGGTGTCTGCTGGTAGTAATATAGGCAAGACGAAGTGTCACCGTCGGCTGGACATTGGTTCAAGTCTGTTCGTCGTGTATCCAGAGAGCATATACGGTCAACTGAGTGAGAATGCTGGAATAAGGGCCAATAGGGATACGGGAGTCAGCATGCTATTCAGGGGCACGGCAAGACTACCACAACAGAATCCCATGCCAGAATCCCATATCCAAATGATAGAGGGGAGTCAAAAAATATGGGATCTCCGTCGTACCGCTTACGTCCAATCAAACTTACCCAGTGACACACTATTTAGCCAATGAGGCAAAAGACTTGATTTTACTTATTCGGCCCCCCTTCCTCTTCTTTTTCTTCCCTGCTTGGTCCTCTGGCTTTGAGCAATTTATGACAGCGTTCATCCCGTTGGACTCCCTCGATCAACCTTCATGAGAATCTAGGTGATGCCGAGACATATTTCTTTATCTCTGAGCATTGTCAACTCCACCAAATTCACGCCAAGGAGTGTTTAAATGGCGCACAGGCCGATATTCACGTCAACGTCGACATCAACATCACCGTCACCGTCACCAGTGATGTCCAAACCAGACCCAACACCCACGCCGACTCGCAATACACTCAATCAACGTGCCTCACGCGCCCGGCGCAAAACATATATCAACGATCTCGAGCGGCGTGTGCGCGAATTCGAAGCCCAAGGCGTCAAAGCCACCGAGCAGGTCCAAGTAGCGGCACGACGAGTGGCGGCGGAGAATCGCTCTTTGAGAGAGGAGGTTCGTGTGCTGAGGGAGCGCAATGCCGAGTTAGAGAGGATTTTGGCCGAGAAACGCTCAGACACCGGACTGAGTCCTGGTGCGATGGAGAGGGAGCTAGAATATCTTCTGCGACAGAAAACCACGCAACGGCCGCAACGGAGTCGAAGAGGCGTTGCGAAATCGCCCTCAACCCATGTTCACGACGAAGCAAGCACACAGTACCCGTCTCCGCCTGGCGACCACGAGGGGCCTGGCGTAATGGCTATTAGGATGCCCTACACGACTCCAAATACCTCTGTACCTTCCCCGCAAGCTGCCGATGCGGTAGGCCCGGACCCACACATCGAACCAAATCTCGAGATCGAATGCGCAGACGCAAACAGAAACGAAAATCAAGACACCTTCGATCCGGGTACAGTCCGCTTACCCTCATCTCCATCCATCAACACTCTCGACGACGTCCTCCCCGACGCACAAGACGAGAGCATTCACGAGGACGACGACACCTTCCCATTCTCCAAATATGATTCTCATCGGTGCTCTACGAAACCCACCAGGCATTCTTCCTTATACTCACCCATGTCGCCTGCGCCATCGCGGCCGCACTGTGCACCCATGACACAGCCAAACAGCACGCCCTGCGCCCAAGCCGCGCTCATCATCGCCAGCATGCGCGGTCTCTCTTCGATGGACTCGGCAGTGGAAATGGAGATATTGCCAGAGCTGGGCTGTAGTACTGCGCGCACCCGAGGGAGCTATGACAATGGTAATGAGGGGTATATGGATGGCCGGGTTGGTCGTACATCCGCCCTTCCGGACGCGGATAAATGTGCAGTGGACAATGCGCAGTTATTTGGAATTCTAGATAGAGAGAGAGAAGTCGAAACTTGACTTGAGAATTCCATTTGCAGAGAGAATGGTAGTGGGGTCTAAAGAGACCATTGAAATGGGGAATATGGTGGATGAACCGAGTCGACTTTTCTCCCTCTAATGAGCTACTCTGTGCACAAATATGCTTCCGTTCGACTTATTTTCCTGGCGTAGGATTCCTCGGCCTTGGTCGAGCTCGGGTCTGGTCAACGCTTTCCCCAAGGATTGGCGTCAATGGTTCTCCCATTTAAACAAGTCTGCCTTAACCGACGCATATCGCTCAGATCCGCGGTCGGATGATTCAGGCCTCGATCATGAACATGCACATTGATGTTGCATTGTTGAATCGTAGTCTGCATGGGGGGTGGCAGATGTCATCGGCATCGAGACTGGGTCCATCGTCACAAGGGAGGAGCCTTTTGCTGAGTGTCAGGCGAAAACTTCATTCACGATCTTTTGTCTCCAAAATATTCGATTCCATTGTCCCTAAAGCCATGCAGAAAATCCAGCCCGCGATCTCAGTCAACTAAGCCCACTTCCCAAGCAAAGCCATCAACCCAGCGCCGAGACACATAACGACAAAAGCAGCCAGGATCGTTTGTATCCTTGCATTTCGCATGGAATTACTGAACATGAACTCATGAGCCATCAATTCCACGAGACCGGTGTAAATTAAAATTCCTGCCGATATCGAGTCGAAGACACCGTTCACAATCAGGGTCGTCTGGGATTCGGGGGGATAGCTTTTCCTGACACCCAAACCAATGCCAATGGCGAGTGGTGTGCTGAGGCCATAGGCCAGAGCCAGAATGTATGGCGTCCATCTTCGATCTTTGGGCCATGGGGTGACGGCCAACCTGGATCCCAGACCAAGACCTTCAAACGTTTGATGGAATATCAGGACGATGAAGAGAGTATCAAATTCGTCGCCCGCCACGGCCAAGGTGAGACCGATGAAAATACTGTGGAAGATGATCCCGAATTCCAGGATAAATATTGCCGTCATTTGAGCTTTGTAGTCCTCAAAACTGAGTGGACTGGTAGCATCTTCAATGTCGCTATGTCGACGGGAATGGCCCAGATGATCCTCTCCAGGGACATGTGTGCTGTGAGATCGGCCATGTCCAGCCGTGGCGGCCTGAGTGGTAGAAGAAGGATTGTCCTTGTCAGGAGATGTACCAGTGGCGGTCATCTCTGTATCAAGAGACTGGTCGATGCCGAGACTGCGCGAAGGTGCCTGATCTTTTTCATGATTGCGACCGTCACCAAAGCTACCATATCTCATGACCATTAACTCCACGAAGAAGAGAGCAAAGACGGTCATGAGGATGATGCCCTCGACCCACGAATAGTCGGTGATGGGCCCGGTAAGACATGGGTTTGTTAACGCCTCCTCCGCAGGGCCCAGAAGATGTATGAAGGCCGTCGCGATAATCACTCCTGAACCAAAATACTTGCAAAGAAAGAAAACCCAGTCTGGAACTTTTAGACCTCGGTGTCTGTGGGCGAAGATAGGGAAGGCCGCGCCTATCGACGATGTTACCCATATTATGAAGAGTGCGGCTATGCGCAGGCCCATGCGACCATCATACTCATTTCCGGTGTCACACGTCGGAGTAGCTTCCGAGTCGTCCTGCCGTGCGACCAGTTGTGCAAAGGGTTCGAGAGTGGCCATGGCGGTTCTTGGATGAAAGAACCGACAGTGATCAACAGACTTCGAGGTTTTATCTAGGAAATCGGAGGCGGAGGGAGATTATGGATACATGACCGATTGGCAAAAGAATAGTTAAGGCCTGAGATATAGGGAATCGAGGACCTTACTGAGAGAAGTCCCGTAGTTGGTGACAGTGGAAATTGGCGTCGGCGAAGCTTCGAGATTTGGCAACCTCGGCCAGGTCTTGAGTGGAGAATATACCGCGGTGATTGGGGCGTTCGACGAGTGGAAATGTGAGACGAGGCGAGACGAGGCGAAGGAAAAACGAGTGAAGAAGAGGCACTTGGTGAGTAGTAAGTCGAGGGCACCTTTCTTAGCCTCCTCCGGGCGGAGAGGAGGAGTGGGCCAAACACTGAAGGACTCCGGTGGACACTGGTCACAGCATACAGAGACCGCCAAACACTGCAAAAAGGAAGCATAAGGAATTTTGAGGACCTTAAGAATTGAGGATCTGGGATGCGATGCGGGCCAATGGGAGACAAGGAATTGGACAAGGCTCTGTACTAACCGTAGTCCGGATATTTGCCGGTGGATGTTAATTGGCCCATCCATTCAGGTATCCAGCCGCCCTGATTCCAGCAGGTTGAACACATCTTGCAGAGATGAGGTGTGATTTTAGTCAGTGGGATTCCTGCTCAATGTCCTGTAGGCCACCTCCGCTCGATCATCCTTCACCTCAAACGCCACGTTTTCAAATAGTGTTCGCACGGGCACCGCAAAGTATGTGCTGACAAGGCTGAGTCCCTTGGCGCGCTTTAAGGTCCTCACTTTTTACTTCTTCTCCATCTTCCAATCACTTCCCTGGTCAAGACAAGGACCATCGTTTGAGATTCAGGCCGAACATCGGTGGATAATAGCCTTCGCATAGAAGCAAACCGCAACTTGAGAGAGGGGGCTTTATCGTTCGACCGATTTGTTACCCTATAACTCGGCGGCGTCACACCAATCCAAGAAAAGCTCCTGCTTCGCCAAAACTGCGTCTCTTTGGTGCCGGTGCTCGATGAGGAAGCTGTAACATACCCTTGTATAACATCCATCCCAGAAGACCCGTCACAACACAGGCTGATGTCCAAATCTGAACGTATATGTCTCGTCGACGTTGCAGATGGTTCAACGTTAATTGCTTCTGCCGGTATCGATCGGGGCCCCCTGCTTGCTCGTTGCCGATTTCCGAGATTACATACCCAGATCCTATTACTGGGATGGAACTCACAACTGCTTCTAGAACCGAACGTAAGATCTGCGGTGCACGCCTTTCACCGGGAGTCTGCCATGGTAATATCGCATTTGCCGAGGCGAGACCGGCCCTGCGGCCCTGAACCACAGCCATATCGACTGGTGACCCAAAGGATAGCGTAATTTGACGCTGTGACCACTGCCCTAATCTCGAATATTTGGTTTGGAGTGCTTTCTTCAGCCAATCATGCGGCAATTGAGGAATTTGCATCAGAGCCAGATACCCAATCGCCAGACAATCCGCACTGCACTCTTGCTCGCCAATCAACCAGACTTTATTCCCCAAAATTTCCATCAGCGGGTCGAAGAAATCTGCAGTGACCGCGTCCAGTCGAAATCGGTTTTTCTGCGTACTCCGCCCCAGCAAGCTGCTCACCGTCTGCCTGGGTTTCCTCAAGGATTTAGGAATGTGTGCGGTCAAACGCGCATCTTCACCTTCATCCTCTTGCGCCGTATCCACGTCCAAGCTGCTCATCCCAAGGTGTTCTGATCTCTTCTTTGCTTTTGCCCTTAGTTGGTGAGGTAGTATCCAGTTATTCGGCCATGTCAAGATATGACCAAGAGCTTGCCTGGTGCTGTGTAGATAATTGTCGCTGCTCACATAGAGGCTCAAGTCCAGTAGTGGGTGGCCACGCGATTCGAGAAAAGATGTAGAAGCGGCGCAATCGGCTCGTTGGTGCTCATCCAAAGCTTTGTCTAAGTCCCAGTCGCCATGGGAGATGTCCCGTAAATACGTGACTATCCCGCCAAAGCCAGATACCCAGACATGGCCATCGCGAAGGGCTGGAAGTTCCCTGAATGAATTGATCGTAGGATCGCTCGAAGGAATCAGTGACCAGGCGTCAATGGGCAGGCATTTTTGTAGATAGAAGATGGTGGCTAGGCATTGAGGGTCAATAGAGGGCAAGTCGAAAGCTGGGCCCCATGTGTGTAATTCCAGCACCATCTCGTGCCTCTTTGATAGGGAGGTAAAATTGTAGTGTTGGATATGCGCTGTCCAAATGTTCGGGGTACAAGTATTTGATTGAGAAAGTGGTCCGGTCTGACGAAACAAGCCTCACGGTTCACATACTAACTGCAAGCTGTTGCGGTTGTCAGACATTTCCTTTTCGTGCTGCTGCCTTGTCCACTTATTTATCTCCGCTTCATTTCCGATCCCAAACGCATCTTGAAATCTTCCAGGGCCGGAGTCCTCCCTCATGCTGATGTATGAATCAAGCGTATCTGGGCAAGTGCCTGGGCACTGTCTCTTCACCATCTTTCCGCCGAAGTCACAATGGCAGCCTAGTCGACCGTCTTGCCCATCGAAAGAATATCACTTTTGCGTCCACGACCGGGCACTCTGACTCACGAAGCGACAATGCAGAAAAAGATACAACATTTCTCGTAAGGGCTCATCAGGCGGGAGTGAACTGCTTGACCGTCGACAACAACAATGGCCGCTATTTGCTGTCTGGGGGAGCCGACTCGTGTGTCCGGCTCTGGGATCTGGAGGAATATGAATCCAAACCACAGACGTCTTCTGTCTCAAAGACATCGAGGACATACACCTCCAAAGCATCACTGACACGTAGGACTCCGTCATCGCACGCACATGCTCTGACATCCATTTCAATCTATCCATTTGATCCGACGCCATCGACTCTCTTGACAACCAGCTACGACAAAACTCTCAAAGTCACCTCCATAACGCCTACTTCTTTGCTGCCCGTCCACGGCTTTGAACTAGACTTCATACCATACACGCATTCACTCTCCCCGCTACCTGACTCCTCTCCACTTATTGCTGTTGGCACCGAACATCCGTCCATCCGCCTCTTGGACCTCCGCTCGGGCCTGTCCACGCACTCGCTCTCTGGTCCCAACGGCGCCATCTACACACTCGCCTGGTCGCCACGGATCTCATACATCCTTGCTTCCGGTTCGGCAGACGGCCGCGTGCTCTTCTATGACATCCGCCGCGCCAATGCCGCTTTCGCCTCCCTGGATCTCGACGATGCGATCGGTGTCGTAGGCGAGCGACCCTCCACCGGCCTCGCTGCGCGCAGCGAACTGCTCGACTTCAACACCCTCGCACACAACGGTCCCGTAACCAGTGTGCAATGGACGCCGAGCGGCGATCGCCTTGTCACCGCGGGCCACGACCAGCGGATCCGCGTCTGGGACTCTGCCACGGGCCGCAACGAACTCGTGCATTTCGGCCCCAGGATCCGAAACGAGAGACAAGGCGAATTGAAGCCGCTGATCTCACCTGCCGGCACGCATTCGCCCGGTCGCGAGTCCCTGTTCTGGCCCAACGATGACGGCCGCGGGGTCATTTTCCAACATCACCTGCGCGAAGGCCACTTGCTGCGCATCTTGCGTACAGAGGGCGTCAACGTGTCCGACGTGCGAGCATCCAAGCGATCTGGGGTCACAAGTGGTAAATCTTCAGCGAGCAATATAGCGAGGTTGACGAGCGCTGGGCGTATTAACGGCATGGTGTGGCGCGTCAATGCCCCTACCGGCGACGGTGTCGAGATGTACACCGCGCATGGAGACGGAAGGATTTGCGCTTGGATGCCGATTGCTGCTGGGCCTCACGACGATGATGACGACGATGGAGAGGAAGTTGAGGTTGAGGTTCAAGAGAACACCACTGCTGACGACGCCGAAAATAGGAAGAAGCGCAAGAGAGATCTCATTACGGACTTGGTCGAAGGGCTGGCGAAGAAGTCAGCGCCCTTCTCTTGATGTATAGGTTGTATCAAAATTGCTCCGTGAAGGAGATCAACATATCCGTTGTCGTTGTTCTACAGAATGAACGGAGGAACAATATCATGCTTCAATGCCCTGATAGATAGTTGCAAATGATTGGACACATCAAATACAATGATCCTATTCGGACCCCGTAGCCTGCACCAGCCAGGTGTATGCTATATCGTACCTCAACCCAAATCATTCTCATTGCTGGTAATCCGACCATGCTCCATGGATTGATTCTCAGATGGACATAACACAAATGCCAGCTCCGTCGCCTAGTTCATGCAATGGGAAAGTAATAAAACGCCTTTGCCAACCTGACCTGGCCGGTCCGTCCTTGATCACTCCGCATAACCAAGATCCGCACATGTATGAAAGCACGATAGAAGCCGTATATATCTCTGGGGGTCATTTCATTTTGTCATTAATAGCTGATTTTCTCCCGTGTCGGATTTTCCCTCTTAACCATTTTCAACAATTTTACAGGAGAAATATCGTCGTTCCTGTCATCGTTTTGGTACACTAAAGTTACTCTTTGTCGCAATTTTAAATTTGGTGTTGATCCCCGCAACCATGTCAACAGCAGTCATTAACCCAGGATTTGATTGTTGTGATCTTGCTGGTTCGTTGTCTCCGGCTGCTGCCGTGAGTACCGTGTTTCCGTAGGTTTGAATGGGTCCTGGTGGTGTTCTTGCTTCCATGGCATATGGGCCCGTCATTCCCATTGCGTAATATGGCATGTTTGTTGAGCGAGTGGGTGGTCCATAATTTGAACCAAGAGTAAAATTGGGCCGCATGGCAACACTGCTAGTGGTATCACCTGGGAAGCCTCGCCAATCAAGCTTTTGATATCCTGGCACGCCATCGTAGAACTGTTGAGATTGTGGCAGTGGATGTTGAGCCATTGCTGCGGCGTGGCTTCCCTGAGTTTGGCCTGAAGTAGACGAATTTCTGGGAAGCTTTTGCTGCATGACAGAAGGCGAATTTAAAGCAAAGTTTGCATTGGTCACCGGTGATAGTTGTTGAACCTGATCTGACGCTTGATTCGCCATGGACTTACCCGAAAACAGCGGAGGAATCGCTACATCTTGTGATTTGCTCGTTGCGTCGGCTAATGCAGATGTTGGATGCCCCACGAGATTTTGAGAGGAAGACTGCGTGGACATGATGGAATGAGGTCCCAGCGCTTCCCTCAAGTTTGCATTATCAGTTGCTCGTTCGAGAAACTCGGCGATGGGAGATGAGAATGTAGATCCAAAGAGTGAATCACTATCATTCGGCCGAGAATCTTTTGCCGTCTCTATTCCCTTGGCCGAGTCAACAGTAGGAGGCGTAGAAACGGATTCTGCTGCTGGAGTCTGATCCTCGGACACGTTTGGCGTCGGAGCATTGGCCGCTGGTGCATTTGGCACCGACCTCGCTGGAAGAGGATTCGAAACGGACCTCGGTTGAGGTTGTTTGATTTTGTTGCGATCGACCTCGGTGTTTAATTCATTCATCGGCTGTGTCGCCGGGGACTTGGCCATTCTATACTCTGCTTGTCTTCTAGCCCATCTCGCGCGATTCCCCTTCGCCTCATTTTCGGCCCTTTTCTTCGCAATCAGCGACGCGATCAAATTCGGGTGAGTGCTGAGAACCGGTGTTTCACCCGGGTTGAGAACAGGCTCTTCATTTTGGGAGCGAGGTGGGCTGGGTCTCCCCTTAGGCAGCACCTTAGATGTAAGAGGTGTCGGAAGAGGGGGTCGAGCCTGCGCGGCTGCGGACGGTGGAGAGACGTTTGTGGGAGTCGGCTTCTTTCCTGTAATTTCTTCTATTTGTTTCGATACCGCCAACAATGCTTGAGGTTTCGGAACCGGTTGAGGCCAGGGCTGACTACCAGGAAACGAGTGTTTCTGAGGCACAAACTTGGCTGGAGTATGTTGTACAGTAGGAGAGGTGGTAGAAAATGACGAAGCAGAGTGCGAGGAGGAGGAGCGAGAAGTCAGTCGGGGCTGAGATTGAGTATTGGCGACTGGACTTGTAGAGCCCGACGGCGCGTGAGAGTTGGTGTTTGTGGCAAGCGAGCGTGAAATGGTGGAAAGTTGATGCAATGAGGCGGGGATTTCAAATGCCACGCGTTTCTGGGCACCGGAGGGTGAAGGAGAAGAAGTACGCTTTCGGCGCGTCATAGTGAAGGTTGAAGAGCGTCAGCAGGCATGATCGGGATGGAGGAGAGAAGAGGATCGTAACTGTAAGAGCTCAACGACAGAAAGAAAAATGTCTCGTGTGATGGGATTGGGTTGCGTTGCGTGCGATGCCCGCCATCTGGGATTAGAAGGTAGCGCAAAAGCGCCCAGATGCGGCTGGCGGTATCGAGAAGGTGAAGACGACGAGACAATGGGGAGTTAGTACATGTACTCCCCTGGGACGGCACCTTGGTACTTAATATTTGGTATTCGGTACATAGGTACGTACCGGGCGGGAAGAAGGTGGTGGATTAATTGATTGATCAAGAGGCTGAGTGCAGACAAGACGCGCGCAGCCTCACGACCTCAAATGACGCATCCCAATTTCAATGTCATTAACCACCATCATCGTCCCATCCGCATGACTTACCAACTGACCTTTCCACGATCAAGTCAACTCTGATCCCCTCCTTTCTCCTTCTATTTGAACTTCCCTGCACACACAGGAAACCACACTGAAATTTCAAGCATGCTTTCAACCGTCGAGAATGAGGGGCACCTACATTTACCCCAGGAGCAGCTACCTTTGCCCACCTCTCCTATCCGTACGAACATATGCGATTGAACCTCTCGAGCCAGATACATAGGAGGGAGAAGGAGTCCCTTCATACGGTTCCTTGTCGAAAAAGACATAGACACCCGTACTCCGTCCTTCAGCTCTCTCTCCTACCTCAATTCTCTTCGTCATTTCTATACTCCTTGAACAAACCTCAGATGTTGAGAATAAGGTTCATAAATCATGCATGCTATGCTCCGGACGCTGGATTCGTCCTTGGATCCTCGCGACATTCACGGCGCAGACGGATTCAGGATCTGTAGAGGAATCCTTGTTGGACTGCGCAAACCAGACAACTTTAACCTAATGAGACCGTGAGCCGGCGGATCCAGGACTTCAGCTCACGTGTTCATCTGCCGGCTCGGGAGAAAGGGCATCCTGACTCGTCAAGGAAGACTAACTTCAGAAGCAATCCCGCCATGAATCAGGATGGTCCCCGCTCGCATCAGTGCTTGTTCTTTTCTCGACGTCCGGCATGACTTCTAGATTGAATACGAATCCAGAATCGGTCTATGGGAAGAATTCACACCTTATCAGGTGAGGAGTCAACCGAGGTCATGTCCTGAAGGACTCTTGCCCAGACGATGGTACCTTATGCAAGCAAACCCCCCTGTTTGAACCTACCAAACCCAATCATCTATCAGAACGGGCAAAGAAGTTCCTCTACCCCAGATTTCATCGATCCCAAATGGACCGGGAACATATTCTGAGGAGAAAAAGCGGGGACAGACGTTGCATGACCAATACCACACCATACATCTACATTCGAACGGTTCCGCTTCAGTCCATTGGAGAGGTGTTGCGAACGACCATTTAAACTCGTTTGCACTGATACAGCTCAGCAAAAGAGGAGTAAGCTCCTCCATCCACCATCCATTTCACCGGTATTTCATCCTGGTTCACCAGAGGGGCGCGTGGATATAAGTATCCCTGATCCCTGACTTTTTCGAGCTCTTATCAGCAACCAGCTTTTCTCTCTTTCTTTCTTCTTCTTCTTTCAACTGTTCGGAGGCATACTTGCTACCATGGGAGACCCTTCCGATGCTCAGGATAAGCCAGAGCACGTTTTGAAGCGCCACCTTTATGAATATGCCCGGCGGCGTCGAACAGACGGCCCCTACGCGGACAACCTGGACGTTGATGTCTTGATTGTCGGGGCAGGTTTCGCTGGGACATACCTCTTGTATGAGATGCGCAAGGCTGGCTTCAAGCCCGTTCTATATGAAGCGGGCACCAGTTTTGGCGGCACTTGGCGTTGGAATATATACCCCGGTACGAGGAAACTCTCCTAACCGACAGGATAGTTTTACCTGACCAGGACAGGGGCCCGGGTCGATTCCGAAGTGCCTATTTACCAATTGTCGATCCCTGAAGTCTACAAGACGTGGGCATGGACTACGAACTACCCAGATTGGCAAGAGTTGCAAGCATATTTCGATCATGTTGACAAAATTTGCAATCTAAGCAAAGACTGCGCATTCAATAGTGTCGTCACGTCTGCCGAGTTTGATCCGCATGAAGGCAAATGGATCGTCAAGACGGCCGATGGTCGCACAGCCAAGGCCAGGTTCCTTATTGTTGCTGCAGGATTTGCGGCCAAGAGATACATTCCAGACTATCCAAGCATGGAGAAATTCAAGGGCATCATGCATCATTCTTCGTTCTGGCCAAACGAAGGAGTTGATGCTCGCGGGAAGAAAGTCGCTGTTATTGGAACTGGCGCCTCTGGTGTACAGATCATACAAGAGTGGGGACCCCAAGTTGAGCATTTGACGGTCTTCCAACGCACTCCCAACTTGGCCCTTCCAATGGGTAAACGTGACTTGACCAGGGAAGAGCAAGAGGCGCTCTACCCAGCATACGATGAACTCCTCCGGATGCGCGAGAAGAATTTTGCAGGCTTCACCTATGATTTCACTGAGCGCACCACCTTCGAAGACTCCCCTGAAGAGCGTGAGGCCGTCTATGAAGCGCTGTGGAAGAAAGCCGGCTTTGGTCTCTGGCTCGGCTCTCACAAAGACTACCTATTTGACATGAAGGCGAACCGCTGTGTGTACGATTTCTGGCGCCAGAAGCAAATGACGAGAATCAAGAACCCAGAAAAACGAGAGCTTCTGTGCCCTGCGGAACCGCCTCATCCCTTTGGCGTCAAGCGTCCGTGCCTGGAGCAAAACTACTACGAAGTCCTCGACCGAGATAATGTGACAATCGTGGACATCAGCTCCAAGTCAGGCAACGAGATCGCCGAATTCACCGAGACAGGCATCAAGACCTCCGACGGCAAGCACTATGATTTTGACATCATTGCGCTAGCGACGGGCTTCGATATCACCACTGGCGGCATGACGAATATGGGCCTCAAATCGATCCACGGCACAACTCTCCAAGATGAGTGGAAGAAAGCCGCCTACACGTACCTAGGCACCACGATTTCGGGTTACCCGAATATGTTCCATCTATACGGACCCCATGGACCCACCTTGTTGTCTAACGGCCCGTCCAGCGTCGAGGTGCAGGGTCGCTGGATCCGCGACGCCATCAAGCTCATCGATCGCCAGGGTCTCAAGTACATTAACCCGACACAGGAAGCGAGCGAGAAGTGGAAGAAGCGCATCAATGAACTCTCGGATATCACCTTGCTTCCAACAACGAGATCTACTTATGTAAGTGCCCCTTGTTTCTCCCCTTTCCTTCGGCAAATCTAGATCTGTATCAGGCTACAGTGGCCAGATATTCCAACACCGAATCTTGATCTCTTAAGATTTTTTGTCTTGTCGAAACATCCATGCCTTTTCGAGGCCCGTGCTGATTATTTATTTGCAGATGGGTGGTAGTGTACCCGGCAAGGCGTTCGAGCAGGTCAATTATGCAGGTGGCATTCCCAAGTACATCGATGAGATTCGGGCTGTGTTACCGAATTTCACGGGCTTTGAGACTGTGGCGGCGTAGAGAGGCAGAGAGGTGTGCGGTGCGGTGTTTTCGGTGTAAGGATAGTTCGATAATTGATGGTGGGGCCGTTGCAGTATAAGAGAAGGTTTGAAAAATCCAGAATTCCAGAATGGCCAAAGTATTTGAACTCAGTATTCTGCTATTTCAGTGATCGAGAGGGAATTGAAACAGAACAGCATTCACAAAGCCAAGCAATCTTTACCCAGATTCTCAATGGACGGTTAAGATACCCTCAATATCAATCGAATAGAGCGAGGAGCAAACCAAACGGTATCATATTTCCACCCATGAATAAGTTCCTTGAGGTACATATCATCGGCTCCATTGTCCATGTCCTATCCATACCCGTGTCCATTCAAACTGAGGTGCTATGAAATATCTCCAAGATGACCGGAGCCGAGCCATTGGATTCCCTGAAAACAACCGGAGAGCAACTCCTATCTTCCAACACCCGTGTTTGTTCAATCATATCAATACATTGAAGAATCATGTGCGTTCTTCCCAATTCTCTCCTAACCTTGCGCTACGCCGTATCGTCCTCCCTATGAGTTCTGGATCGGTCTAATACTTTCAGTCCATCCTCAAAGGACCAAGCTGTGTCATGAAAGTCGAAATCATTTTTTGCTGTCCATGTACATCTTGGCCAAACCAGTGACGATTGGGGCGACCACTTTGTAGTGCTTTTGGCCTTGCTCGTAGACTTTGCTGATGTCATCTAACGAGAAGCCCTTTTTCTTCTTGTGGTCTCGATCTCTGTCCCGGTCTCGGTCTCTGTAGTCCCTGTCACGATCAGAGTCATGGCGGTGACGGTCATGGTCACGATCGCGATGGTCTCGGTCTCGATCTCTGTCTCTGTCTCTGTCTCTGGCACGATCGTAGCGTCTGTGACCTCGGTCGGAGGCGTAACCATCGTCTCGACGAGATCCACTACCTCCGCGATATCTGCGATCGTCATAGTGGCGGTCATCATCCCTCCTCCGTCTCATGGCGTCACGGCCGTCGGATTTATATCCTCGGTCACGATCGGAGTATCTGTCTTCGGGACTGCGATGGCGAGGAGGGCGTGGCTCACCGTCGTACTGGTCATCGTGGCGACGGCGGTCGGGTTCTCGATATGTTTTGGCACGTCGTGGTGGTTCTGGGTCAAAGTCGTCGTAGTCATCTTTCGGTCTGCGTCTCAAATGTCTGCCTTTATGTTCGTCACCGTCGCTCATTGTGGCTTCCGATGCGGGAATAGGCTCGCGGTATCCTTTGGACCGGCCATAGGCGACACCTCCGCCTTCTCTCTTGTGATGAGGTACTGGATCAAGATCGTCGTCACCGGAGAAGCTTCTTCGCCGAGGTACGGCAGTGTTGGACTTCTTTGGCCTGCTATCGCCCTCTTTTTCATAGGGATACTCGCGGTAGGGAGGAGGAGAGTTTTTCAGATCCCGAGTGGCTATCTTCTCACCTCCGCTTGGCTCTACATCGCGAGGGCCGAGGTCCTTCCGGCGGCGACGTTCGTCACGCAGGTCGGAAGTATGTGGTGCTGGGACTGGGGAAGTATCATAGCGAGAATGACGAGAAGCAGATTTGCGAGCATCAGCGTAGTCGTTGTCGTCTGGGTATCGGAGGCCGCCGTCGTGATCATATCCTGGGCGGTCTCGACGTGGACGAGGAGCGTATTCGTCATTAGAAGGCATTGTAACTGATTGATTGATTGAATGGGGTTGATTATAGAAAGGAAGAAGTTGAAGAAGAGCAGGCGGCAAATGCAGGAGGCACGAAGAGAATGATTTTAAGAGTTGGCAGTGTTTCGAATCAAATCAGCAGATGGAGTTGCGAGATCATTTGGCGGCAATCCAATGCCCCACCACCTCAGAATACGGCCAGAGTTCAGCTGGTGTATTGACCGTGTTCTGGCTCTGAATCGTGATTGTGTGTACAGCGGACGGTGACTCGCAGTTATTTCTCTCAGCTGTGTTGTCTACGTCATGTGGCCCAGATTTCCTAGATGCACAGTGCGGCAGATGCAGGGCTTTTTTGCCTGCGAACATGCTTTCGTCTACCCCTGGGGCTTCTTCCCCCCTGCTTACGTATCGTACAACGAAAATTCACCGGCAGGTCCAGAAGAAATATATCCTCCCCCGACATTGGCATGACGCGGCGTCATTTTCCCCAATTGCTCGGTGTACCTTGTTTTGTGTGACTCATCCTCATTCGAATTACCCCGGAATTCAGGGGCATCCTGCTCAGCCATTCAGGCATCCACCTTGAAGATCGGATGCTTTTCTGCTGGGCTCTAACGTCCTTGGCTCCTGGCAAAGTTGGACAAAAAGATCATAAGTCACAAGTTCTGGGCCTTGGAATCACCATACCCGATAAACTACTTAGGTCAGAAATCAGCCGATGTGCAAAGACCCCCTGCACCAGGCACGCCGCCAGGCTCTCCCTCCTCTCGCTCCGTGCCGATGGCACCCTTGCCACTCCTCCTAGTCCTCCAGGCCTTCGGCCCTGAGCCACACCTGACATCTCCGAGATTTTGTTCGAGCAACTTAGAGACCCGATATTCTCGGAACTTATAGTCCACGCAGATACGTTTGGTACGTGGCAAATCTGTCATGGTGTCAACACTTCAAAATCCAAAAATCTAATTCCACCCTCTACCCCTGTGGATTCGTGGAATTGTTTTCTGGACACATCCGCTGCTGGGGACTTTGAGACTCGAATGTATCCAGGTGTCACGTGACCTCAGGATGCCCATCGGAGTGCAGCAGGACGCCCCGAAGCCAGCCAAATATCTCCCAATTGTCAGCCAGTGCACCCCTGGCAAACCTCACATCAACAACCATCCAGATCTAATCCCCATGGAAGTCTGGTATAATACCCAAGGTACTACGCGGTCCTTCTATAGATGGAACTCTCCGCTAACATGTCCCCACTATTCACGTCGATTTTAATGTCAACTACTGGACTTGTTGTGCTTTAAGTTGGTCGTTTCATACATGTCGAACAGACTCGCCTTCGTCAACTTGTTGAGCTCACAAGGCCGCGATGCCGGCAAGGATGAGGACACGAAGTTGCGTGTGCGGTCTCAGGTCATGAAGAACTTACGGCATAACCAGCGAATAGAAGACCAGAGGAGTCAATTTGAGCATCGAATCCCCCAAGTTTTGCCTTGTTCTTATACTGTGACAGAATATGAAGAATCTCAAGCCCAATCCCCTGTCGAAGCTCAACCATCAAACAAAAGATCGTCTCCAAATTCTTCAGATGATAGAGAAGAAAGAAAACGACAGAGTCTCTTTGTCGTTTCTCCTGCGCCGGAAAGAGAGCAAATCATAAACCTTTCATTTCTGGTTGCTTCACCACCACCCACGGTGGTTCCGGCTTCAAGGTCACCATTGAATGCCTCTTTGCCATCTCAACACATACGGACAGCTGTACCGACTCGAGATCGTGCTCAGACACCAGGGCAGCCATCGCTACTGGACCCGCAACCCCGGAGGGCGGAGGCTTTTGACCAAGACACCGCACTAGGTTTTCCCTTCTCCCCACACGGATGGCAAACTAGTGGTTCAAGCCCGTCTTCCATAGAACCAGGAGAATTCCACAAGCTGGGTAACTATCTGAGCATCCGACGTGGATACTCGTTGCTGACCAATCTGTGCTCTTTTAGATTTCTATCAGAACCATTAATACTTGTACATTCAGTCAATCGCGTGGGGACCCGAAGATGGCGCCTCGAAACTGAGACACTGTTTCTTGGAGAATTCTTCATGAACAATTCTCTTCACTATGAAACCGGCCCACCTTGGTCACACTTCTGTGATAGAATTTCTTCAGGGAGATCTTCATATATGTATTTGCACAAAAAACCAAAGCCCTCAGCTGGTTGCAACGTGCTATTCGAGAGACCGTACGGAATCCTCCAGCCGAATTCCTTGATGCTGGTTTGTTGGTCCTTTCGTTCGAACTATGTAGAGTAGATTGAAACGGAAATCTTTCCAACGAGTCACTGCCAATCGGAGACGTTGCTAACAGCAAGGCTAGGTGATCAGGTGCAGCGACCCAGTATCAGTCCACCACGATGGCTTGTCCAGACTTGTGGCCTTCACAACAACCTTTCAAATGTTACCGGACACGCCCACGCCCTCATGCCAGCTATCATCACGTTTGTGCTCTGCCGCTTCATTCTGACCCTTTGTGCAGGTGCGATCTCATACTAGCAGCTACCTGGCCAAGATGTCCCCGATGTGTTTATCAATATCCTGGTCTAGGCTTTTCAAACCACCCAAAGTCAATTGTCAAATTCAACCTGTCTTTCGATGATCGGTGAGACTGGAAACGCTCAATCCCCAACCTTTAGTGAGCCCGACTTTGGTCTCGTCGACTATAAAACCCAACCATCAACCTCAGCGAGCGCACGATTTCTTCTTACCGTCCTCCAGGCTTCACGGCCAGCGACCGACATTTTCTTACGAGCCACGATACGAAGCACTAGGGAGCTTTATTGAATGAAGTCGCTTGTCTGCGTCGCGTGGAATACCGTATATCTATCTCTGGGTGTAAGTTTTGTGTTTTTCTGCAGAATCTATCCAGAAAATAAATCCAAATTGTTCTCCCACATATACATTACTTACCAGCGCAGCCGCAGCCCAGTCCCATCCCAAGAGACAATACCTGATGGCAGAACTTGTCAGATTTGGCTTCAGTATTGTTCTTGAGCAAGTTGAGGACTTCCGACGTATGTTGATTGCTTTACGCATCTGGGGAAAACAATTGTTTCGGCCACTAAACACACACTAACAACCAGGGTCAGGGATCGTCACGGATCAAAGCCTATGACCCATGCCTCCTTTTCCATGAAGAAGTTCGCTGTTGTGTGTACCGTGATCATGCAATGATGGTTGATACCTTCCGTCTTGTCGTATACCTTCAGCCTTGCTGAAAATGCAGATTATCCATCACAACCGACGATAACGAAATATGTTGGCACTAGCCCTAGTCAATCCAGCTCATAGCTGATACCTCTTGATTGACTCAACTATCTCATGGAGGCTGGAGGCATAGAGCGGCCAAAATACTCAGGTCCGTGGGGGAAAGCCGCCAATCGTTTCTACTCTCCCCCCTTCTCCTTTTACCGCACGGCGCGCAAGGCGGCCTTCCGACAACTGCCAAAGAAGAAGAATAACTTGACGTGTTGCCATTCACCGACAATTTGACCGATTGTGAATTTGCAGACCGCCAGGGCAGGAACGGGCAGGGTTAGATGCAGGGAGCCCTCCCTTCTCGGCGCTGCCGAATCTTTCTTTCTCCCAATGTTTCTGGCAGATCTCTTCTTTAATGACATCCACCAAATATTTCTTCACCGAGATGGTTGAACTTTACACCATCTTCGACGACACCGACTTGGAAACTGCCGAGCTCATCCTTCAATTGCAACTCGAAGATGTGGAGGAAGCACGCAAATGCTCCAAAAGGAAAGATCGCGAAGATCATGTCAACGACGCCCAATTGGCGCTGTGTTTACTCGAACAGAACCTCCAGTCCCTCAGCTCCGTGGTTGCCGACAAAAAGATGACCCAAAGCATTGCTACTGCTGTGAAAGCTGATGGATCATTGATTGCCAGTGTTGTACATGAGGAAGAGGTGGCATGCGGTGATCATACCATGGCGCTCCGCCTGAGCGGCAGTAATGTAACATCCGAGGTGAAGCTACAACCTGGTAACCTCAACGGGAAGATCCTTTCAAAGCTCGCTGGGATGTATATGCCTGGAGATGTCGGGGAAGATCTGTGCAAGACTAACTCAGGTGGAGGCGAAGATAACCGAGCTGAAAGTTCCGCTACAGCAGAAAAACGTCCTGATACACGCGAGCTGTGGTGCACGGCTTGCAACGAGCCCAAGAGATATTTCGACGTCCTGGAAGCCTCTTGCGGTCATGGTTACTGCAAAGCGTGTCTGCAGGAACTCTTCGAATTCTCAACCAAGGATGAATCACTATTCCCTCCTCGCTGCTGCAGAGAGCCAATTGATGAAGATGAAGCGCAGATCTTTCTCACGAAAGAAATCAAGGAGAGGTTCGAGCACGCGAAGGTCGAATTCGGCTGCTCTAACAGAACGTACTGCTCACTAGCAACCTGTTCGGCATTCATTCCAAACGACCAAATCGCCGGAGACACGGCAACTTGCCGGCATTGTGGAACAGATACCTGTGTCATTTGTAAAGCTCGAGCGCACCATGGAGATTGCCCCGACGACATTGCACTTCATCAAACACTGGTTCTAGCAACGGAACAAGGATGGCAGCGCTGTTACTCCTGCCGGCGTCTAGTTGAACTCGATATGGGTTGCAATCACATGAGGTAAATACTAATCCTTTCTCTTCTCGGAACCATCGCTGATCTCCCAAGCTGCCGATGCGGTGCTCAATTCTGTTACGTATGCGGTGCCCGTTGGAAGACATGTCGCTGCCCCCAATGGAATGAAGATAGGTTGCTCGCTCGGGCCAATCGTCTTGTTGACCGCGATGTGCCAAATTTGGCTCCCAATAACCCGGTTCGAATCGAAAGAGTCACAAACGCTACAGTGATGTTGAGAACCAGACACAACTGCACCCACGCCAGCTGGCGATATATTCGTGGCGAGCATAATTGTGAAGAATGTTGCCATACTTTGCCAGAGTACATCTTCGAATGTCATCAATGTCGGATCCAGGTCTGCAATCGGTGCAGACGGAATAGGCTTTGAGAGAATGGATCCGTGCTAGACCAGACCGCCGCGTTGGAATAGAGCCCTTCCTGAGATAGTTAGAAATAAGTCCTCACTTGGAGAACGGGACAAATTGCAAATGACGTCATTGCAGTGGGGGTTTTCGGCCTTGTGCGGCAAAGACTCTCATTGGCAGAATTGACCGCTGCAGAGAGTTCACATCCCCGTCCAATTTTCTTTCCTGCTCAACCTCTCGTCGTTCACGGATACAGTAATCTCCGACCACCAAAAAAAAAAAAACAACTCGCGCCTCTCACATCCTCGAATATCTATGCGCTCCACCCTCCGTCTCCTGGCCACGACCGCTTCAGCATCAACGAGCTCGATAAAAACACCCACACGCCTACGCAAACGAGTCCCAACCCTCTCTCTCGAGCACTTCATCCAACGCCAACGTGTGCTCTCGCTCTGGCGCACAATCCTGCGCAGCGTATACCGGATCCCAAAAGACCAGCGCAAAGAAACGATTGCCTATGTACGTGGCGAATTCGAGCGCAACCGACATGTCGAGGATATTTCTCAGATTAGATACTTGATTTCGACAGGCAAGGCGGAGTTCGATGCCATGAAAAGGTATATTGATGAACTTGCTTCGAAGGACCGGTGAAGAGAGAGGATTGCCCGTCTTACCGAATGCCCATGGGAGCGTGACTGAACAAATATAGGCCAATCGAGGTGAGATACTCCGTGCCGGTGGTTGTCTTTGCCATACCACGTCGGTGTTGTAGTATGAAAGAATACTGGAACAATAGAGCTGGACTTGGATGCAAGGGGACGCTCACCGAGAGAAAAAGAAGGGATGTCACTCTGGGGTCGATACGAGCCAAGTCGAGGTCTTCCAAACCGACAAGAGACGCTGTCGAACAAAAAGCCACGTGCGTTGAAAAACGGGGCGAAACGTGCACCTGTAACTTCTACATAAGAAGCTCTCTGTGTCATGGTCGTTCTCATGCTCGGGGTCTTGTTGCCCCACATCAAACAGAAGATTTGATCTGAACGTCCGGGAGAAGACTTCAGGAAGCAGAAATTGGGTGGTGTTTAACCATGGAAGATTTCCCATCCATCTCCGAGTACACCGGCCTGACACCAGGGAGGTGATACTCTCAATTTTCTGTACAATCAACATTCTGGATTCCAGAGACATGAAATGACCATCATAATATTGTGACAAACCGATTTGCCCTTTCAGAACCTTTTCCAGGCATCCTTCGTTCTTTTCCCCCACATTCCTGGTCCCCATCCAATACTGATAACTTCCTCCTTAACACTTTTATTCCAGAACTGCCACGAGGAGCTCTGATTATTCTTCCCCTCGCCCTCGCTCACAGCCTGCTGTACCGCCTGACTCACACTCTCCTTCCCGCCTCGCGCCATCTTCTCGGCCTTCTCTTTCACGTCCCTGGCCTGATCCATTGCCGCCTTCGTTTCCTTCTCCACCTTCTCCCTCCACAATCTATCCTCCTCGTCTCTCGCCTCCAATTCCTTCAACCACTTCTCACGTTTCTCGGCCGTCTTCTTTTCCTCCAACTTCTCCTCGAAGGCCTTCCGCCTCAGCCGCTCGTCCTTGTAAAATACACTGCCCGCAACGAGTGCTACGAGCGTGAAGCCCTGAGCGTAGATACGCGCACGGAACATCCGGTTGGTCTGGTGATGGTCGCCGGCGCGGATGGATTTGGACGCCATGTATAGGGCATAGCAGGTCGCGGCGCAGCCGATGGGAATCAAGGGCTCTTGACGTAACTTGCGCCAGAGCTTTTGCCAGCGGTTTTCTTCGAAGAACTCTTGGTCCATGCTGGAGGGGAGATTGGAGGGGGAGAGAAGGGAGGAATCGGAATCGGACATTTTGACGGCGCTCGGTGGAGTTAGAACTAGAATTGATTTTTAGGTACAGATTGAGGATTGGTTGGGGTTGATGCAATGTTCGCGTTGTATTTGATATGAAGTTGATGTTCGTCGAGAGCTCCCAAAATGGTATCGTGACGTCGATTGTGCAGGGCGAATCAGAAACGTGCTCGCGGTGCACAGATTGTCGTAGTAGCACGCCACTTTGCTTCCAAAATTTCTGGAGGCCGTTGAAAGGATCCGAACTACACTCCCAGGAAGAGGATTGAGAATGGAAGTCGATCAAGATGCGGACCCAGCCTGTGAGTTTGCTTAAGCAAGATATCTGAACCCCGTTCGGCGACCTAGAGCCCGCGTTCAAGCTCAGATGACATCGGCCCGGAAAACGAGACTAACTAAATGCAGGGACAGGAAGAGGTGCCCCCCACCCAAAAAAAAGGCGGTGCGGAGGAGCCCAAGGAAATTTTGTTGATATTGGACTCACTCATTGTTGAGCTTCAAGCACGGGATTGCTATACGACACAATTCATACCATAACTCGGAATCTGGAAACATCCATCGGCTCTATACTTACAGTCCACAATGGACACTGCAGAACCTTATGTCAATGGGACAATGACCCCCTCCACGCCACAGCGGTCCGGTCTAGCATTAACAGAATACACCGCAATGCCTACACCACCTTCTGAACGAGCAGATATCCCTTCCTACGATGTCCCACGAGACTTCCTTCTCCCCACCGGCTACCCCGACTACCTCCGCCTGATCCTCACTTCCCGAGTCTATGACGTCGTCAGTGAAAGTCCACTTTCCCACGCCGTCAATCTGTCCAACCGTCTAGAGTGCAAAGTTTTGCTGAAAAGAGAGGATCTCTTACCGGTCTTCTCCTTCAAATTGCGAGGGGCATACAATAAAATGGCACATCTGCCGCCCAAGATCAGTTGGAAAGGCGTCATTGCTTGCTCGGCGGGCAATCACGCTCAAGGCGTAGCTTACTCGGCGCGACATCTCAAGATCCCGGCTACCATCGTCATGCCCTCAGGGACGCCAGCTATCAAGCACATGAACGTCAGCCGAATGGGCGGGAATGTCGTGCTGCATGGACCGGACTTTGACTCGGCCAAGGAACACTGTCACGCTCTGGAGAAGCAGTATGGGTTGACGAACATTCCGCCCTTTGACGATCCATATGTCATTGCTGGACAGGGCACGATCGGGATGGAGCTGTTGAGGCAGACTTCGTTGCAGAAGTTAGAGGCGATCTTCTGCTGCGTCGGTGGAGGCGGGCTGATTGCGGGCATCGGGGTCTACGTGAAAAGAATAGCGCCGCAGGTCAAAATCGTCGGCGTTGAGGCGTCAGATGCGAATGCGTTGGTGGAGTCATTAAAAGTTGGCAAGAGAGTGCTGCTGGGAGAAGTTGGTCTGTTTGCGGATGGGGCGGCCGTCAAATCGGTGGGAGAAGAGACGTTTCGACTCTGTCAGGAGGTAGTGGATGAGGTGATCGAAGTCAGTACAGACGAGATCTGTGCTGCGATTAAGGACGTCTTTGAGGATACTAGGTCCGTCCTGGAACCAGCCGGAGCTTTGTCTCTGGCAGGATTGAAGAAATGGGTGGCGCAGAATCCATCCGTGGATCCCACCAGAGAACTGGTGGCTGTTGCAAGTGGCGCTAATATGAATTTTGACCGATTACGGTTCGTGGCCGAACGTGCTTCACTTGGTGAGCAGAAAGAAGCTTTGCTGACGGTCACAATACCTGAACGGCCGGGGTCATTTGCTCAATTGGTCGAAGCAGTCCTCCCTGGAGCAGTCACCGAGTTCGGCTATCGCTATGCGAGTCAGGACCACGCACATGTCTTGATGGGCATTTCAGTATCCTCTGCGGGCGCAAGAACTAAAGAATTAGACTCGCTCTTCTCCCGCCTCGCTGCCGAAGGCATGACTGCCAAAGACATCTCGGACGATGAACTGGCCAAAACCCATATTCGATACTTGGTTGGTGGACGTTCCGGCATCCAAGACGAGAGGATATATATGTTCGAATTCCCCGAGCGGCCAGGGGCGTTGTTCAAGTTCCTTCAGACCCTACGACCCGGCCAGAACATCACTTTGTTTCATTACCGTAACTATGGCGGTGACTTGGGCAGGATCTTGGCTGGTATTCAATGCCCTGACTCTGAGCGAGATCAACTAGAGGGATTCCTTGGGGATATTGGGTATCCGTTCAAAGAGTGCTCGGATAGTCCTACCTACAAGATGTTTTTGCGAGACTAGATGCAAAATGGTTTCGAAATTAAAAAATAAAAAAGGCCCAAGTCGGGATGGTGGATGTTGTACGCAGATAGAGATACCCTGGCATGGCGTTGAGTGAGGATAAAATACCAGGAATTCCACTGTAGATACGGAGACCCGCGTTTCGAATGAATGAATCATATTATTTGGAGAGCAAAACTACAGCGCCCGTCGGATAAGTGTTTTCGGGTCATATACTACTGACGATTCTTCTTTGCGCTATTCAAATATCCTCGCACAAAAGAAATTCACATCCCGTCCGACGCCGATGTAAAGTTTTAGAGATACTGTTTGCCACCCAAACATTTCCACCATCAACACATTGCACCTGGTTCTCCTGTGGATTGACAAGGCGGACAGGTCGTAGTTTCAGCTGCATGAGAACTTCCAAGTCCAAGAAAAGGCATCGAGACGAAAGCAAGCACCTACAGGTGAAACCTCCAAAACGGCCATGAGAAGATTTCAAACCAATCTTCCACATGGATTCGGATTCAAGTTACGTCGGAGAAAGCGAGGACAGTATTTCTTCACCCGACCCTCAACTTCCCGCTTCACCACCGCCACCGCGACAAAGGATACCGAGCCGTCGTAATCCCCACCAGTCGCCTTCCAGCGCCTCCATCTCACAACGAATCATTCCCTCTTTAGCAGATAATCCGTTCGCGCAAGGTGAGGATGCAGAAACATACTTCACCCGACCCAATCGGTATTTTGGGCCGGCTTCGACATGGAGATCTTGGACCGAGCGGGAGAGAACCGCGGCTCTCAGTATTGACCGGCTGCGCAGTCAAGATCTTAGCCTCCATCTCTTCAACGCGGTCGGATTGAAACGGAAAGCTCAAGAATCTTCGGACGGCAGAAAACTGAAGCAGAGCAAGAAGGCCAAGGGGAGAGCCTCGTCGGTGCTTTCGACCGCTACAGGTGACGACGAAGAGAGAGGGTCTCGGGGACGACCGACGACTTCTACTCTGCCTAAATCGTGGACAGCTTGGCCTATGCCTCCTGATCAGGTGCCGAGGGAGGAACTGCTTCCACGGATAGGAGAAAGCGGGGAGTTTCGTACAATGGTTGATACGAGACCGAGTTCGAACTTGGAGGAATGTCTTGTAGCTACCGCGACGAGGCTCGCGAGGGAAAGGTGGGATGCACGCCCGTGGGAGGATCCGGGGTCCGAAATGGGAATGAGAAGTGGGACGAAGACTGATCCAGAAGAGATTGATGGTGCTTCGCAGACGCCCGAGTCAGCTGACGAGAGTCAAGAGGAAGAGGAAGTAGCATCGATGTCTGGAGACGACGATTTGCCGATGTTTTCTTCTCAAACTTTCTCTACTTCGGACGAGGCTGATGATCAGCCAGCTACAGAAGTCGAAGAAGAAAGTGACAATGAGAGCAGTGAAGTGGACCGGCGTCCCGTCCCACTCGCGGACGAGGAGAACGCACGCCAATATCTTATCCCCAGTGCAAGACACATCTTGACCAAACTCGACGATCTGCTGCTCGGTTTGCACAAGGCGCGGCATGCCTACGCTGCGAAACCTCCCGGTAAACAGCGAGGACGGTATTTCCAGACAGCCCAGGGGAGCGAGGGAGAAGCGCGAAGTCGATCTCAGTCGCGAGCCCGGAAGAGAAAGCGCTCCTCATCGACGAACTCAGTGGCATCAAGTGCCTCGGCTACGTCTACTACGTCAGGAAAGCGATCCCGTCGAGTCGGGAAACTAGGCTTGCGAGACTGGAGCGATGTCATGGGCATGGCATCCTTAACTGGTTGGAATCCTGCGGTCGTGGAGAGAGCCAGTGAACGTTGCGCAAGATTGTTTGGCGAAAACATGCTCTTCCGCACATTTCACCCGGGCGACGCCAAAGAAGGAAAGGCCTCGTACTTTACCGAACATCTTGCTCTGGAATCCGAGGGATCGGTCGAACCTGATGACGGAGACCAAGAGGGAGATGTCCGGGCACTCCGCACCTCAGTGCCGTGTGAGAATTGTCGAGGCAGACGAATGAATTGTCAGCCTGCCGATATGCATGGTGGAAATTTCAGACCATGCAAGAATTGTCTGGACATGGAGATCGCCTGTTCTGGTATATCAGTCAAAGTCTGCACCGCCCATGGACGATTCTGTCCCCACCAGTCCTGCCCCAGGCACATGTTCCCGTTTCGAAAGCAACATCATCTCCAAAGGCATCTGGCCAATGTGCACCGGTCTGCCTCAGAAGATACGAAGTTCCGGGGAAGGAGAAGAAGCATGCCGTCATCTGCGAGGGCGAGCGTGGATGTTAGTGACGTTGACGTCTGGCCCGGTGCAGGATCTGCGCCTGTGATAACCTGTCCAGTCCGAACATGTCCAAGAGGCAAGCAGCCGTTCGCTGCGGGGAAGTACTTGTATGATCATGTCAGGAGGATGCATCCTGAGGTAGATGTCCAGGAATTGAAGAGGTTGGAAAGTAAGAGGCGAAGCGAGAGGAGAGGGCGGTGGAAGGATGAGAGGCGGCATAGGAGTGTCAGTCGGAAATCGTCGAGGAGGAAACAGACGGATGGGGAGGCAGACGACGACGAAGAAGAAGAGAATCATGAGCTGTAAACTGCTCAGGCTGGGGAAGTTCTATGTAAATGGGTACGTGGTAGTCGGTTCGTATTCTGATTGGCCCACCACACATCCATATGCTTACGAAATCATCCTGACAAGGCTCTTCAACCTTGTCCATCAGATACCAGACAACCCATGGGTGATTTCTTTCTTCCTCCGTTGTCTCCAACAGTCTCAAGAAAATCAGCAACAGACCCTCGCTTCATGAACGAATGACCGGTGTCTTGGGACATCCATCCGGGCATTTTCCTCCATTGTTGTGCTTCTCAATGACGTCGCTCTTCCCTTCGCCTTTGCAATGCCGACTTCAACATCAACATCAGTCGTATCCGCCCAGTCCCGGCCTCCGCCATCATCAATACAGAATGGAAATGGAAAAGTCCCACTTAAACAGATGCGAAAGGGCACCAAGTCCTGCCAGGAATGTGCGTTGCTTCCGTTCACCCAGGAATTTCGCGGTCCCGCTGCTACTAGCTTCGTCGGCGAGATGATTTGTTGGAAGTTTGCCCGCTGTGCGGAGAAAGCAGTGAGATTTCAATATACTGGCACAGTTTCATTACTGCCACAAATACTGATCTGGAACGCTCCACAATCCATGCCCTTCAGTCTCAGCATTGGCGTGACGACACCCTCTCACAACCCTCCCCCGACTCTCTCTCTCTCTCGTCATGCCTCTACCAACCACTGGCAGTCTTCCTGATTGTATCTAACCTTGTATGTAAACAGGTCGCCGCCGCAAAATAAAATGCAACTGGCCTCCCCCTTCCGATTCTAATGATGGTGATGACCCATCCAATTCTGCCGCCCAGGCACCTCAACCGGCCTCTGCGGATACACTGAAGAAATGCATCGAATGCACCACACACAGACGCACATGCGAAGTCCAAGGCTACGTAGACTCGAACCCAGGCACATCAACCGTCACCTCTCGATCCTCGAAACGGATTTATAAGCGGCGAAGAGGAGTCGGAGAGAACTCGACTTCGGAAGGTTCTTGTCTTCACCAGGATGGTCGCAATAGGACCACCAATAGCAGTATCGGTGATGACGACAGTGATCAACCCCGGATGAAAATCCACGTCGCTAGAATGGATCCTTTCGTGCATAGACTGGCCCGAGAGCGAGAGTTAGGCTTGGACTTGCAATGTGCCAAGCCTCGTGAGCCAATGCCGACTGTGAACGGGGATAATGCTCCAGGTCTCGAAGCAAGAATTTCCTCAGACAAATCATTACGAGACCAGACTCAGGCTCCAGAGCAAGAATCAAAGGGAAATGGCACCGGCAGCGGATTGCCTGTTGAAGATCAAGCGAGGAAATTGAGCCCGTTGCTCTCACAGCTGTTCAGTAATGAGATGGTATGCTTCCTCCCCCCTCCATTTCTCACACAGTCTGAGCATATTCATTTCCTTTCCCCATCTTTCCCACTACTTTGTCACGCAATTTCCTCTCTACATTAACCTTCAAGTTAAAGCTCATTCTAACCCTTCTCCACCATCTATCCAGCTCACTCAAATCTCATTCGCCCCCAATGGCACCCTCAGTCACAAAGTCCAACGTCTCACTTTCACGCCTAACCCCAATTCCTCGACCACCTCTGCCACCCTAGCAAGCGACGTGGACAAACTCAACTCTACCATCTCCTCAGAGCCTTATTTGCTCAAAGTCCTCGACATCTCCGTCCACTGGTGGATTTCCTGGCGTGATCAGCCGTTTGCGCTGCATGAGGCGCTTTTCGATCCCCTGGGGCTACCATCACCTCCCCGTTCGGGTTCAGGGTCTGGTTCTACATCATCAAACACCACCAACACCAACACGTCCTCGTCGCCTGGCTCCCGTTCTCAGCAGGGAAGTCCCCAAATCCTTTCTCTCCACGACTTCGTCCGCTTGAAACTTTCCCGATCTGATGATGCCATCTCAGTCGCCACGGGCCTCCTCTGCATCGCCATGTGCCTCCAACAACTCCGACCCGGCGTCGATGATAGTGATTTATACATCACGACTTCACCAACAGAATTATCGGAGCGGATCGTTCTAGCCATCGACACGATTTTGCTGTCTCCCACCTCGAACCCTGCATACATGCGCGACCCGAACATTTTGTTACTTTTGATGATGCGGTCCAAAATGTTCGCGGAGAGTAATCAGCTCAGGAAAAGTTGGTTGACGGTCCGCAAGGCGATTGCAGTCGCGCAAAACATTGGGTTCACGGACCCGCCAATCAGCGAAGAAGGGGCTACGAGAGTCTTCCATCGTCGGCGTTTCCTCGGCTCAATTCTCGAAATAAATCGTTTGATGAGTATGGTACTCGGTTTCCCGCATGTCGAGGACGATAAGTTCACAGATCATCTGGCTCTCGCCGTGCTGAGAGGTCAGGTAACGATTCAAAATGCCGAGCTCAACCCACGAGTCTCAGCCGACATCCAAATGCGAGCGCTTCGGCGTATCGTGGCCATCGCCGCGGGACGAATCAATGACCGTAACGCGAGTGGTGATCCCGATGACTTCAAATTGCAGACGACGATGGCTATTCAAGCGACGCTGAACGAGGCTGCGGCTGCTATGCCTTCGAGCTGGTGGGACGCACAGACACATCTGCAAGGTTCAGATCCTCGTGTTTCGCACGAGCATCTTATCGCCCAGATGTGGTTCTGGCAGGTTCAGGCGTTTCTTCATCTCCCGTTTATGCTGAGACCAAATCCCCACCACGCAGTAGGATTGCCAACTGGATGCGAAGATGATGATCTTAGTTACAGTGGCCACGGGAATGCCCCTTATGATCCGTATGAGATGAACCGATATCTCTGCTTGCAAGGTTGCCGGGGCATGATTCGCGCCTTTAATATCGTCCGCTCCGACCCTTCGTTGGCCGTGTACATCTGCGCATGCGAGGACTTTCAAGGCGTTCTGACTTCGTGCATCTTGATGGTTGGCCTGCTTATCCGCCTCTCTTTCTACCCGGCCGCTGCACATCCGTTACCTCCACTCACCTCGATGGACGATCCCGCCTCCGACCTCGCGCTGATCGAGGAGATCAAGGACATCTTCCGCTACAGAGCATTGCAGCAGGGTGGGTGTATCAGTAAACAAGGGCTGGAGGTGTTGGAGGAATTAGGCTCGTTTTTGGACGATGGTGATTTTGTATCAAGTGGTGGTGATGGGTGCGAGCCCCAAACATGGGAACCCCAGAGAAGAACGGTCATCCTACCTTACTTCGGCGCAATCCATCTCGAGTTGAGGCCACCGAGGCATTTTCGTGGGAGGAAACTAGGCATTGCGGTGCCTGCCCCTCCCTTTGGACCTGATCCATTGTTCGAGCAGCCGCTACCCAGGCCACCGGGTTCAACGGAGCAACCTCCTCTCCAGGGGACCTTTGGGACGACCTCTCCGTATCCTGAAGGACATCAAGGCTCAGGAGAGACCCAGGCACCAGGACAGCCGGCGGGGTGGAGTGCATGTGAGGAGTTCACATTCCAAATGCCCGTGTACGAAGAAAATACGAATTGGGATCAATTCCTCTACGGCGACGAGCTGGGCCGGAATTGGAATGTCGATAGTAATGCTCTCTCCGAATGGCCTGTGGATGAAGGAACTTGGGAGTGGAGTTAAAATGCTTGAGCGTTTCGATAAAAGTCGAATATACAGGCTTTTCACATTTCCGAGATTTTCTTTTCAATCGGGTACATCTCCATGCGCATTCGCCAGCGCGATCCTTCACATCGCGTCGGCATACACAAGGTCGGAATCTTTCCTTACTCGTCTGTAAAATGGTAGTCCGGAGACGTTCGAGTTGTTCAGCGTGGAAATACTGCCTTGACCATAAACTGGGTTCGACGTCGTTCTAATGATGACGAACTTTCTTGTTGTTTGCCCAGCACGGCAAATTCGAGCTTCAGTTTGAATGAGTAGCAGAACGCCTTGAAAACGATTTCGGGCATGTGCAGATTGCGGTACTCAATGGCGAGCAGGGCGATGTCGAGAACGATGATCACGATGTTGATGAGGAATAGCTGCCACATGACGGGGTGGCCGTGTTTTTGGCTCGTGTGTCTTGCCGAGGACATCGACGACGACGTCGAACGGGTACAGGCTCGAAATGATGGATTCCTGCACGCAGAAGCCCGTCATTTGGATCTTCTCGACATAGGTGTAAGCGCGGTCACAGGGCGCCCGTTGTGATGGCGTTGCACAGTACGATCCAAGTACCACGACAGTGATAGTGACGTGGAATACGATCGCGTCGATGATGGTCATCCACTTCACCCATTTCAGGATCCGGTCATTGCCTTTCCCCAATGCCAGGCCCAGACGCGAGTACAAAACCACGATCGGCCCTGTGATCGTCATCCACCAGGCGTAGTCATTGATTACTAGTCTAGCGTCGCTGACCGTGAGGCGAAAACACAAAAGAATCGAGCCGACGACGTAGGGAACTAGTCCGGACGTCGCGATCAAGGCCCCGGTAGGTGCTGATGCGTGAACGTGGATTTTGACTGTTGTGCGGGGGTCGGGTCTTTGTTGCGCCGACTCTCCGTCATCTCAGTTCCTCGAAACATTTTTTCCACGCAGGGCAAAAACGAGATCTATATTCAAGACAACTCATGATTTCGATGCGCCTGGAATGAAGACACATACACGGTCCAATGCTGCCAAACAATCTCCTTCCCCCTTCTCGTCGGGCTGTCTACATTTGCCAGAGCTGTCGGCACCGTCTTCGGTCCCTGGCGGCCTCTTTCACCACGGACCAGAAAAGATGGATCAGCAGAAATCATATTCGAAATATCCAAGCAGCAGAAGAGGAATGGAGAATAAGAGCGCAGGAGATCGAGAAAGGAAATATGAAGTCTATGCTAAATATTCTTGAGGAGAGGGGATTTATCAACCAAATTGTCGGGTACGCAGCCTCACTTCTACCACCCAGGTCCCGCGCATCTGACATTTCAAAGCTCCAAGAAGGACTTGGAACACCTGTTGACCCATCGACGAGTCGGAGTGTACGCCGGTATAGATCCTACTGCCCCCTCTTTGCATGTCGGTCATATGATACCCTTTATGGTGCTGGCCTGGTTCTACATCCACGGCTACGCCGCGCATTTTGTGGTCAGTCAAGTCACCAAATTTCAAGTCCAGCACAGACCGCATACTCACCAGAAGACAGCTGGGAGGTTTCACAGCGCTCATCGGTGATCCGACAGGACGGACGACCGGTCGCGCATTGCAAGATCCTGCTACGCGAAAGGCCAACATGGCAAATATGCACGCACAGCTCAAAAGACTGGGGGCGTCGATTGAAAGACATGCCACACGGCGGGGCTATGTCAAGGAATGGGCCTGGCGGAGGGCTTTGGTCAACAACAACACTTGGTGGGGAACTACCAGTCCAAGAGAGTTCCTATCAGGGATGGGCCGATTGGCTCGGATCGGTCCCATGCTGGGTAGGGATACGTGAGCGCGATGATCTCTCCTTCCTTCCACGGAGATGGAACTGACATCGAGTGCAGAGTCAAAAATCGAATGGAGAAGGGCGACGGCATGTCCTTCGCCGAGTTTAGCTACCCACTCGTTCAAGCTTGGGATTGGTGGTATCTATTTCAAAGGGGCGTCCAGATTCAAATTGGCGGATCGGATCAATTTGGGAACATTCTCGCCGGAGCCGAATTAGTCAAAAAGATGGCACAGGAATCACACGAATATCAAGTGGCTCTGCGACAAACCGAGATTATCGAAGAACAACATAATATCAAGGTTACTTCCGACCCGCTTGGGATTACCGTTCCTCTTTTGACCACGGCCTCGGGTGAAAAGTTTGGCAAAAGTGCCGGCAATGCCACCTGGCTCAGTCCAGAGATGACCAGTATTTTTGAGCTTTATCAGGTACGAGAGCTCGTGTGTTATGACGGGCAGAACTGACAGAACGAGTAGTTTTTCTTACGTTCCGCCGATGCCGATGTCGAGAAGTATCTCAAGTTGTTCACTTTCATGCCCTTGTCAGAGATTGGCGAAGTCATGAATGAGCATGAAACGGATCATTCTAAACGGGTGGCTCAACATAAACTTGCCAAAGAATTTGTCGAGCTCATCTACGGGCTTGATGCCGCTGAACAGGCCGAATCTGAGCACCGACAGCTGTTCAATCCAAATCTCACTGTCGACGACATCACCAAGAGATTGGCTGAAGCGGATTCGGCAAAGCCTGCAGGGACTGAAAAGTCCACATTCACGCACCCTTCTCTGAATGTACGTGCTCAGCCCATGCGACTACATGATAACGCTCCTACCCGAGTCAAAATGCCACGGAGCTTGATCTACCATCAATCACTGCCTTACGTTCTCTGGGCAGTTGGTTTGGTATCGTCTAGGAAAGAGGGCCAACGGCTGATCGGTGCCGGAGGCGTATATCTTGGAGCTAATGCGGATTCGAAAGGTGGAATGGACAATTCTCTGAACTTTACGCCTGCTAAAGCAGGTGGCTGGGAAGAATACTCCAAGTATATCATTGACAAGAATCTACTCATCTTACGAGTGGGAAAGTGGAGACTCAAAGTTATTAGCATAATCCCAGATGCAGAGTACGTGGAATCTGGATTGAGCTGTGCTGCCTGGGAGGAATTCACCGCCAAAGCGGAATCCGAGGCCAGTGATGCGCCTGGACTGGAGCAGAAGTGAGCGAACGATATCAGGCCATCACGAATATGCGGGCTATTCATTGTACTACTAGTTGAACATTAATCTTGTATGTATGTAAAGTTATACGGGACAATCAACCTGGGTGCGGAGCTGAAGACAAGGCTGAATTGTAAAGGGTGCTGGCAAGCGAAAGTAATTCCATACGCGTCGAGTCGGGCCTTTGACGCGCTAAATTCCCCACGCGAATTGCCCATCATTTTTGGGGCACCTCCTTCACCCATTCAATTCCTCTTTCTTTACCTCCTGCCATAGAAGACCACTACCTCAATCCGGTCAGATACACCGGAGGAGGTTTCCTGTGTCTTCAAAATGCCCAAGCAAACTTCCTCAACTCCTGCTTCCACTCCAGCATTGAACAAACCGTCCTCTTCACGTGGTCAAAGAACTCTGTTGGGCTTCTTTCAAAAGACTCCTTCCAGCGGTTCTCCTGCTGCATTGCCTCCTCGGTCGTCCAATACCTCTCCGGTTCCCTCAAAAGGCCGCTCGAAGACTACCGGAGCACCATCTGGGTCTTCTTTGACGCCTGCCCCCAGTAGTGATGCTCTAGAATTAGAAAATGAGGACGACGACGGCGATGACAACAACAACAACAACAGCATCAACAAGGCAAGTTCGCCTCCTTCCAAAGGTCTGCCATCGCCAGTATCCGCTGACGAAAGGCAGACTGATGGAATGGAGGAGCTGACCGCTCGCGGAACGCCGTCACGGAGGGTAAGACAGAACGCTTTTCATCTCCGGACCATTCTAACCATTGAATAGGCAACAAAGAAGACCATCAATTACATCGAGTCGGACAGTGAAGGCACTGACAATGACGATGTATTCAAGCCTACGCCTGCGTCCCGGGCTCGACCTACCAAACGGAGAAGAGTCTTGGATAGTGCGGATGAAGATGTCTATGAGCAAGAGAATGAAGACGGGCCAGATGATGGTAGACATCCCGCACCCCACTTAATTTCATGTACTAATAAGAGCAGATCTCGATGATTTTATCGCCCCTGACGACTCGGAAGACGAAATACGTCGTCCTACGAAACGCAAACGCCCGTCTAATCCAGTTTCACGCAAATCTTCCTCTCATTTCACACCGTCGGTTAATGAAGCGGATGTCGACGGAGACGTGGATCTTCTTGAATCCTCAACTGCTCGGCAATGGACATATGATCCTGAAAATCCACAGCCTTTGCAATCACGGTCTTCCAACATTCCCTCTAAAACGCCAGGTGATCAAGGAAAGAAATCCAAGGCCCACATGACCGATCCAGAAGAACGACATGCGTGGCTTGAAGATATCAGAGATCTTGATCGAAATCCTCCAGGTCATCCAGACTACGATCCTCGTACGCTGTACATTCCACCAATGGCGTGGGCCAAGTTCTCCCCATTTGAGAAACAGTACTGGGAAATCAAACAAAAGTTCTGGGATACTATCGTGTTTTTTAAGAAGGGAAAGTTCTACGAACTCTATGAAAACGATGCAACTATTGGCCATCAGTTGTTTGATTTGAAATTGACGGATCGTGTCAATATGCGTATGGTGGGCGTTCCAGAGTCAAGTTTAGAAATGTGGGCGAATCAGTTCGTCGCCAAGGGATACAAGATTGCTCGCGTTGATCAACAAGAGACCGCATTGGGGAAGAATATGCGTGAGCGAGACGAAAAGTCAAGCGGCGCTGCTAGCAAAAAGAGCAAAGACGACAAGGTCATCAAGAGAGAGCTTGCTTGCGTTCTGACTGCCGGCACTCTGGTCGACGGAACAATGCTGCAGGATGATATGTCTACTTATTGCGTTGCTATCAAAGAGTCCGAGATCGATGATATGCCGGCATTTGGAGTAGCCTTTGTCGACACGGCCACTGGACAGTTCAACATATCTCAATTCGTCGACGATGCAGAAATGACCAAATTCGAAACTTTTGTCGCTCAGACAAGACCCCAGGAAATTCTTCTTGAGAAGGGCGGGGTGAGTATGAAGACTTTGAGAGTCCTCAAGAACAATACTGGCCCCACAACCATCTGGAATTATTTGAAACCAGGTAAAGAATTCTGGGAGGGTCATATCACAGCCAAGGAGATCGAGGCCAGCGATTATTTCCCCATGGATTGGCCCGAAGTCCTTCAACAGGCCAAAGAACAGGATCTCCTGATGTCCGCCCTCGGTGCCTTAATTCAATATTTGAGAACTCTCAAGATTGAGCGAGACTTGGTGACCATGGGCAACTTTACTTGGTATGATCCGATTCGCAAGGCCACCAGCCTTGTCCTCGACGGTCAGACCTTGATCAATCTGGAAGTTTTCTCAAATTCCTACGATGGAGGAAGTGAAGGGACTCTCTTTCAACTTCTCAACCGTTGCATCACACCATTTGGGAAACGCATGTTCAAGCAATGGGTATGCCATCCTCTAATGGATACCAAGAAGATCAATGCGCGTCTCGACGCTGTCGACTCTCTCAACGCCGACACCAAAGTTCGCGACCGTTTTACTTCGCAAATGACCAAAATGCCCGATCTTGAAAGGTTGATATCTCGCGTCCATGCCGGAACTTGCAGAGTTCAAGACTTTGTCAAAGTTCTGGAAGGCTTCGAACAAATTGACCATACCATGTCACTGCTACGCGATGGCGCCGGAAATGCACAAGAAAGTGAGGGCGTCATTGGCCAACTCATTTCCGCCATGCCAGATCTTCAGCCTCGTCTCAAATACTGGATGAATGCCTTCGATCGCAACAAAGCCAAGGAGACAGGTGTCTTGGTCCCCGAACGGGGTATCGACGAAGATTTTGACGACTCGCAGGACGCCATTGAAGCCATCCAAGAGGAGTTTAATGTTCTTCTCCGCAAGTGGCGCAAAGAATTTGGTTCCAGTGCCATCTGCTATCGCGACAATGGCAAGGAAATCATGCAATTGGAAGTTCCGATCAAAGTCAAAAATATTCCGAAAAGTTGGGATCAAATGTCTGCTACGAAGCAAGTGAAGAGATATTACTTTCCCGAACTTCGCTCGCTGGTCCGCAAACTCCAAGAGGCACAGGAGACACATTCACAAATCGTCAAGGAAGTGGCAGGGCGATTCTATGCCCGGTTCGATGAGAGTTACGAGGTCTGGCTCGCCAGCGTCAAAATCATTGCTCAACTTGACTGTTTGATCTCTCTCGCCAAGGCAAGTTCCAGTCTAGGCTATCCTAGCTGCCGACCCGAGTTCATCGAAGATGTCGATTCGACTCGTTCGACACTGGAACTTATTGAACTCCGCCACCCCTGCCTCCTGACCAAAGTGGACGATTTCATCCCCAATGATGTGATTCTAGGTGGCTCAAATGCCAACCTCACTCTGCTCACGGGTGCCAACGCAGCAGGCAAATCTACGGTGCTACGAATGACTTGTATTGCTGTCATTATGGCACAAATCGGCTGCCACCTCCCTTGCCAGTTTGCGCGCCTTACCCCGTTTGATCGCATCATGTCTCGTCTCGGAGCTCAAGATCACATCTTCGCCGCTCAGTCGACATTCTTCGTTGAACTGGCTGAGACGAAGAAAATTCTCTCCGAAGCGACACCGCGCAGCTTGGTGATCCTCGACGAGCTAGGCCGTGGGACGTCGTCACACGATGGCGTCGCCGTCGCACAAGCAGTCCTGCACCATCTTGCCTCCCACATCGGCTGTCTGGGCTTCTTCGCTACACACTATCACTCTCTGTCCGCTGAGTTCAGGGGCCATCCTGAAATTGCGCCACGCCGCATGAAGATTCTTGTCGACGACGAGCAACGTCGCGTCACTTTCTTGTACAAGCTCGAACCGGGCGTCGCGGAGGGTAGTTTTGGCATGCACTGCGCCAGTATGTGTGGCATCTCGGCAGGAGTTGTCGATCGTGCAGAGCACGCAGCTAGGGAATGGGAATTCACGAGTTTGATGGCGACTAAGTTGAAAGGCAGAACAAACCAGGACGATGACAATGTGAAGGGAAAAGAACTCCCACTCGGCATTCTGAGTGATTTGGCTTGGATCATCGACGAGAATAAAAGCTCTCAGGTCGGTGACCGTGCTCTCAACGCGCTGGTCCGATGTATTGAAACTTTGTGAGGCTGAACGAAAGTGTCCTCTCATTCTGGTTTGGGTGTTATCGGTGGTCTGTCAGACAAATCCTTATTGTGTTTTCACTGTGTGCGTCGGCAGTGTTCACAGTACAGGCAGAGAACTCATTGACTGGTGGGATCTTGTTTGGTGTTTCCGGTCTGGCTGGTGGGCTGGTTGTTAGGGCTGGTCGTTCGGTCATATGATCACGGAAGAGATAGACGGGGTGGGTTGTTCTGTCTCACTTTGAGTGATGAGCAACTGAGAGAGCAAGTGCTTGCTTCACATTGCCTTGCCTTGCCTTGTCTGGCCTGGCCAGTGCCCTCTGATATTCGGGCTTCTTGATGCTCTAATACCACCCTGTATGTACGTACATTAATTCCAATTTTCATCTACCTTACCATTGCTAATAGCTCTCTTAACCAGCCATTCCTGTTGTTTCTCGTACCTATGCGGAGTTCTCGTGCCCTCTCGTGGGAACTGAGGTTCCACAAGCACTCTCACATACGGAGTACACCTGATGAAGGGAAGAGTGCCCTAAGAAATTGAAATGGCCTGGGAAGTGGCAGGGGGGAAGAAGCAAAGTACAAGATAATACAACGGGGACAGGGTGAGATAGACCAAGGCACAGCAGGATACGCTGATCTGGACGTAGTTTTCATTCCTGAATTCCTGAGCTAATCATAGGTCTTTAGGAGTATCATATCAAGCAATGGTACTGCATTCAGCTCATGGTGCAGCATCGCATGTATTTTGACGATGCATGAGCTTTAACTATGCTGTGCTATTTTTTTTTTTTTTTTTTTTTTTTTTTCTGTGGTGCACACCGCCATTCAACCAAAAACCCATTTCCATTCTCCTTCCCCAATCGTTTCTCCTTTTCCCTCAATCGTTATGATCACAGCTTAGGAAGAGCTCAAGTTCCTTTGGTAGACATGTCATACCATGTCAGCTGTCAATGTCCGGCTCAGGGCAGTCGAGAATGGTGATTGCAAGGTTCATTCATTTGTTTGATGTGTCGCATGATGGCATCGACGTTGAGAAGACGAGTCAAGATCAAGCTTGCTATTGTGTCCTAGACATCGTCGGTGGTGGATGTGGCGACATCATTCTGGACAACAGAAGTGGTCACTTGAGTCTCAGTTTCAGCAGTGACACCAGAATCGAAACTATATCAACAAGAGTTAGAATGAGTCTTTCTAGTAGAGAGACGTGATACGTACCCAGCATCAGGACCAATAGTAGCGCTGGTAAGTTGCTTGTCGGCACCATTTGCGTCGGTTGCACCAGTAGCAGACTCTTTCTCCTCGATATCGTGTTTGGTGGTGGAAGTGGAAGCTTTTGCAGCAGAGTTGCGGCGAACAGCAGGTTTCTTTGGGGTTGCAGCTGAAGTATCATCACCTGCCTCATCTTCTGCCGCCTTCTTCTTCACCGGAGTCTTGCGTGGCTTCTTTACCGACTTGGCCTCTTTTTCTCCATCTGCTTGAGCTTCCCCCTCAACAGCGGCCCCTGTTTCTGTCTCAGCTTTCGATTTGCGACCGCGCTTCTTGCCAGTCGATGGAGTTGCACCAGGAGTGACAGGTGATTGGGGAGTGGTTGGCATCTCTGGGATGAGCACGAGAATTAGCAACGGGAGGAATGACACACAATCTCCTATTATCTCACCTTCGACATCAGGAGTGCCGGGAGTGGCGGGAATTCCCTGTTTTGCAGCATTCATTTCACCTTCCGCCTCAAGGTCGGTGCCACCACCATTGCCATCATCCTTGACCGTATCTGGACTCTTGGTATTCTTCTTGCCAGACTTTGGAGTGGTAGCTGCTGGATCTTTTCGCTTTCTTGGAGTCTTTGGGTTGGATGGACTCGCCTCACCATCCGTGGCTCCCTTGGTATTGGCAAAGAGCTTCTTCTTGACTGCGCTCCACGCCGCGGCGGCAGAACGGTTGTCTTTCAGACCAAGAGTCTCAGCCATCCCGTTATAGTCGATCTAAAGGAGAATCAGCCCCAGAATCGTGGTGGACATGTGGGTATGTATGGGGAAATAAAGTCAAGGACAGGAATGTAAAGTGATACTTACTTGTATCTCTCCACTCTTCAAGTTCTGAAGTGCCCCAAGGATGGTCTCCTGCTCACGGGCAGTGAGATTCGCCATGGGCTTGGAGTTGGAGGAACTTGCTTCAGACATGGCGATGAGGGTTGACGTCAACAGAAAACTTTGTCGACAGTAGCTTGAAGGAGAAGTTGTTGTTGGTGACGAAAGGTGTGATTGAGGTTGAGTGAGGACGATGAAGATTGCGAGAGAGCGCGGCGAAGTGAGAGATGCTAGGTCAGGTAAATTTATAGGAGAAATTGAACACAGGGCTTTCACATGGGGGCAGAAGTCGTCAAGTGGCATGACCGAAAGCAAGCAAACGAGGTGAAGCAGTCAAAAGTAAAGCGAAAGTGATAAATTAAAGGGCGGCTTCTCATCTCCGCCATTTGGATACGACACTGCTCTCCACTCCTGTAAGACGTTCATACACCTTGCTCCAGATTCCAGGAACAACATCTCTTGCAGCCCTCCCAGATGCAGACTGTGGCCGTACATAGAATTGAGTGGGATTCGGTCTGAGGAATGAACCAGGTTCGACTAAAGGACCAAACCACTCGAAGCTGACGGGACGCATAGCGCTTTTCGTGGGTCTGGTGTTGGCGATCTTCAACGATATCAGGTCTGTGATTGCTGATGCTCGCATAAACCTCAGGTCTAACATGGCGTCGGCGGGCAGACTTTTGGCGTACTCCATGGCCACTTTAGGTGAGTGCTGAACGGATCGAGGGAGTCGGAGGAATACTTCTGTCACCATCGGCCTCAGAGTCCAGTTGATGTACGCGAAAGGAATGAAGCCGGCTAGCCATACTGTGAGGGTCAGGGTTAGCTCCTGGTTACGAGAGAAGGAAGAGAAACACGTACTCCCAGCAACCAGATAGAGGGGGCTGCCATTCATCCAATGGGCAGGGGCAACGATAACAGTCACAAAACTTAGTGCGAGGATTGAGGCGAAACGGAGGAAGGTGAGCATGTATATTCTGCCATTGCCTGCGCTGTATATCCGGAACCTCTTCTTATACACTGCATTGATCAGTCCTCGTCTGCATCTGAAGTTGACATCCAAAATTACCCTTGGTTTCACTCCGAGGAGGCGGTTTCCTGGTCAGCTGCTCGATATGAAGCCGTTCTTTGGGTGAAAGAGTCAGGTTGGGAGCGATTTCAGCCTTGGGTATGACCTTCAATGGAACTTCAACTTTCCGTCCAGTGTCGAGAGACTTTTTCTCTTCCTCCTCTTCAACAAGAACGAGCTCTTTGTTGGTCGGAGCCTTTTTCGGGAGGGATGGTGTCTGTCGAGCTTTCAACCGACTATGGACAACTTGAATCGGCAAGTTCTCAATCTCTCTGGTCGGCGGAGAGCTCTTCAACAACGGCCGCCAGGTACTGAATCGAGTCCTTCTGGTCGCCGTATATTGTTTGGAACAGACCTGGAAAGCCGTTCGAACTTCGGCGATCAGGACGGCGGGTATGCTGTCCATCTGGACATCAGAGTGCCCTGTCCAACGGATAGAAGGATAGAGCCGAAGATGCCGTGGAGGTAGCTGTTGATGTGTGGATACAGGAGAAAAGTTGAGACGCGGTTGCGACCGCTGCTTCATCTTTCCCAATCGCGTCCTGAAACGAGACGGCTAGCACGGAACACACGCAAAGGAAACTGCGCCGAGTTGCTCACTATCAGGACCAGACAGCGAGCTCACTTTCTCTCTTTTTATTTCCAGATAAACACCTCTGCTTGACTATGACTTCGTCACGCTTCCTCTTTAGAAATATACATTCCTTCTAATCTTGCCCTCAAACATGCGACAGTGGCCCTGGGCATGGCTGCTGACCGAGCTCGCTTTCATCTCCATTCATACCCTAGCATATAGACCACTATCGGACGAGACTCTCCTACGTCGACTTCCTCGGCCGGATACTGCCGATTTCGACATATACACCGGAAATCTGCTGGCTCCCATACTAATACCTCGAGTTCCCGGCACGCCGGGGTCCAAGAAAGTCCTGCAACATTTCGTCGATTTCTTCCACCATTCATTACCCGACTGGACATTGACATTTCAAAACTCAACCTCCAAAACACCTACACACGGGAACACCGAAGTCCCTTTTGTGAATTTGATTGCCTCTCGGGATCCGCCATGGTCCCAGCCGGGTAACGTCGGTCGCTTGACGTTGGTGGCGCATTATGATTCAAAATATAAGCCAGATGGATTTATTGGAGCAACGGACTCTGCTGCACCATGTGCTATGATTATGCATGCCATCAGGTCAATTGACGCCGCCCTGACGAGAAAGTGGGAATCTGTGCAAAGTGAGGGAGATATTGATCTTGATTTCGAGGAACAAAAGGGCATTCAAGTTTTGTTTCTTGATGGTGAGGAGGCTTTTCGATCTTGGACAGCCACCGATAGTATTTACGGGGCGAGATCACTAGCCGAGGAATGGGAACATACTATGCATCCGGCAACAAGTGTTTACAAGAATTATCTGGATTCGATTGAACTATTCGTCCTGCTGGATCTCCTAGGCTCACCAGAAGACCTCCATATTCCGTCCTGGCAACACAGTTCTCACTGGTCATATGTGAAGATGGCTGAAGCCGAAACACGACTTCGAGATCTGGGATTATTCAAGAGCAATCCTTCCCGCATTTGGCTTCCGGACAAGAACAAGAAAGAAACGGACGCTTTCAGCAGCTATGTGATGCAAGACGACCACATTCCGTTCATCGCCCGAGGAGTCCATGTTTTGCACCTTATTCCTGCCAAATTCCCTTCAGTCTGGCATACTATGAGAGATGACGGTGAACATTTGGACATTCCTACTGTTGAAGACTGGGCACTCCTTACAACTGTGTTTGCTGCCGAATATATGGAGCTTGAAGGATTCTTCGGGGCCTTGGCACCGAAAAATACCAAGAGGAATAACAATATCATCAGCAAGACTGAATTATGACAACGACAGCACTCAGCTGCTGTGTCTATATTCATAGGCATTGAACCGCTGAGCAAAGATATATGAATAATTGTCTTGCTTATCGAGCGGCATGTCCATCTACTGTCCCGGTCAATTTTCGGACATGTCTGACTCAATCATGCAAAGATCTACGAGAAAATTCAGGCTACAACAGGCCCATCAAAGGGTAACGAGAATAGCATCGAAGATGCCTGACCTCGGGCCGAAATGCTCGAGAGCAATGCTCACGCCAACAAGATCAGATGATCGCATTAGCAGCCTCTTTGCATCAGATGGGTCCAAGCGTTAAAGCGGGATTCGAAACGACTGGGAATGGCGGTCACTAGGCATGTTAACGCAGTTGCCCCTTGGTACACATGCATGGCTGTGAAACTTCTCATACTATCAGGAGAATCTGGTAGAACATGGGAACTGAGCTTCAAATGCCAGGAATATTGAAGGGTGAGAATACTCCATATTCTATGTTTCTGGACAGGTCGGTCGCCCAGAGTCGATCCGAAGACGAGAGGAAAGGATCAAAATAAAGGGGACAATTCCAAATCATGCCAATGTCACTTTTTATTCCAGGCCCAAAGGCCTCCGTCAACAAACCATTAGTTACCTACCGTGCTATGATCTTGACGGGATATTGTACGTTTTCATCTTCCTTTTTTTTTCCTTTTCCCCTTCTCGTTCTCTTCCCGATTTTCCATCTCTTTTTCTTTCTATATACAGACAGTATTTACCCATCAACTTGTTGATTGATATCTCAACCTGACCCAGCGCCCCAAGCACTGTGCTACTCATTTTTCGCCATATTTATAATCCTCTCCAACTCAGCCCTCTCGCCACTTAACTCGACCATCTCCCTAAACACGCCCTTCTCCTTCCCAAGCAACACGCCTGGCTCATCAAACTCCAATACTTTTCCGTCTCCCAGGACGAGGATCCGATCAAAGTCCGCGATCGTACTCAGCCTATGCGCAATAACCAGTAATGTGCTATCCGTAAACTCCTCGCGGATGGAGCGCTGGATGAGAGCGTCAGTCTCCATGTCGACGGCGGACGTCGCTTCATCGAGGACCATGATTTTGGGCCGCGAGACGATGGCGCGCGCTAAGCACAAGAGTTGGCGTTGGCCTTGAGACAGATTCAGGCCGCCTTCGGAGATCTTGGAGTTAAGAGAGCAGAAAATGTTAGTGTTGGTGTTTGTATTTTCAGAAGCAGTAGTGCCGTTGGGAATGGGGGTGGCGCAACCGCTTGGCGCGGTAGAGGAGATGTTCGTGGGCGACGAAACGAGATGGACTCGCGCGAGGGCGTCGCGGAGTTCGGAGTCTGAATGCCGATCGAAGGCGTCGAGGTTGGAGCGGACGGTGCCGGAGAACAGGACGGGGTCCTGAGGGATAATGGCCAGGCGGGAACGCAGGTCGTAGAGTTTGATCTTGGCAATGTCGATGCCGTCGATCAGGATGTTTCCGCTTCGGGCCTCGAGGAATCGGAACAACGCCAGCGTTAGTGATGATTTGCCGGCGCCCGTGCGTCCCACGACGCCGACTCGCTGATTGGGCGCCACGCGGAATGTCAGCCCTTTCAACACGGGTGGGAGGTCCGGTGCATATGCGACGACCAAGTCGTTGACTTCGAGATTACCCTCTGTTGGCCAGGCGGCGGGGGCGTCGTGCCCGCCTTGATTCTCGATCGTGATGTTGCTGTATTCGACAATTCGTTCCGTGGCATTCATGTCCAGTTCAACGTTCGAGTACTGTCGGAGAAACCAAATCACGCCCTCGGACATACTCAGCGCGAAACTCAATGCAAAACCGGCCAAGCTGGAATCAATGGTAGTAATGCTCACAATGAGGGCGGCCGTGATCGCAGCAAACACGGCACCGACCATGTTCAAACGCCAACCCATCCAACGGTTGAAGAGCCACAAGTGCCAGTAAGCGCGGCAATGTGTGTCGATGCGGGCGAACATCTTGTCCAGATACGCATCAGACTTGTCAAAGGCACGAATCGTCCCGATGCCCATGAGCACCGAACCAAACTGCTCAAAGACGGGCGATTTGGCATTGCTCTCGAGTCTTTTCACCTCTCTAGCACCAGCGAGGTAGCGCAATGCGTAGAACATGGAAATGGAGAGCAAGACGAAGGCGAAAACGATCATATATGGTGAGACAAAGAGTCCGGCGATCACGACAGACAGGACGTGCATCATGTTGTGCAACATGAAGGCCAAGTCCATGGATATACGGGAGTCGAGCATATTGAAGTCCGATGTGAAGCGGTTGAGGATCCGGCCCAAGGGGACAGTGTCGAGCCAGCGGAGTGGTGCTCGGAGAATGGTGAAAGTAAGGCTTTCAAAGAGCGTCTTCGACGCTCGAATCGAAGCCACGAAAACACAGAAGTACCGGACCGTGCCGACTAACCAGGCCACCAGAGATATGCCCAGATAAACACCCAGATAGTATCGCAGATTCGAGTCCACTTCGGTCGCCACCAGTCGTGACTGAAAGTGTTGATATGCACCGATGGATTGCTGCATGAGTCTGTGGTGGAAGAATGACTCGGTTCGGTAGGACCGCGTCCAAACACTGATCCAGTATGATCTGGCGAGGTAGACGACGATCCAGAAGCCGAAGATGGCCAGGATGAATGACCAATAGCCGAGTCCACCGCATGCTCGAATATATGCCGCGTAGATCTCGTATCTGATGGCACCAGTTTCTCGCTTCTCTTCTTCTGTAAACTTTTTGGGGGGGTTTCTCTGTTTGGAGTCATCGATATGAGTGCGAGAACGACGGCGAGTGATTTCCTCGCCAACATCGCTCAAGGCGGACTTCCGGCGCGAACGACGAGATTGGTTGGTCAACATTTTCTGGAGACCACCACCATCGTCGACGGTTAGAGTTTGATCTTTCTCAGCTTCTTCTCCACCTTCGTCGACATCCTGAGCGAGAATGGACTTCAGTTTCCCGCTGCGTCGTAAGTCCTCCGTTTTCCCAGCTTGCTCAACCGTGCCGTTGGAGAGGAGAACGCTGTAGTTGGTTTTCGGTAAACAGAGAGCAACATGATGCGTGACCAGAATTCTGGTCCGACCCTGTCCCAGTTCGCCAGTCAATGCGTCTTCAAACAAATGTCTTCCAACGTGTGCGTCGACTGCGGAAAAGATATCATCTAGGACGAGAATCCCAGCTCTTGAATACAAAGCCCGTGCGAATGATACTCGCCATTTCTGACCACCACTAAGGTTGATCCCGTTCGCACCAATATCTGTAAGCTCACCATCCTGGAGCATCTCCAAGTCTTTCGTTAGGGCACATGCATGAAGAACCTTCTGATAGCGATCGTTGTCGAGAGGAAGACCGAACAGAATATTTTCTCGAATCGTCGCATTTTCGATCCAAGGAATTTGAGCCACGAAGGCTATGGCCGAATCAATATACCAATTACTTTTATTGGCCTTAGCGTCATATCGCTCAGCGGCGGTAGGTGCTTTGGGCACATGGAGGACGCCATCAAGGACATCGGCCTCGCCAATGATTGAGGCGAGAAGCAAACTCTTTCCGGATCCAGTTCGACCAGAGATGACGCTCAGTTGATTTGGGGGAAATTCAAGATTGAGATTGCTCAAAGTAAATTGATCTTCTTCTTGCTCCGGATCGTCGGACGGCCAAGCAATCGTCGCATTCTCGAACGAAACCGTTTGGCCCGGCTTGGTATCTTCTGTTCGTTCAGGTGCATCAAGGTACTCTTGAACTCGATTGGCTGAAACCATGGCATCGAGGAGGTCCGTGACCATTTCCGGTATTATGGCCAATGTCATCTCAATTTCTTCAAAGACAGAAATCGTCGTAAAGGCTATCGACGCGGTCAATCCTTTGTAGATGAGAGCGTATGTGGTCAAGGACACAGCAGAGAGCATCACGGGACCAAATATCCAGATGCTGATCAAAGTGGTATCATAAGTGAAAACCTGCCATTGAGTTTTCAACTCTCTCCTTCTGGTTTCGAGAATTTTTTCATACCAGTTCCTTTCGAGAGCACTGAATTTGATTTGGCGGATTCCCTGGAGGGCTTCGGTCACCACTGCCATTTTCTGATCGCGATGCTTCATGAGATTATCTTGAGCGGTTGCATATCGTTGAGCAGCGATGACGTTGATTGGTGTGATGAGGGCTGGAGCTGCCAGTCCAGCAATCAGAGGGATAGGTCCGATCAATTTCGACAAGAACCCCAGAGCAAAGATCAATTTGATGACAGATCCCAGAAAAATATAGTTGAATGTGGCGAAGTCGGCGATTCTTTTCGAATCGACACCAACCAAATTGATGGTACTTTGTCTGGATTTTTGGTAATCATCATCTTCCTCCCCTTCGGGTGCACGATCTCCTCCTTTCTGACCAGCATCTTTGTTGACAACGATTTCACCATTCAAGGCTTCCCCGTTGGCTCCGACATCTTCTTTTTTCTTTCCGGAACCTTTCACGTCCTTTCGTCTGATTGCCTTCCCGAATACCACGGCCGATAATTGTTCGTAGATGGGGACGCCGACTTTCATGAAGACGACAAAGAACATCCAAGCTTCGAGCCATGATGAAAACGTGACCGATGCCCCCAAACCTATCACCAGGAGCCATGACTGGAGAGCGACATTCTCTCCTTCATCTCGGGCTTCGAGGGTGCGTAGGATGTAGTAAAGTGCAATTTGAGGGAGAAAGTTGGTGATGGAGCAAATTGCCTGGAGTGTCCATTGTTGGATGAAAGCCCATTTATGGGACCAGAAGAGAGTCTTCCATAACTTGTCTTTTCGTCCCACAGCTTCAAACCGCTCTCTCAATTCCCGGGAACGCATCTCATGATCTATTTCGGGTAAATCATCATAGTCGAGACCTTTGTTCCTGGCTGCGAATGCGAGAATTGGGGACGGCCAGGAAAAGGTAAATTTGCCCAGTACAGACACGGTATTTTGGCGATCGACGAGTTTTTCATTCCAGTAAACATCTGGACGCCGTGGGATCGAGAGACTTGCAAAGACAAGAAGTACTCCACAGACGAATTGAACGATTGATAGGGTCAGATGAGCGTTTCGTGGGAGAGGGTTGATCTTGGATTGCCATAGTGAAATATTGTCCGCAGCGACCGCGATCGTGATGAACAAGGTCGATCCACCTGAGAAAATGCCTAGATTGTACCGTTGTAGAGAACTCGGTGTCATGAGAATCGCCACTGCTTGGAAGAGCACCAGCAACTACGAGATGTCAGACCCCAAAAAAAAGAAACAAAGAGCGGTCCCAACGGCGAATTCATGCTTACCCAAGTTGCGAATTGAAGCCATTGCTCGAACGTGAGGGATACGTGAGGACGAGTAGTCGTTAAGACAGCAGTAACCAGAGCGTCAAGAGAAGCGACGGTAGACAGGAGGATAAGTATTAGCCGTGGAAAGAAGTCGGAGTAGGCTTCTTCAGATTCTTCGGTCGCCACTCCATCGTCGTCGTGGTAGTGGTCGGACAGATCTTGATGTTGATCCTTCTTTGCTCGAATTCGGCGGAGATGTTGATAGAAGGCTGGAATTGAAAGAAGAGCAACCAACACCAGACATGCTATTGACACCACCATGGAAGTGGTGGTGTGATGTGCCGCCGTGATTGAAGCCATTGTCCCTTCCCTCACGCAGTCGGATGAGGTGAGAACATCATGCTCCTCGACAACAATCTTGCAGAAAGTCAAAAAAGGTTGAGGCACTTGAGCCTAGTATCCCATTTTAGATCGAATCGATGAGAGGCTGGTGATGAGGTGGAGTCGGAGGAACTCGAAGGTTCTCGGGCGAGTCAGATTCTTTCGGTGCCGTATCTTTGCGGCTCTTTCAATGATGGAGATTGTGTTGATATGAACACAGTGATGAAAAATGGTATGGGAATCTTCGCCGCGAGAGTTGTAGTGAGTTGGTTGAGGTGAGACGAATGGGCGTGAATGGCTGATCGTATTCGGAGGATGAAAGCTCTATTACAGTAGGTGGTTAGAATATGCCCCAAAGATCAACGGAGATTGGCGAAGGAGATGTGAAGAACTCCCCCATGTCGTACTAACAATTGGAGGAGATGCTGCTTATCATTGGCAGAGGGGATCCTGGACCCTGGTCTTTGTCTGGAGCGGTGAGAAGTTCGCAGATCTGAACGTGACTCATCGCGGGAGACGATTTAAGTGATGAAATTGAACACGACTAGTATCTATAGATTGAATCAACAAATGGATCAGTTGCGTTAGATTATTGGCCAGCGCCTACACAAATGGTGTATTTGTCGCTCATTCCAATCCAATTTCCCAGACCATGAGACAAAATTCCCTTTACTCTGAGTCAATCACCACTACTTCGGCCTCGGCTTCACCCACACTTTCAACCTTAAGCATATCATTGGCATTGACGTGAGTCACATATGCACCGTCTCCCTCCTTTAATATTGCATCTTCTCGTCCGTCCAGCCTGATTTTGGCTTTTCCCCCTTTCGTTTCTGGCAAGTGGATGTATACTTTGCGATCAGTTTTGGATGTTACAGCGTCTCCGCCACCGACTTTGTAGTTGAAGGCACCTCCTTGAGGGATGATGCCTGCACTGAAAACGAGGTCGGCATGGATAGGGATAGTGCCCTCTTGGGTTGGCACTGCAGCCTTTTCCTCTTCCAAGGTTGCATTTGGACCCGCCTTCAATGGGGTGATGATGGTCACAAAGTCCTTTCGTTTATCCTCTTCGGAAAATGTGTTGGTATGGTAAGTGGGTGGCAAGTTCCTCTTCCATGGCAGAGCCCAGATTTGGAGGAAATGCACCCAGTCATTCTTGTGTTCATTGTACTCGCTGTGGGAGATACCTCTTCCTCCGGTGGTGAACTGAACATCATTGCGGTGTAATCGGTAAAATTGGTTCTTGTCGTCGCTTTCTGCTCCCTTCTTTTGCATTGAATCTCGATGGGTCAATTCGCCAGAGAGAACGTAGGAGAAAATTTCGGCGTTTTGGTGGAAATGAGTGGGAAAACCTTCACCAGGCATGACTCGATCTTCGTTCAAGACACGGAGGGATCCGAACTGAGTGTATCGAGGATCATACCATCCTGCGAAGGAGAAGGTATGTTTAGTGTCGAGCCAGCCATGGTTGGCTGCACCTCTGGTTTTAGAGGGACGAGGGACGATCTTTGCATGAGTGAGGTTCGACATGGTTGCTTTGAGAATGTTTGATGCTCGCATAGAAGATTGCTGTATATTTGTTGTGGTGTTGTTGTTGCTGCTGAGCATGTAAATAGCTACAATTGCTGTGAAAAAAGCTGTCACCGCTGTGATGAGTGTTGTTTTTGGATGGAGCAATTGTGAGAGCATTGAAAGGGCAAAGAGATTTATATACTTAGACCTGTCGGAAGACTGGAGCATGGTGGAGGGTCCGAGAAAGGACCTGGAGCATCATAAAAAAGTTTGGTCAGTGCTGAGTGAACAGAGGAGGATATCCTCGAAACAGGACATCCCATTATCCAATTCTTGAGTAAGCGAGCGATAGAAGAGAAAGACTGCGGAATGCGGGCGACAAAAAGAGAAAGTGGCGAGGGGTGTAGACAAGACTTTTGACCAATCAGTTTCCGGATGACTCAGGCGTTGCCAATCAAGAGGCGATCGAGAGCCAGTGACATCATCCAATTGGAATCTAGCTGCGCTTTTCCCTTCTCGTCCGCTACGCGTTCCTTGTATTCATCTGCAAACCTTCTCTAACCGGATGAAGAGACACAGACAGCAAGCCACCGTCGAGAATCCATTCGTCAAACCCGGGAACCAATCCTGGGAACTCTCCCGTCTAGCTTCCCTGAGGAGATCTGTGTCTCCCCCACCAACCAATCCTCATCGCCAACCACCTCGATCCATATCCACTGCGGCGGTGGAAGCCGGGGTACTCGAGATCCAAGACCATGTATCCTTCTTCTCCTCGAAATTGCTTTCCGCAACCCGACCTGAAGTTGCAGGTCACCCTCGGCTATCACATCAAGACTGGATAGATCTCTATCAGCGGAATCTCCACGATCGAGGCCATCATTTCGTTGTCCATCAGCATGATCATCCGGTTGCTGGCATCCACTATGATCTCCGTTTACAGTGCAACGCAACCAGCTCCATCAGCTTTGCCATCATGTATGGTCTCCCTGGTGATCCCAACAGTAGGAGACTGAATCGCAATGCCACTGAGACCAGAGTCCATAATCTGTGGGTAGGTCATATGCCGTGCTTGGCAATATGGTTTCCCATCTTCTCTATCTATCCCTACCAACCCTTTTCCCGTCTCACTTCTCATGCATGTACCAGAATCACTTAATCGAAACTGCCTCCAACGACACCGGGACCATGCTCATCTGGGACACCGGTGAATACACGGTCCTGCCCTACAGCTCGTCAATCACCAACACCAATACCCACACATCCTCGGACTCGGAATCACACTCTTCCCGACTACCAGAGTCCGAGCCATCCAAACTGCATCGTGCATTTCGGAACCGAAAGATCAAGCTCCGACTACATGGCACACGTCTACCGAAGAACTATACCATCAGCCTACGACTAACTGGCGAGAATAACCGAATCGCCCAGCCTGACCTACCATCCTACAAACGGCGTCGAAAGAATCAATCTTCCCCAACGCAATCTCGCCCTCGTCGAGTCGAAACGTCCGGTTCAAGCAGAACGCCATCACCAGATATCTCTTCCCCCAGCCCTATAGGACAAGAGCAGTGTAGCAAAAGCCCACACCGACTCTCCGGCAATGTCTCCTCACTCCGACGCGCGACATCCCCTCCAATATCTACGGGGGTAAACCCAAAGCTTGACCAGCCAGACACGACGCCCAACCCATCTCCAGCTCTTGACCGAACAAGTCTCGAAAAGCCCGATTCCAATTCTGCGTCAGCTTCTGACGCCCAGGTCCGCCACAGCAACGCCTACCCCGGCGCAACAAACAGCATCAACAGCATCCACCAGCGCAGATGGTATATCTCGCTCGACCGCGCCGCGAGTGGGTTTCAGCCAACTGACGAGATCTCCTTCGGTCGGCGCGTGTGGAGTCGGACTCGCAAGCAAGCCAACTCCTTGACTTCAACCAATACCAAAGCTCCTATCCAGAAATCCGCTACGGTAGCGGATCAGCTTCAGCCTAACACTGACACTGACACTGAAACCGAGGATGACAGTGACAGTGACGGTGAAGATGACGATGGAGAAGGAGGCTTCGTACCCTTCCAAGTTCTGGGCCGAGACGTGGAAACCAGCGTGATAACAGGGCGCAAGGCAGCGGATGTGGCGCACGACGAAGGACTAGTGGGATATCGGCCGCGAGGAGGCTGGAAACCTGTCGTGGAATAGCTTTGGTTCACAAGAAGGGGAGAGAAATAGCGAAGAGAAAACAGAAATAGGCAGACTATACGCTAATCGCGAGGTGAAGTCTTTGTGAATTCTTATAACTATTTTCCGATATCCGATTTCCAAATCCAGACTCCAGAATTCAAAAGTTCCCAAGCACAGATCCCTACCTTGTTCATTTACTCCATAATGTATACATTGATCAAGAAAATGTAGATATCCCTTACCCACATAGAGCTTTCCCGAACTCCACGCTCCAAAAAAAAAAAAAACATAACGGCCCTTTTTTTTTGGGCGCTAGAATGTCAACACAATAGTGTTCAGCCTGAGGCTCGAAGCTCATATACCTGAGTTTCATTGGATTTGTGATCTGAATTCAAATTGCAGGCTTGGTTCTCTGTCGTTCTCTGTCCGCGGTCCGTTGTATAACAGTTGAACGTTCAGCCGGCGAAGACCCCATCCATAGCCATAGCGTTTTCAGAGCCAATTTTGAGACAGCCACCCGCGAACCCGGACCGATTCCTGACCGCTCTTACGTCAAGATCCAGAAGGATTGCACGCTTGAACCCCCGTAGAAGCGCAGCCATCTCACGAACAACCGCCCCGTCCAAGACCATAATGGTGAATCTTCTTCCCGATCAAATCACATCCATTGAAGTTCATGCATTTCATGTCCCAAAAAGCCTCAGCTGACACGGGCTCAAAACCGGGAGCCCGTTTACATTCCCTGCGGTCTGAACGGTTCATAAGCGCTTCCTCTCTGATCATGATATCCGCCACCATGGGGTCCAAGAGTATTCAGGGGAACGCTCTGGTGATCAGTAGGACCCATATAAGGGCTTCCCACTCTTTCATAGGAATAAGGGGTCTTCTCGGCACGAGTACGCCTAGCTTCCCTGTTTCCAGGATTATACGGGCTGCGACCACTACAGCAACAGACGGAGAGGAGCCAGAAGAAGCCAGCCCCTAGAGCCAGTGCAGTCCCAATCCAAGTGACAGAAAGCACACTGGTACCGATGCTCGATTCAATGCCATAATCGTCTTTCAGAGTCTCATTGAGGGCCGTGCGGAGAACAATGTAGACTGCTGTAGCGGTGATGGAGGCGCCGAGGATCAGGATGGCCATGGCCGAGGCGCAGAATGTGGTAAAGAAGGAGCCCCATCGTGAGAAAATTGCGGAGAAGCCTACGAGGATGGTGACGCAGGCGGCGGAGAGGGCGAAGACGTAGAGGTAGAAGAGGGCTTTGCTGGCGGCGTGATAGGCGTCGAGGCCATCGCGGAAGGTCTGGGGCAGGTAGTCGTCGACTGGGACACCGGTGTTGTTCAGGCCCCAGATATTGATGGGGTTGAACCAGAAGTAGGCTTCGGGGTCGGTGCAGTTGGCGTAAGTGTCATCACCGTTCCAGCTGCAGTAGCTACGCAGGTAGATGGTGTAGTAATCTTTCATTCCCAGTGACTGCTTGGCAGCTTCGAGGGCACCGCCCAGGATGGTGGTGTTACCACCGCTTAGATCATCTAAGAGGTTTGCAGAGGATGAGAGTGTGAGGTTTGTCAGATCGATCTAGTTGAGGAAATGGGGGGTCAGACTCAGAGACACTGGATGGACATGAGTTTGATTTACCTTGAGGAAGTAGAGGTCGTCCACAGTCTTGTTGCGGTCGAAAGTACCGGCCAGGAACACCAGTACTAGACATATTAAGACTCCTATTGAGAGGAGGAAAGGTGCCGTTATACAGCAGACGCGGCCTGCATTGACCATCGTGTTGTGCTTGGGGGAAATGAGAGTTGTTAGTGTGAGGTTTGTCGGAGGATTTGTGATTCAGATGCGCTGAAAGATGTATTTGTTGTTGGGGGTGCAGGGAACAGTCCGTGATTTGGTGCCGAGAAATCGATGGGTCGATGCCGACGAGGATAGTGGTGGAAAAAGGTGATGGGATTGTTTTGAAAGGTCAGTGACGAGAGAGAGGATAAGTTTCTGGATTCGTGTTCAGAATATCTTTAAGCTGAGATCGAAGAGGGGGAGTTGGGGGTTGTCAGCACTTGGGGGGGGGCCAATTGAGTAGTGGATGCGGCACAGGGGTGATCAGGTAAGGTGGAGATGGTTATGCGTTAGATGACTCAGTTCAAGAAATGAAGAGGATAAAAAGAGGAACACAGCAGCTGAAGAAAGTGAAAAGGTCGAGACGAAGGAAGAGTATTTGAGATGCAGGCCCAGCAACCTAGTTCAGCAATTCAGGTGGCACAGCTTGTGGGATGGAGTAGTGGCTCAGCAGCATAACACGTTGTTGTATTTGCACAGCCAAAAGTGTCAAGGCACTGCGTTGGCCGCTAGGTAGCCCCATTTGGTACTCGTACTAAGAAAGGCTGGGCACCCTGCTGGGGGGAAACAGATCTCGTCTGATCTTGTTAACCGGCGCAGGTGATCCAAGACCGTGGCTCGTTTCAAGATATGGATCGTCTTGGCCAAAAAAAGGAAGAAGAAACTGTAGACAGCGAGATTGGACCTAAACCAACAAGATCTTGTGAAAAAACTTGAGTCACGTGAATTGCGATACAATATGATTGCGAGCATGAACCACTGAATTGTTCTCCATCTGCCCACGAGATCTCTAGAGAGTATCCCTTCTCTTCAGCTGTTCTTTGGCGAATTTTCCAAGATCCTCCTACTGTACAGCCCAAATCCGCAATCGCAATCCTAAAGGATGAATCCAATTCACCCTCTATCTCGGCATGGTTGTCGAGACCGCGCAGCTTGATCGTAGAGTCAGCAAGCCTATTAATAGGATCCGGCTACGTTACGCGAGCTGTGCTGCTGATCCAATTGGTCAAATCTCCTATCCCCCTTGTGCCTAGATACGGCATCCGTTACGTCTTCAGCTTGCGCAACAGCCCGATAGCAGACGACTTTGCAGTGCCTGACCACGGTCTCAATGCCACGTGATTCTGATTTTTGGAGGTTGGCAGAACTCCGTAACGCAACGGACCTGAGCTGAAACAATCGGCCTACGAACAAGGCTGAGGGCGCCGCGTACTCGGTCTGACAGTCAGGCACAGATGATCTCCAAAATATCCGCCTCAATCAAGCAACGCAAACACCTAGCAGCCATTATTTCATCACCTACAGTATTGAACTCTGCGAACAAAAAGTGTATTTGAAATCTCCTCTCTCCACTTTTGTCTTCCTTCTCCCAACTATTCCATTCGACTTGTCGTGGTCCAGTTCGATTCGGATCCGACATCGAGGGATGGACATGATCCGGCTGGAGTCGAATCGGTGTAGAATTACGCGTTTGTGTGCTCCATGGTACCTCATTGTTGACTTGACTCGATCCAAGATGCGGGAGATTATGATGCGGCCAAAAACACAGAACTTAAGAGGAAACAATAAAAAGGCATTCCTCGTTGCATAGGCACCAATGGGAACACATGTCAACCTTCGATCGCGCACATGAGAATATCACTTCTGTCCTTACGCCAATTTAATATCCAGGGGAGTATTTGTCTTGACAGTGGCTTTCTTCCCACCACTAACTCATCCACTCTTTTCTTTCCTGCTTCCAAGTGTGGCTGGTGTGGGATTTGTTCGCGCTTACGCTGGAACAGCATGTTGTCCTGCCATCCCTCATTAGCCTCCACCGATCCAAGATTTATGCAGCCGTGGCATCCACGGTCCGACGTCGAGACTCACCATTGGTCCCAGCAGGTGCTTCTTCCTCTTCCTCCTCCTCCTCTTCTTCCTCTTGCTCATATTCGCCATGTTGTCCCGCAGGCACCCAGCTGTCGCGGTCATTCTTCATCGGCGGATCTTGGCCAGCCAAATCCACGCCCTCGCGGTGGGCAATATTGCTCTTCCGTCTTTGGCTGAGTGTGCGTGAACGGGTCGAGAGCTTCGAGGTGACCTGGGCCGTGGATGTCACCCAGTTGGTCAATGCATCTTCGCAGTCCTGAATAATGGCCTTGGAAGCCTCGTAGCCATCATATGCGGTTCGGGTCTCGCCAGGGGTCACCGGAGTATCGTCGACGAGTTCAAGCAAGTGCTTGCCATACCCAGCAATGATAGCTACCTTTTCGCAGTGTTCGCGGATCGCATCAAATTGGTAGGTGAAAGCAGCCTTGAGCTTCTCACGAGTGATGTTTGACAACTGTGCCTCGGCCACGAGTGATTCCGCTTCGGCACGGACAAGTTCCTGCTCAAGAACAACGATCCGCGGGCTGTTTGGTTCCTTGTATTTGAGTTGGGCAATCTGGTCGGTAATTTTTTGTTTCCGGTCTCGAGAAGGCTGCACCGAAGCTTCAATGTTGCGAATTGACTTGATGGTCACACGATATTGGTCATAACGGTCAACAAATTGATCTTCCAATTCTCCGATCTCGTAGATGAGGACTCCGAGTTTGTCCGTGACATCGCTAACATCCTCGTCACAACCTTCGCCCCAGATGGACAGTTGTTGCTACAAAGGGAAGCTGGTGTCAGGTTTCGTACTTCCATTGAACCCAAATTGTGCGATTTGTCTCAGATAGAGGACTTACAGCGACCTCCATTCTTTCTCGACCAACCAGCTCCATACTGCGCATGACGTTCTTCTCCATCTTGACGAGCTGGGAAAGCTTCTTTGCAAGGTCTGGCCCAAAGGCGCCGGCAGTTCCTTTTCGGAAGGCATGTCCTAATTTACCCTGGTGGTGAGCACGCGTTGTGGAACAGGAGCTGGATGGCCATACCGAAGTTGGATCGACCGAACAGGCGGCCACTCTTTGTGGAAGAAGGTGGTGGTGGAGGATTTTCAATCTGAGAAGCCGTAGGGGCGCGCGATTGGCGCATAGAATAGGTGCGATGCATCTTGGGAGGTGGCAGTGGTGATTGAAGGCAGGTGTTCGGAGGGGCTCGTGCTCAGCGGGATTGGAACCGGCAGCGCAGGCCGCGTCAGTTTTGGTGTGTCAGTAGAGAGGATTGAGAGGATTTGAAATAGTAACAGCAGTCCGGCAAGCTTCAAGTGGTAGACATGTGGAAGTAGGAGAATAAAGAGAAGACCAAGGTCAGCGAAGACGAAGATGGCGATGATGGTGTTTGATGGGCTGAGTTGGATCTGAGGGCGAGGATGACGTCCCGGATGGGTGCGGGAGCTGCTGGTACTCCCGCTGTGCTGGACTTTTGCCACTCCCGGAGTCACTCTTCCTTGTACCTGCGCACTAAAGTGACCAGACAACGCTCCCGGGGTCTCGTGTTCAGACTGTTCGTTCTGTTACTGAGGGCATAATCAAAGTCAACCCAATCTTCAAATGCTACCAGTTGTGTGGAACAGAATAACAACGACAACAACAACAAGAAGCCACGCCATCGTTCTTCTCTCCCTGGATAATGAAATGAGGCCAGCCACAGGCATCACCTCCAACTCCACTTTCACTGACCAGGGGCCCGTCGACGAGCACTGGCCCCCCCGCCCCAGATCGACTAGAAATCGAAGCAAGATCAAACAACAAGCATCGACTTACCAAATTAATCGACTATTGGGAGTGTTGAATATTCGAAATAAGGTTGGATTTAAAAAAAAAAAAAAAAAAAATCTTATATCAAAACATTCGAGCGGCGCAGTTACAAAGTCCAGCAACAAAGATTTGGGGACCTCTGAAGCCAGGGGGAGCTGCTGCAGCCGAGCTGGTTCTGTACTGAGGCTATGGAGGGAACTCTACTGGAAAACGGAATAGGCTTCTTGGATGGTGTAAGCTGAATAACCGCTCACGATGCAGCTGTCGGTGACGGCAGTTTGGGGCATTTGGGGCACAAGCTTCCAACTCGAAGCAACAAGCCGCTCACGTCATCGAACTACGTTCGACTGGCAACTTATCAAGCAACCAAGCACGGCCTACAAACTCAATTCCCGTTTAGAATCCATCCTGTCCCGAGCATATTCTGACTTGAGACATACGTAGTAGATTTTGCCATAGAAGTATGGGAGGAGATATTTGGGAGAGAACAAGCTCGACTCTCTCGCTGTCTCTCCCCTGTTGACCTGCAGAATTTGGGCCTCCACTCTGCACGTCAACAGCCGGGCCCCAGATCCAAAGGAGGGAAGAATCCTTGACCTTTCTTCGATGCATGCCTCAGTCAATGTTACTCGTCGCTGCGAACGGTCGTTTCCATCCTCAACATTAAGATCGCCGTCCTCTAGGTGATATGCTGTTCGGCGGGATGCCCAGACTTTCGTTGAGCCTTCTCGTCCGCCATGCCTGCTGTTGCGCCTTGCCTCCATACCTCTTATCGTTGGGTCCTATCCTCCTCTGCCGGCCTACCATAGAAATGTCCTTCTTGCTCCTGCTCCTTGAATCCAGATTATTTCGACTGTGATTTCTTCTTGTCGACCCGTCCCTTAGACCGTTAATCTCCCCGGACTTGGTATTCCTAACGGTCTTTGAACCACTGGACCAACGACCTTGAAGGGACGAGTTTCGAATTGCTCTACGCGGACGACCATTGGAGGAGCTTCCTCCTCGCGACTGCGGTTCTTCGATTGGACCCAGATCCGAGTCTTCGTCCGAGTCTTCGTCCGAGTCGCCCTCATCAGACACGAGATCATTGGTCTCGTAGTCCGAGTCTTCTGAATCGTCAATTGCTGGTATTTCGAGTATCTCATCCGTCGAGGTTTCTGAATCCATGCCGTTGAGAAGAGGACTTTCTCCAACCGGTCTCTTCCGTTTTGGGCGGCGAGTCAACGACGGGGACTGACCATTGTCGTCGTGCATGTCGTGGCCGTTCTCCTCTGCAAGCTTGTTTGCTCCAGTGGTTCTAGCGAGGCGTTCTTGAGTCAGAGGAATTAGCCCCCTAGCGTTGGCAGGCCTTTCGCCTGGTTCCCAGAAATTTTTCACCACCGATTCCGGATAGTTATAATTGTACAGCAGTTCCTCACCAGCTCGGACCAGTCTCTTTGCAAAGAGTCCAACCCTGACTACGCCGCTGCACCATAATTTCTTGGGTTCAACATTAATGTGTTCCTCTCTCTGCGAGTTGTTCATGAATCTCATCTTGTTACCATGATTCGACGCGTCGATCTCTTGGCCTTTGTTGATGACAAACAGGTATTCCTGGTTTAAGACGTGATACATGGCGCCTCGCCTGTCACCTTCTGAAATGCTGATGACCTCTCCAGTGTACTCGCCAATGAAGTCGCCACTGGCAATCTCTGCCCGGCTGTACAGGCCGTAGCCTTGCACTTGACTCGGGGCCTTGGTGGTAGGCGCAGGGAGCCCCAGCTGGATCCGATTGTTCTTGCATCGTCCTTTTCGGACCTCATCTCTGTATTTGTTGGAGGAATCCAGGACGTCAATCACACCGCACTTTCCACATAGATACGGATCACATTCACGATTGTGCTTCCAACACTCGCATCGGCTATCTTTGAAGCAGTTTTTGCTGCCACGAGTCGTGCAGCTACAACCCCGAAAGCGCCGTTTGCAAGAGTCGTCGCAGCCACAAAATCTTTCACAATGGACCTTGCTCCTGGAGCAGGTACAGGCTGGATTATTGTAGCAGGGACCATCATGAGAGCATGGAATGAAGGGTGGCCGTTGATCCAGCTCCGCACTTCTTGAAACATCAATTGTGGGCACAGGTTTCTTTTTCTTGCGCATGTGATTGTGGTGACGCTGAGCAGTACTACTGTCAGACGTTAAGCCTGCATCGGCGCCCGGGTGAGGCACTCGGGATATGCGAAATACCATATGATGAAAAACCATCAAACAACCGATGTCTTTGACGATGCGGGCAATAAGACAAGGTCCTCTTTTGTTATTCATGTAAAACTGCATCAGTTTCTCCACCAGAAGTTTCTGTGAATGCGAAATAAATGGCCGAAAATTGATGTCGGACATCTTGCAATTCGGTCGGTTCGCCACGTCCCAGAAACACGAGGGTCCACAAAGATCATCATCTTCAAGTCTTTGCGTGGTCTGAGGGGTTGGCCTGCTATCACCAGCAATACATCCATCCTCTCGGCGTCCGATGAGCTGTCGCAAATTCTGCGAGGTATCGACACAAAACAATCCACAAACATGGGGGGCGGATTCCTCCCTAGTCCGTGTAGGTAGGATCATAAATTTTCGAAGATTGCGGTCCTGCTCCTCATCGTTGATAAAAGCCTTGAGCTCTTCGGGATCTTTGACCCCACGGTCTTCATCAATGGGTTCCTCATATGATCCATGATCCGGACATTGATGACGATAACAGATCACGCAGAAAGTAGATCCTTTTTTGACAATGGCTTGAGGATCCTCATACCTTGGCTGCAAAATACCACCGAGAGCAATGTGCCATAGACTTACTCTGGTCATCTCATGGAAAGCATGAGCCGCGAGTCCCGCAAGCGCAAGACTCCTGTCGTCAGGCACTGGCAGTTTGCTGAAAGTTTCACTGAAATGTGTCCATCGACTTTCGGGGTCCACAAGTTCACAGGTTCTGCATCTTCGAAATTGCTCTTCTCTCCATGCCTTGGAGCTTTCTGCAGACCATCCGCATGCACACTGACGGCCCGGATCGAAGTGGTTCACGGTGTAGTAATAGAGTATATCACTTCTCTCGATGCCCAGGCACGAAAGGAGTTCGTCTGCCCAAGGCCTCCAGAGCCAGATCTGTTCTTGACAGCTTCGCTGGGCCTTTAGGCTGTCATAGTTATTGTTGAATCTCTGCTCGAGTTCCGCATATTTTTCTGTGGCTTCTGGGTCTTGAATTTCGTCTTCCGCGTCGTAAGGCCGATATTTGGCTGTGCGAAAATTTGGGGCCAAAAAACTCGATGAAACTCGTCCAATAGCCTTGTATTTGGGTAACAAGATTGACCCTGTCCAAAATGAGCTCTCAGGCGCGCGAACGATGGTCAACTTTCTCTGCTGTGGTCTCTCCGGGGACGGAAGGGGATTGCCCGAAGCGGTCATTCGCTCCTGGGTGATTTTTTGAAATGGATTTGACAATGTTGAATCAAGTCGGGCTCGTGGCCAACCTCTCATGGCGACTGTCGCTTTCCTTAAGTCCGCTTGAACGAATTCTTCTTGCCACGCGTGAAGGTCCCTACGTAGTCTCTCTACCAGCCGTCTCACCGTCTCGATGTCGGGTTCAGTTTGATCTTGGTCAACCGGATCCGTCGACTTTCCTGTCGCGTCGCTCTCATTGTCGAGCTGGATGTCTGTTTCACTCGTGTGTGCTTCACTGTCTGAGATTTCCCGGTCGAGTCCGCCGGTAGGTTCATCTCGCTCCAATCGGTTTGGAAGATTGTTCTCCACGCCTTCTCTGGTGCGTATTTGGCGGTTTTGGAGGGCGGCTTTAGTTTTGGCGGTTTCAGTAGAAGCTCTATTATTTGACATGGCATTGTCCGACCCTGCCATACCATTACTCTTACCTCCGCCACATCCTGGTTCGTGCTCCGAAGTTGTAGGACTTTCCAGGTTGCCTCCACTGGGAATATTGCTTGGGCTTAGTAGTGGGAGTCTGACCACCAGTGACCGTCGCTCAGAAGGTAGCGGCGACATCAGATACGTGCACCGATCACCTCGCCCTATCGAGTTGCACTGTGTACAGGGTCGGAGCCCATCACACTGTCTGGATTGAAAATTGCAGGTATCACAGACCGGGCTGTTGATGTTCGCTGATGGTTGCGTCTTTTCCACCGCATTGAATTGGGCGGGTTCTTCGAAGGCTTTTTCAACCGCCTTTTCCCAGTTAGGATCCGTGATTTCTACACGCTCCTGTAGAGGATTAATGTTCTTCTCCCTATGATAAGAAATATATTGAGGAATAAACGTAGATTGAGGTGTGATCCCGTTTGAAGGCGGCTCCTGGACCTCATTTGTCACTCGAGGTTGAGACTTCTGGCGGGGAGTGGAAACCCCGTCATTCTGGGATGCGGACTGTTGTCGTGCCACGGGGGCGGACATGGAATTTTGTGCGCACTTTGGCTGATTATTAATTAGAGGAAGTTTTATTCGCGTAAGTTCGACCCGGTCTAAGGGCATTTGTTGACCTCGGAGGAGTGGCAGTGAAGTTTGCTTTTTGGCGGCAAGACGCGGTTGCGACAGAATGATGGGTACCCGACGCGGAGCAGACGCATCATCATCGTTGGTCAAGTCTATGGGCTCCGGTTCCCTGTTGGGCGCGTCTTCTTCGTCGTCGTCTTCCTCTTCGGAATCACTCAAGACAATGACCGTGTGCCTGTTGGAACTCATGTTGTTGTTGAGTCCCCGTGACGACAGAATCCGCTCTGGCTGTCCATGGCTTGGACGCGGCGATTCTCGACGGACTTGGCCTTCTTGTCGGAGCTGCCTTGTATGTGAAGCGGTATAAAATCGAATGTGCCCGTTCATCTTGGGCTTGGATCATTGCAAGGGAGTCTTATATTATCAACGCGTCAGAAAGTGACAATGCTGGGTTTCCAGATTCCTCCTCCGGTTGGAAGTTGTCGATGGTCATCCTCTTTGGGGAGCAATAAGAGGAGTATGTGACAAAATGAGATGCTATTGCTGGCAACACAGACTTGAGATGGCGGTGAGGGCAGTCCCAGATCTCTGAGGTTCAGGTTATTCCAGGTTTTTCTTCCTGTTCGAAGCGGCCGCTGGCAGCAAACTTCCTACTGCAGCCAGTAATCAGGGGTCTTGGCGCCCTCCTCCGCCTCCGCCTTGGTTCCACCGTCGAGAATTTTCCTCTCCACTGACATATCTCATAGGGTTGAGGCGACACGAACCCCAAAAGTTCAATGACATGTATGCTCAAGGTAAGAGTCAGACGCATGCATTACCTTCGACCCCTACTGAATCTCTCAGCCCCACGGCACATGTCTACCAGTCACCGCCCTTCAATCAGGAAAGGCCGGTCAAAATGTGATATTATTGGCAGGGCAAGGACCGTATGTCCATGCTTACAATGGAAACGGCCATCAGATTCTGTCTGTACGAGTCTTCGTATCTCAGCCGGTGCATGGCATTGTAACCGCCGCTAATGACAATTCTGTCCATCCATATGAGCATCATCAGACTGACGTCGTCATCTGGGGAGGGTCTCTGATGCGGTTTGGCAGGCTTGCAGTAGGAGTGGGTGGCAGAGACCCTTCCGCACCTGAATTTACCCTCCACCTGGCAAGGGAATTCGATTCAGGAGACTGGATTCTCGACATTGCCGTTCTCGGCGCAAGCATCTGGATACTGACAGCCCACAATGTATTATTCCGACTGCTATTGCACGAGGGCGATTCACTAGACTTATCCCGCTACGAAAAACTCTCCGTTGTGCAAGGGCCGGCCACGTTTTTATACTCTGCACAACTGGTGGTAGCAAGGCATGGGGTATTTATCGTCGCCTCTGGAACGGTTTTCGGAGAAATCCTCGTTTGGACTTGTTCCAAGCAAGACCACGACCAAGAATGGTCCACGCAATTAAAACATGTCTTTAATGGACACACCGGCTCTGTATTTGGCGTGGCCATATCGAAGGAACTTAATCTGAATAATGGCCATAAGCGCCTCCTGGCGAGCTGTAGCGACGACAGGACCATAAGGATCTGGGACATCAGTGATTGTGACCAGCTATTTTCAGACACCAATACTCCTCTCATGTCGACTGAAACCGGTTTCGGAAGTGCGACTCATGCTAAAATCCCTCAGCTAGCGTCTGCTTGGGGTCATCTGTCACGCATATGGGGGGTTGAATTTTTAAAAACACCCCAGAATCAAGGTTGCAATGGGGTGCACCTATTATCGAGAGGAGAGGACGCTGCTTGTCAGTTATGGTCAATTGAAACCTCGAAGGAAGTGGGACCGAGCAAACAGACAACGGCACAAATTACGCCCGTCTCCAATGACCGTTACCACTCTGGGAAGAATGCCTGGTCCATGTCGCAGCTCAGTGAGGACCATAGTGTCACAGTCTTCACCGGCGGCGCAGACGGGCAGATCATATCAAGGCGATTCGACACGATCAGTGCGGCCATGAACGACTCGGTCACCTATTCCATCCCGTTCAAGGAAGTTACCAGTTCGTCTAATGCACTGAAACATTACCTGCTGCGCAATCAGAGTGAATGCCTCGCCACAACAGATCAAGGCCATCTGTTCCTGCTTACCATCAAAAATGGGACTCTCAACTGGAAGCGAATCAGCAAAAGCACTAGCAAGGGTGGTCTTTCAATTTGCAACTCTGAAGTTGATGGAGTGACTCTTCTAGCTACCCAGCAAGGCGACTTGTCAGTATTGCGACAAGGTGACGACGCTCCAATTTCTATTCCAATCTCCCTCGAATCGGGCGTCTCTTGGATCCGATGCGCCTCTAACCAAACTCCAAATTCCCCAGCCTCGCCGAATTCAAACTGCATTGTCGTGGTATTGTCAAACCAACACGCAGTTATTCTCTGGTTGACCAAGGATGGCAGCTCATTTCGATTAAAGAAAACAACCCTGAAATTGCCAGATACTTTCACCATCGCATCGATTTGTTACGACCGCTCGAACCAAATCCTATTTCTCGGCTCCCGTGCTGGTGCACTTGCAATCTACTCGGACCTCCCGTTCGAGTCGGAAGATTCTGGAGAGCCATTCTGTCTCCGCCACATCCACGGATCCGACTGTGTTACTTCGATCAACATTCTCGGGCATACCGCAACGACGAGCGACATCATGGGAAGAACATCATACATCTTGACAACAGGTCGAGACGGGAACTATGCAATCCATCGTCTCGACTGGGATCGTCAGTCCACGCATTATATCGAACCGACATTCTCGACGATCCACCTTTCCTCCCTTCCGTTTGGTCCAAATATCGAAGGAGCCTATTTCTCCCACCAACCCGAGGGAAAAGACCCACATTCAACCACTGTTCCAGACCTAGTGCTGTACGGCTTCCGCTCTACTTCCTTCGTGGTATGGAACGAGACACAGCAATCAACAATTCTATCCGTCAACTGCGGCGGAGCTCATCGGACTTGGGCCTATAAAGACTCCGCCGCCTACTCTAGCAGAGATAGCTCTCTTCACTCATCACAGCAGATAATACCGGATACAAGATCTTTCGTCTGGACTAAAGCTGGAAAATTTAATTGGTACACTGCTAGGTCGGCCAGCCACAAAGTCATTCTGAAAGGGGGACACGGTCGCGAAATCAAGGCCGTGGCACGCAGTCCCGTTCTTTACACACATACGAACAGCGAATTCTACAAGCGACCCCGAACTCTCATAGCCACAGGAGCCGAAGACACGACGATCCGCCTATTCGCGCTTTCTGGAACAGAAAGATTCCCATCCAAACTTTCTGATTCCGACCACGAATCACAATTAAGCACAACATTCCATAGTTTAGCGACACTCAAGCGCCACACGACCGGACTTCAGCACCTCCTCTTCTCCCCTTCGGGAAAGTATCTCTTCAGCAGTGCCGGCTGCGAAGAATTCTACGCCTGGAAACTCAGTTTTGATGTGCCTTGTATCAGCATCGGTGTCGTGCTATGGGACATGATTCCACAAGAAGACGAGGACCCAGACTCAGACGCCAGGATCATGAGCTTTGATTTAAGAGCCTACGCAGTCGCGAACCTTGACATTGCAACACATCCGAATAAAAATGACGTTATCCAACAAGAGGAAGAGAAATTTACGCTCGCACTGGCTTACTCGAACGGCAAAACCAAGATCGTACAATACACGCCCTCGATCACGGCGCGGAATCAAGGCATGTTCGAAACATTACGCGAAATCAACTATGGGACGTTCTGCGTGATGCAGGCGTCTTTCCTCTCACCGGAATCATCTCTCCTGGGGACTCAGACGCAAATACTCTCCGCCGGAACGAATGGGTTTTTGAACCTCAGCGCCATCAATCTCAATCTCATAACCAAGACCGAGGAGAAAGGGTTGGAGTTGCTGTCGCCATCGCCATCGTCATCGCAACTGGAAGTCCACAAGACCCATCAAAGCAGTATCCTAGCCATGGACATTGTCCAATTGAATTCAGATTCCTACCTCATTGCGACCGGCGGTGACGATAATGCATTGGGTCTTACGCTGCTCTCCGCCGATACTAGCACTAATGGCACACGCCCACCCAGACACAATTTTCGAACAATTCTCATACCCCACGCACACGCGGCTGCAGTGTCGGCCCTGAAATTCATGAGTCCAAAACACACAGCCACAGGGTTCTCCCTCGCCGCTATATCCGTGGGCAACGACCAACGCGCCAAGGTATGGTCTGTACATATTGACTTGGAGAAAGCCGCTCACCCCACTGACGATGTTCTGCTCGAAGCCATTCATGTCCAGCGATCATGGAGTGGGTGGACAGCTGTCGCGGACGTGAGTGGGCTTGAGATCATTGATGGTAACGATCAGAATCAAGCTCTTGCTAACGATGATTCCAACGTCAACGAGGAGGCCAAACAAGGCTGTCGGATTTTAGTTACCGGTGTCGGCATGGAAGTCTTGAGCCTGCTTGCTATGGAGTAAAATTTGATTCCCGCTGAAAATATCGGAACGGAAAGTCACTGAAGTATCTGCGCCATGAAGAAGCATAAATTCCGCGGTGTCAGCCCAACATTTGACGACATCACCGTTGAGCTTATCGTTGCATGTAAAATGATCGAAAACTTCCTCGACAAATCGCTGCCAGAGAGTCCACCAATCCCACATCTCGTTGGGATCAGCACGTGGGCCATGAGAAGCCGTCAAACAGTATGGATTGCTGGAGGACGTGCAGCGGGACCTTATCTGGATTCGTCTTCACTGAATCTACGAAAGCGCGATCTGAAAGCGGTCGGCAATCATTCATAGCTTTGCATCTGCTTTCATGAGACACAGGCAGTCCAACCTGAACGAGCAAAGACTTCAAAATAGCACCACTGACGCAACGATAGTCGAACACTGTCAGAGGGAAATGCTGTCACCTCGACCTAGCATGTTGTAATGGCTGTGAATCCCATCTCTCATTACACCCATTGGCGATTTCATGACTCCTTGACTGAATTCGGCCTTGGGGTGCTCCAGGCTGATTTCCTCTTCGGCGTATAGATCCTTGGGGCCTTCCAGTTTGTAAGAGTAGTATAAATAGTTATTGAGAAGCTCAAGAAACAGCATATCATGCTTGCCCAGGTGTTGTCCCAGGGTGTTGGCGAGAGAAGGACTCGCAGCTTGCGGCCAAGCATGTAGGACTTTGCACATTGCCATGTGCATAGATCGTACGGCAAAATTGACTGAAAGGAAGATGCCTGGGCCTTTTGACAATTGCATCGACCACATCATTACACCTGCGACTTGAAAAGACTTTCAAATCCTGGAATCTTTAATTATTGTTGAGGTTGTGCTCGATGTGTCGAGGCCCGGATCCAAACGTATCGTCGTGAACAATACCTGCTTGATGGATTCCTGTCCTCAACTGATCAATGCGGCGGATATTGTGAAATCTGCTGATTCAATTTAGAAAGCTCAGCGTGGATATTAGCAGAAGCGGCGGACAGGGCTCTGGCCGCAAGTTGGTTTTCCTCGTCATTGCTTCTAGCCGGGTGAAGATGGACCTCTGATAATGCCTCTTTCGATCGATTACTTTAACATAATCAGTACTAAGTGAGTAGTAAATACTAGTCCAGCTGATCCGTAGAAGACCGTGAGATTGACCAGAAGTTGGCTTCGAACTTCCTAAACTCTTTCTTGCATGTTGACTTGAATGCTTGACGGATAACTCTCCATCGCTTGTTCTCCATCAGTTATCCCCGTGCCTTGTCTGAGGAAAGGTTGGGCGATACCAGTTAAAGCTTTCTCCCTTGGCCTGATTGACGTTGACAATATTTGGGGTGACCGAGCACTCTCGATGATATGACTCAGTGAGATAGTATTTTCAGTTACAAAGCGCAATTGCTGTCAACCAGATTCGACAAATTGAAGCACTGCAGCAGCCAGGCGGATTGGTATCAAATGGAGGAGAATCCATGATGGCCTCTTCAGCCATATCGACCAGAAGTTAAAAGTTCGACAATCTCAGAGGTGAGCGCTTGCGTTGCCCGGTGACCATACGCAAACTCGAGACGTCCATCGACGGACGAACTATCGCCACTGTTAGATGAATCGTATCGAAGTGACAAGAGAGTAGGGAAAAGATCAAAGTGCGGCCAGGCTGTCCTGTCATCGACATGCCGGTTCTCCTGGCGGAGGCGCAGCGTCCCTGCAGTTTCTTTTGTGTAGCGTTGTGAGTGGTGAGGAGACGAGGGAGGTATGAGGCAAACGGCAGACAATACCATCCAGATGGCCTAGCTCCCATCTCCTTCCCATTGCTGTGTTCATCTTATACGACCTTGAGATTGATTTTGAGGCGGAGAGGCAGCTCGGAGAATAAAGAGCAAAAAGAAAAGGAATAGTTCCTATGGGGATCGAACCCATGACCTTCTCCGGATAGCTTGTAAAGGAGATGTGATAAACCACTACACTAAGGAACTCCAAAGGCCAGCAGAAATTGTTGTGTCAACATCCGGACAAAATTTCAACCCATAAATTGGGATTAAAAAATATAGACTCAAAAGAAGTTCTTCGGATTGGGCTTCGCTCTCAGCTCCCAAAAGGCCTCTGTGGTTGATGTTGAGGAATACAAATCCGAGACCACATGCGACACTACTTCTGAAAGGGGATGCTGATAACCTTCCATCGCGAAGCTACCTCAGGGTAGGGTCTTCCGCCTTCGGCAAACTCGTACCTGCTCTCAAATTGCTGGTACATCCCAACTCAGGTTGGAGGAAAATGCCTGGTCGGATTTTGGCGGGTCGTGCCGCCGCTTTAGGCTGCAGCTCAGGCTACCAGGTAAAATTCCAACGACTTGGTCTCCCGTACGTACCCAAGTGGGCTCCCAGAGAGTGATCAGGTCTGTCGATCAAAACAAAATGGCCAAGTTGAAGACTTATTGAAGTACCAGTATTAGCGACGGGATTAACCTAGACGCGGCTACGAGTTTGTCATGACACAATACACACTCGCACCTTTTCACCAAGCAAACTTCTCTTTGACCAATTCCTCGGATAGCTTCCAGAGCTTCTCAGCCTCGTCGCTTGACACCGCCCGAGGAGAGGCTTTGTCACTGATCTGGCAATCAATGAGGTACGCCCCGTAATTCTCTTTGCCACCCTTAGTCTCACTTGCTCCCAGCTTCGGGTCCAACGCAGCAACTAGACTGGTCGCCGCTCCTGCGCCCATGGTTTTGTAATAAAACAACCCCTTCTTCCGCATGTCCTGGATTGCCTCCTTTGTCTCCGGCAAGTTGTGCCTCCCGAGCTCTGTAGCTATTATACCCGGATGAACCGCCAGGCTCAATATCCCATGACTGTCACACAACCTCTTGTTTGCCCCAATGCCAAACAACACATTCGCCACCTTGCTCTGATTGTACCCCTCTAGCGGTAAATGCGCCTTATTCTCCATATCCTTCGCTCCCCACAACCTGTGCATGTCGTAAAACGGCCGCTCCGTTTCCGGCAGGTCTTTGTTTCTTTTCTCGAAGTTGATGTCGCTCCATCGCATGCATGCTGTCTGGGGAGAGAGCGAGCTGACGCTGATCACTCGTGTGGCTCCTTTGGGGTTGGCCTCGGCGGCTTTGAGAAGCTTGGGCATAATCAAGCAGGTGAACAGGAAGTGCGCGATGTGGTTGGTCGCAAAATGCATCTCGATTCCGTCTTCACCAAGCGTGCGCTCTGGGATGTTCATTACGGCAGCGCTGTTCACGACGATGTCGATGGCTGGTATGTCGGACCAAGAAAGGACCTCGGCGGCTGCAGCACGAACGGCTTGCTGGCTAGAGAGGTCGAGTTTGAGAGGACGGTAGTCCACGTTGGAGAATTGCGTCTTGAGAGCATCTCTGCTCTCCTGGGTTTTGGATGGGTTGCGGCCTGCAATGATGAGGTGGCCTGGCAATTCAGAGGCCTAATTAATACATCAAGCAGGGTGCGAGGCTCGAGTGGAAATATCCCTTACCAAAGCCTCCGAAGTCGTGAACCCAATCCCTCCGCGATTCACGCCGGTGACCAATATGGTCTTACCGCGAATCGCCTCAGCGAATGCCTTGGCCACTTCCATGCCTTCAGTCTTCTCATTGAACTCGGGGTGTGTTGTGGCTGTCATTTTGTCGGTGTAGTTGTGTCTGACGCTGAAGGCTATGCTAGAACGTACAGGGTAGTGCAGAAACACGCACTGCCAAAAAGAACCAGAATGCGACTTGGGAACTATAGATGAGAATTTCCCTGGTTTGGTACATTCAACTACGGACGGCCATGCGTTTACATATTCTGGCTCATCCTATCTCATCCCCCATCTGGCGTCTTTTATCACCGAAACTGTCGATTTCCGTGGACTATACATGAGGTTTTCTCTTGTTTGGTCTGTTTGGCGGAGAAGGCTGGGCATTCATATATACTTAAATCATCTTCTGTTAATATATCCTCCATCTGGAATTTGTTGTCACCGGAGCCGCCGATTCTTGGTAACTATAAGACGGGATTTCTTCTGTTTTGGCATTTCTTAGCAGCGGAAGGCCGGACATACACATACAAGTTCCTCCTATTCCATCCTCCATCCGGTTTCTCTTATCGCCGAAGACGCCGATTCATACACCTAGGATGGAAATTCCGGAATTAATCACCACAGCCTTGCAGCCTTGAAGGCTGTTTCTGTCTTGAACCCGCGTTGTCCTGGCCCTGAACAAATTTTAATGTCGAGCTCTTGGGCGAGGTCGCTACTAGGATTTCCTTTTTGCCTGAACAGCAGTCACTGCCACCAGCACGATAGCACCCACCTTGGAGAGCACAGCGATGGAGCCATACCAGGCTGTGTTATTCAGTCGCTGCCTTCTTGTAGAACCTTCCCAGATACCAGGAGCATACGAGGTGTTGAATTAGCGACGTCAAAAGCGGCGAGTCTCCACTGTGCGGAGAACCATGCCCGAAGCGCGGGGGCGCCTTCTAATAATCCAGAAGCGGATTTCCCCCACGGCAAAGTTCACATTATCAAGGTAAGAAATTTTGCGTAGGGTTGATTAGATTCACGGAATTGGTATATATAAAAACCTCCCAAGTCATCCAGACCCTAGTTCTTGTTTCCATTGAGCCAGGATTAAGATGTAGAGTACAATGGAGTACGATACACCGACGATGAAAGCCTCTTCAAATGCTGCTGGAACCAACTCTGATGTTGCCTCTACGAGAGGTCATCTCCGGGCCGGGTCTAAACCTGCAGATGTACCGATACTCAAAGAGCCGGTAACATTTGCATTTTCTGGCCGAACGGCGAAGAATAGGCTTCTCAAAGCTCCGATGACGGAAAGGCTGTGTCACTGGAATAAAGAGGGCGAAGATATTGTAGGTACACATATATCCCTCTGATACTTCACATACCTTAACGTAAGTCAGTCCGCTCGGGGAGTCCCGAGTCCCGAATATCTCCATTTGTATCGGATATGGGGAGAGGGCGACATTGGTATCATCGTGAGTGGCAATATCATGGTCCGTTACGATGCGGTGGAGGCTTATGGTAATCCTATTATCGTGGATGATCATGACGGCCGCATAGCCAAGTTCAGGGAGGTCACTCAAGCTGCAAAGGCACACGGATCGCTTGTCATCGCACAGCTCTCACATCCCGGAAGACAAGGTGGGAAATATCTGAATCCGAATCCAATCAGTGCAAGCGATGTGCACCTGACCATTAAGTGGGCGGGCAATGAATTCAACAAGCCCAGACCCATGACCATTCCAGAGATTAAGGAGATGGTTCGTTCATGGGGAGAAAGCGCGTATTTATGCTCCAAGGCTGGATTTGATGGCGTTCAAGGTAAGACAGCAAAGATTTGGGTGGCATTGATCTTCATTTTCAACCGAATAATCATGCAAACAGTCCATTGTGCCCACGGCTATCTCCTGGCCCAATTTCTGAGCCCGACCACCAACAGGCGCACCGATGAGTATGGCGGTGACTTGAACAACCGCTCTCGAATCGTCTTTGAGATCATTGAGGAAATCCACCGTCGCGTTTCTGATCCGTCATTCATTGTTTGCGTCAAACTCAACTCTGTTGAATTCCAAGATAAAGGGACCACTCCGGAAAATGCTCGAGATTTGTGCGTCAAGCTCGAAGAGGCAAGAGTCGACTTTGTGGATCTGTCAGGCGGCACATTCGAGGGCCGAGCCTTTGAGCACAAGAAGCAGAGCACGATTGCGCGAGAGGCATATTTCATCGAATTCGCGGAGATGATTCGACCCCTGCTGAAAAAGACAAAAGTCTATGTCACAGGGGGGTTGCGCACGGCCGGCGGAATGGTGAAAGCCATTGAATGTGGGGCCTGCGATGGAATTGGAATTGGGAGACCATTGGCTGCCGAGCCGTATCTTGTCAAGGAACTGTTAAATGAGAAAATCACAGGCGCCATTGACAATTTTGTCCCGCTGCCTCTCAATACCCAGGCCAGTGGGACACAATTGCATCAGATCGGGAAGGGAGATAGCCTGATCAGTGACTGGAGTGTGGAGAGTGAGGTCAAGAGGTGGATTGAAGCGCATGAAAAGGAAACAGAAAGGAAAATGAGTATCTTGCCCAAGGTGGATAGTTCGGGGTATGCGCCGCTCAAGGCTGAGTCTGGGTTTGCCTATTTGCAGTCCTGAACTGCAACTTGGGGGGCAGACGTTGCATGCAAATCTCTGCCGGATCTTGCTGCCGTGGTAGACATGGTTTTCCGAAGGTCATGCAGAATAGCGCCTGACTCTTGAATGTTTGTTCTTCATCGTTCACATTTTAGCTTGTTCTTATGCCAACGGCACCTTTTTCTTTTTCTATTTCTGATCCGTCCTTGATGACGCCAGAATGCATCTTCCCATAAAACCACATCGTTTGGCAAATATGTTGGATGAGTTGCTCATTCCTGCCTAACCAGCCTGGTAGTCTTTTCCTCCCACCACCTCCTGCCCTCACCGGCTCTCATCATTCTCAAGACAAATTCGCTTTTTTAGAATTTCTGAAAGGCTTTGATCGCCTTTCCTGTTCGGGGCAACACACGGAGAACATTGAATCGGACCTGTAAATAATCCAATTAGCATTCTAGCTCTGACTCCAAGCCTCATGGCCAATTTCGCAATATCCATTGCTGTAGGAAACCTTACAGTCTTGCTCAAAGGCCTGCACTGGCCGACAGTGACCTGGTCGCCTTCTTCGACGCGGAAAGCAGGAGAAACGTGGGCGGCAAGATTGGCATGTCTCTTTTCATATCGGGCGTACTTGGGGACGAAGTGCAGGTATTCTCGGCGGATGATCAAAGTTCGGTGCATCTTGGTCGACACAACGGTGCCGGTGAGGATGCGGCCTCGGATGGAGACCATACCGGTGAACGGGCATTTCTTGTCTGTAGAAAATAATATGTCAGAATGAATCCATCTCGTTTATCTCGCTGCTGGTCGAACTAAGAACATGAAGATCCCTCCCAAAATTCGCTCACTTGTCCAGCGCAGACTTTTGGAGAACCAGAGTTCGACTAACCGATGTATGATCCTTCAATAGCGGTCTTTGGCGTTCTGAAGCCCAACCCGACGTCTTTGTACCATCTCCTTCCGCCCTTGCCCGATCTCTTGCTCTTTGCAGCCTTGGCCTTGTGATTGAGGAAAATGTGAGGCTGCTTTTGGTACGCGCGTTCGGACTGGACTGTCAACTCGGTCGCCATGATCGCGGATGTTGACAGAAGATGGGCAATGGGGGAGATCTGAAAATTGTTTTTGTGGCAGTCGATCCCCGATGCTTCATGGTGCGTCTTGGCGATAAATTTTAGGCTATTCCGCAATAGGCGTAGAATTATCACGTGATCTCGAGTCAGTTCCCCATGTTTACGTTTCGGCCTCGGGACGCGAATCTGGTCATTCGACAAACAACATTGTTGACATGCAGCTTTTAGACCAATATACCAATTTACGGACTTATTAATCTGCATCGCGCAAGAATGGCCGACTCTACAGCAGATCAGAGATCTAGGAGGCCTAAAGCCCGGCAGTCAATTGCCCACTTGCCCTCTACTAGGACCTCCGTCTCAAGGGATAATGCAACAACTGACATTACCGCCCTTCAAGTTCAGAACAATACGACACAAGCAGCAAAGAAGAAATCGCGAGGGAAAAGCCTTGGTCCAGGAGGACTTGAGGCTTTGAAGGAGCCTCCTGGAAACTCCACAAAGGTATTTGCCACCTTCGTCGTCTCGGAGAAGCGAATAGCTGACCATTGGTGGACAACGACACCTTTCCAGATCAAATCAATCCTCAAACCTACAATACTTCTGACGCCGCCCAAAGTAATCCCGACATTTGATGAACTACGGAAGCGAAGTACTGAGAAGGACGGATCGCCAGGCAAAAATAGTGCTGAAGAGCTTCTGATTGATTTCTCAACACCTGGACCAAACAAACCAGACGGAGGAGATATTTCAACATCAAGCGCCGACAATGCGGCAGATCCTTTCAGTCCGATAACGCGACGGTCGCCTCGAAGGCCTGGTGTTGGAGGGAACCCCGAAGATCTTCGGCGCGAGCAAGAGGAAGAGTTCAAGCGTCAGGCGGAAAAGAAAGCCGTACTAGAGCGGAGAGCTGCTAGGCGAAAATCACTGGCAAATCGAAGAGTGTCGTTTGCGCCAGAGGCGACCTTGCATACATGGAGTGTCATGGAGCTCGTGGAGGACTCTACAACCAGTTCTGCTTCAAACTCCACAAGAAGGCAGTCGTCAATGACAACGGCACAGTCTCCAGACCAGACACCCCGATCGCCTGAAACTCCTGCGATCCCTTCAGCTCTCGCCGAGCAGACTGAAGATCCCTTAGTAAAAGCATCGCCGGAGCACCAACGAGATGTTCATCAACAGAAACGTCGGAGAAGAAGCTCTGGACTATCAGAAGTGATGTTGGACGCTGCACCAGATGAGGCGTTTTCCTCAAGTCCTTCCGGAGACGTCACAACAAACAGCAGTCCCTTGCGTGTCGAGGAAGGTATTGAATCTTCTGATGAATCAGATACGGATGGCGACACAGCAATGAGTTTGGATGAAAGTACTGCACATACTATAAACTCCCAAGACTCAGCATCTAGCACACATTCTAGCTTGGACGAACGTCTCCGACAAGCGGCCGACCAAGCTGGTACTCGTGGAATTGAATATGATGAACATGGTGATGACTTGTCCATGGAAATGGTGACGGGCACAGTCACGAATGCATTTCAACTCTGGGCGCCGAATCGTGCCGAGAACGCTGACAATGGCGCAGTCTACGACCAGGAAAATGTTAATCCGTTTACATCTTACCAACAAGAATCGAATTCACAGCAAATTCAAGATCCCGGGATCGAAGATGAAGCTCAGGATGAGACCCAAGAGATGAGCATGGATGTCACAAAAGCTGTTGGTGGTATTGTATATGGTCAATCTCCTGGCAAGAAGGGACGAAAGTCACCGGTGCCTCGCCGCAGAAGCAGCATTCGCCGCCGCCGATCCTCTGGAGACGGTTCTGCTCTCGATGAGAGTATGGAGTTTACAGTCATGCAAGGTGGAATTCTCGGTGCTGGAGCGGAGCCCACAGAAGCCACTCATACTCATTCATCTGATGAATATATGACCATGGAATTCACGAAAGCCGGAGGAAGGATTCTGGACGGGTCAAGTCGATGTGAATCTGCCCTGTCTGAGCAGACAGACGAAAACGAGTCAATGGATATGACCACTGCTGCTGGCGGAATATTGCCACCGATTGAGGAGCAGACTGAACCACAGACTGACATGGAAGAGGGCCAGACAATGGCTCTGGAAATGACTAAGGCGGCGGGCGGCATTTTGAACCAGAATTCAGCCTCGGAAAAGAGAATGACGAGAGAGCCTCGGGAAAAAGCTGTGGCCTTTACTCCTGATTCTAAATCGCCACACGTTCAAGCCATCGAACAGACTACATCAAGATCCGCACCTAAATCCACGCCCAGATCTCAGCATCATCGGGCGTCTGTTGCTTCAGAGACAGGTAGCCCAAGTCTCGCATTGAAACCACGACTTTCGGGTAGGCCTCAACGAAATGCACCAAAGCCCTCCAGCACGCCGCAGTCCAAGCCGCCGAGTAGCCCTCCCATTCAATCAGCAGTTAGGGTACAAACCGGCACTCCTTCCAAACAGACCACTCCATTTCCAACACGTGCTGAAACTCCAAACAAAACACCACCGTCGGTCAATGTCGCTCATCGAGGGGCGTCAGCCAAGAAGCTCTTTAAGGCTGAGATCAAAGCGAGAAATTCGCCTGGATCAACCAAGCGAGAGGCGAATCTCAAGGCCAATAGTCTCTTCTCTCGAGATGCCGAAACTGGACAGCATACTCCCAGCGTCATTCTCCGTGCACCAAAGCCACGGGTCGTCCGACGAAGGTCCAGTGGCATCGGGATTGACAAAGATGGGATTGGTTCTCCCCGAGCCGCTGAACTGCTTGATCGTCGAACCTCGATCGGTGAAGTCGCGCCGCAGTTCAAATTGGGTGATAATGAGCCGGGACAATTGCGATTCGAGGATCCACAACAACTTGAGCATGAGGTCGAGGTTGAGCGAGTTGACGAACACCGACGTGAAAGTGGCCGATTCATCATGGAGCAAGAAGCAGATGAAAACCAAGATGAGAATGCCACTTTACAGTTGAGGGACATGATCGTAGCCATGTCTCCCGAGAAGCCGAGGCCTGGTAAGCTCAGAGGCAGAAAGAGTCTAGCAATTGGAGGGGCCAGAGGGCTGTTGGGCAAGAGGCCAGCAGAACTTGACATGGACGACGAAGATGAACACGATTCCACACCGAAGCGATTGAAAGCTGTTTCGCGAGAAGGTAGTCCCGTCAAAAGGGTCCATTTACCAAAGCCACCGACGAAAGACGAAACAACGGGGCGATTGAGCACCAAATTGCAAGAATCCCTCCAGGAGATGGTCGGTGTTGATAAGGTAACGCCGACCATTGGAACTTCCTCACCGTCAAGAAGTGCAGCGGCACCAAGCCCTCCGACTACAGGGCGGTTCAAGGATGTTGAGACCAGTAATGAGGCTAGACCTACCTCATTCGAAGACAGACTTGATAATGTTGTTGGAGCCATTGACGTTTCGACAGCGCAGATGCAAAGTGGAACCTCCCAGAACGAACGAGAAAAGATCTCTCTTCAACAATTCTTGAATATGACAAATATTCATTTCATCGAGCTGTCAACAACCAAAAGAAGACACACAATAGCCCAATCATTGCCGATCAAAGAATCCGTGGAAGGCGCCCACTCCAATGGCACCAAAGCCAACTTCGTCGCAGCAGCCACTACGTTGCCTCTTCTTGAACTATACCAACATGCTACAAGAGAGCTAAAGTCTTATATTTCAACTGGTCGAAAAATCATTCGCTCTATCGAAGTTGAGACTCTTGCTGAGCAACCACCGCTGTTCCGCGAGTACGTCGATGCTCGGCCAGATGTGAAAATGGTGATGGACAATCAATTCCGAAATGGCAAAGCCAATGCTCGCCTCCAAAGCAAAGAGGGTTGGTACCAGTGGCGAGCACAACTCGTGGAGGGTCTCAAGACTGGACTGGAAGGAATCAATCAGGGCATGAATGCTGATCTCGACCTTTTGCAAAAGCAGCAGCATTTATTGGATGATGTTATGCCTAAGCTGCTCCATGAGCATTCTGCACTCCAGCATCAAAGTGCGTCGTTACAGCAGAGCCTTGCAGAGTTGGATAGTGTCGATCACGAGGCTCTAAACCACTGTCGGCGACAACTGCAAAAAGCTGACGAGTACTACCTCCAGAGATCTGCTCTTCTGGACATGTTACAGCAACAGATAAATGAAAAAGATGAGGCTCTAGTCGCTGCAGCAGAACTGAAGACTGAGATGAAAGACCAAATTGCAGAAGCGGACCGGGTGAGGGAAGAAAACAAAGGTTGGCCAGTCGCCGATGTCCTGGTACTGAAGTCGAAGGTCAAGGGCATTGAGGAGCAAACTGGTTGGCAATTGGTCACCGCTGAAGGGGCGGTCGACGAACATGATGAATTTGGCCCTGCTCTAACTATGTCTTACAAAGGCGATCTACGATTATTCTTCTACCCTCAAGCCTTCCAGTGCAAGGAGGCCAGCGTTCCACGACGCAGATCCGGGAGAAAATCTGCATCTACTTCCGGTCCAACGGCACCTATTAGCTTAACGTTTGCATCAAGCCAGGGTGAACGCGAAAATACGATCGCAGAGCGACCGACTGAGAAACGCTTCTTCTTACAGATGATCAGAAGCCAACTTCACGCTTTCACGATGATGCCCAAAGGATCTGTATCGCCCAAGACATTGTTGTCAACTGTCTCACAAGGCTGGGATCTGGCTTGCAAGGTGTCTGAAGAACTACGTTTACTCAATCTTGTCGGGATCACAACGGCATCCATTCTGAGCGACGAGAAGCTTGGTGTCAGGATTATCCTGATGTTACCGGGCAAGGGACGCGTGGACGTCGAGTTTGTAATTGCTGCCACTATCCTCAATGATGGTGATGTTGTTTCTACGACGAATGTCAACGCAAACGCTATTTGGGGATCTGCCTTAGAGTTGGTGAGTGGTTCCAAATGCAGAAAAGTTCAACAAGCATTGGGGAAGGAGGTCGAAAGTCGGACGCTAGGCGAAGGTGCTTGGGTCAGTGCTGTTCATGGCTTTGAAGAATGGTTCCTCGCTCAGGACCGGTCGAAACAAGAAGCAAAGAAAGACGAAGAGATGAACACGGCTGTTACTACAACGACGGAGGTTTCTGCACCAGCGCAGTCACCGCCACCGACCGTCCCTGCGCCAGCATCGACTTCATCCGTGCCAAAACGCTCACCTCTTGCGCCGAAGAGAACTAACACCGTGCAAAAGAAAGCCCTCCCTCTCCCCAAGCAGCGGTTTGACAAATTCAACGCCCAGACACAGTCTCAACCGGCGACGGAGAAGGTTATGGAGAAGGAGAACTTCAACCCGTCCTTATCAGTCTCGAGTAGTAAAGCCCAGCGGCCGATACAACAAAACAAAGCAGATGTGGATGACTGGGCTGATAAACAAATGCCGAGACCGGCCATTACACCAGAAATGCAAGAGGCAATGATGATGCATACGCCTATCAAGCGCGTGGGCGCGTTGAGGAGGAGTCCGATTTGAGTAACAGACAGACGATAATGACTGTAAATGAAATGAAAGAAATGAATTGAGAGGCAATGGAGCTGATGGGATGCAAACGGAGTCGAGACGAGTATGGATCTTGTGTCTGCAGTCTGTTTCTGGTTGCCATTTATCCGTGTGGAGGTTGGAATACTCTCTATCTATAAACCAAAGAATGTCTTCTAATGAGGTCGAGCATGAACCGGAGCTCATGGTTTTGGGTTACGTACTTATGAGGCGCTGTAGAATGCTAAGTCACCTGACAGAAACGGCTGTCTTGTGTAAACCAGTTTTTGAAAGGAGGTCGAGACGGTACAAATTGAGATGAAATTAAAGATCTTTCAACCTCGAAACTGAGATGGGGCAAGGGTCCCAAAAATTGCTTTCCTGCCTGCCTGATTCGGCATTGTCATTATAGCTCAGATATTTGCCCGCTCCTTTTGTGTTTTCATTCACATTAGTTCAATGCTACAGTTATTCCCCGAAACCGCCCTCCCTTTACTTTCTTTCATCAAAGCCAGCGAACGCACTTTACCAAATCTAGTCTAGCTAACATATACACCTAACAAATCACCGGCATACTCTTGAGAGATTCGTTACATTCTGTACGACCTATTTGTAAAGACGTAAATAAATGACAGACACAGATTGAACCGGCTACTCGCCTAGTGACGTCAACCTGTTCCGCAAGATCGCCGGCGATGTCCACACAACCCCACGTGACCAGTGAGCGGTGAGCATGTGATTTCACGGAGGACTTAGTTGGCATTCGAAGAGGTTCGAGGGACCGTCTGACTATATAGTATCTGAGGGTTACTAGCGTGCTTCGAAGACCCCTGGTCATTACAAATCTTGGCAGACCGTCAAAAGGGTCACGTGTGCCACCTATAGTCACATTCGGAGTCTCCGCTAAACGCTACGCTTTATTTAAAGTCGGGGAGGTGTCAAACTTTTTGTGCAACTTGAGACGAAGGAGTGCTCTGTTTTCTATCTACTTGTCGAGGTCCTGAGACTCCTTTTTAAGACACACGAATGCTACATCGTTGCACAGAGCAACCATCTGTAACGTCGTCCCCTATGGAGACCTCTCGTCATCCAACAGGAGGTGTCGAGGCGAAGTTCGCGCTGCTGTTTCAGCTCATACTCCTACACATCCTGCTGCTTATGCCAGGCGCGCTGTTTTGCCGAACTGCTCGTCCTCGGGACTTTCTACTTCCTTTCTCTTCGATCCGGTAAGTTCTGCTTCCATTTCCTGCATTCTGGCCTCACTCTCTTGCTCATATCTGAAGCTTTCATTGATTTCAGAGAACACTCTATTTCTCTGAGAGAGTCGATCGGCCAGAGTGTTGCCCGTTTGTATCGCGGCAAAGAACCGCTCGCTCGAATCGGTAGCCTTGAAGTGCTCTAGGCAGCCAAAGATGGTATGGCCGTGTCCTCGCGAATGGATAGCCCACAAATCAGGTTGCTTTTCATTTGCGCTGCGCATCACTTGAACAAGTGGAGCGTAAGCCGCACTGCTTCTGACCACGCCTAGATCGAAGAGGAGGAACAGGATCGGGTTCGCCATCTGAGTGAACACAAATTTCGTCGGCTTGCGATCAGAACTCGTCGGCTTCGATTTGCCCGAATCCGACTTGTTCGGGCTGACATTGATAAACTCCTCCCCGAAGATCTCTCGAGGTGTTGTGGCATTCTCCTTGTTCTTCACCTGTACTACGATGACTCCGCAATTCGAAGGGTCGAACGTCTCATCCTCCGTGCCATAGTACACCGGAATCAGTAGATCGTATGTTTCCTGGTTCCAACATAGCTGCATCGCAGCACTCCGGCGCAACAGGTCTCGACATAATGCAGGAATGTCCTCGGGGGTAAGTTGTGTATCAGTCGATAGAAAATGAGTGAAGTTCATTCTAGCTCCCAGTGTCTGCTCAGGTATCTTTCGAATTGAATCGTGATGATCGTTAGCATATAATGCCATGAGAAAGTCGCACACCGTAAAGGTTGGTGGAAATACTGGTTCACGAACCCACCGAACCCAGTCGTGTGCAAGGATCAACACTAATCGAGCGTAGAGTTCTCCTTTGCGCCCCTTTTCGATCAATCCTTTCTCAAGAAGCACCATACAGAGCGTGGAAATGCTCAACGACCAGCGGCCTTCGATGCAGAGATGCTCCATTGCTGCCTTTGCTAACACTGGCTCGGATGGCGTCGTTGTGTCCATCATTCCCGTCTCGCGGTCCATAGATATGACCACTCTCATAAAGGAATTCACCGCCTCTCTTGTGAGGGAGAGAGTGGCGGGGTTCTGCCGGCAGACATCCAAAGACAGACGAAAGGACAGCGCAGCAAAGACGTGGTTCGAGTCGAGTGGATTGTACTCTGATTGTTGCTGGCCGCCCAGAAGCTTCAATTTGGCCACATCGATCATATTCTCTTGCTGACATGTATATGCATACCAGAGAGGCCTACCGAATAAGGCCATGTGCTCGAGGTCCGCAAACTTCTTTAACGACTTGACGAGCTCCTCTCTCCTCAGTATTGGATTCTGCATCCTTCGTCGGTCCTCGATGTCGAGCTGGAGACTCACAAATGGGGGAAAGCGCATCAGTTCGGCGGGCTGTGTAAAACTCTCACGAGCGGAACGGTCGCGAGAGTAATCGCCAGTTCGGATGATATTGTTCGGCGGTACGAGGTGTCCGATGAGAGATTCTGTTGAGAGGAAGAAAGACCATATACGAAACTTCTTCAGGCAACTGATGACTCGATTGAGCGCCACATAGAGTCCGGTGCGTGGTTCACCAGAGAACCCCTTTTCTATCAAACTTGACGCCTCGTCGAACACGATGACCAAGAGTGAGTTAGTGTCACTTACGTTCCGGCATTGCTGAATATTATTGATCAGGTTTTCGGCAGCATTGAGGAGGCCGTTCAAGGGATCGAGGGGTTCTGTCCACGCCATTTCGAATTGACGACGAATGCTTGAGGAGCGGTCATCGTCGAACTTCTCGACCCAGGCCGGACTGAAAATCAAATCGTTGGCGATAGCCCGAGCTCTCTTAGCTACCGATTCGCAGAACTCGATGCGTATCTTGAAGCGTTGGTTCTGAGTGTCGTTAGCATCGGTAGCTGGTGCAAGCGGTGCCATCTCTGCGTGCCTGTCACCTGCAAGCTTTTCTAGAGTCATCTCGCTAAAGGGCTTGCTCTCCATCCAGATATTCACTGACAGGATCGAATTAGCGAGAGTTTGGTGAAAAAGCCATTAGCAATTTACATATCTCGAAACTGGCTTGGAGCAACGCTGCAGCGAGAGTGTGATTCCACGCTACGATCGCTCTCCTCTCCAGAAAATCACTAGATGTCCCCTGCAGGCTGGTGGGCTCGGGGATGTTGTCTGGCCGCTTCTCGCGCAGGAATGACAGTATCTCTTTATCAGGAGGTGGAAAGCCGGAAGTTCCAGGCTCACGGAGAATGAAGTTGATCATGGGACAGAGTTGGCCGAAAGCATCCGCTAATCTTGATTTGCCCGTACCGCTGCTCTGAACGAACACCAAGGTCTTTGCGTAATACTTGCTCGCATCGAGTAGCTGGTATCGCCGAATGAGGTCCCGTAGCGCAATTAGAGAGTGCGGGAAATAGACGTTGTTCCAATCTTTCTGCAAGGCATGGAAGATAGCTCTTTTCTGAGGGGAGGTCAGTACGTGGAAGGCGGGACTGTTAGTGTTTGTCTCCTCCTTTTTAGCCAGATTCGGGAATAGCTGTTTGTACTGTTCTGGATGGTTTTTCTTCAGCCAGCCCTGTAGCTCTTTCATAGTCATATCTTTTAGCCCCTCTTTGTACTCTTTCGGGTAGTTTTCCCGAAGCCAGAGGTGCAGGTCCAACTGGCCTATATCTTCTCGCTCCTCTTTCGTTATAACGGGCTTTGCTTGAGCGGCTTGAAAGCCTGACCCGGTGTGTCCTGGGTTCGGTTCTGAAGGGGTGCTCATCGTGATGCTATTTAGAATAGCTGGACGTGACGAGAAGAGAGGCGAGGAGAGGCCTCGAGAAGAAGTAGCGAGGAGGTAGTGAGTAGGAGCGGCAGGCAACAGCGGCGGTAGAGCTGATGAACCAGGCGATGAGAATATGCCTTGATCGATTCTATTGAAGAGAGGAGAAGATGAAGACGGTGGAAGAGTGTTCAGTCCGTTGAATGATTGATTTGGCTGGTTCTGTTCGAATGAGTAAAAAGGTTGAGGGATCGAATTGCCCCAAGTGACACGCTGAGAGTGACACGACGAACGCGACACGCCAAGCCGGGAAACACCGCGGGAGTGACGCAACGCACGTGACACGCCAAGCCAAGATCGGCAACGTCATCAGGGAAATTCCGATCAGACATAAGAGCTTACATTGCAGCAAGTTTTCTACGGTCTTTGAATATTCTGATGGCTAACGCAACTCGGGGCCGCGAATAGGATATTCACGGGGGTAAAAGCGTAGCTTCTGGATTTTACGGAAGTTTGTCTTTTATGGGGGCCAGCCCCCAAACCCCCAGCCTCACTGCGTTCGAAGGACCAGTAGCCAAGCCATTGACTCACGTGATTGGCCCATCACGTGTGTCTTGGCAATTCTTGGCGCGCACACACATGCGCGCGTCAAAAAAACTAGGGGTCGCGGACAGGATATTCCGCGAGGGGTGAAAGCGTAGCTTTGTCTTTTGGGGGCAAGCCCCCAAACCCCCGGCCTCGCTGCGCTCGAGAGATCACGCGACTGAGCCGACCACATTGGCCTTGGCAACTCTTGGCGGCGCACACATGCGGCCGTACGACGATTCACGTAATTGCGACCCCTCGGGATCCGGAAAATCTATAATCCGACACCCAGTCACGTGCTCTAATTGGCCAACTCCATCGTCCACGGCCCATCCAGGAGGGGTGGAATGCCGCCGTAGTCCGGAAAATCTATAATCCGGCACCCAATCACGTGCTCTAGTTGGCCAACCTCATCGGATCCAATCCACGCCCCACTCAGGAATGGGTAGAGTGCCGCCGTATCCCGGAAAATTTATAATCCGAGAGCCAATCACGTGCTCTAGTTGGCCAACCCTGTGATTTCATGGAGGACTTAGTTGGCATTCGAAGAGGTCCGAGGGACCGTCTGCGTGCTTCGAAGACCCCTGGTCATTACAAACCTTGGCAGACCGTCAAAAGGGTCACGTGGGCCACCTATAGTCACAAGCAAATCGTAAGCACGCTCTCAGAGATTTTGTTGATTGGTTTATCGCCACAAGCGAATTGCCACTACACAGAGCAAAGGGATACCCACAACAGCTCCACCAACACACTTCATGATCCCGCTTATATTCCGGCCCTGTGCCACATCATATGTGACAGCGCCATCAAGCACATATTCCTCGACTGCAGCCTCCGGATCCTCGTTCATATGTGGAAACAAATAGGCCGATATAAAGGCAACCTCTGAAGCCGGATCGTCCGCACCAATGTAGTCCATCCTGCCGAGGATTTGCAGTAGCCGCCTCCTGTCTCTGCCTTCGTGGATGCGCAGCGCTCTGAAAATCGGCTCGAGGGGCTGGCCTACGGCGAAAAACTGCAGATGCGAAAGCGTTACGGCGTTTACTTGCTCCATGCTCAGACTGTAATCTGGGAAACTCTTCAAGAGGAAAAATTGCTCTTCACGTGGGACTAGTCCAAGCAGTGCAAAGACTTTGTCCCGTGGGTCCTTACTTTGGGCGTTTCCGTGCCGAATGAGGAGGTCGTAGAGTGGTTGGTAGAGCTCAGGCATGCGGTCGACATGTCGTCCGAAATTTATCGGCAGAGCGGGCCACTTTCGAATCAGATCTGATTGCGCGGCGAGGCCATCGTCTTTGATGCTTAGTAGATCGATGCCCGCCGCTCGTGCGAGCAGCTCTTGGAAGAACGGGCCCTCGACTCGGCTGTTGCTGCAGTACACGTGTATTTCGCGGGCCAGCATGTATTCCTGAATGGTCCAGCTTCTCGTCCAGTATGGTCGATTTGCTAAATCTTCCATCGACTCTGCCCAGTCAAAGTCGTCGATTTCGAGAGTGACAATTGGTCCCGAAACGTTGAGCCAGTCTGGTAATGGGACAAGGCCCAGCCAAACCGAGACAACAGTAGCATTCCGGTAGATTTGATCCATCATACGGACTTGTTGATTTTTCTCGGTTACATCGTCCTGGTTTATACAAATGGCATCAGCCCATATATACTGCCAGTAGTAACGACGCAGAGTGTAAAGGCAAGCCCAGAGATTTGGTTTGATACGGAGGGGGTGGCCATCGACGTGGATGGTCTCCGTCTGTGCATCGTTACCCCACGTGTACGAGATAGCGGTGTACTGCTGAGTCAGTGATGGAACAGCCTCTTTGAATTGGAAGCGTAAGTCACGATCGTGGGCTCCTTTCATTACGGTCAGGAGACGGAAGCCCCCATGGCGGAGGTTTCGATATGGTGAGCACATGGTCATTAAGATGTCCAAGATCGAAGTGTGCCACAGAACTGACCCTAGGTCGGTAACACAGAAGAGGTTGCGGATGATGAGACACTCATCAGGCTGGCGGCTAAATAAAGTGGCATTCCAATCTCGACCAATGGTATTCGTCTTCGGATCTCAGAACCGGGAATGTATCGGGGCACTCATGCCACATATCATTTGTATAGCATCCCCACCAATTTGATATGTCCTGCAGATCTCTCTTGAAGTCATTCTGTCACTGCCAGAATGACCTCGCCGTCGCCTCTATTTGTATGATGGTGTAACAAAACTCAGCCTTGCCATTCAGCCTCGTGAGCTGCTGCCTGCTTCCAGCCTTGCTCGACCTTGTGCGCCTCTTGCGAATCTGCAATCTGTCCCATCTCTTTTGCTTCTTGGTACATATAGCGCTCAAGTGTTCTTGCTAATTATGTAAGCCCAGTTTCTGTCATGACAATCACTGAGCTGGATAGTAGCGTATGGACAATACAAGGAAGTCACTGTGCTGAGCGATGATTCGCCACTACACCAATATCAAACTTTACCAACGCAGGAATAGATTGGTCCACTTTTGTCTTAGCTTCGTGGTGAACGAAAGTTGCAATGTGTCCGTAAGGGGAGGGGCGGTTTCGGGAACGACTGTAGTCACTATTTTTTCCTGGGCCCCTTCTATTTGTAGCAAGTCCAGGAAATTTGTCACCATGACTACCACGCAGCACCCCCTTTCCCACCGAAGCCACTACTTTCATCACCACCAGCACCCTTCTTCGCTGCACCGGAGCCACCGCTCCCACCACCTCTTTGGCTCTTCTGCTGCGCAGCCTCGTGCTTCCTGAGTTCCTCAGGGACGCGGGAAATGCTGCTCTTTTGTAGTATCTGCTTGAGGTCATAAAGAACATCTGTATCCTCGCTACCGAGGAAAGTAATAGCGACCCCGCTCTTGCCGGCACGACCGGTACGGCCGATACGATGTGTGTAAGACTCAATAGAGGTCGCCATGTTGAAGTTAACGACGAGCGAGACGTCGGGGACATCGATACCACGGCCCGCGAGGTCGGTGGCGACCAGAACGTCCGTCTTACCATCACGCACCGACTGCAACGCTGCCTCTCGCTGTTCCTGTGTCTTGGAACCGTGAAGCGTCACTGAGCTGAAGCCCATTTGCTTGATGTCTCGGGCCACGGCGTCGCAGTTGCGTTTGATGTTCACGAAAACGATGATCGGCGGACGGAATTCGCCTGAGGTCAGGATCTCGTGGAGTCGTTTCTTGCGTTTGTCTTCTCCAGAGACGAACTCGACGCGCTGTTCGACCGTGTCGACTGCTTCGCCTACGTTACCGATCGTCACGATTGCTGGGCGTCGGAGGTATTTGCGTGCAATCCGCTCCACGGCCGAGGGCATGGTGGCCGTGTACATCATTGTTTGACGGTAACGGTCCTTTCCTCCGATGCGGCGGGACATGGCGCGAGTATCTTCGGCAGCATCCGAGTCGGGTTTCTCGTTCCCAACCGGTAATGCGTCGAGGATTTTGTTCACGGGCTCTTCGAATCCAAGATCGATCATGCGGTCTGCCTCGTCCATGATCACGTAGCAGCATTGTTCTAGGACAACAATACGACGGTCAATGCAGTCGACCAGACGACCGGGTGTTGCGATAATGATTTCCGCGCCGTTGCGGAGATTGTAAGCTTGTTCTTCAATCGAGTGCCCGCCGACGATGGAGACAACGGTGAAACCAAGAGGAGAGGAGAATTTTCGAGCTTCGATTTCGATTTGCTGCGCCAACTCACGGGTAGGAGCTAGGATGATGGCATACGGTCCATTGTTTCGACGCATGTCGTCTTCATCCAGTCGAGGTAGTTCTGCAATGTAGACGAGAAGAGGAAGCAGGAATGCAGCTGTTTTTCCAGATCCCGTCACTGCCACGCCGATGAGATCTCGATTTGACAGGGCAATTGGAATGGCAGCTCGTTGAATTGGTGAAGGCTCAACATATCCAACCTGGTCGATGATCTCCAATAACCGCAGCGGGAGTCCCGACTCTTTCCAGTTACGCATAGGATTCGGTATACCTCCACCCTTGGTGCTGATATTAAAGTCTTCTTTGAAAATTCGCCAGTCTCGTTCTCGCATGTGCTCAAGTTTCTTCTCGCTCCAGTGTTTGTCGATAGCCATCCGACCAGATTCTTCTTTTCTTTTCCTCTCCATTTCGAGAATTTCTTGGGCACGAGCGGCACCGGCCACTGTGTCTCTTGACTGTAACGCCTCAGCATACTTGCGTGCAGAGAGGTCGGCCACCTGCTCATCGAATCCACCCAGTCGGCCACGTCCAAAAAAATTGGCTTCGGCACGATTGTTATAGATGGGGTTGTAATCTGGAGCAGTGTCTTCTTCGGCATTCCATTCAAAATTAAACTTCTTTTCGGTCGTCCGTCTTCGCTTCTTGACCGCGGAGAATGTGGACACATTCATATCGGCGCCCATATACCTCTGTCGAATCATTTCCGCTTCTGCCTTCTCATTCTGATCTTCTGATTGCCGTTTCTGCCCCTTTGAGTCGCCACCAAATGACCCTGATTTGGGAGCCGTAGGCGGTGCAAAGTCTACTCCTTTGTTATGTTCTCTTGAGCGCATTGCCGCAGGGCCAGTCGGGACTTCTCCGTTGCGTAGCGCTTTTGGTCCAGTCGGAGCTGAATTTGACTTGGCCGGCTCGAGTTCACTGTGCGAAGTGGCTAAACCGTTTTGGAGAGCCTCATTTGGAAATTTTGCAGCCGCCGCAGCCTCAACTTCTTTAGCTCGTTTCTCCAGGGCAAGCCTTTCACGCTCTGCCTTAGACAGAAATTTTGGCTTGCTGGCAGCCAAGTCAGCCTCTCTCTTCTTTTTCAAGAGCTCCTCGACGCTCAAAGGCGTTGCTTTCTGGGTCTTTGTCGAACCCCATCCTTTCTTTTTGGGCGGCTGAGGTCTCAAATCATTTTCGACTGATTCAGGTTCGTCAGATGGAGGTGGCGGTAGCGGGTCAGGCGGTGGTGGAGGAACATTCGTATCTGATGGAGGAGGGGGAGGTGTCTGTGGTCTTGATACAGGGTCAATAGGAGGTGCTGGAATGTCAATCTCATGGTGGCCGTTCACCATTGTATTTGCCATGACGGTATATCCGTCGTATCGACTTGAACAGTCCAGGACGCAGGTTCCGCGCGGTAGCTTCGGAAAAATTTCCAACAAGATGGATTCGTTAAATGTCCACGAGATACCTTTCGGGGGTTGCGACAATTTCTTCCTCAGGCGAACTGAGAAATTCCCTTAGGAATCGATGTTGAGTACAACACTCAAACTTGGAACTTCAGAGGGAACGAGTCTGCCAAGAAAGACGGCATGTGCTAGTACAAATTAGGAATAGTTGCATTGCTCGTAAGGCTTGCAAGCCATGACGCCGTCAGCTCCTATTTACCCCTTAGCCTTTCTTCCCTCTCAACATTGGCCAGCGCCAACCGCTTTACTAGATTCCCCGACATCCGCGGGAATTTGTCCACGAGTCTTCGTGTATGAGCCTGCATATTTATTGGCAGCGTCTCGGGCACGGTGGAAATCAAATGAACTCGCTTCAGGTCTGCTATGTCTTTGACCTCTTCTTGGAGTCTCTGTGTTTCGGCTCGGAAGAATAACGATCATGCTCAAGCTGGCTCCTAGAATACACATTGGAGGGCCAATTGGCCTTTGTGATGACTTTGTCCTCCGCACCCTCTCTCGAAACGACGAAGTTCCTTTCTCTGACTTGGCGGCTTCCTGGAATGGTCACGTCTGAGAAGGTTTGGGTAAGGAAGCTGTCGAACACCTATATCAATTAGCGATACTTCTTCCAAGATGCCCAAATCGTTTCACCGTACCTTCCACTGATTGGAATATACGTAAAGCAATTAGAAAGCTCTTCCCAATGCATCCGTTAGAGTTATGCTGTCTGCTTGCTAACGGAAGGCGTTTGGATGATCGTTTGCCGTAAATCGACCAGCATCCTGGTGTGCTTTAGCGAGTCCTCTGCCAGAGCCTGTAAAGCTCTCCGGCTTGTACCGCTAGAACGAGCCAATGGTAACTTGAATCCGAGTCAGCCAGATCTAGTTTTATTCGCATGGGATTTGTCATTATGCCCAAGTTTTGTTGGACACCGGAAATAGCGGTTTTGGGGTGATCTAACTTGGTCATCACCTCCTGGTGGTGTGCTGACTGCTTGAATTCTCGTCTTTGCGCATTTTCTCTAACACTGGTCAGAATAACACGTCTGAAGACCAACGAGAGAGTAAACCTTACCTTTCGAGTAATTGCAGCAAGGTGCTGATACTGAGCACCTGGCCTGCAACATAAAGCTGCAGTCTGCTCCCCTCCTCGTCCATGGACATGGCCCATTGAGCCGCCCTGGTCGCTTTGCTCATACGATCCTTAGCGCTGAATGTTCCAAGGCTGTTTTCGTATTTCTAGAGTTTCTTCAGGAAGTCTTTCAATGTCAACGCCGTCGCAAACGCGGCAGCACGAAGACTATCAGTATAGGAAGTGTTTTCTTCGTCATGAGCGATGATGCCCTCAATTTTGCGGAGGACTCTTCCAAGGCTCTCGAGTTCAATCATGGTTCGTCGATTCTGAGCTGCCCGCCCCGGTGCTGGACTTGAGCCCATCGACGAGCTTCTTGGTCAGATCTGATGCCTACTGTCAAAATCGAAACACCAAAAGTTTCCGAAGATACAAACCGGCGGCGGCGATCACACCGCCGACCGAGAATCCGAAGACAGGCATGATGAATGAACAATTCCAATCACGAGTAGTCGCCTCCTATCATTTGCTGATGTTTGTGCGAGAGACTGAGAAAGACCCCATGCATTCCATAGAATGAACTGCACCAGGCAAAGCTGGGCGATCTTGTTGGCCAGTCACGTGACGCGTTGGCATGGCAACGTCACGTGAGGCTCTTTGGCTTGGCAACTTGCGCCCGTCCTTCTTTTCGTCTTGCTCTCTTAGATAGAACAACAACACATTCCTTCTCTAGACTCCACAGTCTATCAGATCTTGCGTTGGAAATCGTCATCTGGTCTCGGGCTGAATGCTCTGTACAAACGAAGCCGGGGGAAGGCTGGCGAGAGAAGTCGGGAAAATATTGTTCCGATGCAATGCAAAATCCCGCTGTTGGCAGCGACTTTCCTCTCTTCGTGGCTCCTGGCGCAGCCTCACAACCTCATTTAGTCTACCCATGATGATGGCCTTCGCAATGTTCTTGAAACTCACAACCCGCGTCTAGATGTTCTCAGATGTCTTTTTGCTGACAAATGCCGGATTTGGGAAATACTTCACTTGGTGAGCCGGGAGGCTAACCTAACCTTCCAACTATGCAATAATTCAGGCCAGCCGCTCTCACACAATCGCGAACCTATAGCGAATGGGAATGGCTGGATTCAAATGCAAAGTGAACCTAGGGGATCACTGACATAATGTCCGTCCATTCCTCTATATGTCTCTTACCGAGCCATCCAATATTTCGTCACCGACTTCTGGAGCCAGTCTGTCTGGTCTCTTCTGTCCTTTACTGACTGACTGGAATCTTTTCCTTCCTTCCTGCCACTGTCTCCATCTGTCTGCTGAATAGTCTACATCTACCATCCACACAAAGGATATGGACGGCGACAAACCCATCTACATCCACCCCTCACTCTCCTCAGGCTTCGTCCTGTCCGTGAAAATCTGGATCCCTCCCGAAAAAATCTCCGAATTTTTCGCGCTGTTTAAGCCCGTTTACGACGCCGTGATCGCCGAGGAAGAATGCCGTTTCTTCGTCGTCACTCAAAACGAGCAGGAACCAGGCTGCATCTCATGGGTCGAAGGCTGGACTAAAGATGTCAATTGGCTCATGAGCGAGCAGTTGCCAAAGAGCTATTATCAGCCTTATCTTAAAGAGACGGAGGCGATGTTTACGAAGCCGAGATTCTTCGAGATTTTGAAGCCAGAAGCTAGTTTCGGGCATTTTAAGGTTCCGAAGACATAGGGCCTAAGGACCGTGGCGTAAAGGTATTGAATAGGATAAACAGATGGGAGGGCAGTGAAAGGATAAAGAGAAGGGAGGAATTGAAAGGATCGGGATGGATAGACGCACGACGTTTGGGCTGGGGATAGTCAATGAATGAGCTTGTGTCTCGGAAATTTGTATGGCTTCTTGCAGAATTGTGAAAATAACAAGAGTATTCATGTATCTGTCAGAGGATACGCGTCGCACGGGGGCCACCAACTTCAGAGTGGCTGGCCGACTGATTTGATCTGGAAATTCGTAACTTTGGTCCATAATTCGAAGCGAAGGCTACGTCCTTTTCAACATCATCGTTGATTTGGTGTACACTAAATCTCCCTTGTAACGAAAGCATGTCCAGGTAAGTCATAATCATTGAGAATCCGTCCGCTATGCCCTTGTCCTTCCCAAAATCGTCATATGGTGGAACATCAGGTTTTCTCACCGTGCCTAATGAGTCACCGCATCAACGAGGGATCCTCAACCTTCATGCATATCGAATCGGGGGTGGCTAATGGCGATTAGTCGGTCACGGCACAAGATTCGACCGGGTGATGACATACTTGCCCGTTAACAAGTCCGAGGATTTTGCTTGGATCTTGACTCGTCTTTGGCAATTTCTGAACGGAGGTGGGACCGTTTATTTCACGATCGAGGTTCATGTACTCCTTCGCTGCATCTTTGCTACCCCTCTCAAGCAGGTACTTCATGTACATCGTAACCAATTCTTGGACCGTTGTCTCGGGCAAGGCGCTCTTCGAGAGTATTTCGTCGACAATGCGTCGTATTTGATCATAGTGTGTCTGTTCGGTGTCGCTGCTGGTAGGCTGGTCGATCTCAAATCGTAAGTAGCTAGTCCAGAAGGCTGGACTTTCAAGATACCAATGCTGATTCTTTTGGAACACTTGGCGCGCTTCTTCAGATGATCCTTTGATCTTCCACAACAATCTCGCCCATTCGGCAACGAGAGCGGCCTTGGCAGAGATGTCAATTGTTGGAGAATCAATCTGGGCTTGGTATACGGAGATCGCAGCTTCGAGGCCCGAGTGGCGGCGAGTAACATTGGCCAATGAAACAATAGTCTCGATATGGCCGGGCAATTGGACCAGAATAGCTTCGTGAATATCTTTTGCCACATCAACTCGTCCAGTCATCTCTTCGAAATAAGCATATTGCAGTCTGGTCGCAGGAAGAGCGATCGGCACAAATAGACAAGATGCCCTTTGATAGATATTTCGGACTTCTTCCTCTTTCCCTGGCTGAGCCAACATCCACCGGGTATATCTCAACCAAAACTCATCGTGGTGAGCGCAAGTGACCAAGCACCGTTCATACAAGAACTGAATGCGTGTATAGTCGCCTTCGGCTTCTTCAAAGTCAAGATATTTGCGCCAATTCGTAAGTTGGGATTCATCCAGCTCCGTGACATGAAAATAAGGGCGCTTGATCTCGGATTCGTACGTCCATCTTTTCGTGGTCTCGGCTTGCGTCCGTCTGAAAATTTCGAGGTGATAATTATCGATCCGCGTACGGAGTTCTCGTTCCACTTCTGCTTGACTCCGACCAGCTTTGTATCCAGCACCCTCATTCTCAAGGTCCATCTGAAGCTGGGTTAGTGTTCCCGGAGGTGCAATGGCAGTGAGCGGTCTCGATTGGGCCATTTGCCGATATTTTTCGAAATATCGGGCATATTGGTGCATGGGAATGTGGATGATTCTGTTCAAGATGGCGAAGATCCGATCGTATGATTCCAGCCGTTCTTCAAATTCGATGTACTTATCCCAGAAGGGATGGGCGAGGAAATCCAGCCCCACACAAGCAGCTCCTCTCTCAAAGAGCCTAATTGCCAGAATGTCAGTAGTGTAAAGGAGCAAGGCAAGGGTCGGGAGAGGAGGACGGAGGAAGCAAACGCGAATAAGGTGGATGTACGTGATGTGGTAGTCCTTCAATCAATTGCAACAAATATTCCTGCGGGGATGATGACGGGCACATGGGCCTCTTCGGGAAAAGCAAATCAAAGTGCCTGACTGGTGATATGTGAGAAACGAGTTCAGAGGCATTTTGGCTGATGACGATCTCACCAATCTTTCGGTGGCCATCGTCATTGAATCCAAACTTCTACTGGACGCTTTGCGTCGTGCTGTGTTTAGGTCTCAACAAGAGGGAACAGTCGTTTGTATACTTACTCTCGAATGATCTCGGCGTCGTGACTCGTCTCGGTCTTGAATGAACAATAGTTCGTCCATAAATCAACCGAGTTGGTAATGCTTGCGACTCCTCGTTCATAAACCTATCAAGAATCTCAGCATTCAAATCTCTTTCGACGGTGGCAACCTTCCTCACCATTTCGGCTGCTTCGGTGCCAGCTATGGAGAATTCGAGGTCCGCATATTTCTTCCAGTATCCGAAAAAGAGAGGAAATTTTCCAAGGAAACGGTCGTAGATGCCTCTTATGGCCGTGATCGCTTGTGAACTCGAGTTCCTGTTGATTCCACCCTCTAACGCTTCGCCGGCGCGCACGAGCTTTTCCCAGATTTCAAAATTGTCGGAATCCTCGTTCTACAGTGGCTGGATTAGTAGATGCGCAGAAGAATGATAGTGGGATTCCACGTACCACCTCTGCCAGGAGCTTCCGTAGCTCTGAGTTCTCCTCATCGTTACCACCATAGGCGTCCATCTGGACGCAGCTGGGTCGGGCACCAAGGAGCCGTTCTGGACAATCGAGACAGGACCGGGTGAGGTGCAGATGGTGGAAGAGATAGCTTTCCGATGAGTTTCAAGTAGGGAGAAGACTATATGGTACAGGATGCAGGGGGAAGACAAGCAGAGCTGGGTCCATGCGAGAGGTAGAAGAAACCTGGAGGCTGAAGAACTGGATTTGTTCGAAAGCCAATCGCGCCAAGCCTGCGGTATTCAATTTTCCGGCTGCGGAGCAATCCCCTGGCACTCTTTCGTGGAATTGAAAGACCTTTCACATTCTCGTACAGTCCATTACTGTTTCTGTGCTTCACTGCCTAGCTCGACAACCGGCTCCCTTTCTCCTGCAAGTCACGATCACCTACGCATGAGTTGACATACCCTCTTTTCCTTATTCCAGTAATCAACGCCGTTCTCGATAAACCAGAGACCATTGATCCCGATACGATTCGGTCGAACGGAGCAATCAAAGCAAGGAAGACAAACTAGGGAGCACCGTTCTACAGCTATGGCCGAGGCCATCCTACCAAAACTCGATCTCCCACCTCGATTGATAAACTTTTTCGCTCGTTATCCTCCTCATTTGTACTCGGCCAAATTTACTGGAGCCACGCTCCCTCTCACACGCAAAGATGCCAAAGAACGGAGGATCGCCGAAGCTGCACAGAGAAAGACATTGCCGGAAGCGGCAGAAGCAGATTCAAGCAGAGACCTTGCCGTATCATCCTCAGAGACTTCCACGATACCAACTCCCCCGCCTGCAGCTTCAACTCCTGAGAAAAAGTTCCCTCCGAACCCATTCCTCCCAATGAAAAATTTCCGCACAGGACGGTGGAGAGGTGCAGCGATCGGCCTGCGACGCCAGGCAGAACTGGTTAAGCTGGCGAAGAAGTATGACGTTGAAGAATTGCTCCCTCCTGGTCGGAAATCGACTGCGTTCAAACAAGCGAAATTGGTTCAGAGAGGGTTACGAGTCAAGGGCACAGGAGAGGGCCAGAAGGTCAAGGGTCATAAATGGGAAAGACAGTTGGGTGCGACGCTGGAGAAGAGAAGACAGGCCATGGAGAACATGCCCGAGTTGATCAGAGAGTGGAAACAGGTAAGATTTCACCTTTCGCAAATGCAACGAGTAATAGGGCGTGCATGGCTAATGTGCTTGTAGAAAGGTCATGGCAGAGGCTGGAAGAAATATCCAAAATAAGCTATGGGAATTTACAAATGAAATTGGTCTGGAATTTCACAGCAGATCCTTCTCTCTACTTGGACGATATTTTCCAGCTATTCGGGCCCAGATGTGTCTATATCCTCCCTTCTTCGTCGCGCTGTCGATGGATTTTTTAGGGGAGCTATTAAATCGGCCTGATCGCCATCATCATTCGACCCAATACCAAGGATATTGAGGATGTCGCGATGTTCCATCAAGTCTCCAGCAATTTTCGGAGCACTTCGTGTATATACAGTTTCCCACAAGCAGCTTGCCCTGGGGTCGAGGCGATTTATAATAAGCACCACAGCTACTTGTGGTCTTTGTAAAAATAGATGGAGTTTGGTTCCCCTTGCTTCCGTCGGTGAATCAATTTTTCACGTGTCTCCTCCCTGCGCGGTGCTGAGGAGCCTCCGTGGGCTCAAAAAATAATCTGTCTTCATAGATAGTTGCCATGGAAGGCACCCAAGATCGCTTCTCGCTGTACCGCCCATGACAGATAGTGGACACACGGGCGATTACGCTCTCATCAGCCTCGTTTTCATCATGTTCTAGGTCACAATAGCACGGTGCGTGATGTTGATGAAGCTGGTGTATGTTGATGACTTTAAGGGGTGGCCAAAATCGACCTCGCGCTTGAACCTTCTAGCGGAGTCTCCTCCTGGGGGAATCAAATGTTTGGACTTCATGCTTGAATCTGAAGAACGCGGACATTCGGATCCTTGAGTTTATGGGAGCGTCAAGCGTTTTGAGTTTGCCTTTTTGACTTCGACGTCAACAGTTTCACGTATATTGCCAGGTAAAGTTTACTTTTGAGCAGACTCCCGCCTGGAGATCTGATGGTGTATAGATATGTGTGTATGACTGGCACCCTGTCGCAGGGAGGTGGTCAGAGAGGTCCTCACGGAGTGGGGACAAGGGAAAAGTCGTGCATCTCGTCAATATGATTCATGGTGAGGCGAGCCATCTTCGATTCGGTATTGTTGATGCTGATCTCGCGAGCAGAGAAACCAGGTTGATACAGGCGAGGCTCGAAACCTCTTTTCGACCACAAGGCTGGTTGCCGTGTCTCTTTCTATGTTGTCATTCAAACTGTTAGATCAGCTTGCCGGAATTCCTCCGTTTTACTAGAGTAACCCAAAGGCCTGTTAGAAGCAGTGCTCCCACTATCATGATTAGACCGCTCCAAAGCTGCAGTCCTAGATAGTTTTGTGAATTGGAGTCATTGCCATCGGCCACTAACGCTCCAGCAATAGGGCTTCCTATCAACGACGCGGTAGCCCCAATAGCTTGAGCCATTCCAAGGCGTGCACCCAGGACTTTCGGATCGGGGCAGACGACGGGAAATATACTGGGCGGGAGAGGGATGAGAGCTCCGCTAAAGCCGCCTGGTTTCTTCCGTTAGTTCCACAGGTCTTACCGGCCAAACTCTGCGGGACAACTGAAGACTTACCGTATAATGCAGAAAAGGCAAAGAAAGCAGAGTTGCTACGAATCCCAATCCAGGAAAGACAGAGTATTGCGGAAACAGAAGCACAGGTCAGCCAGGGGATCATGACTCCAATTCGAAGAGCCACTGCGGAAGCAAAGAGTCGACCTATGACGGATGCACCTTGGGCGACCACAATAGAGTACAGAGCCAAAGACCGAGACATGTGCAGTGAAAGTTGTGCGTAGCTGGGAATGTAGAAAAATGGGACGAGGTAGCCGCAAAATATCTGGAGGGAAAAAAGAAAAGATCAGCTTTTCACCACCACAGTCCACGAATTCGTACGAAATCACTCACGAAGAAATTGGCCCAAGTGTACATCCAGAACGCCGTATCCTTGAGTGCTGCTTTGTCAAATAGTTTTCGAGCAGTACCAGTACCAATGTCCCCGGTGTTCTCGGCTCCCCAAAGTAAAAGTGGGAATGCGATGACATAGGAACCCAGCATAATGAAACCCATTACCCTCACAGTCCAGTCAAAGCCAAGTGGTTCAATCAATTGGTCGAACGTAATCGTATAGATGATACCGCCTATGTCTCCCTGTCAGCAAAACCACCACGTTGCCTCCGGGATGTGAACTGACCGACAGGGGCACCACAAGTGACTATCCCAAGTGCCATGGCTCGATGAGTCGTAAATGAACGACTGACCAGTGCAAGGCCAGGAACATAGAGAACTCCGCATCCCAGACCCATGCAGATACCCTGCGTCAATATGATCTGGTAGTATTCAGATGACAGGCTCAACATCATAATTCCAAAACAAGACATGAAAGCACCACCAAAAAGCATGGTTCGATAGTGGCCGAGGTCAAATAAAGGGCCGGAAATGACACCTATGACAATCAAAAGATATGATGCGCATGTGCCGATCCAGGAGATGTCGGAGGGAGATTGACTCGACAAAAGAACCAACTCATAGTAGTTTTGGAAGAGTCCGAATGAGAAGGTAAATCCCCTGGTGAAGACCAAATGTTAACGCCAGCAAGACACCAAATGGCCCCGTGCTCTTACCAGACATTGAAGAAAACCAGCCAACATCCGATCACCTGAAGCCAGGCTCTGATACCTCCATCTGGGGCACTTGGCGGCGGTGGAGTGATAATTGCTTTCTCCTCAATCGCGACGTCGACGGCAGCGGGAGGCTCGACTGGGATTGACTCGACGCCAATTTTGGAGACATCATTGGCTGGATATGACATTGTGCAGACAGGTTTGTAAGCATCCAGCCAGGCTCTGTGTCATTTGGTTAATTGTTTCACACCCAGCCAACCTATTTTCTATCTCAGTTTGTCTATTCCAGAACAAACAGAAAGAGACCAAATCTAGGGAAATTCAGTGCGAAAGTGAGTAAGAGAGAAGTAGGAAAACACGGCATTGGTACCAATATGGAGAATTTATAGAAGGGCTAATGGGAGACATAGGGTAAAGTCCGAAAGACGGTTTGCATCTTGCTGCCCCATACACCTGATGGGACATCAACCAACGAGAGGGGAGTCAAGTTGCATTGCGTCGCAGATACCGAGGCTGGAGGCAAGGGGCTGGCCAAAACAGAACGGCAAAAGCACATTATAAATCGGATCTTGATCGTCATAGAGAAAAATCGGGGACCTTTTGACAGTGGCTAGAGGAAGATCGTATTTTCAGCCTTTGAAGGAATGGAAGAATTTGGGCCGGCTAAAGGTGAATGCCGTCGTTTACAGGGAAGCTCTGCCCGTCGCCGTCGCCATCACCAATGCTGAAGGCCAACAACCAATTCATCCTTTTGAACGGCTAACGGGTAACAGATACAGAGAGGATAGGCGAAACGGGGAATTGAAGTGAAATTTCGCGTGCTGGGAGCCGATGTCGGTGCAAATTCTCATGACCGTAGTGCGGGGGAATCCTTGGCGCCAAGGACGCCCATCTCCGACTTCCATCTTTGCCGACGATGGGCACATAAATAAGGGGCTGATACATTAAGCCATATATAGATATCATTTGCCCACAAGGCTGTGGACCTGACTCCTAGTACGTGGTCCGACGATTAAAATAAGCCCAGCTTCGAGTTATGTACCATGCTTTAATTCGTACGCATCACATCACCTCTCGGCAAAAGATCGCCCGTCTCAAAGACGCGACGAAAACTCACCAATGCTGTGCCTTAATCCGATCAGGAGGCATTCCTGGTGTCATGTACGTCCAGGGCCATGATCGGTCCAATGTTCAAAAATGGGTTGACACCGTCCATGATTTACGGTATAAAGACTACCAACTCGTGGCACCTGTCAATTCCGTTGAGGATTCGCAGATCTCGCCTCATAATCCAGGAATCAAATTGGGCGCACTAGAAGAGGTTGCCACGGTCAAGGAAATGGCAGCACAGATGGAGTCAAGAGGATTGCAAAAGTGGTGGCGTGGTGCTATGGGGTGGGGGGTTCGCGAATGATCATGAATCCTGCATCCTGTCTTTGCAGAGGGCAAGCTTGGATCCTACGACAGGATTTACTAATACACAGCTCATGGGAATCGAGCAAACCAAGTATGAAACCAGGTGATGCACACTATCCTTGCAGGCGAGCCTCTTCTGTATGTTCTAACTGCGACGACGATCTTTCACGATTAAAAGATCTATTTGCGGAACATGAGAAATACCTGGTGCAACCACCACGCTATGCAGCATTCAAACGCAATCCCGCGATGCTATCTTACAATTTTTGATACTCCAGCTTGCCCTCCAACTTCTTCGCCTCCGCCACCTTTCTCACCGCCTTGTTGAAATCGTCCTGGTTGACAGCATCCCGGTAATCCTTGATTGCGAACAAACCGGCTTCGGTAACCACATTGCGCAAGTCAGCACCGTTGAGACCGTCACTCATCTTGACCACGCTTTCGAAGTCAATATTTCCTTCCGTCACCACTCCAGCAGCATGAATCTTCAAAATCTCCAATCTGCCTACCTCGTTAGGCAGGGGGATTTCGATCTTTCGGTCCAGTCTACCCGCTCTTAATAGTGCCGGGTCCAAGGTGTCAGGTCTGTTGGTAGCCATGATAATTTTGGTCTTTCCCAGGTAGTCGAAACCATCCAACTGATTCAGGAGTTCCATCAACGTTCTTTGAATCTCTCGATCGGCCGATGTGCCTTCACTGAACCGTCGACCTCCGATGGCATCGATTTCGTCCATGAAAATAATGCAAGGCTCATGTTCTTTGGCATAACCGAACATTTCTCGAATCAATCTGGCCGACTCGCCAATGTATTTATCGACAATCGCCGATGAAACAACTGGAAGACTATTAGTGCGACTTCGATGAGACGATTAGGACTTTGGAATATACCCTTCAAGAAATTCGTGTCTAGGCTGCTAGCCACCGCTCTTGCCAATAACGTCTTTCCGGTTCCCGGAGGTCCGTAGAGTAAGACTCCCTTGGGAGGCTTGATACCCACCCGCAAGAATAGCTCGGGGTTCTTGAGAGGAAGCTCAATAACTTCACGCAGTTCTCGGATCTGATCATTCAAGCCACCAATTCCGGCAAAAGACACTTGCCCAGGATCTTCCAGTGACATGTTGTAGACGAGAGGGTCGACTTCTCGAGGGAGCATGCGCATGATGGTGAGAGTGGTCATATCGAGAGCGACCCGCGTGCCTTGTTTCAATTTGGTTTTGTCAACCTTGGACCGGCAGCCGACGACATATCGAGGACCCGAGGATGCTTTGACAATGACTATGCTGCATTAGCGGGGTCAAACGTGGAATAAATCAACAACCGTACATCTTTCATCGTCAAGTTGTTTGAGGACTTCGCCAATAATTTGCCCAACACTTTGTAGCGCTTTGATGTTCTCCTCAGTAGTTTCAAACTCTTTTTGGAGGCCCTTGATACCCATCCGTAAAGATTTTAATTTGGACTCCCATTCTCGCGACTCTAGTAATTTGTTTTTGTATTGTTCGAGGGCTTGTTGCCTTTCAGGATCTCCGCTTCCATCCATACCGCCAGTGTTGAGGATGATGGTCGTTGCTTTGTAAGGCCTTTTTTTTGTGTGTGTGTTTCGGGTCGTATGTTTTCGCGAGGAGAAGATGACGGAGTTTGTGATTATATCTGTTGTGTTGATGAAAGAACCATGACCAGAAGACCGAAAGCTTGCGCAGGTACCCAAAGACACGCGCGGCGAGAGTCCTGATGCGCAAAGGCTTGGAAGCTATGCCGAGAGGGCTCGGGTCACGTTATTGCTCTCTGAATACTAGCTTCCTAAAAACTGAAGGAAACGCTGACGAGGGTCTTGGTTTGGAGGGGCACCAAGCCTAGAAAGCGAGGAAACTTCGTTGATTGATGGTTGTCCCGCACTTGCAGCTGCGCTGAGGGCATCTTGTTTGCTCTAAAGTCTGCCAGCTTCTACGGTCATTGCTTTTCTGCTGCTAAGGACGACCAGGGCTGCCATTCCCATGTGAAGTTTGTAGCGATACCCCACCAAAACAACAAAAAAAGTTGACTGCTCTTTCCTCAGCACTTTTCTTCTTCTCTATTGACATCCTTAATAAGAGGGACAATCCGTAGATTCCTCTCCCTTCTTCTCTTTCACTCATCCATACTAAGCAACTCATCGCTGACATAAAATTGCATCACACCACTGAAGTAAAGGTATTTGCCCAGTGAGCGCTCTCTCTCTATGTTCATGGCCATCACAGTTTTTGTCCACCGAGCTCCTCACTTCACTTTCGCCCTCTGTTTCTCATCTTTCACAACCTCCCTCACTTCAATCACCTCGTCACCTCACCTCTCCTGTTTCTCACAGCCGATATCTTCCAATCACTGACCCACTGTAGTCATGCCAGTTGTCAAAGTTCACGCCCGTTCCGTCTACGACTCCCGGGGCAACCCGACGGTTGAGGTCGATGTCGTCACCGAGACCGGTCTTCACCGTGCCATCGTTCCTTCAGGGGCCTCCACCGGCCAGCACGAAGCCTGCGAGCTCCGTGATGGTGACAAGTCAAAATGGGGCGGAAAGGGTGTCCTCAAGGCGGTGGAGAATGTCAACTCCGTCATTGGACCCAAGTTGATTGAGAAGAACATCGATTGTACAGATCAATCTACCGTGGACAAGTTTCTGATCGAGCTTGATGGCACCGAGAACAAGACCAACCTTGGGGCCAACGCGATTCTCGGTGTCAGTCTTGCTGTTGCAAAGGCCGGTGCGGCTCAAAAGGGTGTTCCTCTATACGCACATGTTTCCGACCTTGCAGGCACCAAGAAGCCATTCGTTCTTCCAGTCCCATTCATGAATGTCCTCAATGGAGGGTCTCATGCCGGTGGTCGTCTTGCTTTCCAAGAGTTCATGATTGTTCCCGAGTATGTATCATGCTCCTGGTTCTTCCGAGCAGCACTAACTAAAATCACAGTCAAGCTCCTTCCTTCACTGAAGGACTCCGATGGGGTGCTGAAGTCTACCAGAAACTAAAGGGTTTGGCAAAGAAGAAGTATGGTCAATCTGCAGGCAACGTTGGTGATGAGGGTGGTGTCGCTCCGGATATTCAGACCGCCGAGGAAGCCTTGGACCTCATCATGGCAGCCATTGCGGAAGCCGGATACGAAGGGAAAATGAACATTGCCATGGATGTTGCTTCCAGCGAGTTCTACAAGGAGGACGTGAAAAAGTATGATCTGGACTTCAAGAATCCCGACAGCGACCCAACAAAATGGATTACCTATGAGCAATTGGCCGACATGTACAAGTCATTGGCAAGCAAGTATCCCATTGTCTCGATTGAGGATCCATTCGCCGAAGATGATTGGGAAGCGTGGAGCTACTTCTTCAAGACCTCTGACTTTCAGATTGTCGGGTAAGTATTTGTCTAGCGCTGTTTCACGTGCGATTTGATGCCTGACGGTGCTCCAGTGACGACTTGACCGTGACCAACCCCAAGCGCATTAAGAGAGCCATCGAGTCCAAGGCTTGCAACGCCCTGTTGCTCAAAGTCAACCAAATTGGTACCCTTACCGAATCAATTCAAGCCGCCAAAGATTCCTACGCGGCTGGTTGGGGTGTGATGGTGTCGCATCGTTCTGGTGAGACAGAAGATGTGACCATCGCTGACATCGTGGTGGGTATCCGAGCTGGTGAGATCAAGACCGGTGCACCGGCAAGATCTGAACGTCTGGCCAAGCTCAACCAAATTCTGCGCATTGAGGAGGAGTTGGGATCCAACGCGATCTACGCGGGCAGCAACTTCCGCAAGTCGGTCACTTTGTAAACGCGAAGATGAGCAGCCGAACTTGGACACAATCACAATATCGATACTTCCTACTCAGGTAGCTTTAGCACGAGGGGATTCACGCGCGATGAAGGCGACGTGATGGTACGGAACTTATGAATAAAATGAGTATGGCGGATAGTCTCGAATTCGTACTATTGAAAGGGAGGACCTCTGCATGTCCAGGCAGCCAGCGATTGGGCACGCATAAGTCTTGGCAGGCCAGTTTCGTGGATAGACTCTCGTGCCCTGATGTCAAGAGAAACACAAAATCCCGAATTTCATCCCACCACTGTTAACCGCGCGCCCACTTTCTTCCCTCATCTTGCACGATCGTCTCAGTCCTAGCGCAAGAATCTCCGTCGACCTCGATACAGACGACGATCTCTCGCGCGTCCGACCACACAATGCCTCCTTCAAAGTGGGGTGAGTCAACTCTGTTCATTGTGGAGAAGAAGGAGTTTGTCTCTTGCGAGCATGGTTCTCGAGACACGGGAGTCGGAATCCAACACTTTGTTTGCTGACAATATTTTATTGCAGATGAGGAATCCGAAGAGTCTTCCGAAGAAGAATCAATAGACGTCCCTGTTGCCCGACGCAAGTTCGCAGACGAGGAAGATTCGGATGATGTATGCCATGCATAACTGTACCTCACGATACTTTACAATACTGACTCGGTTCAGGTCGCTGAGAACTGGGATGAAGAGGAAGACTCAGAGGTTGAGCGAGAAAAAGCCGCCAAAGCCGCCGCAGCTAAAGCCAAAGCCGATGCAGAAGCCGCAACCAACAAGAAGACAAAGTCCCAGAGAATAGAGGAACACCGAGAAGCGAATCGACGGAGACGCGCAGTAGAGGAAGAAGATGAGAGTTCAGAAGAAGACGAGGCCACTCGACGCGCACGACTGCGACAGTCAGAACAAGATGCAGACCTCAAGCACGCTCAAGATCTCTTCGCCGATGTTGGCATGGGACCCAAATCACGCGCTGCTCCCAACAAGGCCGTGATTATTGAGGACAAAGCCCATCCTGGTCAGACCATCGACTTATCGTCACTCCCAATGTTCAAACCCGCCACCAAGACACAGTTTGACGCACTCTCGGCCACGCTCGTCCCGTTACTCACAGCCTCGTCCTCCAAACCCCACTATCCCATATGGGTAGCCAATTTTGTGAAGCAAATCTGTGCAGATTTGCCGAGTGCCGAAATCAAAAAGGCTGCGAGTGGTCTAACAGCTTTGAGCAACGAGAAAATGAAGGAGGAGAAGGCACAGGAGAAGGGCGGCAAGAAGACAAAGGCAGCAAAGACCAAGACGAGTCTTGCAGCGACGAGAGATATGGGAAGAGGGATAGCAGACACCACAAGTTACGATGACGGTCTGGGAGATGATGACTTCATGTGATTTTTACGTCATTGATTTTGCTTCGAAACATTTGCATAAGCACTACAGATTAGAGCAAGCCTCATCAAATGAATGGATGCACTCCAAGGTACGCCAAGTTAGACTGTTGCGTGCGGAAATGATCCAAATGTCTTCAAAAAGTGTTAGATTCATTAATGTTCCTCGGAATGGTCAGAGAATTCTGTGATCGAGAGAAAGAGGGTGGGTTGAACGGGTGGCTGATGGCGTAGATTTTGGAGATATCCAGCCTCGTCCCTGGCGTGCTTCATATTTTGCATGAGCTCTTCAACGTCGCCATGTTCTTCTGAAGGGAGAATTTTCAATTCGTGTCATGCGTGCGATTTAAGCTCAGTAGACCACACGACTCACTGCCAAACCTGCCGGCATTCTCATCGTGAACCTGGTAATATAATTGACCTTTCTTCCTTCACTTAGCCAGGCTGGCGCAAAGGCCTATATACTGAGCACGGCCCGCCTACCCCCATCATGACCTCCAAAGCAGACTCTCAAGTCGACAGAGAACGCCATATAAAATACTGGAGACGATGTGCTCAAATCCTCCCCGAACCCTACACCTCGGGCGAGGCCAGTCGAATGAGCTTTGGCTTTTTTATCGTTGCCGCATTGGATCTTTTGGATGCTTTCGAAAATGTGATCACTCCCGCCGAGAGACTGAGCTGGATTGAGTGGATTTATGCCTGTCAAGTCCCTCACACGGGCGGATTCCGAGGCTTCACAGGCACAATGATGGGTGGTATGAGACATCCGGGAAACTGGCACTGGGATCCAGCGAATCTGCCCAATACCTACTTTGCATTGGCTACGTTGTTGATTCTGGGGGACGATCTGGGCAGAGTGAAGAGAAAGGAGTGTCTGCAGTGGGTCAAAAGTCTGCAAAGACCGAATGGCAGCTTTGGCGAATTCCTTGGTGAGGACGACGTGGTCGAAGGGGCAGATGATCCGAGGCTCTGCCTGTGCGCAGCAGGGACAATCAAGCTGCTACAAGGCGGCGAGCAGGATGAGAAGGCGGAATGGCTAGATGAAGGAAAACTACGACAGTATATTGCAAATTGTCAGGTAAGGCCCTGACAGCGACAGAACGGCGGTATACTGATTGATGTTCTTTTCAGAGTCATGAAGGTGGAATCGGCCAGGCTCCTCTGCTGGAGGCTCACTGTATGTTGACTGCCCGTTGAGATAACGTCGTTGATCTAATATCATAACAGCCGGGTTGAATTACTGCGCCATCGCCACTCTTTCGTTCCTCGGCCTCCTCCAGGAACCACCGATATCAATCCATGAGGTAGCCAGTGAGGCTAAGCTCGATACTTCTAGCTGTACGCGATGGATGCTTGATCGACAAACAACCAGGATCGAGGGGGGAGATGAGGGCGAACACGAAATCGACGAAACTCAACCAGAGAAGTTCTCCTCTGATATGTCTAGGATGGGACACGAATTGAAAATTACGGAGAAAGTAATCGCTGGATTTTGTGGCCGATGCGGCAAGATTGCAGACACCTGTTACTGTTTCTGGAATGTAGGAGCTTTGGCTGTGAGTATGATCGGGAGCCTTGCATCTCTGTTCTAACATTTTATCAGATCCTTCAGCAGCACCATCTCGTCGATGTTGAGTCGCTGAGAGGATATCTTCTGGACAAAGCCGCGCATCTCATAGGAGGATTTGGAAAAGGGCCTGGCGAGCTCCCCGGTGCGTCGAACCTCCATTGTCAGGTTGCTCCCAGGAAACTTGTGGTGTACTAACGGCCACGGTAGATCTTTTGCACTCGTATCTTGGTCTCGCTGTGCTGGCGATATACAACGAGCCTGGGCTGAAGGAATTCGACGCAACATTCTGTTTTAGCAAAGATGCTGTACAGAAGTTGAAGCATGTGGCTTGGCGGCAAAGTTGATATTCATACTCGATAACATACGTATTAGGTAAGAGGCGATGCAATTTTTCGGATTTGGGTCACACCAAACTCAACCTCAGTGTTCGTCATAGCTGGCCTCTGCGGCGGTCGGATGGCCGCGGGGTGGGCTTACCTGGTCATGACCTTTCGCATCAGCCTGTTTTCAATCCCATAAACGATGGACCGGTCGATCTTGATACGTATTTGACTGCTTCGGCTGCTTTTTTCACGTTGTCTGACCATCTGGGAGAATTTCATATCCAGAAACCTGCAGACTTCGAAACAGCCAAGGGCCGGAGTCCGCGACGACTTTGGTCATGGCACTGCCAATAGATGGGACGCACAAAGCGATCGGGAGGGCTGAAGCGTGGAGTCCACCGCCCTGGCCAAAGGCCACTAGCCACTTCCCTAGAAAGCTGGGAGACTGGAACTCTCAACATGGACGCGTTAGCCACCCTACCCCATTCATCCACCAAAAAGTTGATAAGCACTAGCTATTCTTAGCGATGAATCCTTACCGAGAAAGTGACTGTTTCGACAGACCCAGGGTCCCCCTCCAGGCAACACGTTCCAGCTGAACCGGCCAAGTCTCTCAAATTCGGACAATGTCTTTTCCCTTGCGGGCTGCGCCGTCGCTGTTGGTATCATCGCTAGAATACAGCGCTTAAGAGCACAAAAAGTCCGTCCGTGTTCCTTTCGGGTCTCGAAAACTTGCAAGATCTTCAATCCTTTCTGGATCTGTGATCCAAGACCCAGAAACGTCTCCACTCAGACACTTGACATTCAACACCATGCCCAAACGAACACTTTTTACCAATATTACCCCTCTTCCTCCCCAGGTATCGCGCGAAGTTGCAATTGCTATGCTTCATAACCATGACGAAATGATTGAGCTAAATCCACTGGTCATTGAACATCATCCGATCAAAACTCCGCGAGATGCGCCTGCCGACGAATTCTTGGACTGCGTCTGGCAAGAACTGACTGACAAGATTCATTACTTGCCTGGGGGTATTGTAAAAGGGAAAGTCAGCTACAAGGCCTGCTTCCACGACACACCATATGGACTACAAACACACATCTACGCGCCTATGGGGCTGGACATCCGAGAAAAATGGTCGATTGGAGGATCTCTACCTGGAGAACCCCCCGAGGTGCGCGAACTAGGAGTGGATGCCCCTCGACAAGGCTTATACTTGCGAGAGGATGGCGACATGAGGTGCAATATCTTGTTGACCTCCTTTGTGCGGAAGAACCTTGACAATGCGCACAAAGTCCTCGTCGAACGCATCCTCAAGAAAGCCGAGCGTGTGGAAGAGCACCAGCAGACCATGTCAGGATTCCCAACGAGCCCGGCAGGCCCACGATTTCAACCTGGCTCTCACATGTCGAATTCACAACTCCTGAACGCTCCGATAGCCCAAAGACCACTTTCGCCTCAGATGCTGTCGCCTCAGCAAGATATGGGTTGGCAAACGATGGCCAACCATCCTGCATTCCGAATGGATGACAAGCGCATGAGCACATATACTCTCCCACCGTATCAAGCCAACAATTCGCAGCAGCACATGAGCTATTATGCTCCAATGAAACAGCCTGATCCTCCCAAACAATTCATGGCCGAGTTACCTGGCTCAACCTACCATACTGGACATCTGGCTCCGCCTGTGCATCAGACCCCACCGCCTCCTCCTCCTCCTCCTCCTGGTCACCGAATGAGCACGATGTCTGAATTGTCAGGCTCAGAAGCGGCACCCAAAGGGTCACCGAATCCGCAAGCGTTATCAGATCGATCTAGCATAATATCAGAGATCCCCGGTCACCAAAGACACAGTGCGCAGGAATATGCTCCGAATATGAATCAATCTGTGGTATCTGGGCCATCAGATCGTACCAGCATGATCTCTGAGTTGCCTTCAGGTCAACGGACACAAAGCAATGGATACGCGTCTCAACCGAAAAGCTGATACCTTGAGAAACGCCAGGCTTTGATGACGGTAATGAAAATGAAGTCTAGAAAGGAATGTGTATATGCATAGGGACTAAAATGTATTTCTGAGCTTGGAGTTCCGGACAAGTTTTCATATATTGGGTAGCGAGGCCTTCGCATTGGCCATTGAGCGAATCTCACTATTGTCGTTTGAGGAGTTCCTCCAGTTGTTCCTTGTGTCACTGTTTCGCTCCCCCCTCCCTTTCTTTTTTGGCTCCCTTCGATATCGGCTCCTTGTCTCCGCCCCATGGTTTGGCAAAGATCTGTTTTCAGAAGTGTATCAGAATCCAGACAGCCATCTCGATGACCATATTGGCCGCGGCTCCCACGTGCAGAGAGGAGAAATAAGTATGCTGCGTGCTCCGTACGTCACCAGAAAAGAAAGCTGTTGATGGAGTGGAATCCAATGGCATTGACGAGCCATGGTTATGAGGGAAAGGATTGACTGCGGATCATCGAACAATCAATTTTCTGTGATTAATTTAGCATCTTTTGGAAGGGACGGACTCGATGATGATAGGAGATCGTCCACTCCTGATTCTTGTGGAGGGTGTAGAGGGCACCTCGTAGGGTGTAGGAGGTGGTAAATTTGTGGTCCGATCAACTCCGCACAATTCCTCCCGCCCTTTTTCTTTTCCACCATATGTTGGTTTTCGGCAGTCGAGCATTCAACCATCCAGGACCCTCCTAGCCACGGACCAGACCCAGGCCTTTTTTCTGGCAACTGCCCAATTGCTAAAGCTTAACCACTGCCCACCTTCGGCGTCACAAGTCTACAATACCTTATCGAACTCTACACCGTCAAATCCCTTCTGGAGGACTTTGCAATTTGCTGAATGTTCGTCCGCGATCACGTTCAATTCTCACGCGAATCTCGAACCACATAGACCACCCCTTCCTGCGATTTGTCCCACATGTTATCCTTACCCCCGACGCGCCGCATGAACTCCTATTTCATTTTGCAAGGTCAACTTGTCGCGAGGAATGCAAGCTTCGAAGACTAAGGCAGAGCTTCAGCAACATAAGGCCAAAGTACGCAAATCAATCGTCTCGCGGTTTCAAAATGGGCTAACATGATATGAGCAGCTTGCGAACTCCTATTCAGAACTACTCGAGTGAGAACCACCAGTCCAATCTGCAACACCTCACTAATCCCTCCACCAGCCAATTCTCCTCCAAAGAACTCAAGACAGTCGGAAACTACACACTAGGAAGACTCATCGGAAAAGGCTCTTTTGGAAAGGTCTATCTGGGCCGTCACAACCTCACCAATGGCTCGAAGGTCGGTTTTGTGCACATATATGGCAAAGGACAGCTCCCCCACTGAGAATGGGATATAGGTGGTACTCAAAGCCTCGAGTAAGGAAGACCCAAACCTGGCAAGAGAAATTCACCACCATCGACAATTCATTCACCCACATATTGCCCGACTATACGAAGTTATAATAACGGAATCCCTCGTGTGGTTGGTCTTGGAGTATTGCCCTGGTATGGGACACCATTCTTCTTCCATAAGAACCGGATACTGAATGCGATCAGGTGACGAATTATACAACTACTTATGTAAGAATGGGGCACTCCCTGTCGAAACTGTACAAAAGATTTTCACTCAGCTTGTCGGAGCTGTTGCATATATCCACAGCAAGTCTTGTGTTCATCGAGATTTGAAATTGGAGAACGTCCTTCTCGACAAGCACGATAATGTTAAACTATGTGATTTTGGTTTCACCAGAGAATATGAAGGCAGGGCAAATTATCTCCAAACCTTCTGCGGTACAGTCTGTTACAGCGCGCCGGAAATGCTCAAAGGAGAGAAATATGCTGGTGAAAAAGTCGATGTCTGGAGTCTTGGAATTATTCTTTACGCATTATTAAAAGGAGAGCTGCCTTTTGACGAAGATGACGATGCAGCAACGAAAGCAAAGATTTTGAGAGACGACCCTGTCTACCCTGACACATTTCCTGAAGCCGCAAAGACGCTGATTTCGAAGTTACTCTCGAAGCGCCCTCTGTACAGACCAGCGCTGTCGGATATTTTGTCAGACCCCTTTCTGGCCGAGCATGCCCCTCAGCAGCAGGCGATTTTGAAACTGTCTCAACCAGCCGCATTTACAACTCAATTGGAAAAGGACACGCTCGAGCGCATGAGGGCTGCCGGTGTGGACATTGACAAAGTCATTGAAAATGTGCTTTCGCAAAGGTGTGATACATTAGCCGGTTGGTGGGCACTCCTCATCGAAAAGGAAACAAGAAAACAAGCAAGACGAGATCGAAAAAGGAAAGAAAGAGAAGCAGAGTTGAAAATTCTCCGCCGGCTCAGTGGTGCAAGCAGTCGACTCGAACGGATTGCACCCACTCTGGAAGAGGTTGATGAAGAAGGATCTCCCGGTGATACGCAGAGACGCCGGAGCAGTAGTCGAGGAAGAACACAACGACGGAGTACGCCTCAAATACTGGTCAGTGATCTCCCTCAACTTCCCGAAGGCAATGTCATGCAATCACCTGGATCCGCAACGCCCCCGCCGCCGATCGATAAAGACTCCGTTCGGTCTCACAGCGGTTCTCGACCTCCCTTACCACCCAAGGAACGAAATCGACGAAGCAGCACTCTACAGCTAGTCTCGACAAATCCAGAATTGCTCGGTCCGCTCAATGGGGTAAACAAGAGACGCGGTGGAAAGCTTCGCAACAGGCAATTTCTGAGTCAGCTCACAGCGCTGAAGCATTGGATTGTGGAATCAACGAAGCGAGCCACCTCCCCTATCAACCCCAAGAACGACAAACTCTCGAATGGAAGTTCGAACAATTTAAAAGCAGCTCATTCGACTGATGCCGTCCAAATGAACAGGAGCAGTAGACCCGTCCTTGATGCGGCTAGTTCGAACAGATCCTCTTACGTTTCCGCCTTGACTCCTGTCGTGTCGAATTCCAATCCAGTCCCCCCGGTCAAAAATACCGCGCCGCGTGTCGATACCACGCGTGGAAGACCTCACCGCAACTCCCTTTCGCCGTCTCCAGTCACTCCTCGCTCCTCATACCGTCGCAGTTCGACTGGCCTTCGTGGCCGCAAATCAACGTCGTCATCCGTCTCCTCGATCCGAAGCATGCCCCGACATACATCACACAGCAAAGCGTCTTCGCAAAGTTCCAACAGTTTCGATACCATCCATAGCCCCGCAAGCATCAGGACCCCCCGCTCTCCACATTCCTCTATCAAAGTCCTCCCCGTCACGCCCACCGCCAATGCATTTCCTTCCAATGTCCGCACCGTCAGAACCCCTCGTGGCTCAGATGCAGGACTTCAACCTAGACCTCTTTCCGGGATCCAACTGCATGGCGAAGGGCTATTTCCACCAGGAACCCCCCAATCCGGTGCTTCCGGGACAGGCGTCATGTTTGCCCGCCGAAAGAAATCCCCATTCAAAGGACCCATGCTGAATCCGGCGTTTTTCTCCACCTCAACGCTCCCCGCTGCTTTTGGAAGTCCGGCCGTTCTTGCTGGTGGCAGGAATCGAGAAGGTTCAGATGGCAAACTTAATCTGGGTCTGAAAGATTTCATTTCCAGACGAGACAGTGGGAAGCGGAAGAGCCAAATTATTGAGGAAGAGGAGGAAGAAGAAACCGGTACTAGGCATGGGTATGGAATGACCGAGGAAGAAGATGATGAGGACATCGAAGAAGTGGATGCGTTCCGGGCTATTGAGTTAAATAAAGGCGAGAGGGTTGAGAGTATTACGATTTGGAACGACGCAGCGGAAGAAGAAGTGAAGGAAGAGGCAGAGGAGGGAAATCACGACGATAACAAAGCACTGCCTGTAACCGGGAAGGGCTGATACGAGCCGGCAGGCAAGTCCTTGGTACCAGTGTTGTTGTCGCGATGACGTGCTCGGGGAAAGAAGAGGCGATGTCCGTATGATGAAGAGGAAATGCTACGACTTGTTCTCCGCCTTGCCACTCGAAGATCAAGAGTCAAATGGATTGACTACGCTTTGATTGTGCGTCATGGACAGAACAGACTTCGATTGATGTGTTGGACTGCTTGACGGGACTGATGGAGTGATCGACGGATTCTCCTTTCTCCTTCCCCTTTTTGACGGCTCTCATTGGGAAAATAGAAAGTGTGATGATAGACGTGGGTTTCCTCCTTCACCCTTGTTCTTTTATTTTTGCCCATTCCCCTGGGTTGGGGAGCTGTACGACTTTTGGGTTTTCCTGTGATTGCGACGACTGATGGTTGGTGGATGGTGGTTTTTATATTAGTTCAATTCTATTTCCAATCTTTTTCCCCTCTTCGATGTATGATATGAATGGTCATGGATGCCTAGATATGGACATAGACATGAGATGACTTTTTACACCGAGCTGCACCGCACATCTACACTTTTGAGATATGAATTGGAAGGATTTCTCCAAGGGAGAAATGTTTCGTTGAAGCAAGTTCTTCATCAAGCCAAAGGATCGTAGGATGTCAACTTTGACTTCTCTATCTGCAGCTCTAGTTCCAGCTCTGACTGGTAGCTTATCAGGTATTCAATCCTAAGGTTTAAAGCTAGCTTTCAGTCAAATGAAACCGTCCTGCTGACTCTGTTTGCCTTTGATGCCTCTCCCGCTCCAGCTCCAGACTCTCCGTATTGTTGGATCTCCCACTCCAGCGCCATTCTTACCAAGCCTCAGCTTGTTGATAAAAGTTCCTCTTTCATGTCTCAACAAGCCCAAAGAAAACTTCACTGTGGTTGCTCATCTGATCGTTCCTTCCACATGGAAATACCTCCAGCAAAAATGAAATCCTGTGACATATACTGAATCATTTCTGGCTTGTCGATTTGAAGTCTGTTCTGCCTGCTTATCTCGTCACCCTTTTCAATGCCGGTCTCATTCTCATCTCCACCTGCTTTCATTAATGACAACTGTCTCAGAAACGCTTGGGCTTCGAATTGTGGGCATGGCACGGGTTCGAGTGCGCTCATGGCGCCGCGTCGTGGTGGCGATGATGATCGGTTCATCGTCATTCAAGTCCTCTTTCCCCGAAACTGGTGTTTCGTTTGGCTTCTTACTCCAAGTGCTCGTTGGGATGGCAGGATTGACATTTGATTCCTTTAGCTTTGCTGGCTGTGGTTCCATGGTAAGCTTAAACTGGGGAGAGATTTTCCCTCCAATGCCAGTACAAGGATCTCGGGTCTTGTCGTTGATATTCAGAGGCTGGATTGATTTTTCATTTGGGAAGTTCTTTTTGAGTTTTGCTGGGTTTTGGATTTCAACGATGATACCGTTATTCTGTCGAGGAGGGTCTGTGAATGTGAATTTCCGTATTTGGTCGAGGTTCGATTTGAGCTGGAGCTTGCTGTGATTTCTGGGAGCATCCTTGCAGTCTTCATCGGATGTCTCTCGCTCTGCTTCGGGGTTGGTTAATTTCGATTGCCACTTTTTCGTTGAAGCTCTAATTTCAGACCAAGGATCTGTTCCATAGACTCCTTCAATGAAATTCTCGTACTCGATACCGTGAGGCCCTTTCTCATAGCCTGAAATCTTGAAACTGCGTAGAAGTTTGTATGCTACCACCTCTTTGTATACCTCGCGAACACCGTGGAGACACTGTTTCAAATTAGTCAACTGCGACGCAAACGTAGACGAAGACGGACCTTAGCAAGACTTTTCCCGGAAGTGAAACCAATGCCAGTGGTCTTCTTCATGTATCTCATCATTCCCCATAGTTGGTGCGCCGTCGCGTAATCAATGATAGCCACGGGTTCGGACTCGACACAACCCCAACTTAGAAACTATGTCAGTGTTAGCGACATGGCTAACTACTGAGGGAATACTCACTTCCCCGGTGCCAGTATAACTATGGGTTTTGTCGACCTGGTTAGAATGAGAGTTATCGGAGACCTTTGGAAGGACATCAAATCCAAAATGTCTGCAAATGGGAGGAACGGCCCATGGGCCAGCCCATTTTCCGTGTCTGTTTTCAAGCTCCCTTTCCATCACGTTATAATCAAAAATGGCGAGACAACGTGGAGTCTCGCTGTTCTTGACCAGAAGCTTAAGGGCTCTTTCTGGATTTTCAGTCCATGACAGAAATGGAGACAAATGGCGTCGGTCAGTTGTGAGATGTGGGAGGACTTCGTCACTGAACTCCTGACTCTCTGGCTCTGGCGGTGCAGCTACTGATGAGTCCAAAAAGCGTCGAGCTTTAAACCCATGCTTGGCGTCAAATGCTCGAAACAACAGTCGTGGTCGTCTCGCTGCACTCCTCTTCTCGTTGTCGAAGTTGATCCTTAATAGCGGCGGGATCCTAGCCGACGACTCTGGAAAATGTTCATCTGGAGTTTGGAATTCGGTGCGGTCGGAATTAGCCGCGGTACACCAACTTCCCGAAGAATCTGAATCTGAATAAGACGAGGCTGAACTTGGTGAAGCGGGAGTGGACAATTTTTGAAAATACTTTGACCTTCTGATTGGCCCTGATGATGTTCTTGCTTTGAGGATTTGCCGCACTCTTCGTCTTTTCCGGGGACTTTCGACCTCATCTTCAGACTCATGAAGAGCTGTTGGTGTGGGACTCAGGCGCTTCGCGGGTGTCACTTCTTCTGGTGGCGGAACACGCAGATTGAGTATGATTCGGAGATTGTAAGCGGTATCCTCGATGCTATCACGATAGAGACGATAGCTAGTTCTTGCAGAATTCATTGTCATAGACTGAATTCTTTGAAATTCCGCTCCGCGACGCGACCGTTTGAGATCTCGAATTTGTGCCATAAGTGCTGTGGATGTGAGTCCATCATTGAATCCTTCATGAACAAGTCGATCCGTAATGAGCGTGTTGAAGATCTTAGCCAAGTCTTGACTCGAAATCTCATAAAACTTGTACAGCAATGCAAGGAGGATTTTGTCATCATCTCTCCACACGTGCTTAGGTGAATGAACGTTGAGTGTCATTACGGATTCCTTAGCCATCAATGGAGAAAGTTGTCTTTGTCCAGAGACAAGGAAGAGATGTTTAACCTTCCAATCTTGAGGTTGGCGATAGAGAACAGAAATAGTGTGAGAGTATAGACAAGAAAGGGAGAATGAGAAGGCAGAAGTGAAACATGTTAAAGAGGGCTCCTTCCCCTTTCGGAGTCAAATCCAAAGTGGAGTATGGATGATTGTGGACGATAGCAAAAGTACATACACTTACTAAGCCCAACGACGGAAGCAGGCTATCTCAACTCCTCAGAACCTGTCAAGCAATATATAGCGCCCAGAGAAGATACTGAATTGGGGTTTCAGAATCGGATCGGCAGAGTTGATATTGCGGAAACGGACTTTGAATAATCCGGAGTTCGCCAAGCCAGGCTTGATTCTTCATTTGGGTTTTGCCGTGAGGGTTGCAACATATGATGTCTTTCGGCTGGATTAGCTGAGCAGGAATCTCTTCAGCATGTTGGTCTGGTGCGAGCAGGAAGAAATCAGTTCCTGATGAGATTATCTCAGCTCAAAGTACTGATCACTTGCCCCCCAAAATGGAAGAGGCTGAAGCCACACAATTTCTCGAGTCTCTGCTGGGCAAAACACTGCATGTGACTGTTCCAGATGGTAGGTTGAAGCTACTAGAAGGGGAGATAGGAGTTAAGGAAGGGACAGGACGCCTTTTCACAGGAACATTTCGATGCACTGATAGCGTAAGGATCCGAGACATGCAGATATAGAAATGGAGCCGGACATTCATAAGCTGACATATTGTAGGATAGTAATATCATCTTGTCGAATTCCTTTGAATATCGAATGCCATCAAATGCTGCCGAGAAAGCCGCCCGGGAAATAGTCAGAACCACCGGTCAAGCCAGCAGAGCCGATATGACGTCGAGATTTGTCGGCCTGATCGTGATTCCGGGCAAAGAGATTGCAAAGATGGAAGTCGAAGGGAAAAGAGATTGGCCTAGCAGTGGACAGTCTTTGTCGGTTCGTACAAAATCGTAAAGTTTGCCGGGGTCATGGTTGTGGATTCGTGGCATTCGAGACCCCGGCTCTTTGCATATTTGGGCGTGTTGGATACGGGAGTACGGGGGTGCATGAAAAACTCCAAGTGTGATTCGAAAGTTCGGAGCTTTCGCAGCAATCTGGATTAGAAGCGGTGGGGTCTGTGCCAAGTAGGAAGGGGTCGATTCATCCGCAGATCGACTGAGAAGTCGTGCTCTCGATGGAGGGAACGTCGAGATACGGGTATAGGAAATAGGAAGTAGGTTCAGTATGGAGTTTGGAAAATCCGGAGCGTGTGTTCCGGGGCAGACAAGACTAGCACTCGCTCTTAAGGGCAGAAGAGCGGGAGAAGAGCGAAAGAGCGAGGACCATGCACGCGGAATAAGCGGTTGGACAAGAAGATGAAAGCCATTCCAACACCAATGACCATTTGCCTGCGCCCCCATGGTCAGAGCGGTTGTATTTACCTAGTTCCCCAGTCCAGTCACCATTAAGGCAGTGCTGTCTCGATCTGGACACCTGCCACATTTTCGCCTCTCTGCTAATTTACCGTATCAGCCCTAGATCGTCCTCTCTTTTCATTCTACAACCTTTACTTCCTAGGTTCCCCAGACTGCCTTTTACTTCTGCACCAGCCTGTTGAACCCAGTCAGTGTGTGACCTGCAGGTCAGTTCTTACCCGATCCTTCTGGCAGCGACGCAACGTGTTTCACTGTTCTGGCCACCTGCGACACGTGGGTCTGGGGCTTGCGAGTGCCACAATATCAACAACAAAGACGCAAGCCTAATTAGCTATCCTACCTTCAGAACAACTCGCTCATTACTCTGATAAGCCTCTGACTCCGTTTCCCGCACAGGCGAGACAAAGAAAAAGGAAGCTCCTTAAATCCTCCATGCTCAATCACCCCTGGTCACCTTTGCCATCAAACGAAGCCAAAAAGCTCAGCCATAGCGGCGCTCTTGATCTTTGGCACACTTTACCAGCCGATTTGACCTGAGCATACGGAAAGTGTGCTCCTTCGAGGCGCCCTCGACCAAGCCGCCAAAACGCATTCCTCAAAGCAGCTGCTTATCTCACTTCTCAAACCTCCTTGACCCTCCTCCTCCTTCTGCTCTTCCTTGACCGAGTCCAAACCCCCTAGCTCCTTGCCGTTTGCAATCATTCAATGGGCCAACAACAGTCTAAGAGCAGCGATGGATCTAGAACCCCGCTAAAGAGTGGCTCTTCTTCAAATCTGGTTCCTGATACTCTGCAACAATATCCCTCCATATCCAAATCTGACACCAAGGAGAGCTCCTCCAGGTCCATTAGATCTTCAATTAGGAGTAAAATCAAGAGTTCGGGAGATGACAAAGCCACGGACAGCCCAAGAGCATCAGGTTCCGTCCTCGCTGGGCTGGACGGATCCAATAATGACAAGGGCGATGCGAGCTCCATTGCGAGCGGCCGTTCAGGTTCCTCGCGTGCCACCAAAGAGAAGGTCACAAATACACCATTGGTAGAATCTCCCATTTCGCCAACCGATTATGATGAAGCTCCATCTCCTGGCACTCTCACTCCTGCCAGACCGCCATCGCCAACCCAGTCTAAGTCCGTAGGCAAGGGTCACAAGTCTGTAGATCGAGCTCAACGTACCGGGGAGGTGGGAGCAGTCTCTGATGAAGCTCCTCATCAAGCCCATCATCATTCCTCTACACAAAAAGCGGGCGATTCTATTTTGGTCAAGCGCGAAAATCAGATCAACCCTCGAGCACCCGAGACCAAAGCTTCCTTGCGAGCTAAATTAGCAGAGCTGCCAGGAGCGTCTCCCGGAGGAAGCATGGCAATTGGTGATGTCAATGATATGGATCTGGATGATATGATTTCTCGTCTCCTTGACGCCGGGTACACTACCAAGGTCACAAAAGCGGTATGTCTTAAGAACGCCGAGATCACCGCTGTGTGTACTGCCGTCCGAGAAGTGCTCCTTTCTCAGCCAGCCCTCTTGGAACTGAACGCTCCCGTGAAAATTGTGGGCGACATCCATGGGCAATACAATGATTTGATTCGACTGTTTGAGATGTGCGGGTTTCCTCCCACGTCGAATTTCCTATTTCTCGGGGATTACGTTGATCGAGGAAAGCAATCGCTTGAGACTATCCTCCTCCTGTTCTGCTACAAGCTGAAATATCCGGAAAATTTCTTCATTCTTCGGGGCAATCATGAGTGTGCCAACGTCACGCGTGTCTATGGGTTCTACGACGAATGCAAGAGAAGATGCAACATCAAGGTTTGGAAAACATTTATTGACACTTTCAATTGCTTGCCAATAGCTTCCATTGTGGCCGACAAAATCTTCTGTGTTCATGGTGGTCTATCCCCCAGTTTATCTCACATGGACGACATTCGACAAATTGCACGACCGACTGACGTTCCTGACTATGGTCTCCTCAATGATCTCTTGTGGAGTGATCCGGCAGATATCGATCAGGATTGGGAGTCTAACGAACGTGGAGTGAGCTATTGCTTTGGCAAGAAAGTGATTGTTGACTTTCTCGCCCGTCATGATTTTGATCTTGTTTGTCGCGCTCACATGGTGGTTGAAGATGGATATGAATTTTTCAATGACCGATTGCTTGTCACCGTTTTCTCCGCTCCAAATGTAAGTCTGCCATCTCATTGAAGAGGAAAGGCCAAGGGCTAATTCGTTTCAGTACTGCGGTGAGTTCGATAATTGGGGCGCTGTAATGTCGGTGTCCAGCAACCTCCTGTGTAGTTTCGAACTCCTGAAGCCTCTGGATTCGAGCGCTTTGAAGAGTCATATCAAAAGAGGTCGGAATGCGCGACAGAACATGCTCAACAGTCCCGTATGTATCTCTGACTAACTTGTGTTTTGGGACCCGAAGCTAACTCTTCTCTACAGCCTGCACAGGTGTCCGCTCAGAGCCTTTAGAGGACGTGTACGACAAAAGGCGACAAACAACATCGATCGAAATCATCATTATCTGGACGAACTCACACTTCCACCGTCACACCGATTTTCCCAGCTCCGAAGACACCGCTAGGCCAGACAGCTTTCCACAAAATTGTCGTCGTGGCACAACTATATTTCAACCATGCCTCATCATCATTGGCGTTGGATTGGCAAATGAACGCGCGGAAATAGAAGAAAGAATTTGACGGGACGCGGTTTCGAAAAGCACGTGAACTTTGAAGAGCAGATCCCAATCGAATCGGTCCGGACGAGCAACCAGTGGGTATCGTGCTTGGGATGTATTATGTCGCCCAATATGGGTTTTTGTTGAACCAAAAGGGTAGAGAGAAAGACGTCGAGCAAGTAGCTCTCCAACGCTTTGAGAGGACGAAGGAATGGTAATGTGACGAATATCAAGATTGAGAGCAAGTTATCCAATTTCCCACTGTATTCAATGTCTTAGCGAGAATGCGAGAACGCTTCCTTTGAATCCATCGTGTCTGAATCATGGCCCCCTCCCAAAGAGATCTATTTTATTTCCCCCCTTTTTCCTCAAACAGTGAGAGAGGATAAGTCAGGTGCGAGGTCAAACGCGCTAAGGACAAGAAGTAATTATTGATGAATGCCCATGGGTTGAAGTGGATGTGGTTTCTGAAGTTGGGGCTTGGGATCAGGCGAGGTGTGGGAGACCAGGGGGTTCCGGGAATCAAGGGTGGAATGAGGAAAAAGTTTTGTCGAGCAATTCGAGCCAGGCAGAACTTGAGAGCAAGACGCGAAACAAGAGGGCGCGTCTTTGTCGCGTGGGAGGCGTTGTCCCCATTTGAGAGGCCAGAGGTCGCATGTCAGCAGAGAGACGAAACATGCCGCTGGTGTGGCCCTTTGTAACCTGGGCCTAACTCGGGGCTTGTTGGTCACCGCCCTTCCCCGGTGCCCACTACCCACCACCCAGAGCGTAGCTTTGTAGCTCATACCGGCGGCCAAACACCAAACCACTTACAATAATATTATTATTATTGTTTGTTGGTATTTGCCTGGCCACATTCCACGCCTGATCCATGTTGCGGCTTGTCTTTGTGCTGGGACTGCCTATGTACCAACGATTGTCTGAGCCGTTCCTTGTGGTGACTTGCGGTGTCAAACTTCCCCTCTTGCACAGATCATAAATCGACCACCATCTTCCATTTATCCTTCACCACGAGTCCCTCCCTCCGCAGCATACTTTTGACTCAGCGAACAACTTTCACCCGCGCCTGCTACTCTCCCACACAAGTTCAGAGCCTCACATCTGCCATTTTGATCCTCCACGTCGTGGCCTCCAAGGCCACTTCCCATATGCCATCATGAAAGCCGGTCCCCTTCTCATCTCCTGGCACAACGAAAGCCAACCCATTTATTCCGTCCATTTCGATCCTCATGGCAAGGGCAGGCTCGCAACCGCGGGAAAGTGAGTTCTCCCCGCTCCAGGATGTATTCCCACTGCTAACCAGCCTAGTGATAATAACGTGCGAGTACGAGGGCTATCCTCTCCGTCCTTACATCTAGTTCATAAGACTAACACTGTCGAAGTTATGGAGCATCGAAGCTCAAGGCGACGAAAGAAAAGTTACATACCTGTCCACCCTCACGAGACACACCCAACCAGTCAATGTAGTCCGTTTTAGCCCAAAAGGTCGGATTTGGCAAGGGTAGTCATGAATAACTCTCTGACAAATTTATAGGTGAGATGCTAGCTTCGGCTGGTGACGATGGCAACGTTCTCCTTTGGGTACCGTCCGAATACTCCATGACCACCTTGACTGAAGAACACGCCGATGATAAGGAGACTTGGAGGACGAAGCATATGTGCAGGACGTCCAGTGGAGCTGAAATATATGATTTAGCCTGGTCTCCAGACGGCCAATATTTCATAACCGGAGGAGTGGACAACACAGCCAGAATCTTCAATGCACACACTGGTACGGAACTTGGTTTCTCTTCGGCGAAAAGCTATGGACTGACTTTCATAGGTGCCATGATACGTCAAATAGCCGAACACAGTCATTTTGTGCAAGGCGTAGCCTGGGACCCTCTAAATGAGTTTGTTGCAACCCAGTCATCCGACCGCTCCGTTCACATATATGCTCTCAAACTGAAAGATGGCACACCTACCCTTTCTACACACGGTAAATTCAACAAAATGGACCTTCCTGGTCGTCGAATATCTTCCAATAGTCCCGCCCCGGCCGAATTGACCCATCGAACATCCAGTTCTAGTGCCAGCAACCTTGCCATCGCCTCGCCAGCACCATCAAATCCTGGAACTCCTTTGACTACTCCTCATCCCATGGATCCACCTATGATCGCGTCTAGCCGGCGGTCGTCTTTTGGATCTTCACCGTCATTCCGACGATCTGCTTCGCCTGCACCATCGCTGCCACTCCCCGCGGTGAGAGCAGAAATCTCATCCCCCAGTCTCAGCGCCGCCATGGGATTGGCTGTGAAGAATACAAACATCTATCACAATGAGACCATGACGTCTTTCTTCCGTCGACTGACTTTCTCTCCGGATGGAAGTTTACTTTTCACACCAGCGGGACATTATAAGACGACCTTTCCAATGGCGTCCGATCCAACCAAAACCACCGAGGATGTTGCTAATACTGTCTATATCTACACGCGTGCCGGTTTCAACAAACCACCGGTAGCGCATCTACCAGGCCATAAAAAGCCCTCAGTCGCCGTCAAATGTTCTCCGATTCTCTATACTTTACGTTCGACGGCAAAACCGACCAGCCATATTACCATTGACACGTCGTCTGCAGGCGAAGAAATCCCTTTACTTCCAGACCCTATTGTCCCACAAAATTCTTCAACATTCATGGAGCCTCCTCCGACCTCGACCTCAAATTCTGTTCCCGAGTCCATGTCTGCACCATCCCCTAGGCCGTCAACAGAAAGTGACTCTGCAAACCCGGCACCAACCCCGGCCTTCTCGCTCCCGTATCGAATGGTATATGCTGTGGCGACTCAAGATGCAGTATTAGTTTATGATACACAGCAAACCACTCCTATTTGTGTTGTCAGCAATCTTCATTATGCAACTTTCTCTGATCTGACCTGGTGAGTCCCACTCTTCCTTTTTTTTCCCCATCCCCTCAGGCGTTGCTAATGTATTCTCCCCAAGGTCAAATGATGGTCTCACACTGTTAATGTCTTCTACGGATGGCTATTGCTCGACTTTGGCTTTCTCACCTGGTGAACTCGGACAGGTATATACTGGGCCTCATCCTACGTATAACCATCCGGTCGTTTCAACCTCCATACCTCTTCCAACTTCTTCTGCCAATTCAACACCAATTCCCACACCGACTGCGACTGCATCTCCTTCATTAACCAAAGCATCTCCTGTTCCTGTACTACCATCACATCCTTCTCCGGCCCCATTCATAATTCGTCCTGGAAGCCCAACGAGGTCCAATTCACAATCGTCCATCGCGACGATGTCGTCGATTCAAACTTCAGGTCTCCCTAACAATCCCACTCCTACGATGGGCCATGTACCTCTCGTCACCGCGACGAATTCAGGTCCACCAATTAGCATACCACCAATGTCCACACCGCCTCAAACCCCTGCCAGTGTCCATGGCGGCCAGCATTCGGCAACAAGCTCGATCAGTGGTAGTGTGTTAGGAAAAAGAGATGTTGGGGCAACGAGCGAGAGTGAAAAGGAGGAAAGCAAATCGAAGAAGAGAAGAATAGCACCAACACTGGTCGGTCCATCTGGATCAACAGATAGGCCGGGAGCAGAAGAAAAGAGCTAGTTGCCGACTGAAGGACGATTTGCTTACTTTTCTTATGGGCTGGGTTGATTCTTAATCGTATCCTCAGGAATTTCTTTGCGACTGTTCATGACCTAGCATGGCGTTTGGATAGGGGAGGCAGCTAACTCGGCTGCTATAGGGGCAAGGCAGTTTTCAGCTAGAACGAATCATGGTCCAATAGGGATTATCAAAAATCTGATAGCAATCAATATATTATGCTATTTACAGCAATTCCCGGACTCGACACTTGAGTCATGGTGTGTATCTTTGGTGGCGGAATGAGGGGCGGATGCGTCATGTGAATTCGCGTTATTCTCCGGGTCGACGTGAGCCATCGGAGGCACCATATAATTCGAATTCTACCAGCGACTTCAGTTTCTACCCGTTCGCCTCTTTTCCAACGTCGACACCATCATCATGGCCAGCGCTCGAAGATTTCAACTGCTACCTCACCGTTGAGTCTTCGAGTGCTCCACCGCCATCGACAATTTTGTGGACTTTGGTTCCTTGTACACACCATGGGCGTCACCGGCCTTTGGACTGTCGTAGCACCCACCGCGCGACCTACTCAACTCGCCTCTCTCAATCGCAAACGCCTTGCCGTTGATGCGTCGATATGGATCTACCAATTCCTCAAGGCAGTTCGAGATAAAGAAGGCAACGCCCTCCGAAACAGCCATGTGGTGGGGTTCTTTAGACGAATATGCAAGCTGCTTTACTTTGGCATTAAACCGGTCTTCGTATTCGATGGAGGAGCCCCTATACTCAAGCGCGAGACCGTCAGGAAGAGAGCTCGAAGACGGGAGGGCCGACGTGAAGATGCTGCGCGAACAGCTGGAAAGCTGCTTGCAGTCCAAGTAGCAAGGGCTGCGGAGGAAGAAGAGAAGAGAAGACGAGCCGAAAGAGAACGTACCCCAATGGAAGAGGAGTTGCCTCCTGATCAAGAGCTTGTGTACGTCGAGGAACTGGGTATGACACCGAAACAAAGGCTGGCCGGAAGGCAATTCAAGAAGAAAGACCAGTACCACCTACCAGATCTCGACGTCAGTATTGAAAGCATGGGTGCACCTAATGACCCGAGAATCATGTCACAAGCAGAGCTGGAGGAATATGCTCGACAGTTTCACAGTGGAGAAGACATCAATCTTTACGATTTCAGCAAGATCGATTTTGAGAGCTCATTTTTCCTATCCCTTCCGGCTGGTGATCGCTACAATATCCTAAACGCCGCCAGATTACGCTCAAGACTTAGAATGGGTTATTCGAAAGAACAGCTTGACGGAATGTTCCCAGATCGCATGGCATTTTCGAAATTTCAGATCGAGCGTGTCAAAGAGAGGAATGAGCTCACACAGAGATTGATGCACATCAACGGAATGGCCGAAGATTTCTTGAACCAAGGAGGAAGGATTGCGGGCGAGAAAGGGAAAGAGTATATCTTGGTGAAGAATGACGGAGTTGACGGTGGTTGGGCTCTTGGTGTCGTTTCAAATAAGCAGGGAAGCAAGAAGGAAAACGCGATTGACCTAGATGATGAGGAGAAGTCGGAAGATTTGACACGAGACTCGGCTGAAGACGAGGAATTTGAAGATGTCGCGATCGAGGGCCTCAACAGGATCCCCAAGATGTGGCAGCGCAAAAGGAAAGCTCCGGATGACGATATATCTCATGAAGATGCGGTGGCTGAGATTGCTAGGAAGCGAAAGGCGGTGTATGAAGCACGAAAAGCCACTGCGAATGCCCCCACGCAGGTCCCATCAGCCCCCAAGACCGCGGATACTAATGACGACACGCTTTTTGTGCCACAGGATAAGACAGCCGAGGACGAGGAAGATGAATTGTTTGAAGACGACGACTTACAGCGTGCCATTGCAATGTCTTTGGAACAACCGACAGATGATGATGGCCTTGCGGGTGGCTTTGTTGGGGATGAGACAACCCATCAGACTCCGGACCTTGATCAGGATGATGGCTTCGATTTGCAGGCGGCCCTAGCAGAATCTAGACAGTCCAAGCCTCAAGCGAAGACCGATGTCAGAGAAAGAAACCTATCATCGCATCTGACCGTCCCCATGCCCAAATTCGACGGCCCCTTACCGTTCGAGTCTTTGAACCTTGGGGAATCGCTTCTGGGCAAGAAAAAGTCGAAGAAAATCGAAGAGGATTCGTCTGGAGGCTTTGAACGAGAACTTGGCGATGAGGCATTCCGAAAAGAACGACCGTCTCAACCTATGCCTGCTTGGTTCAATGCTGCTCCTAGCACCAAGGATCTCAAACACACTGTCGAGTCCGAAGGACCAGATGTGGATGATCACATTACATATGGACAAGACGATTTCGATAGAAGGGAAACCATTCGCCGGCAAAATACTAAAGAAATCATTGATCTTGAAGCAGTAGAGGGACACAATGAAGGCAGATCTCCCATCAATCTGGATGAAGATGATGATGAAGATCTGCACGAGTTGACTCGGCACTCTCACCACATCGATTTTGGTCTAGATATGACAAGCCAAACTGAAGACGCTGGTTGGGATGAGCTCGAAGACGCTGAGAAGCGTCGACGCGATGAGGAACGTGAGAAACGCTACGAGATGGATCGACAAATTGAGGCCGAAAAGGAGCCCAGACCCGAGGAAGATTCGATCGTTGAGCCGCCAGAGAAAGATACAGTCCATCCTCATCAGCCTTCGGCCACGGCTGAACGTGACCATGAACCATCTCCGCCGAAGGACGGTGAAACTGCTGCAGCGGAGAGTGATTTCGAGGTCGAATGGAGTGAATCCGAGATTGATGATCCAGGCAGGTCTGGATCTCTTGGCACCGTGGTTGATGATTCTCCGGGCTCAAAATCACCGCACAAACCTTATGCAGTGGTGGAAGAGCAGGACGACGACGAAGGCGAGGATTTTGAAGACGTGGACATGCGACCTCGCGACGCATCACCCGAAAGCCAAGGTATAAACATGACTACCCAAAAATCGACCCCGGATGCAGATCTCAACCCCGTGCCTAATTTGGATGACCTCTTTGCTGGAGAATCTGGTACGGCTCAAGCTACGGCGCCACTCGTTGAAGAAGAATTCGAATATCTTTCCGAATCTGAAGAAGAACTAATGCGCCAACTCGCCATTGAAGCCGAGGAACACGCACGCTTCGCTTCCTCGCTCAACAACCAGAAGACGACAGCCCAGGCCGTTCGAGATTACGAGAACGAGCTGAAACAACTGCGTAATCAGCAAAAGAAGGACCGCCGTGACGCCGACGAAGTCACCCATGTCATGATTCAAGAATGTCAGGCCTTACTCCGACTTTTTGGTCTTCCATACATCACGGCACCGATGGAAGCGGAAGCTCAGTGCGCCGAACTCGTCCGTCTGGGTCTCGTTGACGGGATCGTCACCGACGACTCGGATATTTTCCTCTTCGGCGGAACACGCATCTACAAAAACATGTTCAACACCGCCAAGTTTGTCGAATGCTATCTCGCGTCAGAGCTGGAGAAGGAATTCCTACTCGATCGACGACGCTTAATCCGCTTCGCGCATTTACTTGGGAGCGACTACACGGAAGGCATCCCAGGCATTGGGCCCGTCACGGCGCTGGAGATCCTCACTGACTTCGAAACCCTGCAGGAGTTCAAGGACTGGTGCTCCCAAGTCCAGCTTGGAAGGCCGCAGGATCTGGAAAACAAGCTTACGACGCCATTCCGGCGCAAATTCAAAAATACCGTGCAGAAACGGCTCTTTCTCCCCACAGGGTTTCCAGATCCGAGAGTCGACGAGGCTTATCTAAATCCAGAGGTCGATTCAAACACTGAGCCCTTCCAATGGGGTGTGCCTGATTTGGATAAGCTACGGTCCTTCCTCATGGTCACGATCGGCTGGTCCCAAGAACGGACGGACGAGGTCCTGGTGCCCGTTATTCGCGATATGAATAAACGTGAGGTCGAAGGTACGCAGAGCAATATCACGAGATTCTTCAGTGGGGGTCTCGGGATTGGTGGACGCGCGAACGGTACTGTTGGCTCCGGACTTGCTGTTGGTGGTGACGGGGCCGGAAATCCTGAAGCCATGGCGCCGAGAAATCGGACGGGTAAAGAGTCGGGACGTATGAGGAATGCGTTCAAGAGGTTGCGTGGCGAGGCAGAGCGGAGGAGGAAAGGGAGAGAACTGGAGGTTGATGAAGAGCAAACATACGAGCTGGACGAGAGCGAAATGGTGGAGGGTGTGGGTGAGCCTGTTGGGATTCCAGGTGACGTTAGCGATGGTAACACAGAGAAAGAGGATGACCATGTGACATCGAACCCGAGAAGGGGAAAGACATCGAAATCGGGACGTACTCGACATGAGGAGAGGAGAGACGGCTCTGGTTTGCAGACTGAAGACCGCGATCTGAGCGAGCAAATGAATTCCTACTCAGATGAAGATGCAGATTTTGCCGCTGACGAGGCGCCGGCGCGAAGCACGAAGTCGCGGTCGAAGTCGAAAACGAAAAGCAACTCCAAATCGAATGCGAGAGGACAGAAAATGAGAAAAGCTACGTAGCTCTTCCTGCTCTCTAGCTGCAATTTTAAAAAAAAAAAAAAATCCCAAGAAATCAAAAGCGCGTTGAAAGGCTACGAGTCCCTCCACCTCCTTTCTCTCCTGGTGATTCCTATTCTCGTTGTGTCTTATATCATTTAGAGATTTCGTAATGTTTTGCCTCAGCTATGCATGACTTTGTTTTTCTGGCTAAATTTGACTCCTATAGTCAGACCTGCGTGACTATTTCGAGTTCATCAGACCATGCTCATCACTATCTTCTTCGTTGGAGCTCGTCTGGTGTTGGCATTTCCGGTCATTCTCGATGGTGAAACAGAGCCCACTATGGACAACATGACCTCAAGGTTCCTCAAAGTTCAGCTCCTTGCATTTGCCAATGCCCATGCCTGTGCCATTTATCCTTGTCATTTTCTTCGCATGCTGTAATCTGAAAATAGATGTCCGACGTCCCTTGCGGCTCTGAGCTCTCTGCCGTTGTTGGGGTTGATTCTCACATCCGTTCAGAAGGTGGGGGATTTATTGAAGTAGTTGCAGTGACAAACTCTCCGGGCATCCAACAAAGAAGCAGCTTGGGTAGCCTTTTCCTATTGACTGATGACCCGATTCAGCTCACTACGGGAGCTTCGGAGCCAATGTGTGCCAGGGTTTGCTTCCCGTGAGATGTGTCTTCATAATTCTGGTGACCTGCTCTGCCCGAAATCGAGGAATGTGCGGAGCACTCTGTTAGAAGTGTGAGAAATCAGGATGTGTTGTATTCTCTTGTCGGAACCGTTCTTTGATGGTGACGTTGCCGGATGAAGAGGACAATTCTAACCCTCCGTCTCGATGGTGCTCAACTATTGGTTTTTGGTGAACTTGAACCTTTTCTGAGCTCTCGGATAGTATGAATCGAGCCTGAGTCTCCGAGGTAGTTTATTTTTGATCCATGCGTGGACAGAGTGGTAGGCTCGTGTGTGGTACTGTACAATGGTGTGTTGTTTGTTGCTATTCAAGCATTGGTAGACTTTACCTGGCTTGAAGCGATAATTCTTCTACATGAAGTCCAAGGACTAATGTTTCAGGGCCTGTCCATTCTTCGATTCAACTCAGGGCACATTGTCGAGCGCTCCCCATCACCCAGGAATGCTCTTTCCCTTAGATAACTCCTCTCAGTGAAATAACTGGTATAACCAAGTATACAACACCAAGGGCACCGATGTTGGGCATGCGACTGTTCGTTAAACCAGTTGAAAATATCGTACCAGTTGGCCGACTTGCGATCAAATGCCGGGTGCATCATCCGTTCAACCCAATACCCTGCACTGCGTGGAACGAAGCGGAAACACGCGCGACACAGTCGTAGAGACTGGGGAATGTAGTGTTTTCTCTCCAGCAAGCGGAACAGGCCATCCTTGTCTCGATAGCCCCGCCACGATGACATGACGTTCTTTTTGCTCGCGATTCTTCCCATGTCTTTGCAGGTCAGTGCCAAGCAGACTTGGAAGTAGGGAATGTTAACTTGTTGGAAGATAAGGGTAAGGATTTCGGAGGGCATTTGGAGTAGTGCGCTGCCGTTTTGAGAGGTGGTGGGGGACTCGAAGAGGATGGGATGAGGGATGAAGAATGGCTCGTAGGAGTCGGGTCGAGAGAGGCTGTCTTGTGGTTGTGAAGGCGGCTCTCGAGGTGCGATCCTGCCACGGAGCTGCTTTATTACCTCCAAAGCCAAGGGCTCGCCGTCATCGGAGGAGGATGAAGACAATCTGGGGATGGGCCCGGCAGGTGAATTTATTAATGAAAGCATGTCCGGCATCATTCGAGCAACATCGGCTCTGGGATCTCTTGGGACTTGAGTCGAAGAGGGCCAGGAGGCGGCCGTTTTGTAGAAGCGAGGGAGTGAGACACGGCAGAGGAAAGAATAGACTGGCCGGTCGGTTTACCGGAAGAGGAAGGTTCGTGTCCGGGGAAGAAAATGCGGGAGGGAGAAGTGAGGGGCGAAGTCCCCTTGGGGGCTAAGCCCGAGGCAATCACATGCAGCAACATGCCGAGAGATTAGATAACTCTGTTCAGGGGCTATTTGAACGTCAGGTCGATGTTGTTGAGATCGCACGCCGCAATGTTGGCATTCCCCATTGGGTTTAGCCTAGTCACGTGCACTGCAGCCTCTCTCAGTCCTACACTCAATAAATAGGCAGACACGAGAGGCCACCTCGCATCCCCCTCAGGCAGGCAAAATCTTCATGATTTGACCCATCATCACATCACCACATGAACCAAACCAAACTGCCGGTAGGGAAATACCTTATTCCGGTACATTGGAGCCTTTGGCGAGAGTTGTCGAGCTGAACTGAGATGCACACCCATTCGATGGCAGTGCATAGTGAGAACAGGAGATGCGCCTGTCACACTCAGAAGAAAGGAACTCGTAAGTGTACTCCATTCAAGTTGGTTGCAGGAAAAGGTGCATCGCACGGGAGAATCAATAATACATATAGCTCGTCCACAAGGGACAGTACGGTGGCCGAGAATATGACAGAACATAAAAGTTGTGAAGAATCAACAATTCGGATCGTGGGCCTAGAAAAGAGAGGCTGAGGGAATTGCAGATGCCCTTGTTCTCAAAAAAAAGATCAGTCAAAATCAAGTCTGGGTTGGAGAGACAGTAGCGTGAAGCAGAGGGAGTTGCAAAAATCACGCACCCTCAAAAAGGAGAAAGGATTTTCCCCAAATTCCTTCCCAAATCACGAAGACCCTTCTGGCAGCTAGCGAGGACACACCATTCTGGCTAACCTTGGTTGATTACGCTGTTCGGCAGAGTTCGCAGGCATCCAACTCTCAGGCGAAGACTCGGACTCGAATCCGACCTGTTCAAAAATTCGAATGTTGCGTGCAAATCGGTCGATCCCGCAGGTCCAGGTCTGGTCAGGACAAATTAGCACCGGGTTAGAAGGCACCAAAGACCTCCGCAGCTTCGGCAAGGTGGCTCCTGCGAACCCGGGTTACCTCCAGAATAGACCCTTCTACTTTCTGCAACCTCCTATCGAAGGGGTTTGTGGAAAATGCTTTTGTCTTTTATTACTTACGTCCTATTTACAGGGCGTGCTGCCGTGAAGCGTTCTACACAAACTTTCTTTTGTTGCTGGAGGTAATTGCAGCAACGAATCCCATTATACATTCTTGTTCTACTGTTGGCTGGCTTGAGTTTCCCTGGCCCAAAGCAAGATCTGGCAGCTCAGTATCTTTCATTAGCGTCGATCCGTGCGGTGCTGGATTGCTGAACATGGGTGGCTCTTTACCTGTTTTGACAGCCTCCAGATGTCAAATAGATTGACATAAGTAGCTTTTCAAGAGCTATCCAAGGATCAGAAAGCATATGGGTATGGAAAAGGCATGTGATCAAATGCCTCTTTGCAATCAGCTGCAGTTGTGGGAACTTCGCTATCGACATTGCCACAAGCTTTGCACAGCTGCTGCTCTTTCACAGCCTCTCCACCGTTGGAACGTACTCAGGAACTCCCTGTCCAAAGGATGCGAGAGCTCGGGCAAGTCCACGGCGAAGTTGAAATCTTTCTCTCTCACATCCATAGCACGGCAAGGTAGGAATCGTGTATAAGAGGTCGATTCCTTCAAGGAAGCTTGATGGAAAAGATTCGATGTCGATGATAAAAGCGATAGGCGTTGGTTTGATTTCTGAGCTGAAATCGGTCAGTACGAATGATAGCTTCTCGTCTAGATGCACTCACAGCGGATGAAAGGGTCTTTGACTGACCATTGATGTTTTTCTTGATGAGGCGATTGCTTCACTCTCAACAATGAACCATGAAGAAATCCCGCTCTATTGCTCTCCGGGGGGTGGGGTTTGGGGAAAGAGGACAATTATAGAGCGTTTCAACTTCTGGGATGGGAAATGATTTGCGTGTCTTTCTTCTAAGGTGTCAATAGCACTGTTTCCCTCCGGTGCCCTGCCATAATGCTCGTGAACGGGGGTGTACATTGAGTGACTGTTCTCTTCGTTCACCAGTTCGTGCCGGGCTAGAGAAATTGCAAAGATAGGAGAGTTGTCTCCCAAGATTGTCGGACAATTTCCGAAGAGCTTTATTGAACCATACATGCAATTTGCAATTGGCACACATGTGTCGAAGCCGATGTGGAGGTATCTCCTGAATCTGTGTTCGCTTCCAAGGAGAAAATATAGCTGTCACTGTTTGCTTTGTTGCCGGGCATGTATTGCCAGCTATGCCGCCGGACTGACACAATGGCTCTCGAAATCACCGTCGCGCTGGGGCATTCCGATGGTCAAGATTTCCATGCTAGCTTGGCTGGTTGGTAGGGGACTGTAGCAACATGACAGTAATTGTGTTCCCATGTCTTCATCAAGGAGCTTTTCTCTCAGTTGGTTACCATGAGTACCGCCCCGGTAGAGAACATTGGATCAAAGAAATGCTCAATATGCCCGGCTTCGCATACATTGATAACTTTGTCATCATTCTCTTCATTGCTATTGCGTCAGGGCATTTATGGGCCAGTCAGAAATTGTGAGCAACCAAACCACGTATTGCATATTGACCAGTGTCTTCACTCTTTTGGATATCACCCGGATCCGAGGCCTGTGTTTTCGCCTTCACGAGGACCACAAGTAAGTGCGAGGCAATCAAGACTTAGACAAGTCTGAGTGGTAGACGACGTTGTTATATTCTATGAGGGATTTCTTAAGGAGTCTGTGGACTGCGAAGAGATAATGGCACATTGGCCCCGTTCCTGGCTCTACAGACTGGGACGGATAAGGCACAAAGGAAGGACAGAATAGGGGCACAAGGCTGAGACTGAACCTTGAGCCCCTATTGGTGTCAAGAGGGACAGGGCCCTTCTGCCCCGTTGACGTCTGCGGAGGAACTTTGGGTCTTCCGCTGAAAGTCCTCGGCGGGGTGACAAGGCCATTCCTCGCCAAATCACCAAAAGATCGCGCACCTCTCCGTCTGACCGCATTTGGCCGTTTCTCCTCGACTATCTCACATCTGTCGCCAGTTACCACCGTTACAGAGTAATTTCTTCAGGATGGCCGACTCTCTCTCTGAGCAAGTCCCGCCGGAGGAACAACCCGAGTCGGAATCTGAGGCAGAGGTACAACCACAAGATGGCGCTGAAAATACACAAGATTCTCCAAGCGTCGCGGCTGCAAAATCCAAAAAGAAAAAGAAGAAACCAAAGAAATCCAAGCTGGTCTCTGCCATCACCGGCCACAAATCCCCCGAAGCTGCAGAATCCTCGAAACCCGCAGCCAAATTACCTGATGATTCCTTAAAGACTCTTCTCGATATGAATCCTTCCCTCAAGGGTGAACTGTCCGGCCTCCCTCCTGAAAAGGCACATGAAATGTTGAAAATGATGGATATGTCACAGTTACTCGGTGGGATGTCTTTGAATGGCAAGAATCAAAAAGATATGGCTTCACACAAGTTCTGGGGAACTCAACCGGTGGTTCGATTTGATGATAAACAAGATAGCGACAAACCAGATGGCCCTATCAAAGAGGTCATCCCGGAGCTGGTTCCTAAGACGGCCGCTCCTCTTCCTGAAGGCTACGAATGGGTTGAGCTCGATTTGACCAATGAGGATGAAATTAGAGAGGTTTACAAACTTCTCTCTTTACACTATGTGGAGGATGACCACGCCATGTTTCGGTTCAACTACTCTGCCGTTTTCCTGGACTGGGCTTTGAAGTCGCCGGGATGGAAAAAGAGCTGGCATATCGGTGTCCGGGCCAAAGGTCCAAATCGGCTTCTAGTTGCCAGCATCTTCGGCATTCCCATCAAACTCAGAATAAGAGAAAATATTCTGGACGTGGTGGAGATTAATTTCATGTGCGTCCACAAAAAGCTGAGATCCCGGAGGCTAGCGCCAGTGCTCATCAAAGAAGTCACGAGAAGATGTCATCTGGAGGGGATTTATCAGGCGATCTACACCGGTGGTGTTGTTCTCCCGACGCCTGTAGGCAGTTGTCGTTACTTTCATCGAAGTCTTGACTGGTTGAAGCTTTACGAGGTCGGCTTTTCTCCGCTCCCACCCAACAGTACACCGGCCAAGATGATTGCTCGAAATCAACTACCGCCAGAGACCAGCACACCAGGATGGCGATTGATGGAAGAGAAGGATATTGATCCAGTGCTGGACCTGCTCTCGCGATATCTGTCGCGATTTGACCTCGCGCAACAATTTTCCAGAGAAGAGATTGAGCATTGGTTCTACAACCGACAAAAGCCTGAAGACCAAGTCGTTTGGTCATTTGTCGTCGAACAAGATGGCAAGATCACCGATTTCGGAAGCTTCTATTGTTTGGAGAGCAGCGTTATCGGCGATGCGAGCAAGAAGCATGACAAGATCCGAGCAGCATATCTCTATTATTACGCGACCGAGCAAGCGTTCAATCCGAAGGAAAAGGGTCTGAAGGAAAGGCTTCTCCAAGTAGTCCAAGATCTGCTCATTGAAGCTAAGAAGGTGAGTCCAAATACGCTTAATCCACGAGATAATCCTGACGATTGGCAGGCCAAGTTCGACGTTTTCAACGCCCTGACTCTTCACGACAACCCAATGTTCCTGGAGCAGCTGAAGTTCGGTGCTGGCGATGGTCAATTGCATCACTACTTGTACAACTGGCGGACGAAACCGATAAATGGAGGTGTCAATGCGAAGAATATGCCTGACGAGTCGAAGCGGGGTGGTATTGGTATTGTGCTTCTGTGATGGAGAGTTGTAGTCACCAGCTCTGATGCCTGGAAAGATGGAGCCCGGATGTTGGACTGCTGGAATAGACTTGCACCATGCTGGATAGGAAGGATATTGGGCTGGTCCCTGTGGACGACTGATGGGCTCATGATGGCACAGACAAATGACTCTCAAGCGACTGAACGAGTGATGGTACTTCTACGGCACTCCATGACTCTCGTGACGAAATAAGCCATGATTTATTTTAGCACGGTCCCAGGTAAATGGGAATCAAAATGAGAACCAAATCCACTGGGCCAATTCAGATCTTTTGTACGGCTAAAGTCACTCCATCTCAGAATCTAGGGACTTTCTTTCGTGTCAAAGGGGAAGCGGGATATTTTCCATATATCTTGACCACTCTTCTGGTCTCGACTCGTCCAAATCCATCGATGTTAAAGCGCTGTCGCTTAGCATTGGCCCGTGCCCGTTTGTACAGGAGTTGTGATTTTGACTTCGAAGAGCAGACCGATCCTCCCCCTTTTTTCCGTACTCTTCTTTTCCATTGCGGACGTAGCTCTAGTCATTCTTCAGGAGCGTGATTCTCCATCGCTCGTGAGAGGTATGGCGTCCCGCTGATCGTGGTGAAACGTGCATATATGTGACGACGAGCTATCACCTGAGCCTTCCTTCGCTCGTCGACATTGCAAGAGCTTAATGAATGGGAGCTGGGCATTGCGTAGATCTAAACATCACGAGAGGAGGACGGCCGTTGCTATAAAGAATTTCGTCCCAAGCTCTATACCGTATCGATCGCATGTTCGAAGAAGCGTTTCGGGCCCTTTGTCGAGAGAAATTTCATTTTATTTATTTCCCTTGTCGCTGCTTATGCTTCGGGTTCTTGTCGCAGATGATATAGACTCGATTCTTGCGCCGAACAGCCTATATTGCGATCATGTTTTGTTAGCGGATAAAGACAACACTGTAGTTACGTACGAAGGCCGGAGAAGTATACCTTGCATCCTTCACAAAGCCTCTTTACCGATGAGCGGGTTTTCATGCCTCGGAGTTGCATTTGCACTTGAGTTTGCATTGTGAGTGTCGAGCGGAGTGTTGGTGATCGCGGCTTCACAGAACAGCTTGTGAGGATGTTGGATGAGGGCGTTGGTATGCGAATAAAGTTTGGTCTGGAAGTGCTGAGGAAGCGAGTCTGCCGGATCACAGAGCTCAGAAAGGTAACGCGCGTGGACAAGAGTGTTCGTGAGAACATGGTGATTGCTGGGTTGTTTTAATGAAATGGATGATTTCAGATTGAAAACTAGAGGGGGCACAAACCCCCAGGCCTCACTTCGTTCGAGATTGCCAAGCCTTTTCCATCACGTGACTGGATCGGTCGTACGACCCCATACCGATTCACGTTATTGGCCAATCCTTTGCGATCTGGAAAATCTATAATCCGACAACTACCAAATCCTTTGCTCTGATTGGCTGACCCCATCGGATCCAGTCCATGGCCCACCACGGATAGGTAGAATGCCGCCGTAATCCGGAGAATCTATAATCCGACAATTACCTAATCTTTGCTCTGATTGGCTGACCCCATCGGATCCAGTCCGTGGCACACTCACCTTTGTCTGCCACACCGCCCTGATCGGATCCAGTCCATGGATCATATATAGACGATGTTGATCACGGTGTCCCGTGCCGTACGATATCCTCCATCGGATCCAGTCCATGGACCATATGTAGACGATGTTGATCACTATGTGTTTTATGGGGCTAGCCCCCATACCCCCCGGCCTCACTGCGTTCGGAGGTCCTGCTGTCGGGCCCTTCTCTTTCTACCTTGTCACGACAGGCCGTACAGGTGGAAAATACCTTGCTCCCTGGGGTGGCCGAGGCATCTTTGAGAAAGAAAGAGAGAGAGTAGGCGCTTTTGAAAACAGACCGTATACCCATCGCGAGATCATGTGATTGTGCATTTTCTCGGCCAATCAGAGACGACTCAAGTCACGTGAGCAAATTTGATCCCTAGGTCGCGGGCGCTCCGCTTTAAATTTCCCGCCGAATTTGGCGGTCAGTGCCGCCGCTTTGGGAGGGTTTCTTCCCTCGATGCCAAGATTGCTTCCCTGGTCCCTTCCCATCTCAGAGTCGAGCGGGAACGGGTTGAGGGGGCCACTTACGAATCTTTCCGCTCGCCGTCTTGGGATATTCGGAGACAAAGAAGACATATTTCGGCACCAAATGATGGCTCATACGTTCCTTGACCCAATTCCTCACCTCTTCAACCGTGATATCCTTTTCACCTGGTGGCAAATGGTCCGCCAGCCGACGCTTCGCCGTATCTGCAACTTCTCACGCGTCACTCTCCCGCGTCTTCATCTAGTGCTGTGTCCCTTCCTCGCCGCCATTTCTCTCTTACTGATCTGCCTTTGCTATAGCGATGATCGGCCGCCGGCCTGTCGACCTGTTCAGGCGCTGTACCAGGCTAACAAATCTCTCACTTCATTTTCCTCAAGCTTGCCCTCCTCTACCCCGCCCCTACAGTCGAATTCCTCTCGTGGTAGCCCGCCCGAGTTCCACTTCGTCATCGAATCCTAGCTTATACGGGTGCTACTAGGAGTTTCACTAAGAGACTACTCCCATCGCGGTGAGTTTTGACCGGCTGCGCGCAAACGCGACTTTCGGCGCCGTAAGGCTGAAGCCTTTCGTTTGATGGACCAAGTGAGCTTAATCCTCACCTTCATCGAATTCTCTGCAAATCTTGCCAAAGGAATCTATGAAGTCTATGTATCAATAACTGGAACTACGCTAGAGAACAGTCATATTGGCACAGTGATTGACGATCTCCAAAACATTACTAAGACCAAGCATGCTAAAGCTCTCTGCTAGCTGGCTGAAAACGTTACCGACCTTTCGAAAGAACATCTGAGGATCCTGAAAAGGCTTCAGGTAACCGAAAAGAATTCAAAATGGCAGAAGCAGTGATCGAGAAATTTCTTTCTCGGACTTCTATTGCGTGTACATGTCTGGGAGTGCCTCAAAACCGGATCGGATGTTTGCCAGTCGTTTCACTTGCCGGGTGACCAGAGTATTCACTCAGAGCGAGAGGGCGAGCATCAACAGAACTATGGGTCCTAGCACCATCATTCGCCAGTATGGCTCGCCGGGAGAGAATTTGGACGTCGGTGCGGCGCTCGGGAATTCGGATGGCGTTGCAGATGCTTGGCTGATTGGAGTGACCGTCATAGTGGCGACTAAGGAGCTCGTGGCGGCTGATTCAGGGAGGACGAGGGTCGCGCTGTTTGTTAGGTCAGAGCCGTATATCGTTGTGGTACTATTGGCTGCAACGGGCATGATGATTGTTACTTGAGACCACCCAGATCCCGTGATGGTGGTTCCTGAATAGATTGTCGTTGGGATCGTGGCGGTCGTGGTATATGGAGATTCGGACAAGGGTGTTGACGATGGCGGAACCGATGTGGGAGATGTCGGGGTGGTCGCCACGGTGGTTGTGACGGACATCTGTGGCCCTGTGGACGACAGAGGAGTGGAGCTCTTTGGCGCGACAGTCGTCGAAAATGTTGACGATACGACGCTGTAAGTTGACCCTGCAGCGTTCATCGTCGGAGTCGTGACAGACGTGGTTACCGCCACTGTCGAGTACTGATCACAGTAATCGAGGAATTGCTGGAATTGTGGTGCGATTTGCACGAATGTGCCGCTGTCATCAGTCTTGTGATATGTGATGCACTCTTCACATTGCTCCAGGGAGACTTCGAATGCTGACCCCGGAACGCATAGGGCAGACGTTTTCCCATTGGCTTGGGCTTCCAGGAGACAGTTGTTACACCATGGATAACAGGCTCCGGGGATACTCGTTTGAGCTTGTCTGGCACCTACGGTAGGTGTGGGTTCAATGATCGTCGTGGATGTAAGAGTGAGGACTTCATCGACGACGAAGATTTGATATCTGGAGCCCGAAATCACCCGGGGCCATGTTGAAATAAGAGTCGACGGCGTTGAGGGTGAGGCCAGCGTCCCCGGCTGGTGTCGAATTTCCATAGATGCTGTCGTCCCATGTTGGAAGTGGGCTAGGTAAAGCTTCTATTGGGATACATTCATTCGGACTGCAGTAGAAGTTTCGATCCGGAAGGCCAACTTCAAAGTTGCAATTTTCTCGAGCGGGCTTGCAGAGCCAGCCGGGCGGACATCCCCATCTGTATAGAGTACAAGTCAGAACGGCCCAGTACTATTATGCGCGTCTTAAGAAGACATGGCGTGGAAACGATAGTAAGGCCCTTTGATGGAGCAAGGTGAATCGGGGAATTGGGTGTAAGAAGCGACATCTTGGTTAGACCCTTGACATTTTCTCAGTCCAGTTGGTTGGGGGAGTACTTACGTCCAGTCGGTAGGGAATGGTTGGACGGCAGTAAAGGTTAGGTTGACGATTCGAGATGGGCATAATGTTATGCTCGTCACTCTAGATGTAGTTGTGTATGGAAATATTTCCTTGGTCGCTGTGGCGGTGGTAGGACTAGGTGACACGGTAGTTGACGTCTCCGCCACTATCTCAGTCTACATACGTCAGCAACTCAAATCTACCGTGTGAGATGTATTGGACGAACCGAGGTGAGGATGTTCGTAGAGATTATTGTCCGATAAATAGTGATCGACTGAGTAGTTGTGTTGAGGAAGGAAGCGGTCGCCGTCGTCGTCATAGGCACATACTGAGTGACATTGAGAAAGACAGTAGGCAATGGTGGACAGCTGTAAACAAGAGTGTCGTTAACTGTGGAGTTATGGATGTAGTCTGGTGGCCGTCCCGGAGAAGGTGTGACAGTGACAGCCTCGCTTGAAGACTGGGCACATGTTGTCGAGATTGCGAACGAAAGCGCAGTGAGAAGGCTGATCGGTGGGTACATTTTTCCTGTTATTTTCCGTTTTTGTTCTCTCGAATTTCACTACAGCGCACTCCTAGTACGACTGGTCGTATACATGAAGGCTGAACGAATGAACCTGGTCCTTTGAACGAGAGGTGGATCCAAAAAGAAAATGAGGTCAAACGAAGAGAGTGAGAGCTTCTCGAACTGGCGAACTCACCGTCAGGATTTTAGATAGCGAAGGTGAGATCAAGTCCGGCCGGAAAAGAAGACTTGCCGTCATTGAAGAGACTTAGAGCGCCGAAGTAGCCAGATATCTATTCTTCGTGCTAGCCTGATCGTTGATACGCCACATGGCCATCGATTTTTTATTTTTCTCTGAGATCCTTCGCCCATTGTTGGTTGAATGAATATGCGGGTTTGTGACGTTCCTCTCTTTGGATCAAACTCTGCCGTTGCCAGATGCAGATAGTGACGCGCCAATCAATGATAATCAGCGAAGTGACCTGGCAAGCGTAGGGAGGGATGAAATAGAGGTAGAAGATAGAGTGGGAGAGCAGAGACATTGCTTCTAGAGCCGGCTTCCGCTAGTAGGTGGATTCTCTCCGCCAGCCTTGAGCCGACCTTCCCATCGTCTGGCTCGTCCCTATCTACTCCCCCCGGTCTGTTTCATTGCCAAAAACAGGTTTTGCGGCTGATGGAACATGCTCGCTGTACCGCCTTCACGCTTGTCTCGGCCTTGGCTGGTGCAAAGTTCGCTTAGACGCAAATCATGACAGTGACGCTGCTATTCAGAGGCTGAAAAATCCCGGAATCGACGTTGCTCGTTCCCTGTCTGAGTCTTGATGGTCCTTGATCAGCTTTGCTTGTTTCTCTTCCTCATGCCATGGCATTCACTTCTGTTGCCTGGTCTCACGGATGCAGCTCAGCTGGTGTTATCTTTGCTGCGTGCGCACATACCCTGGGTTCCATATCAGCTCATCGGTGTGAGCTCATGATGGCGTCGAGACCCTGAGCTTTAAGCATTGGGTATGTCCTACTTGCACCAATGATAACACCAGCTTCGTGGAGATGATAGTTCCTCAGGTGGCAAAATTCAACTTGGTGACAGTCGTAAGCATCGAGGTAGGTTTTCTCTGGAACACAAGTCAGTCGCTCCTATTGATGGTGGAAGGGGAAAAAAAGAAAAAAGGAAAAAAAAAGGAAGAAGGTAATGCCCGTAATTTCAGCCAGGACACAGTCTCTTGTTATTATCTTTGGAATTATTTCATGCTATTGCAATTGAAAACCTACGCAATAGACATGACCACCTTTCCGAAGTGGTTCGCCATGATATCGCATTTCCAAACAGCCCTAGTTGCAGCGCTGCTGCTTGGAACAGCGAATGCAGTGTCGGTTCAAGAAAACTACACGACATGTAATTGGGCACGATTGAGAGCCGGAGTCATACGAGATGCGCTGTATCTTGATGGAGGACAACTTTGGTGGCAGACTGCATTTGCTGATGGAACCACCCCCATTGTGAGCAGTGATGGAAATGTAGCTGGGGACATGCTTCGTTTGAATTTTTCAATACCATTCGATACTACCAAAACTAATGTGTCTGGTCTGTTCGAACGAATGTCGAAAGCGGGTGGCGCCGGCAACAACATTGCTCCCAATTATGTCGATGGGACTATGTTGGGTGCGCCAGACCTCGACCGTGTCTGGAATCAATGCTGACTTGTTTAGTGGTCTTCCTCGCCTCACAGATTCCGTCTCCGCTCAAGGCGCCGATGCAGTCCTAGGCTACGAAGCCTTTCAACATGGTCCAGACCAACAAAGCTGGAGCCCTGGTTTCTACCAAGGAAGTCTTCCAGATGGTGTCACAAGATACGTCGCAAACGGAGCTGGAGTTTCGGCGCCAAGTGAGAATCTAAGATTTTATTTCAGCGGGATGAGGTCTCCGGACTGGGGACCGACCTATTATGAAGATTCCTCAGCGAACCAAACTGCGAACACCCTGATAGAAGTTGATATGTCGACCATGAGAAGTGAAAAATGGACCAGTAATACCCTTCCAGACCACGTCCAACCACGAGCCAATGCAGAACTCGTCTGGATCCCGGTATCCGACAAAGGTGTATTAATCGCAGTAGGCGGTGTTACCTCACCTGAAGAGGTTTGGGCTTCAGGTCTCAACGATTCGCAAATTTCAGAAAGCGAGGCAGAGAGTCCGAGTTTCATGACATCCTTACCGGTCGACGACATTGCTTCTGGCACATGGTACATACAAAACACCACTGGCGACGGCCCTGGGCAATTGACAGAATTCTGTTCCGTGATGGCCACGGCCAAAGATTCATCCTCTTTCCACATCTACATTTACGGAGGCTACGATGGGCTCAATTCAGGTGACGTCCCATCTGATAATGTCTGGATTCTCTCCGTTCCTTCCTTCACATGGATCAAGGCATACAGTGGAAACGGTTCTCATGGTCGCTCAGGACATCGTTGCGTCACTCCATATCCCGATCAAATGATCGTTGTCGGTGGTATTTACCAGAATCAAGCTCTTTGTGTCGAAGGTGGAATCATCCAGATCTTCAACCTCAACAAGCTCGAGTGGCAGAATACCTACGATCCTGAAACTTGGTCGGAATATGAAGTCCCTGCCGTCGTCTCCAAAGCCATAGGGGGCAATGCTCAAGGAGGCTCCACCAAGACTGCCTCCTGGTCTGACAAGGCTCTCTCTGGAATCTTCGCTCAGAGGTACTCCAGACCAATAACCCATTACTACCCTTACCAAACAAACGGGTCGCCAACCGATTCTTCTGGAGGAGATGGCTCTGGGGGAGTCACCCGAGGCGCCATCATCGGCATTGGTATCGCCACTGCTCTCATCTTCATCCTGGCTTCGACCCTGATCTTCCTTCTCGTCCGCCGCCGCCGCATTATCCGCAGCGGCTCATCCGAGAAATCCTCTCATTCCAGCAACAGCCTGATCTCACGCTGGATGAACGGCGCCTCATGTGGTCCGGGTCCAAAATACCAATCGACCTCTTATCCGGAAGTCCAACAAGTCCCCTATTCCTCGATCGAGGAGGAGCCGACACCACCACTCCAACCGCAACGGCATGAAATGGCCAGCACTGAGCGTCCGAAGCCTCCGTACGAACTCGCCACGCCATACAACAATCTCGACCACCCCCGCCATTCGGGCATCGTCGACTATGCGTACAATGCTAACTATGGACATACACATTCGAACTCAAATTGGAATTCCAACTCGAATTCCCCAGGCGGATGTCAACCTTCGCTCCTGACTGCTGGCCTCGGCGGCACCGGGCGCGGCGCATCTGCCTCACCACTACATCGTGTCCGATTCCCACCACCTGCAGACGACATCTCCTACTCAAGCCACGACTCGACATCGACCGGGACTACCCGGATGCTCGCCTGGCCGTTCCCCGCGATTCAGAACTTGGGGCTCAACAACCACGCCCAGCAGCATCATCATTGGCTCGGCCATGGCCGAAGCAGCTCTGTGCAACCTATCATGGAAAAAGCTGAGGGTAAGGAGTCTAGAGACCAGGACGACGGCGGTGGGGAGAAATACTCGCACTATCACGCCAACGAGTCAGCGAGCGGCGGGATAGGAACGTTGCCATCCCCTGGATTTACGAGCGATGGTTATGGTTCAATGTCCCGCGATGAAGAGCAGAGACGGAGTCCATTTGAGACAGTCAGTCCTGTTAGTCCGAACGGTGGTTAGACGTTAAATCCATTCGTCAACAGGCTTCTGCTCCCGGAAAAGTAAAATGCGGCCGGCGGCGAGACGTGAGATTCTTTTTCTTGTACAGGTGCTTTGGACTCGGTTATACTTATTCCTCCTTTCTTCTCTTCCCGATGTGATATATGACGAACAGTGAACACGAATGCGCATCTTGCGTTCGTAAATATACTATCGCGATTTTATTTCCTCCCACCCGTGCTGACGAGGCCGTATCTCATCGAGTCTATCGAGATATATTTTTTGTACTCGGTTTCTATTTTCTCCATCAGTTGAATGATTCCTTGTCAAAGTTTGTCCCTTCCTATTCAGAATCGGCGCTTTCTAATACTTCTAGAAAGCCGCCTACCAGGTGTAAACTTCCTGTAACCAGAGCGGTGACTTCTTCGCCCTCGCCCTTCTTTGGTTTTTGACTCGCGAACTCTCGTACAAAGGATACGGCCTCTTCGATGGTTCGGACCACTTCAACTTGAGCCGGCGGATCGATTTTCCTCCATGTCTCGGCGAGAGTTTTCTGGACTTTCAGCGCCTCCACATCTGAGGTGTTGGCGTTTACAGAGACTAGATCGGGCCGGAAACCTGTTTCTTTGAACGTCGTATTGGTGCAGAAGATGGCATGCGTGAAGGGATGTGAACCATGAAGAGCCGTGGATAACGTGTTGAACAGCGCTGTCGCGAGGGAAGCAGCGTCGCGGGTCTGTTGGTTGAAAATTAAGAAACGAGGCTCAGGAGAAGATGTCTTGGTTGTGGCGAGCTGAGAAGCAAACCATTTTCCTGCCAGCTCGATGCTTTCGAGAGTGTGTCCACCATCGATGCACCATCGAAGTCCGGGTTCATGCCGCGTTTCACATCGTCCTGGCCATCGGACGGTTTCTAGTCCGCGTCGGATTTTCTGCTCCGATTCATCATTAGCAGCATAACCATGCTGCTCCAAGAATTGTTTTGCAATGGCGACGGCGAGACTAGCGTTGGTCTTTTGAAAATCTGCCTGGAGCCCGAGTTTCGTGTCGCCATTGGCAATAGCTGGGTCAATGTCCACGTATTCTAGCGCACTTCCTTTCTCCTGCGCGACTTGTGCCATCACATTTTTGGCATCTTCAGGTTGGCCACTAGGAGTGAGGCATTTGGTTCCACTCTTCATGATTCCGGATTTGTGCCATGCGATTTCACCGATTGTTGAACCGAGGATTGCGGCATGGTCAATTCCCAGACTCGTGATTCCCGTGACGGCGGGCGTCTCAATGATGTTGGTGCTATCATAAGCGCCACCAATGCCACATTCAATCACGGCAGTATCGACCTTTTCACTCATATATGTGTGAAAGGCCATCAGGGTCAGAAACCTGAAATAGACCGGTTTCGTACCGGGAGCCTTTGGGTCTTCTCCTGCCACGTTGGCAGCTTGCTCGAGACGATCCCACACTTCAAAAAAGTACCGGGCAAACTGTTTCTCGGAAAGGGGCCGTCCGTTTATCTGTATCCTTTCCCGAACAAAGCGTAGATGGGGAGATGTGTACAAGCCAACTTTTGATAGCGATGATGATCCCTTGTCGTCAATAAACTGCGTTAAGATCGAGGAAGTGAACGCTGCTGTAGACCCTTTCCCCTTCGTCCCCGCTATGTGTATGGCATTCAATGCATTCAGATCCGAGGGCTACCGAATTCCGAGTCAGTCGTGGGAGAGAATTCTCTCGTGGACGTCGACGGGCTCAATTGTCGCATACTTCATATCCAATCTTACGGCACCACCCGATCATTTCTGGGATAGCCTGGTCGTTCATCTTGCGGCCCGATTTTCGAATCGCATCAACGATGGCAAAATTGGACTGGAGTGTATTTAAAGATGCAATAGCATCCTCCATGGAGTCTGTCAGTCTCGAGATCCATGCATCAAATCGTGGTTGTCACACTCACGGCGTATGTTCGCTCCATGGTTGTTGCGCTTGTCGCAAAGCCCTGAATGTGAAGGCTCCTGTGAATTGAGGTCCTTGAGGTCCATCTCTGCATCATAAGCTAGGCATGACCATCGTCAAGGGCTAAACGATGAGAAATATTTTCGGCCTTTGCGAGCGTGGGACTTCTTGTTGGTACGGTGGATTCGTTGGCACTTGGGCGCAGTTCCTTTATCTGAATCCATCCCGTCCTCCATCTCGCCTCTCAATACTTCCCAGGACGTGGATAAAAAGTAGTAGATAAAGATGGGTCAATCCCAGTCATCAGAGCCACCGAGGGAGATCCCCATAGGTAAGTCAACGAATTAGTCAGTCCTGGCTGTGTGGTCTGATATCTGGGCCATCCAGAGCAACTGAGCCATGAGCTGGCCCTTCGCTTTGCATCCAAATGCTACACTCATCTAGAGATCGCTCATTACAAAGACAACTTCAAAACTCTAGCCGATCATCAAGAAGATGTCGAGTTTTGGAAGGAAGACACGCTGTGTGGCTTCCTCGCCCTCCCAGAGCCTCTCCAAGCAGGCCCTGTCCTGTACCAGATGTGTACATATCTGGGAGCCTTCCCATTTCCCAGCCACGCTCCATGTATACTGACCAGAGAAGCCATGTTGAAGGTGGTCACAATCATGACCGGTAGGTACAAGAAGGTATTGAAAAGGGGCGATCAGGATAAAGTCAAGCTCCTGTTCCGGAGTATGGCAGTGTTCGATCGGAGTGCTAGCATATCTTCACCTCAGGGGAAACTGAACATGGAAGACGTTGTCAATGAACAACCGTCAGGTGACACGTTGAAGGAGCGGGGAGTTGAAAAGAAGGGAATCAGCTCTCATGCTACAGGATTCGCCATTGACGAGCCTGCCAATGATGACGAAGAGGAAGATGATGATGATCTTGCCCTCGCCGCTCTTGATTCACTTGATGCCATCGAAGTCTTCAAGCAAGACCAGCGGGCAGATCGCAAGATCCACCATGCGATGATACCTGCAGAGAATCTAAAGAAGCTGATAATGCTGTTGTTGCTTATTGCTGGGATCGAGCCCGTGACTCCAGTGGTCAGTTACGGAGCCAATTTAGATGAAGAACGGCTTCAGGCTCTCAACGTGTCTGCTGATGCCATCATTGCGGCCTTTGACCCAGAGCCGCAGAGCAAAGGCATCAGATATTCTAGTTTCGTCAAGGCAATAGCAACGACCTTGCCCGATTTGTTCGAGCCTTTCAACTCCCTGTTCGAGCACTTTCTATTCAGCAAGAATATCAACCTCAACAAGCACCGCGATGCTCCAGAGATCGTCCCCGCCATCGAACCGCAAGAATCTCCGATATATCGATCACCCGATGACAAGAGTTACTCCATCTTCACCGACACCCTGCTGTCCCAACTGTCAATGTCTCTCAAAGTCTTCACCCCTTCAGGCTCTCTGTCAAACATCTACACTTCTGGCGCAAAATTCAATCAACTCTACTCGACATTCTCGCACGGCACCTCTCTCAGCTCCTTCTCCCGTCACGTCCTCTCCTGGCAATCGAGCACTCTGGTCCTCATCTCGGGCAATCTGCCAGACAGCGCCCACGAAACCATTATTCTGGGCGCCTACCTTCCCGAGCGTTGGCACGACCCGAGTTCAGGCACCAGACCAGCAACCTCACTCGACATTTCGGGTCCCAAAGCGTCTCTCTTCCAACTTCAACCCCGCCAGGCCATATTCCCTGCAAATCCGTCCAATCGCACGACATCGGTGCCGTACTTCTCCAGCAAGACTGGCATCGCTCTAGGCTGCGTGATTCCACGGCAATCGCGCACACACGCGGCACCGCCACTCCCGATCCTCGGCCCCGTCAGTCTGCTAGTCGACGGTGATATGTCGATCGCGGCATTCCAGCACGACGGGAACGCAGGAAGTGGGGCGTTTGCGACAGATTCAGGCCTCGAGACCGCACAGATCCGTCACCGGGAAACCACCCAGGCGAAAAAGGTCGAGTTCGAAATCGATACTCTAGAGGTTTGGGGCGTGAGTTTTCCCTCAGACGGGGGCGAGGATGAAATTACGAAGCAGAAAAAGCGGCTGGCGTGGGAAGAGGCGGAAGCTGCGAGAAGAAAAGGTGTGAATTTTGGCGGGGATAAAGATGGTGCGAGAGCCTTATTGGAGATGGCGGGTCTCGTGGGCGACAAGGCTGGGACTCGGAGTGGCGGGTCGGTGTAACCCAGAGATGAGAAAAGGCCCTAATAGCACGTGATTGCACTGAGGCGTGGGCAGACAAGGCAGGGAAATGATGTTTAAACACTGTCTAAGCATTAGAATGTGTCGATAAACAAGAGCCGGCGGCCGCCGGATTGCTCTCCAAAAAACCCTTCAGGATAGTATACCACAAAAAGGCGGTCTTGAACATGGACGAAAACAAAGATCATGTCTCCGTGTTTCTTCTCGATGCTTGTCTTGAGTGTGTCTGGTCCAGCGGTGGTCGGATCCCCCGGTCTCGAGTTCAACTTCCAGATATCTCTCCTGATCCAATTGTGATCGCCAAAACCATCCTTATCCAGCTTCCCGCCCCGACCACGGCCTTCCCTTTCCTTGCGCCTGCTAGCTGAAAACAGAAAATGAACACATGGAATGGATGGAGGAGTATCTGGCGCTCAACATTGGCAATTTCCTGCTCCTTGAGTGCCGGTTGATTCTGGTCGTAGGTCTACTCCTGGTCGGGGGTTCGATCTCAAACTGCGAGGTCCTGCTTGGTCGAGAGGGAGTTTTTTGGCAATAGCCGTGAATAGTTCACGAACGTTGGTCGAGGTTTTGGCTGAGGTCTCGAAGAAAAGTAAACCTGCCTCTTTGGCATAGGCTTCTGCGTCTGCGGTCTGAATCGCGCGTTTATCGGGGTGTTCGTTGACAACGTCCACCTTGTTACCGGCAAGGGCAATGACGATGTTCTCATTGGCTTGTCTTTGCAGCTCTTTCACCCACGATTTGGCTTTGTCTAGTGATGACTGGATGACAACATTAGCGATGATAATCTCAGCGATGACGACGACGAAGAAGAAGAAGCGAATGAAACGTACGGCCTGGGTGACATCGTAAACAACTACAGCACAATTGGCATTTCGGTAGTACATGGGTGCCAATGACTTGTATCTTTCTTGACCAGCAGTATCCCATATCTCAAACTTGACCGTCGTGTTCTCATCCAGTGATATCGTCTGTGTCAGGAAGGCAGCACCGATTGTGGACTCGCGATAGTCATCGAAGTGATCTTTGACGAACCGAAGGACTAACGAGCTCTGGGGAGATGTTAGGTATGTGGGATTGTCAGAGTTCGATGGAGACAGTACCTTTCCTACAGCAGATTCACCTGGATGGCCATTAGTTGATTGTCATCGTCAATCAGATAGTCCTCCACATACCGAGAAGCACAAGTTTGAATTGGGCAAACCTGCCGCCTGGGCCAGGTCGGCCTGCGGGAGCTCTGGCGGCCATGCCTTTGGGTAGTCCAAGACCGGAATGGCTATAAAGCTCGTACCCCAGAGAAAGGAAACGAGCTTGGAAACACTGGTACGTCGTTCAAGGGTCGTCCTGGGTTGTGAGATCGAGGATGTTAGATGGCAAATTTACAAGTAGTGTTAAGTGGTGTACCCTTGCGCCGCAGTCCGAAGCGTGATGTGAAAGCCAAGGATGACGACGCAGGGAGCCGGAGCAATCTCAACTATGGTTACGGTAAGACTTCAAAGCGTCGACGATTCCGTCGCCGCAGTCACTCTCTTCTTCGATTATTCACCTTCACTCTTTGTTGTCAGATCGTCTTTTTGGGCCCAAAGTATGATCCGGTAACAAGCCCAAAGACGCCCTTCACAGCGACGTCGGGATCCTATACGCCATGGCAAACCTTCTGCCTTTTCGAGACATCAATATCCACGCTTCGACAAGCCTCTATGCCTTCACTTCGCCCTCCACTCCCTCTGCGCCGACCCTCGTTGTGGAAAGACCTTCTGGGGATATTAGGCTGAATGATGGGTCTCTCCTGGGGCAAAAGCGTGTCTCGAGCATTGCCGGTATTTTGGGGATTATCAAGCTGAAACTGGACAAATATGTCATTGTCATTACCAAGGCTCAGCCGATGGGTCGACTACGAGGCCACATGGTTTACAAAGTCATGGCCACCGAGTTCCTCCCTCTGCGAGAACGACCGGTACATGACCCTGACGAGGATACCTATCTGTCATACCTCAAGGCCTTGCTCGCCTCGGGTCCGATGTATTTCTCGTACTCCCTGGACGTCACTTCCAACTTCCAGCGCCAGTCGCAATCGGATTTGTCACAGCCGCTGTGGAAAAGAGCCGACGACCGGTTCTTCTGGAACAGATTCATCCAGACCGACCTCATTGATTTCAGGACCGGAGGTGGAGCGGCGGGTGGGTTAAAGGGACAGCAGCAGCCAGGAGCAGATCCATACATTCTTCCTGTGATGTTTGGCATGTTGGAAATCCAGCCTGCCAAGGTGAAATCGACCAACTTCACGTTTGCCCTCATCACACGAAGATCTAGATATCGTGGCGGCACCAGGTACTTGTCGCGGGGGATTGACGACCAAGGCCATGTCGCCAACTTCAATGAAACCGAGCAAATCGCGTTGTTGAACGATGTTTCGGGGCGGCCAACTGGCTACGCTGGCGGACAAGGCATGCAGAATGGGAAGATTGGAGGTCGGCGCTCGGAGACCCAGGTCATGTCCTACGTCCAGACTCGCGGCAGTGTTCCTGTTTTCTGGGCCGAAATCAACGATCTCCACTACACACCCAAGTTGCAGATACGCGGCGTGGAGACTGCGGCTGATGCGGCACGGAAACACTTCGACGAACAGATCGAGATTTATGGGGAGAACTACTTGGTCAACCTGGTCAATCAGCGGGGCAGAGAAGAACGGGTGAAGAAGGCATATGAACAAATCATCCGAGTCTTGGTCAACTCCCCGGAAGAATCCGTCGAAGCCGATCGGCGTACGGACGAAAAGTTTCGAGACATTAGCGCAGAACATCCACACCAAAGAATGGACCGACTTCACTATGTTTACTTCGATTTCCACAATGAGACCAAGGGATTGAAATGGCACCGCGCCGAACTTTTGTTGGATGAGTTGATTGACGGTTTGAGGAGAGGACAATATTTCCGGGGTGTCGAGATGCCCGGTGATCCATCCGGAGCCTTCGAGGTCCGAACCAGGCAGAGCGCCGTCGTCCGTACAAATTGCATGGACTGCTTGGACCGGACAAACGTGGTCCAAAGCATGCTAGGCAGATGGGCTCTGACTCAACAATTCCAAGATATCGGTATTCTTCATGCGGGCGAGCGAGCAAGTGACGACACCGCCTTTGAGTTCCTATTTCGAAATATCTGGGCAGACAACGCCGATGTTGTCTCGAATGCGTACTCCGGGACCGGGGCATTGAAGACGGATTTCACCCGCACCGGCAATCGGACGAAAGTCGGAATGTTGCAAGATCTCAACAACTCTTGCACTCGTTATGTCCGCAACAACTTCCTGGACGGACCCCGACAAGATGGGTTTGACCTCTTTCTGGGCACGTATCTTCCGTCAACTTATGGTGTTGGGTCATCTTTGATGTTCACAGATCGCAGACCTCTGATCATTCAGGCCGTGCCGTATGTGCTGGCTGCTTCCCTCTTCATCGTTTTAATTTCGATTCTCACTCGACGACCCCCCGATTCAGCCATTTGGCCCCTTCGTCTCTTTGTCATCCTGTGTCTGGTTGTTGCGGGGTGGTCTTTCCAATTCATCTATACTCATGGTCCCCTATATGTCAATTGGCCAAAACTCAACACTCCAGCGTTTGCCATCGAAGGGTATACGGACGCCTTATCACGAGCCCACAAGGATAAGATTGTCGGGCCATTGATGGCATCAGCCAGCGGCAAGGACAGAAGAGCGCGGAACATCAGCACAGCAAATATGGGATTTATGGAAGAGGGCAAGAAGAGGATAGAATAATCATGAGAAGCGGCTTGTCATGGATTACGATCTGGTGGTTTGATTGATCGATAAAGTTAATGCACTTCCCGACGAGGAAGAACCCTTTCTGTATGATCTAAGCTGAGCACCCCCGAGAGCAAAAACGTCGATCAAGTCAGTAAGCAGAACGCTTTTCGACTCCACCTTGGCCGATCGAGAGGCATGGAGGAGTTCTTCCGAAGAGTTTTCCTACCTTTGGCGAAAGGTTGTGATCTTTCTTTTAGCCAAGGCGGTGGTGATATAAACTACGGCCAAAAGCCCAGGACTTGAAGGGAGACCTCTAGGTAGATCATTACTGCCGGACGGGATAACAGGATCTGGGGCCGGGGGAAAACAAACTCGACTAAGGTGAATGCCAAGCTTTTCATACGGCCCTCTGATTGGCTCCTGGACGAATATCAAATGGCGCTTGGCAGCACTCAATCAACATCCCCTTGTCGAACCCTGCCATTAAACTGGATATGAGGCATTTTTATTTTGCATCCCACGACCTCGCTTCATGTCTCCTCTCATGCATGACCAAGCGTAACCTCTTTATCTGCTCCTATCCTTGAGCAGAAACGCTATGCACAATAACAACTACGAGCTATGGTAGCTTCGGACAAGAGTGCTGCAATCTTCCTGTTTGGGTGCCAACACACACTAGAATTCTTCTTGATGGTCTCCGCGTTACAATCTCTTCGTCACATTTTATTATCATGCTGCTACCACTATCAAGCATTCTTAATCTTACCTTTTCGTAACCTCAAGTCTCTGAAGTATCCGACTCGAAGGCTTTGGTGGGGGTGAGTGGGAACAAAGAGCATGACAGCGAATAGGGCAACACGAGGGTGGCTGTGTCGCTCCTCCCTTGTATGCTTGAACGGCATGTGCGCATTTTACAAAATACACCACGTGCATGACCCTGCGACTGGCACAACAAGTATTTGATGCCCTCCCCAAGTTTTTGCTCTCCTCATTGCAAAATACCTTCCAAGCCCACTGCCAGTGCTTTTAGTCCGGTTTCTCTCCTTGTAAGGACATTTTCTCCATGGCGGATCCTCGCATTCAGTTCGGCGATGCAATCCAGCCTGTAGCCTCTCACGGCGGTGGGGTTTACACTTTAAGAAGCAGGGAAGCCACAGGGGTCGGTAGCATTCGTGGTACAAGTCAGACTCGGCGCGATAAAAAAGAAGATGTTGATACCGAGTCCAACAATGTGGAGGATCGCGACATCAAGACTAAACAGGTAAAACCCATCTGCTCGCCTGTAGGACGTCGACAGGATATCTGACGTGAAAAGGTCTTCTCTGGATGGAAGCTGCTTTGGCTAGGCTATCAATCTATTGGCGTGATCTATGGCGACATCGGCACGAGCCCGCTATACGTCTACTCGTCCACCTTTACGGAAGACCCCAGCTACGACGACCTTCTTGGAGCTCTATCCTTGATAATATGGGCTCTCACGATCATGGTCACCATCAAATATTGTCTCATCATCCTGCGAGCCGACGATGAAGGAGAAGGCGGAACGTTCGCACTCTTCTCGCTGTTGTCTCGATATGCCAATATTGTTCGACGTGATCCTCGTGAAGAACAAATGATCAGAATGGAACGCCATGTCACCGGCGAGCTGGGCAGATCTGCCCAAAAGACACGAAATCTGATGGAGCGCTCCCGTTTCATGCAATGGCTCTTGAAGATCGTCGGTGTCTTCGGTGTTGCATTGGTCATGTCCGATGGCGTGTTGACCCCAGCACAATCCGTTCTCGGTGCCATCCAGGGCATCGAGGTCGTATCACCAGATATCACGAACGCCACGATCATCGGAGTGTCCTGTGCCATCCTCGTGGTGCTTTTCTTGATTCAGCCATTCGGAATAACCAAACTCGCGAGCTCGTTTGCTCCTATCGTCATCGTCTGGCTCCTATTCAACGCAGTCTTCGGCATCTACAACCTTGCTCGACACGATGCTTCCGTATTAAAGGCATTCTCTCCATATTTTGCGGGAGCGTATCTCGTGAGGAACCAAACGGAGGGCTGGAAAAGCCTGGGAGGCATTCTTCTGGCCTTTACTGGCTGTGAAGCGCTCTTTGCCGATCTTGGAGCTTTTACACATCGCGCCGTTCAGCTCTCATGGCTCGGATTCGCTTTCCCATGCTTGCTCTTGGGTTATATTGGACAAGCCGCTTACATCTCTGATAATCGCACGGCCTGGACAAATCCATTCTACAACACGGTCCCCCCCGGGTGCTTCTGGCCGTCACTGGTCGTTGCTATCCTTGCCGCTATTGTGGCCAGTCAAGCTATGATTACAGCGGTATTCCAGTTGTTGTCCCAGATCATGAAGCTATCCTATTTCCCTCAGATCCGAATTGTGCACACGTCCAAGATCTTTTATGGCCAGCTTTATATTCCCATTGCCAACTGGCTGCTCATGATCGGAACTGTCGTGGTGACGGCTGTCTACAACAATACCACCAATCTGGGCCACGCATATGGAGTTTGCGTCATCCTGGTGACCTTTTTGAGCACTTGCATGGTTGCTCTGGTAGCCTTGATTGTGTGGCGCGTGCCGACCGTGATTGTCGCGTTTGTCTGGCTGATATTCGCCCTGTTCGACGGAGTGTTTCTCTCCGCTGCTTTGACCAAGGTTCCGGAAGGAGCCTGGTTCACGTTGGCACTTGCGGTAGTGTTATCCTGCATCTTTATTCTCTGGAGATTCGGAAAAGAACAACAGTGGAAAGCTGAGGCGTCCGATCGGTTCCCACCGTCGCATATGATCCGAGCTGCGGAAAGAACCAATGAATACAGCCGGAAGTTGAGGCTTTCTCCAGCCTTTGGTGGTCAAGAGATCACCCGCATCGACGGCATGGGTATCTTCTTTGACAAGGCTGGGGCGCCATCCACCACTCCCACTGTTTTCATACACTTCCTTCAAAAATTCCACGCGGCATCGGACATCATCATCTTTTTTCATCTCCGACCGCTCCAGATCCCTACTGTTCCACCTGAGGAGCGTTACACCGTAACGCGATGTTATATCGGAACCGAAGGCGATAGCAAATGTCCAATGCCAGGTACCTATCGCCTCACGATCCGCCACGGCTACAATGATGAAGTCATTTCCGAGAATCTGGGCCTTCTGCTCTACGAACAAACTCGCAACTATATGATTCGAGAAGGCGTCGACGTAAAGTCGACTGAGCCCGAACACGTGAACCATCTGAAGGAGACGGTGTTCGAGGAGAAAGCAATAGACTCCACGCGCCCATCGTTCGAACAGCCTGACCTCGCTGCGAAGCTGGCCGAACTCCAACGTGCATTTTCGAGTCAGGTGGTCTATGTGGTTGGGAAGGAGCAAATGCGTGTGAAGCCTGGAACCAACATTGTAAGGAGGATTCTATTAGAGCTATTCTTGTGGATTAGGGACAATACTCGGTCGAAAGTGCAAGCGTTGAATATTGCCGTGGACAAACTTGTGGAGGTTGGGTTTGTTAAGGAGGTGTGAGAGAGATATCATATGTGAAGGATTCTTATGAGAATGACTTCTGGTGGAGAGAATTGCCTTCCAGACCCTATAGAATGGGTCTGAATGTTTCCATCTTTGCAAGAACTGTGGTGAAGCCCATGGAGTTTATAATCGCCTCCCTTTGTGTGATGAGATCTCAGCCTTGTCAGTGTTCGGAGAGCAAGCTCATAAAATAGTCCTCGCCGATTGGCTGGGAGGATCTTGGCATCTGAGCACTCCTGATCGATACATCCAAGATTCGAATTGTACAGCTATCCATTGGTGGGCTGGAAGTCTCGTGGGCTATAACCATTGTTGCAGTCAGTCTTCGTGAATCGTGACAAGGTATCTTTTTTTCTCATGCGTTTTGCGCATCATGAACTCCATGGTGAATTAGTAACTACGATAAGCTGTTGCTGATACAAGGTGCGGGGACAAATGGCACGAGAAGTTTGACAACGGAGTTGAGCCGCAAACAACGAACAACGCTAGGTTAACCCCTTCCTTCCAGAGTCAGGGATTGGTGAGGTTGCACAACCCACGATCTGCCCTATACCATGGACTGGGCGACAAAGTCGTGGAAGAGGCTCGATCCCGCATCGATACCAGGACAATTCCCTCTCGCCAGACGTACTGTATGACATTTCTCCAGTCTCCAAGCTGCCTCCTCCAGCGTCAGGACGCTTGGCGCAGGGTTGCTACCAACTATGACAACAGCCCCGATGGGTGCTAGCGCGCATCTATCAGAACGATGTGGACGAAAAAGCCCGTGCAGATTCTGCGCATGTCTACGATATTTCAAGGGGCTGAGACAGTGGTATGCCGGCTAGGATCAACGACGCATTACACAGCATGGACATGACGTGTATGGCACTCAACAGACCCATCGAACGCCCTCGAGCAACGAAAAGCAAAGGGTTAACGCGACCCTGGACCGGTATCTCTCATGAATGCGATTCAAGCTCTGCTGCTGTGAATGATAAAGCTTGTTTTGGGGTTGATCCCTGGGGAGAGTGTGACAAAGCAGACATGTTAGCTGGCGATCCATTGATTGCAGGATTTTGAGGGCGCAAGACGAGAAAAGACATACATCCAGCTCAGCAGTTGTTCTATCGCTTTTCCTCGCCCCCAATCTCCCGAACGCCAGATTCGCCGTACTATTTCTCGGAGTGCTCGTATCTTCCAGTTCCGGCTTTTGATGGTATAGACAATGCTCATGTTCTCTCCCAGATATTTCCCTGACAACATGGTGCGATGATATTTGACGTCGGCGTTTGATGAACAGGAGAATGGCAAAGAGGATGAAAACGCACAGAAGGGCAACGCCAATGCCAATTCCAGCTTTGGCGCCAATGAACAGACCGTCTGCGTCTGTGTGGTCGGGAGACGAAGTGTCGAGGGAAACACTGGTTGAGCCTGACGCCAGTGTCGAAATGTGTTGACTCGATGGTCCGCTCGGAGCAGTCACAGACCCGGTAACAATCTCGGCAGCAGAGCTCGGTGTCCTCGTTGCAGATGTAGCTTCATTCGTCGTGGCAGAGTCGCTTTCAAGAGAAGATGCGGCGTCAACAAGTTCTGAAACCGCAGGACCATCAGAGCCTGTGATGGCAGTAAAGCCATCATCTTGCGGTGTGGCTGACATGGTTCAGTGGGTTTCTTTTTGGATGCTTCTGGGAGTCGAGAAGGAAAGAGCTAATATGTGAGTCGATAGGAGAAACGACGGAATAAGATAAAGGAAAAGCAAGAAGACCGGGCTCTTTGGCGGTCGCAAAACTGGCCGTCAACCAGTGCTACACAATCGAGCAGCGAGAAAAAGATCGGCACAAGCAGATGCTCGTCTAAGTATCAAGTCCACCTCTTCGTCGGCGGCATTTCGCAGCATACTCTGCTTGATTGGCGGACCGCCTGGTCGAAGGAGGCGGTGATCCGATTTCGACCACACTCTGAATTTGGGGCTAATAGTCTCATGGACATCGTGCAGGTATTCATCGGGTTGAAGACCAGATAGTAGACGAATGAGAGGTTTCGAGGAACCCGAGTGATGCTCTGGCATGATGGCAGTGCAACCTCGAGAAGAGATGCAGCTAAGTTGATACTTATACATGGGTGTTCCTGTTCCCCGCCTAATACAAAGATGCCCTTTCTAATCTCACACATGTCCAATATCAGGGAAAGTGCATCAAACTTTTTCTCCATGGAGCACGTCATGTAGTTTGTGATGTTCCGATATGGTCGGCCGCTGGGACTCAATTGCGCCCAGGAGTAACACCAAGAATGCTGGGTGGTCCGTGTACTGTATCATATGGCAATCCTGAAACTCTCCAAACCACGAGCCAGCATCATAACAATTCCCCCACTAAACCCGGTCTAGTTGTTTCTTCATTTCTTATTCCTTTCGGCCTGAGCTTTGAGATATGCCGCTACCAGCTCCTTCTGCAATTGGGCTGGCGCTCGCTCATAATGACTGAATTCCATGCTGAATTCGCCTTTTCCTTGCGTCGCGGCTCGCAAGTTACTGCTAAAACCAAACATCCCGTTCAGACTAGCATCAGCCCAAACGGTGAAGTCGTCAACACCAACCTCTGTGTCGTTGATGATCGCATTGCGTTTTTGCAACAAACCCACAACATTCCCTTGGAACTCAGTGGGAGCGGTCACGACGGTTTTCATCAAAGGTTCCAGCACCACAGGATCTCCTTCCATGAAAGCTTTGCGGAATGCCTGTTGCGTGGCATTCTTGAAGGCCTGTTCACTCGAATCCGTCATATGGGTAGCACCGTCGTTGATGACCATGGATGCACCGAGAACTTTGTGACCGATCAAGGGGCCTTTTTCGCATGCTGCCATGAAACCTTTTTCACAGGCAAACAAGAACTTCTCGGAAATAGAACCTCCAACAACTTGCTCTTCGAAGTGGTTGGCGTCGAGTTTGCCTGTGGGCTCCATCCAGCCCACAACACGAGCGTAATCGCCGGGACCACCGGTCTGTTTCTTGAGAAGATGGTCGAAATCGGCTCTCTTGGTGATGGTCTCGCGGTAAGCGACTTGGGGTGGACCAGTTTCGCAATCAACCTTGTACTCTCTCCGCATTCGTTCCACGTAGACTTCCAGGTGGAGTTCACCCATGCCAGAAATGATTGTCTGCTCGCTTTCGACGTCAAAGTGGACTCTGAATGTGGGATCCTCACGTTGGAATCGCGCAATTGCTTTGGAGAAGTTCGGCAGATCTTTGTTGTTCTTGGGTTTAATGCTGAGGGAGATGACAGGTTCGGGAACGAACATGCTGGTCATGCTGTATCCCAATTGGCCGTCGGTGAAGGTGTCTCCGGAGGCACAGTCAACCCCAAACACCGCGCAGATTTCTCCAGCTCCGACTTCGGAGACTTCTTCCATTTCATTCGAGTGCATGCGTACAATGCGAGGGACCTTGATTTTCTTATCTGTTCGAGCATTGAACACATTTAACCCTTTCTTCAATTTGCCTTGGTACACGCGAATGTAGGTGAGTTGACCAAAGTTTGATTCTTCCAGCTTGAATGCTAGGCCAACGAATGGTAAGGAATTATATGGAATCAGTTTGACGGGTGCCTCTGCTTGTCGACGATCTAGAGCCGTGTTGGAGACTTCAGACGGGTTGGGAAGATAGTCGCACACTCCATCCAACATTGGCTGGACAAACTTGTCAGCAAGCGCAGAGCCCATGAAGACGGGGGTGAACTTGAGAGAAATAGTCGCCCGTCGAATTGCTGCCTTCAATTGCTCCACTGTGGGTTCTTGCTCTTCCAAGAAGAGTTCGGCAATTTCATCATCAACGTCGGCCAGCGTTTCAATAAGCTTTGCTCGTCGCTCTTTTGCAAGTTGTTGAACTTCGGCAGGTATCTCGTCCTTGGTGACGATGATTTCACCACGAGCGCCTTCAGCATAGCATGTTTTCATTGTGACCAAATCAACAACACCTCGGAACTCGTCTTCGGTACCAATCGGGACTTGGACAGCGGCAGCGGCAAGTTTAAGCTTCTTATTGATTTGATCGACTGCTTTGAATGGGTTCGCACCCATTCTGTCCATTTTGTTGATAAAGCTGATTCTGGGGACATGGTATCTCCTCATCTGTCGATCCACGGTGATGGTCTGACTTTGGACACCTGATACGGCACACAAGATCATCACAGCGCCATCTAATACTCGGAGCGCTCTTTCCACTTCAATGGTGAAGTCGATGTGGCCGGGGGTGTCGATCAAATTGATGTGGTATTTCTCCTCTTTTCCATTTTCCATTTTGACCCAATCGCAGAAGGTTGCTGCTGATTGAATCGTGATGCCCTTTTCTCTTTCCAAATCCATAGAATCCATTTTGGCACCGACGGCATCTTTCCCTCGAACTTCGTGAATGGCATTGATGCGCCCGGTGTAGAATAATACTCGTTCCGTGACCGTCGTTTTGCCCGAGTCAATGTGTGCCTGGTAGAATGAGCACGTGGAATTGCGGGATAGAATCATGTTGCACCAACCGCAATACCAATATTTCTCACTCTAGAGAGACGATGTGCCTCCTCCGCCGATAGATTGTGGATGATTGTCTCCTGTGAAAGGGTATCAGGGTCATGAGCTTCGTCCAACCTAAAACGCGTCAATTGTGATCAGAGAAAGGAGATTTAAGGAATTCTTACATTGCAGCAGCCGCCCCGGCAGCATTTCGTCTTTGCTGCCACCGTCGGTCTAAGGGCCACTGTGTTGCTTGTGACTGCAGTCCCCTGGAGCATGTCTGTAGAGCTGCGGTGGATGCGCATCGCCGGCAAACCCATTGGCGGGCAACCATTGAGGGTAAGGAGCGCAAAAGGCTACTGAGGAGCTTAGGAGAGCCTCGTATAGCACGAGATGCACTCATCTTGAAGGATTGGAGAGACAGTTAGAGGTGAGGTAGGTGACTGAAATGCGCGCTCAATCGAGGGAATTCGAGGGTTCGCGATCATGGGTACTACCCTCGACCTTTTTTTTTTCCTCCAAGCAAAGAAAAAATGTTCCTTGCCAAGCGTCGTGCGGGTCCCACTTAAAACGGAGCGAAAACCGCAGGGTAATCCTACTTTCATTTTCTATACGCATCATCTCTAGGATGACTGAGCAGATTAGCTGGATAGATGCGTGAGGGTCCAGGGGTTGCCAACGATGAGTTAAGGGCTCTAAATACCCTCGAGAGCGCCGGTGTGTCCGGTCAGCCTGTCGGCTTTTTGAAACGAGTTCCATTCTGAGGCTCCTTGATCCCAGACGCGCTTTCACTTTAACACCGAGGGAGACACTGATGCCGGGGAAAGATATGTGATTAGCGGCCTATGTACATGTGTATCTCGCCTGATCAGACATCTGCCTTTTGATTCTGTACACCCATCCTGCCACTGTCAAGTTCGAAAGGTCAACTGATCACTTTGTGTTCTTCCACTTTGCCCCCTGTCAACTCCTCCACGTACGCTTATCCGTTGAGGTACCCGAACGCAGGCAGGGAGGTCGATCTGCTTAGGTGAGTACCTGCAGAGGCTGGAACGAGATAAGCGGAGTCGCTGTACGAGGAGAACGATGGAAGATATCGATTCGAGGTCCTAGAAGTGTTTTTTTTTTTTTGTCAAGCCGGAGCTGAGACAGGTGCGGATAGCAAAAAAAAAACGAAACCACCTGAGTGTCCCTCAGAGGGATGACTTGTTCAACATCGTGAGCAGCCCGAAAGCCGCGATCATTCTGAAGATTAGCATATTTCCATCACCAGGATTCTGGGGGAAGCCAGCCTTTGCAATGAGCAATACTACTAGCCTGTAATGCAAAAGATTAAGTCGATGACCTTGGCAGGAAGCTGTTTGGGTTGAGCGATATTACAAGATGGTTGTACAATGGATGGACCATAGTGGACTGTGATACAATGAGCCGATGAGAAAGGAAGTCTTGAGGATGAAGGGCTAGAAGAGGGCGAGAGAAGAGGGAACTCAAATGAGGGAGAAGGAGCTTTTGCACCTGCTCAATTTACCAGAGCTCCTGCCCGTCACTGTGTCGGAAACGACGATGCTTCTGAAAAATTGTCAATAACTTATATCGGATAAGGTAAAAGCAGCCTGTCTTAAATGAAAACATATGAACGGAGAGACATTTTGGAGGAATCAAGGTGGGTCCCAAATCCCTCATGAAGTCGTATCGAATTGCAAAGGTCTATTCTATCAATGGAATGCTGGACAGCAATGAGACCTATCTATCTACCACTGCTGGCAAACTCTCCTAGCTGCTCAAGATCCTTAGCCATTGGGTCCTTTGAGGATTCTTTGCATTCCGAACCACAGGATGTCGGTTGTGTGTTTGGGCTGGACAGAGGGAGGAGACTAGAGGCCAACGAGAGTGAGGTTGTTGGAGGGGGTTTCTGGAGCTCCGACTGTCGCTTGTGGTCTTGCTTGTGACCTTTCTCAGGCTTGAGAAAGAGAAATACTTCGAGAGAAGGGATTGTGACTTGCTCAGCCAATAGTGTTGCTCAGACTGCTGTTCTTGCTCAGCCTGTTGTTCCCGTGGAGGGTGTAGCTCTGGCTCTCGATCTTGCTCTGAGGGCTAAGGAGGTTGGTCTCGTTATGAGTCTCGGTCTCGTGCTGGGTCTCGGCCCCACTCAGAGTCTCACTCTTGCCCTGGGGGGCTGAAGAACATGTGATAGAGGATGAGGCGGGAATGTTGTTGGAGATGGAAGAAGGCATGTCAGTGAACTCAAGATGGTCTCTGTTTCATTGGATAAACGGTCCTGCCAAAATACTCATGATATCAATGGACTCACGGTAAACCATCCCAGCACAGCTGAATGTCTTTCTACGCGTCTGATAGCGATAGAATGCCTGATGTAGCTGAAATCCAAGACAGAATTACCATCGAGGATAATGATTGTCGAAAATAAAATGGATTGAGAGCCCTGATTCTCCTGCAGCGATATCTGAAAGACCGTGCTCCTGTCGCTCGCATTGCTCTGGCGTACCCTCCCAGCGCTTCTCGACTCTGTCGTGGCTCTCTTAACGCTCTCCCGTGCTATACCGGGTGTCACCGGTTCTTCCTCATGTGCTCGATCAAAGTGGCCTCGCTCCCTTTCCTATACAGTAAACGAAAAAAAGTAACCGCTGAAGGTTAGTCCGGGGTATAAATAGTGCATGAATTTTTCTTGAAAGCACGGCGCATAAGTTTTTTCTGCTCCGAGACAACACCAAACCTCGACCTAAACCTCAAGTTTCTGCAGCATTTGGTTTGGCATCGATCAGGAAACATGCAAAGGGCGTCACCCAGAGACAGGGCACGTCTTGAATGACAAGTACCAGTAACGCCTCATGAAGAATTTCGGTGATCAGATGATTGCGACTATTCAGCTGGATTTGCTTTGCTGCATTCACGAGTTCCTCAACTGTAGGACAGCGCTTCATAAGGAGGGTACCTCGTTCATGGGAACATTGTGGTCTGAAGCGAGCACAACCTGATGCTGCTCTTCATCTCTATCATATTGATTCTGAATAATTCCGTGCGATTCCCGAATTCTGGATTCGTTGCACCGAATATTGAGTATCAACCGTCGACATCGATCATTTGAATCGGCTTACTGCTTGATGTTCAGGATTCCATGGCTTCGTCTGGACCACATGGGAACATGGACGCGGAAATCCAGCTAGTCGCAAGGCTGGGGGAGTCAGATTATTGAGGATGCGTTGGCAGCACGTGGATTAAATGGCCCCTTTTTGAAAACAGCGGTCTTTGGGCGCCGCTTTTGGTAGCCTTTGCACCTATGGGTGATCGTGATCGTGAACATCATCCGGATTTGGCAAGGCGTGCTCCCATCATGATTTTCAGTCGTGGTTATAAGGATGTCTACAACAGGGCACTATCCCTATACAACGGAACCACCCGTTTCGACATTTTGAGCCCCTCGCTCTTTGGTCTGAATACAACTGTAATGTCCATAGGCCCCCTACAATTGTAATCCCTAGTGCAGGATACGTGACAAAGGGGTCGTCGATCCTCCACCTCATTTCGTGCAGCATGACATCACAAATTTTCGCCGAGGAAGTGCCTCATGATCAATACGAGGAGGAAAAAATTAAAAAAAAAAAAAAATTGGCCATCGGTCCCATGATGGACGTGCAAGAATCTGATGACAAGTCAACCGGCAAGACGGCAACAGAAAGCCTTGGCCAGGTAGTATCTCCGCAAGGCTATGGATTTGCTCCCCTTGCTAGTACGGAGTATAGAGACGAGATTTGTTTGTCGACGAGGGTCCACCTTTCGAGGCAGTGCTGCGGCGGGGTGTGCAAGCTTTGGTATATCTTCTACTCATCTCCTAAACGGTAAGGATTGGCTTTTGCCAAAGGTCGGGTGCACTCGTGTCCAAGGCGGGGAAGATAGCGAAGAGGGATTTTGAGTTCTTGGACAGCTCAAAGGGAAGCTCCAAATCCTCTTCAATAGTTGGCTTGCATGATCCAACAGGCGTCTGCGCTGGCAGAACTCAAAAGACCAAGACAGGCTTTGGCTCGACGGGCCAGACTGGCGCCCAGAGCATGGCTGGTGAGGTGGCTTGCGAAATTTTGGCTACTTTATGACAAGTTACAAAAATCTCTCGCGGAGTGTCCTCAGCATCAGTATCCTCCATATGAAGAAAGACACATCAGGCCCTCTTTTGCCCTCATCGCTTTCTTCATCCTTTTCACATAGCCATCTCAGCAATGTCGGTCACCATCTATATCATCTATAACAATAGCGCCTCTTTTCTTGGAAGAATCGGCTACGGAATTCGCCGATTGAGTACGACCCCGGAAACTCCTTCAGCATGTGCTGCTACGGACCTCACTCACGGCGGTGCTCACCCTCACGAAAAACCCGAATGGATAGCCACTAAGAAAAAGATTCCGGCCGACATCAAGCAAGTTCATTATGATGAGCTCCCACCCGACGTATGTGATGTTCTCCTTCTCTCGTCTCAAAACGAAGGACCGCCCCCCAGCTGACTTTTTTGATTTAGGTAAAGAAATACGTGGAGTCTAACCGCTACAAATATCCATGCATTGTTGGCAAGGGTCCAGATGGCCGCTTCAGGATGCTTCTAATCGACTACGAGATCGAAGAGGTTTCAGACAACTGCAACAAATTCCTTCAGGTGCTGAAGACGAAATTTCAACAGTCTGGCCTTCCGTGGGATTACTCGTCAATTCAGCCTACCAGTGCTGCATGAGCTAAGATGTCCTATGCTCGCTACCTCTTTCGCAGTGATCGCGAAGCTGTGAGGCGAGTCGGATCGAGGAAAGATGTAGAAGCACGACTTCACGGACATTTATTTTACCATCTTTGACCAAGGCGCAAATGATGTGTACGTGGTAGAACTGTCAGACTATGATTATGAACCAAACAGGATAGTTTTCTTGTGCTGCCATTGATCGTTCGTAAATTCTGCAGAACATACTAGGATTGGCGTATGTGCTTTAGCCTGCGAAATTAGGCTCTAGATGCCCTCTAGTGCCCATACATATGAAGACATTAGATTAGCAACCACCAATTTGCCTACTGCACAATATTAAGCAAACGCTGACGTGATCCCTCATGTTATCGCTTATCGTACGAGATCATCAATGTACATCTCGTTTAATCTAGCGATGAACCACGAGGTTCGCTGAAGTAGATGGAAAGGAGAAGGAAAGGAAGCAGAATTTGGGCGGGCATATCACGGACGTTGAGAGCACAGGGGTACCTACAATCAAGTACTATCTACAAGGAGAAGGCAGGCTGGTAAGCCTGAGATCTGGGTGTGGCGGATAGTGTCCTCGAAAGAGCAACTTGTCTCACGCCTGGAAAACGGTGCCAACACTCCAATCCCAAGACATTCCCGAAGTTTTATGCCTCCCCGGATTTCAGAAATGTAAACAGAACTCGGCAAAATAAGGACTTGGTACTAATATACACGAACCCAGAGCCATAATGGATCATCTTCTCAAGATGACATACGCCATCTATCCAGACATTGAAATCCCGTACCTCTGTGATGGCTGGACATATTCGGATCCCTTTGAAACATACCCAGAAAGACTGGGCTTCACGAGATCTGATCTGATAAATGCTCCGTCCTCGACCCAACCAGCTACAGAAGTCGACAAGCTCCTCCAAGCGTTATTGTTCTTCGGCCTGCTTCAAACCATTTTTGGCTCATTATTTGAACGAAATCAATTCATTCGGTCAAACCCGACTGGACAACGTATCATATCTACACAACATCTACGGAGAATGACGGTCTACTTCAACGAGAAAAGACCAGATCGCCTAGATCCCGGATGGAACAAAGAATGGAGGAATATACGAAAATACCTGGTTTTGGCAAATTCGATTGTCGTGGCACGACAGGAAAATTGCGAGGCGCTGGGCCGGGTACAGACGCCGACTCAACTTCTGCTGACAGTGTTGCTTCAGTTCCTGGCGAAAAATTTAGGTATACCTGATGAAGTAAGACGGTCAAGAAATCTCAAGAGTGGATTGATTGAAAACATGATGATTGAACGCGGCTGGTGTCGCAGACAGGTTGCCTATCTTACCGAATCCTTACATGTTGAGAGTTTGTATACGCTTTCACGAATCGAGAGGCCAGATGCGCACTTGCGGCACTCGATGGCCTGTGAGACTGTTGATTGCGTGGCGAATCAAGTGGACAGAGAGACCTACAGGACCAAACATGTCTGTCATGACGGCTCCTGTGCCCCTGTCACTGCGAATCAAGAGGAAATGTTCAACATGCTTAAATCCGGCCATTTACCACTTATTGCGAACCGAAATTATGCGGACCGAAATGACATCAAATTGCTTGATACACGGAGCGCCCGGACATACGTGGCAGTATCTCATGTCTGGTCGCACGGCTTGGGTAACCCAAGAAACAACTCGTTGCCCAAATGTCAACTAGCTCGTCTGAACCAGATTGTGAATGATCTTTACGGACACGAGGAAGAAGAGCAGGGGGTTTCGGTGCCGTACTGGATCGATACCATTTGTTGTCCTACAGATCCGACAGAAGCCAGGGCCCTTGCGATTCTGAACCTCAGAAAGACGTACAGAGGAGCGGACAAGGTTCTTGTTCTTGATGCAAATTTGGAAGTAATTAATTCTGCACCACTTTTCGTCCCCGAGATAGCTCTCCACATCTCCTGTTCCACCTGGCTGACAAGGCTCTGGACACTTCAAGAAGGCGCCCTCGCTGCATCCATCTACTTCCACTTCGCTGACCGGATCATCGATCTGGCATCCATAGAGTGGAGTCTGCGGTATGATCGTTCATGCCGCGAATTCAGCGATCTTTTAGGGGGTTTATATAATTTCCGCCACGCGGACCAGAAAGACATGGGCCTTCCAGCGTCGGGCTTGATACAGTTCCTCCACGCCTCTGTCCGGAATCGGTCAACTAGCTATGCGAGCGATGAGGCACTGTGTCTCGCAACGTTGGCGGGTCTAGATATGGAGGATATTGCCAGGTTCGAAGGGGTGGAAGATCGGATGTATGAGTTCTGGAGGCTGCTGAGACCGGCTCCATCACTGATGGCATTCTGGAGTGGACCCAGGATGAGAACGAAGGGACGTAGATGGGGCCCGAGGACGTTGAGGGGGGGATTCGATTTGAATTTGGATATGAAAATGGCGGCCAGAGAGGAGGAGGAGGCGAGTATGAGAGGTGAAAAAGGCGCTGTTATTACGGAGCGGGGGATGATGATCATGGCGCCGGGACTCATATTTGAGGCTCAAGAGCAAGACATGAGGATGGAAATAGGGCCTTTAGTTAAAGGAGAGCAGTTCTTGGTTCAATGTGTGAGTGCCGGGGAGGAGAATAAGGAGAATAGCTGGTTCCATGTTCGCAAAACCAGGACAGACGAGGTATCGGACAAGTTGAGCCAACTACCGCCAGCATCTTCGGAGGCTTGCCAGACAAAGACTGAGGGAAGGGGAGGCCACTGCGATCAATGTCAATATGCGTTGATCCTTAAACGAGGCAAGCGTCTTGACGTTGCGAACTATGACGAAGGCGCAATTGATCATCAGGCGCTCCTTGTCAGTATCGAGCAGGGACGGCCAGGTATGGTCATCTTCTCGGACATTATATATAATGTGTCCATCAACCAGTTTCCGGGTGAGGTGCGGCAAGATCCCCGAGAGGTCACTGGATCTGCTGTTATCTCGGTCAGTGATCGTTCCACGGCCAACATCGACCATTTGGCATTAGTAAACGGGGTTGAGATAGGATCGGAGTTGAAAGCGAGTGGAGACAAAGAAAAACGGCTACCAGTTTTCAATGGTTGGATGCTCCAAGATACGCAGGAATGGTGTATTGGTTGACGCTTAACAGGGATAGACCAGAATGGTCATAGACTCAATGGTCTTAATCGACAAAACCCAGTATCATTCTAAAGTGTTGGATTTGTGTCCGCCCTTATCCAAAGAAGCCGGTGGAACCTTAGTCAGAGACACCAGGCTGATCGCTTCAAGGGGGAAGTGTGTCATATATGTTTGTCATCTTCGAAAAGACCCTGGCCGTCAAAGGCTGTTGATGGTATTGATTTCTCCTGCCCGCATGGACTTTGGAAGTAGTCTTATCATGAAGGGATGTATAGCAAAATATAAGAAAAGGAGGTATGTGAGCCGAGGATTTGGGGATAAAGTGGATTCAATAGGGTGGATGTAAAATCGTGAATCATGAGAGACCATTGACTCCGTCAGACGTACCAACAGCTAGCTAGAAACCCCGAACTTTTTGGCCATTTTCATCACGCATTCTCTTAGATATCAGCTTTGATGAGATCCGCTCCTTTTTCCGCCACGGCGTACGTAGTTGCCATGATATTCCTGTTCATTCAGAGTCAGTAACAACCATAGGAGAAATCTCGTGAAGTTTTTTGTGGGAGAGGGGGGAAAAAAAAAAGTGGTGGGGTTGGTTTGAGGCTGAAAGGACTTACCCAGATATATGGCCCGGGAAAACAGAGGCATCCACGACGCGCAGTCCCTTGACACCTTTCACGCGCAAGTTGTTATCCACCACCTCACCCATCGCACACGTCCCAATTAAATGATACTGCGTACTAATATGATTCTTCACATACTCAACCCTTTCTTGTTCAGTATCCAAACTCACGCTTTGAGGCGGCAATTCTCTCTCTGCCAATGACTTGGCCAGCAATGGGTGCTTTGCGACTTGATCCATCCACTTCATCCCCGCAGCGAGGATCTTTGCGTCGACTTCGTTCCGGAAGTAACCGGGGTCGATTTCGGGAGGGGCGAGCGGGTCGGAAGTGGTTATGTGGACGGTGCCGCGGGACAGGGGGTGTTCGAGGCACATAAGGAGGGAAATTTGTTGTTTGCCTGATGGAGGAGCGCCGAAGAATTGGGTTTGGTCACTGCCCTTGGCGACATCAAGGCGGCAGGGGATGCAAAATGTTTGGAGGTTGGCGAAGGTGGGGTCGCGGAGTTGGTCGACAATCACCTGAATTTTTTTTTTCAAGGGTGGTTAGTATTTTGAACAGGAAAAACACGCGGATGATACATAAGATCATATGATATTGCTCAGGCTGAGAGCGAGAGGAGTTTGGCCGGGATTGACGGAGAGAGTACATACTTTCTCTTGAGCCTTCTCAAAAGGCGTCTTTGCCAGGGACTTCTGCTGAATTTCATTGATTGTAGCTTCCAATTCTTGAGGCGATACTACCGACGCATACGAAACGAACCCCATCATCATACCAGGAGAACCATACGGGCCTTTCCGAGTCTTCTGATACACATCCTGCTGCATTTTCATGAACTCTTCATCATGCAGGGCGTCCATGGAATCGATACCCGGTTTCAGATCGTACAAAAGCCCGCCGAGCACATGGTCCTGGAAGTTTGCGCCGACACCTTTGCTCTCGACGACACAAGGGACACCCGCGTTCTTGAGAACATCTGGATCACCAATGCCCGAGAGTTCGAGGAGTTGAGGACTCTGAATGACGCCGGCAGAAAGGATGACTTCTCGATTCGCGTATACAGCGAATTTCTGGCCTTTGTGCACAAATTCGACGCCCGTGGCGGTTTTGTTGTCGTCGAGTAAGACCTTTGTTGCTTGAGCTTCGGTCAGGACTTGAAGATTCGGCCGGCCGAGATTGGGCCTCAGGTATCCGGTGGCGGCGTAGGATCTGTTTCCAGGATCATCCGTCCGATTAATGGCGCCGAGGCTGGAGTAGAAGCCAAGATGGTCGCCGCTCCAGGCATCGTAGATGGTCTTTTGGGTGCCAGTCACTTCATATGCGGCCTTGGCAAAGTCAACTTCAAGCGGCATGTACCAATCGTTGAAGCTCGTGTGGATTGGCCCGTTCGCGCCATGGAACTTGTCGCCTCCGGCACAGGGCATAAATTGAGGGTCCTCATGTACAGGTGTCCTGTCGAGGGTTTGATGCTTGCGGAAATATGAGGCCAGGCCGTCCCAGCCCCAGCCTTGGTTACCCATTGCTTCCCAGCCGTCGTAGTCGTTTCTGCTGCCGCGGACGTACATGAGGTAATTGATCCCGGAGCTGCCGCCGAGGATTTTCCCGCGGGGCATCGAATAAATTTTATTTCCGGCGTTGGGTTGAGGGATGCTCGTCATGCACCAGTCGTATTCTTTTCGGCCGATCTGGAGAATGTAAGTACGATTTTGTGTCCTGGGGGAATGGGACGGGGCTTAATGGGAAGTCAGGTGCTCAGCCTCGTCACGTGCACCGCACGTGATAGACGGGTGGAGAAGAGTTGGCGGTGGAGGGACGAATCGTGACAGGGCCCGGGTAGTCGATGTTATGCGTTATATTGTAATCACGGTTGTGTTTAATGACGCCAACTCACCATTGTCGGATAGAGAGATGGAGTCGAGACGCTTTTGTCGTTCATTCGATTCTCTCCCGCCTCGAGAACAGCCACGGAGATATTGGGGTCTTCTGTCAAACGAGCCGCGACGACAAGCCCTGCAGTGCCTCCTCCCACGACGACAAAGTCATATCTTCGAGAGACAAGCTCACCGACAGAGCAGAGGGCATGGGAGGAGGTGCCATTGCTGTGGCCGTTGGCTCCGCTGGTCACTGACATGTTGCTCCTTGGTAAAAATTTCACAATTCAGACACGAGTCAATAAGCCAGGGACAGGTTGTGAGACGACAGGTGTGCATTTCAAGAGGGAGACCAACAGGCTGATCTTCGTTTGTACTTCTGCCTTCCCCCGCATTGCGGACTTCATTGAGCCGGAGGATCATGTTTGCCGGGGGTTGTTGACATAGAGCCAATAAGCTCTATGCCGTTGATCTTCCCGTGCTGGTGAGAGTGAGGACTGTATGAAGAAGAGGGGAAATGCAGGGAAGCCGAGGGGCCATATTGAGAATTCACCATCTCGGAATCATGGAGGCTTCGTCATTGGTACAATGGCGGTGTGGTACACGTATGCATTGTACACCTTCCTTAGACGGTGATTACACGTAACTTGCAGCATTGTAACAGTAAAATCGTGTGCTGTTTATTATAGCAGAGCTGAGGTTAAGTAGGCAAGGGACATACACAGGCCGACATCAGAGGGGGAGGTACCCTCTTGATAACAGAGCCGCGTAAGAGTATGGACCATGGCCAAATCTTGGGCTAAAGTTAGGCTGATGGAGACCGAAGTTTGTACCCTGCGGTCTAGGTGGCTGAATGGAGCAGAAATACTTGAACTTTTGTTGTTTGTTGAGATGCAAAGTCAACAGAGCTCGATAGAGGATAGGTTCCTGAATGGCTGGTGGCGGAGTGCTGCGGACTGAAACCCTCTCCCAATCCGAGCCCCATCGCCCAGCCCCGGGGACAGTTGGGACAATTGGTCCTCTTGTTTCGCTTCTCATTAATGCTGACCATTCTCGAACACTCTGAGCACCTCTCACCTCTCAAGCACCGGGGGGAAAATTTTTCTTCATCCTTTCTCTGACACACAACCTAGTCCCGATTCATATATTTGATCCAATCCAGCCGTCTTGATTCGGATGGCGCCCATGAATACAGCGCAACCCCGAGCCATATGTTGCACTTTGTTTATCTCCATCTGCCATCTAGTACCCACATGGCAGCGGTTGTTGGGCGCTCAAAATTCTTTCTCAGCTCCATCTCGAAGCGCCCATTTGGGAGATGGTGAGTGGCTCCCATGTCTCGAACTTTGTGATGCCCTGAATACTAGAGTCTGTCAAGCATTTTGCATGTGCGTTGTACGTGTGTCGATGTTTTGGTTTTCATCGCCTCATCCGAGGACCTTGGACCACAGTTGAGGCAATCAATGCACTTTTCTCCTGACCCCCTGCATTAACATGGCATCCGCTGGAGTCCGCCAACGTGCTCGCACCACCTCAAAGTTATGTATATTTCGGACCTTTCCATCGTCTTCGTTGTTGGCTGATCATTTCTCGATCTCGATTCTTGACTTCGACCTACCCTTTGCGTCATCAACGCCCACCTACGGTCCTGCAATTGAACATCACTCTTCATTGATCGCATTGTAACTCGGGCTGACGTGTCGTGTCAACTCGTTGTCATTTGATCCATCTACTCCCTTCCATAGCCCCGTACCACTCCATTATCCCTCATTCGTTTCTCACGCCACTGGTTTCACGGTGGGCGGAATCCCCGGCTTCGTACCAAATTTCAACCACTGGCAGCGCTACTTAATTGTCACTTCCCATCTGTGCCGCCTTCGAAAAAGTCCCTGACTTGAATCGACCAACACAACATATCTTGATCAGAAATCACTTCCCCTCAACCAATCTCATCAGCAACGACACCCTCCCTCCCAGCCTCGTCAACATGCCTCAAGCAAACTCTTCAATACGGTACTATGCCGAGTATGAGCATACTCTTCGAAAAGCCCATGAACGATCCAAATCATCCCCACCATCTTCGGCTTCTTCTTCTCGAACCTCTTCGGCAGTCTCCCTCCAGCCGACCTCATCTGTGGCGGAATGGTGCCATCAGATGCATATGATACAAAGTCGGAAATACGAATGGTGTCAAGGATGCCATCCCAAGCCTCCGACCTTGAATGTACCTTCAGAGAAGATTCTGCGACAGCAGAGAATTAATCACGAACCGGGTCATGCCTACGAATGAAGACAACGAATTGATTTGTGCTCTGGTTGACACTTTTAGCATGGTGTTGGGGGCGATTTTTGAGACTACAATTTCGACTCTTTCTTGGGATTATGTCTGGGCCCAAAACAAAAGCTACGAATGGGCGACTTTTGCGTCTTGTACGACCTTATGAACCATCCAACGATCTTGATTGCGGGAGATACACAAATTACAAAACGACCGTAGTCAGCGCCTATTATGGCTCTCGCTCCTTCAGCTTTCAGTTTCTCAATCTGTTCCCGGAACATGCCTTCGTATTCTTCCTGCTTGAAGACCTCGTTGTTGTCATTGTCAGTAGTTAATTATTTGGTTGTCAAACTTGTGTCCCCTGACTTGTACTTACTTTCGTGGCTTCAATGGCACTGGGCCTGCCTACTTCAGTGTCTGCACCGGCCTCCAAGACGGTTTTGATCACCTCTGGCTCATTCGTGAACACCACACCAGCCAAAGGGGACTGGCCTCGATCATTCAGTCTGTTGGGATCTGTCCCGTGCTTGACTAGTCATGAGACGAGTGGTGCGTGGCCGTGGTAGGATGCAAGCATAAACTGATATGAGGGATTCCCTCGTTGTGTCGGCCTGGCCTGGCCCGGCTGAAGCCGTGATTTTTTTTTTAAAAAAAAAAGGAAACGCTGCTATTGTCGCTGACTCCCATTTATCTCATGTCCTTTACGTACCAGTGTATCGCCTTTGTCATTTGTCAGGTTCGGAGGTAGTCCACGTGGGAGAGCCTGTTCGAAAATGTCCATTTGGCCGTTTCTGGCGGCGTCGAAGAATCGGCCTGCTAAGGTGATGGCTTCTGGAGGTGGTTCGTTGGCTGACCGCGGAGCTACGGAAGCTTTGGCTGGAAGAGCGGCGTCCATCTTGATCTGATCTTCTCGGTTATGGGTATAAAAAGACTGATTAATTTGGATATACAGCTTGTCTCGTGCCTTGTTTGAGAAGATACAGATTGTCGATTGCGGTCTATCGGGGTGACAACTTTTGATGTCCAGATGGATTTTGACGAATGAGACCCCGCCTGAGATGGAAGTGCGGATGTGCTGACACCATTTTGTCCGGATTAATGTCCCCGGAGGCTGTTCTAGGTCTGGTGGTTCTGCAGCAATCAAGAGGGTAGGCCTTCCACGTGACATTTCGAGGCTGAATCACGTGATTGTTTTTCGACTGGTTTGAAATCCAAGCCGCTAGCACCAACTAGACATGGCGCAATATGAATTGCGTGCTCACCTCGGCCGCTGATTGTCTGGTTCCAGGGCAGTTGATACCACGGCCGCTGCACACCACTCTCCCACTGAACTTCCTCTGCTGATGCCATCATGGATCCCGCCCACATCATGTCGAAGCAGCGAGAATTTCGCCCGTCATTTGCTCGGGAGAATGCCAAAAAAGATTTGTCGTTCGTGAATCTGTGCCCACGTTTTACCAATCTTTTTCCAAGGAACTTACAAGCCATCCTATATCTACCTCTCGCCGCCCTCGTTGATCCTTCGCGTCCTCTCTTCTCCCCTCATTCCGGACGACTACTGGCATCCTCCTTTTCAGCACAAGTTACTTCCATATATTGAACAAGATGGGTTCTGTCGATCGCGTTGAACCGTATGTGGCCATTCTTCTCTCTGGGCAACACAACCCTCAACAAGATCTTTGGACTAACATACTCCGTCTTCAGTCTCCGTCTCGGCTCCATTGCCCCCAATTTCCAGGCCGAAACCACCAAAGGGCCCATCGATTTCCACGAATTCATTGGAGACAACTGGGTTATTCTTTTCTCGCATCCGGTACATCTATCAATCCGGCAAGGCCGAAGGTAACGAATTGACAAAAGGTAGGAAGACAGAACACCGGTGTGCACAACGGAGCTGGGAGCCTTTGCGAAATTGGAGCCGGAATTCACCAGACGAGGAGTCAAGTTGATTGGGCTGTCTGCAAACACCGTCGAGAGCCATGACGACTGGATCCAAGACATCAATGAGATCAGCGGCAGCAACTTGCAATTCCCCATCATTGGAGACAAGCAAAGACAAATTGCCCTGAAATACGACATGCTCGACCACCAGGACGCCACCAACGTGGACGAGAAGGGAATCGCATTCACTATCCGATCCGTCTTCATCATTGACCCCAAGAAGACCATTCGAACCATCCTCTCCTACCCGGCCTCCACCGGTCGAAACACCGCCGAAATCCTCCGAATCGTCGATTCGCTGCAGACCGGTGACAAGCACAAGGTGACCACACCTATCAACTGGGTTCCTGGTGACGATGTCATTGTTCATCCCAGTGTCAAGACTGAACAAGCCAAAGAAATCTGGCCAGAGATGAAGATCATCAAGCCCTACCTGCGGGTGACACCTCTGCCCAAGGAAAAGACCACTGCGGCTTAAGAGGGACAACAAGTGAGGGGTTGGGAAAGGCTCTCAGGACTTGTTTCGTTAATTAGCCCATGAAATTGGATATTTACGAGTCTAGTGCAACCAGAGACAATCCTTCGAGGAAATCAAATCAATTACGATCAATCGAGCATGTCCAGTAGTTTCACCAACACAGGGTACACGTGAATTTGTGGACGCGGATGAAGGGATATTGGCGTGTAGATGTTGAGGTGCATAAGCCACCGGCGGCGACCTGCATGACTAAATCATGATCTGGCAGATATGAGCGGTGGCCGCAGCAATGGTATGTCTGTGCATATATCGTGTGCAGAATATTTTATATCCTTGAACCTCGTCGGCAGGTCGCGTTCGTAATTGTGGGTGGAGGGGTACCTGGTTCGCGCGAGGGGAAATTGTTCTGGTGCCGGAGCAGCAGCGATACCTAAAGAAGAGTCTTAACTGATAGCGGTTAGTCTTGCTTGTAGTCGTTCCTTCTGCTAATAGCCGGCTTGGCATCGATCCGGTCGGACAAGTCTCTTACTCGCAAGTCTAGACTTGGATGCACGACCTCTCATTACCATCATCAACCATTTCCTCCCTCCACAGCCTACGTGGTACAGATTGATTCTTCCCTTTCACGTCCCCTTTCCTCGGATGACCCTGTGTAAGGCTAACTCATTCGGAATTTGAATTACTGTCGACAGCCTTCTAGCCGGAAACTCCCCCTTTTCTCTGACGCCTGCCAAACTGACGCGGAGCAAACCATCCTTCACAACAGAAAGTGTGGTCCCGAGACAGCTTTCTTTGTCTCTCGGTAAGAGGCGACATTTCTCATCCTGCATCATCTGTGCTACTCCTTTGTTCGATTGACAGTCCGCTGTCTGCCGTCATCTTTGGCGAGCGAACTCGGCCGAGTCCCCTCCTGGCCTTGCTACAAGATCTGAAGAAAAGTGACATGACGGTGATGCTAGATCTCAATATCTCCCGGAGAATTTGGTTGCTTTGACTTTTCAATTCCCCTTGCCGCCTTTTTCTTTTCTTTTCCTTTTTTCCCCCCCCCCCCCCTCTTGTTTTGCTATTTGTGAAAACTTTTCTTCAAGTAAATGTGCCCATTGAGCTGATCATGATGGATAGGCTCCGACGCAAAAGTTCTGGCAAACTGGGGTCCCCTCTTTGGCTGAGTGGTTCACGGTCATTGACTTCACATCTTGATCCGCCATCACCCGTGGAACAGAGTTGGCCGCCCACCCCACCATCGGCCAAAGACAGCGACACCAAATCTCTGTCCAGCAGTGTCTGCACTCTTTGGCCAGACCCCTCTTCACCTGGCGCTTCAGAGAGGAAGCCGGCGAGTGTTAGGGCCAAGCACATTCCCATTGACATATCCAAGTACCAAATATCGCAGGCACCTATTCAGGACTATGTTCCAGAAACTGCTACGAAGCCTACGAGTTCAACACGATTGCCACGTCATGTACCTATTGTAATTCCCGAATTTGCCCAACCGCTTGCAAGAGAACTCCGCTCTGCCAGGTCGGACTCCCATATAAAGACCTTACGCGCCTCATCGACCCCAACCACACCGACATTAAAAAGTGGTGTACGAAATTCAAGACGTTCGAATGACGCCAGCACCATTTCACTAACAACCACATCTGACACAAAGGAGAGCACAAATCTGGCGGCCGAGAACAGCCAGGAAGCGATGAACAATAGCCAGGTGAGCCTCGTAAATTCCGAGGCCAGCAATGAGGCTCCAAATGGCTCGACCCAACCTATCAATGGTTCGACGGGAAATATTGGCATATCACCTGGAGTTCCCCAGCAGGGTACAGCTCCGACCAATTTATCTGGATTGGTTTGCAATGTACACAGAACGACGGGGGAAGAGCCCCATGCATTGGTGGGAGCAACCACGACGATTCTCGGAGACAAGCTGTATGTTTTCGGAGGGCGAATACACTCTCGAACGAAACCACAATTGACCTCGGACCTCTACGAACTGGATCTCATTCGTCGCCATTGGGTCAAAATCGATGCGCTCGGCGATATTCCGCCTCCACGATATTTTCATAGCGTGTGCGCTTTAGGTGACTCGAAATTGGTATGCTATGGTGGCATGTCGCCGGCCGTGCATAACAGAAATACCGTCGCCGCCGCCGCTGCCGCTCCGGGATCAAAAGGCGCTACCGATGCCCAACCGGAGGTGGTGGTCATGTCGGACATTCATGTTTTTGATGTTCCTACACGAAAATGGACCTTGATCTCGACCTCCGATAATCCTCAAGGCCGATACGCTCATTGTGCCGCGATTCTACCTTCCTCCGCCGTCTTCACATCTGCCAATGCTCCATTATCTGCCATACAACATAATCCTCCGTCGTCTGACCCTCACTCAGGCACGTTGGGTGTGCAACTGGACGGAAGTGGAGGGGCAGAAATGGTTGTTGTTGGTGGACAAGACAGCAGCAATAACTACATTGAGCAAATCAGCGTGTTTAACCTTCGAAGCTTGAAATGGACCAATACCACCGCGTGGGACCGGAAATGCGGAGCATATAAAAGCATGGTTGCTCCAATGACCGGCTTGTCAGCAGAGCTCATTGGGCGAGGGATTCCTCTCAATGATCCACAAGCATCGAGGGCGAGCTCTCGATCGGGAACTTCGATGCTGATTTATTCGAACTACAATTTCTTAGATGTCAAGTTGGAGCTCCAGATTCGATTGCCCGACAGATCTCTGGTAGAGAAGCCGATGACGGGTGACATATCCCCGCCCGGTCTGCGCTTTCCAAACGGTGGCATCATCAATGGCCATTTCGTGGTCAGCGGAACCTATTTAACGTCATCAAAGCATGAATATGCATTGTGGGCGCTGGATCTCAAGACGTTGACCTGGGCCCGTATCGACACGAACGGTTCGATTTTCTCGCAGGGAAGCTGGAACAGAGGGATTTTATGGAATCGTCGAAACACATTTGTCATTCTTGGACATCGAAAACGCAGCTTGGTGGATGACTATAATCATCGACGGATCAATTTTAGCCACGTGTGCATGGTTGAGCTGGAAGCATTTGGGCTGTATGATAATCCGAGAAAGCAGGCTCCCACGTCAGGCTACGTGTCAGTATCTGCACCTGCGATCCCGGTGTCGTTGCAAACGACTCTGCCGAGTCAGGAAGCTGGCGGACGGCCCTATACCAGCACGGCCGAGCAACTGGGTCAAGCAGCATTAAGTCTGCATGAACTCGCAGACATGGAGATTGTTGCATTGGGGGGGGAGAAAATTCCATGCAACTCATTCCTTCTTTCTCGGCGTTGGGGGCCATTCTTCAATCAGCTTCTGGTCGAATCCGCAGCGGCGCATGAAAGTGGCAGTCTTTCCGATTTAGCAACCTTGCGTCCCAATGCACAGTCACAGCCTAGTCGCAACTCTACCCTTACCATCACACCGAGTGGTATCAATGGGTTGGCTCCGTCGGGCTCTTCAGTTGGCCCCGATGGAATCTTGGATCCACAACGATCTCTAAGTCGATCTACGACGAGAACCTTGGTGGAACTCCCGAATATCATCTCGGTACCTGCGTCGAATCGACCGCGGTCGCTGTACCTACCCCACATGGCCCCTACGATTCAACTGCTACTACACTTCCTGTATACATCTTCCTTGCCACCCGTCGGATCATCATTGTGTACACCTCATACGCTGTGCTCCCTTTTACAAATGGCGCGACCTTATCAGATTGATGGACTACTTGAAGCAACAGTGGAACGACTTCATGAGGTTTTGGATGGCCGCAACTCGGCAGCGGTATTTAATGCGGCGGCAATGGCGGCTGGAGGTGGTCGAAGTATCGGTAGTGCTGCAGGCGGCACCATGGCCAACCTGGGTCGGAGGGAGAGTGAAGCGACGACCGTTGCGGACCAAATCCTAGCTGGCAAGGCTGCAGCGCTCAAGCTTACGACGAACTCCGAGGAAGCGAAAAAGAAGGGGCATGGAAAGTCCAGCTCCACGGATTCGGCGTCGACGGCGACATCGGCTTCTACATCCACAGACATCTCACATGCGGACACGGAGACGTCGGCGCAAGACGAGAATGGGGATCCTGTGAGTAAAGGGGAACGAGAGTCCCGAGAAATGTGGACAGGGGATCTGAGCTCAGTAATTGGCCTTCAGAAACGAGGATTAAGAGGGCTGATGGAAGGTCGACGTTTGAGAGAGAGGGCAAATACCGGGGGAGGTGAATAAAGCCTGCGAAGTCTCTAATATGATTTGTTACAATAGGGAATACATCTAGCCACATGTTTCAATTGTCCAGAGGGGGAAAAGGAGGCGAGATATGACTTTTCGCATGTGATGTTGCTCCGTGCCTCGGCAACTCTGCAGAGATCTCAATTTTTAAGTCCTGCGCCGCTCATCTGACCCCCGTCAGGAACGAATGAGAAAGACGACAAAGAGATCCAGGTCATTTATGAAATCATTTTCCGGTTGAGATCCGGGGCCCGCCAGTCTTTACAACTTTCGCGGAGGAGCGTGACCATTTGATGTACGCACGTGCGTTTAGTTGCCGGAGTAGCATGTGAAAAAATTCGGTACGTAAGGCTTTTTGACGTCTGCCTTACCCATTCCATTCCTTCCCTTTCATTCCGTTCGGACTCTTGACCATTCGTCTACCGCCACTGCACTGATCAATAGATTTCCTCTCCTTCATTTTCTTCTTCTTCGTGTCTTGTACTATTACGGGCATTCCATAGACCGTCTCCCCCTCTCGTCGAGGTACAATTGTGCAACATGTCCAAAGCTTTCTCAATCGCCGACGTGGCATCCCACAACAGGGCAGACGATCTATACATTATCGTTGATGAAGACGTCTACGATGTGAGCAAATTCCAAGATGAGCATCCTGGTATGTCGGGACCCAATCCGTGACCTCCGAAACAGCCGTACTGACAAAGCACTGCAGGTGGGAAGAAGAGTGAGTTCTGATCGCGCCATCTTTTGCGCCTCTGCTGTATCTCGTTTCCTGACACAAAATCCTACAGTCCTCCAACGGGTGGCCGGCAAGGACGCTTCTAAGCAGTTCTGGAAATATCACAACGAGAGCATCCTCAAGAAATACAAGGCAAAATTGCAGGTCGGTTCAGTGGATACCAAGAAAGTGACGGCTCCTTCGGCCCCACCGGCGGAAAAGAAAGAGAAGGTCGTCCCTCAGGGAACTGTTGCTCCTGCCCCGGTTCCACGTGCCCAGGAATCGGCCGAGGCATTGGATCCCTACGGTTCTCTCATTCCCTTTGGCGATCCGAATTGGTATCAAGGAGTGAGTGGCGGGCTCCAGCTTATTCTCGATGCGATGTTAACCCGGACGCCAGTACCACTCCCCCTACTACAATGAGACACACGCGGCACTCCGAGCCGAAGTCCGAGAATGGGTCGAGTCCGAGATCGAGCCATATGTTACCGAGTGGGAAGAGGGAAAGAAAGTGCCGGATAGCATCTATAAGCAAATGGGTGAACGGGGGTATCTGGCCGGTCTACTCGGTGTCAAGTATCCCAAACATTTGACTAAAAACACTGTCAAGAGCGTGCCCCCTGAGAAGTGGGATCTCTTCCACGAAGTGCTGCTCACTGACGAGCTTTCGAGAACGGGATCTGGCGGCTTGGTTTGGAATCTGGTCGGTGGATTCGGCATTGGATGCCCTCCCTTGGTCAAATATGGCAAGAAGTCCCTGGTCAATCGCATTCTCCCCGGTATTCTGGCGGGTGACAAGAGAATCTGTTTGGCCATTACCGAACCCGATGCTGGTTCTGACGTGGCCAACCTGACTTGCGAGGCGAAACTCTCCGAGGACGGCAAATACTATATTGTCAACGGTGAGAAGAAATGGATCACCAACGGTATCTGGTGTGATTACTTCACCACCGCTGTGAGAACCGGTGGCCCCGGAATGAATGGAATCAGTCTGCTGTTGGTCGAGAGAGGAGAAGGAGTCAGCACGAGAAGAATGGATTGCCAGGGTATGTGGAGCAGTGGAACCACATATATCACCTTTGAAGACGTCAAAGTGCCCGTGGAGAACATATTGGGCAAGCCCAACAAGGGATTCCAAGGTAAATCGACCCCCGTCAGTCTCTTTTGGAAGTGTGCGTTGAGGGCTGATTGAGGCAACAGTGATCATGACCAACTTCAACCACGAGCGGATTGGTATCATCATCCAATGTCTGCGCTTCTCCCGAGTCTGCTTTGAAGAATGCGTCAAATACGCATCCAAGAGGAAGACATTCGGACAGAAACTTATCAATCATCCCGTGATTCGAATGAAGCTGGCGCATATGGCCCGACAGATCGAAGCTAGCTTTGCATGGTTGGAGAATATCATTTACCAATGTCAGAAGATGGGAGAGACCGAGGCCATGTTGAGGCTAGGAGGTGCCATTGCGGGTCTCAAGGCTCAGTCGACGACGACGTTTGAATTCTGCACCAAAGAGGCTGCTCAGATCTTTGGTGGTCTTGCCTACTCGCGAGGTGGCCAAGGTGGAAAGGTTGAGAGATTATATCGGGATACTCTGGCGTACAAGATTCCCGGTGGAAGCGAGGAGATCATGTTGGACTTGAGTATTCGACAGAGTATGAAGGTGCATCAGGCACTAGGGATGAAGTTGTAGGCTTTTTCCCCCGGATGCTTAGGTCACAGAAAACAAAAAACACAAACCTTTTCCTACAAAACTCCCTGGATAGTCAAAGTCAGACCACTGGAATCGATGTTTAAGAAAATCGGATATCACGTGTAAAAATCACGTGCCACAACCGTCCACGTGACCTAGAGTCATAAAGTGTAGTGCTTGAAAGTACGATTGATCCTCGACCCACTCCACTCAGCCTCTTCTGTCTTACTCGATCCCTCTCTTCTGGAAATTCTGTGAAACCTGTCTCATCGATTTCATGCATTTTGCCTTCCAACGTGCTGTCATGTTACGACACAATACTCTGACACTGGAGCTGACATCTTTATTCTGAATGGACGAGTTTCAGTTCTTGCACTCAACGGGGTCAAGCTTGGACAGTGAAAGCCGCCAAGAAAATCCACTCATGCAGGTACAACACAGCCGATACGTCACCAGTGGCACGTTTTTCTTCTTTCACCCCCTGTAGCCGACGAACAGGATTGCTGCAACGGCACAGACCCCTGGTTTGCTCTCTGTCAACCACCATATCCAACATTCGTCAGCATCAAGAGCTCACCGTTGTACCGAACCGAACCACCCGTCATGATCATGATCATGACCTTGGGCCTGGCTGTGGCCATCGAATGACATTTCTGCGCCTCGATCCTTCGGCATTGCATCTTGCCACGCCGAAAGAACCTTCTACAGAGCCACTGCAAGACTTGAACCTAGCATTGAGAGCTTTTTGCAATGCGGCGTTAAATATCCACCCAAACGTCCTCCCCTACTGCTTCCTTTTTGTCATCAGACAATTTATTCAACCTTTTGTATCATATCCCTATTTCCTTGAATTTCTCTTTATATTCCTCCACTCGTTAACTCATACCATTACATTTAATCATGCGTACCTCGCAAATTCTCGCCCTTGTGGCGGCCCTTCCTTCCACTCTCGCGGCTTACAAAGGCTTCAACTATGGCTCAACAGGACGAGACCAAGCAGCTTTTGAGGGCGAATTCAACTCGGCAAAGAACCTTGCTGGTTCTAGTTATACATCTGCCCGTCTGTACACTATGATTCAAGATGGAACTACAAACACTCCCATTTCCGCCATCCCTGCCGCCATCAGCACTGGTACCTCCCTCTTGCTCGGTCTGTGGGCTTCGGCTGGTGATGATCAATTCGCCAATGAGCTTGCTGCTTTGAATGCTGCCATTTCTCAATACGGCTCCGCTTTCACCGATTTGATTGCTGGTATCAGCGTTGGATCCGAAGATGTCTACCGCATTACCCCTATCGGGGTCGCGAGCAATGCAGGCGTCGGTGTCGGCCCGGACGTTATCATTAACTACATGGGACAAGTTCGATCCGCTATCGCCGGCACTCCGGCAGCCGGCAAGCCTGTCGGTCACGTAGACACCTACAATGTTTGGACGAACTCCAGCCAGAATAATCTGATCGCTGCTTGCGACTTCATCGGGATGGACGCATATCCTTATTACGAAACCACTAAAGCGAACTCCATTGGCAACGCAAATGCCACTTTCTGGGACGACTACGATGTCACCGTTGCCGCCAGTCAAGGCAGGCCTGTATGGATCACCGAGACCGGTTGGCCAGTTTCCGGCCCAACTATGAATGAAGCCGTGGCCTCGGTTGACAATGCAAAGACCTACTACGACGACGTTGCTTGCCATGCTTTTGCCAGTGGAGTCAATACCTGGTGGTACATTCTTCAAGACACCGGTGCCGATCCTAGCTTTGGTCTTGTTGGCCCTGGCACTCCTCCTCCAACCACTCCAATCTACAGCTTATCCTGCTAGAAACCGGGTCTCTGATAAACATGACTTTCTTAAATTCGAGTTGACTCAATGAGGAGAGTTGGATAATGCATGATGGTAGGAAAAAGAAGGAAAAGGGAGGAAAAATTATGGCACCGGTTTGGCAAAACTGGAAATGGCATTGTCACTCGTATATCCGGTATGATCAATCACTAGAGGCACATGATAATGAAGAATTATAATTCAAGCGTACGAAACTTTGACAGATTTGATGTTCGGAAAATATCTGACTATTCTGCAAGACTGTATTTGCTGATTTTAACGCCGAGTACGAACAGGGATCATCTAAAACCACTTATCGTGAAGAGCTGACCCTGGGAGAAGGCCATGGTCACGTGGATGGAGGCTACCACATTAGGAAACGCCACAACAAACAATCGCATCAGCCATCCACCATTGAAACAACACTTTCACCCCCGCCTCTATGCCGCTTGTTTTTCCCTCAGAACTAACCACAACTCATATATGGTCCTGCTTCAGTCGCCAGAGAGCTTGTTCTCATTTCTCGTGCAGGATTCTAGGATAAGCTCCTTCAACGACCCTGAGCCCGCAGCTAGCTGCTTTCCATCTCAATGCAGCACTAAGCATCCGTAATCGACTTCGAACACGCGTTTTCCGCTATCGAACGAAAACGAACCGCCTCCTCTCTGAAATCTACGAGAGTTATCGCACTTAAGACAGGACGCGACCACTCCGCTTAATATATTCCCTCCCTCCCTTCACTTGGCGCAGTCAACATGGCCCCTAAAAAAGCTGTCAGTCCGGCCAAACCTCGTCGCATTACGCGAGCTCGTGCAGCTGATGGCGATGCTAATTCGGCTCTCGACGAACCCTCGATACGGAAAACGAAAGCCGCTTCAGCAGCTCCAACAACGACACGAACCAGAGCAATTGAAGCGAAGTCTCGAGTTACGAAGACAGAACCGAGTCTAACTAGAACAACCAGAGGTGGAAAGTCAAATACGAGATCATCCAAATCTGTTGACATTGATACCGAGGATGAAGGCGAAATTGCCGTCGCGGTCCCTGAGCCAGGGACCAAAACATCTCGGTCCACCCGCTCAACACAAAATCCTTCAGTTACAGCGACCGCCTCATCCTTGGCCTCCGCACCACGTCGACGAATCAAAGTCACACCATTGGATGCGGTGAACAGTGAACCGGTTGCCCAGGCCGAGCCGGAGGTAAAGTCCGCAAAGAAAACCTCCACCAAGACCACGAAAGCGAAGACAGCAGCTTCCAAATCTACTACCTCACGCAGAAAGAAGGATGCCGCTGCTACTAAACTGGACGAGAAGAATGATGAAGGCGTAGAGACCGAGATGGCAGACCCAGAACCGAAGAGGCCTGGCGGAGGACGGTCAACAAGAGCCAAGGCTGAGGGTGAACCAAAAGCCACCACCAAATCTTCGTCTACGACCTCCAAGAGTCGAGGTAGATCGAAGAAAGAAGGCCATGCTGTTGAACCAACAGAAGAGGTCAAAGTTGCTCCTGTCACCACCAGGCAGACTCGGGCTAGAGCAGGTTCAGCTACGTCATCTGTTGCTGCTGAACCGACGGTCAGTGTAGTAGTCCCACCCCGAAAGAGGGTCACATTCCAAGATCTCACAGATGATGAGGATGAGAAGGAGAATCAACAACCTGCCACGATATCGAAATCGAGAACTACGAAACAGACCTCAGCTGCTACAAAGGAGACTGAGACTGCAGCAAAAGGAATGCGTGCAAAACCAATCCGCAGGCCGGCTCCTACCAGAATTACCAAGGCAACTCGGGGGGCTTCCAATAAGTCAACTATGGACTCAATAAAGGAGGCAGATGTCGAAGAGACAGGGAAAGTCCCACCACGAGCTTTGACTCCGAAGAAAATCACTCAGGTTGCAAAAGCTCCGGTCTTCGACAGCAGCGATGATGATGATGAGAAGGAGGAGGAGGATGAACTTGCTGGCGCAAAGACTCCAATTCGTGATCTTAGCCTTTCATCCAAACGTCGCACCAGTGCTTCCGTCCCTCGTTCGGTCTCTCCGATTAAGAAACTTGATTTTACACCGGCATTGACGGCAACGTGTCCAGAGAAGACAAATGAGCACGGCATAATCGGCGTTTCGAGTCCCCCTCGGCGTCCACCTACTTCACCGTTCAAAGATTCGTTGAAGGAATCTCCCCGACGAGCACCAGACGGCGTCACCGTTTTCAAAACCCAGATTCAAGATTCGAACAATACTGGATCTCTGGCTTTGAACCCGCCCAACAGCCGAGCTCTCCTTCTCCAGTCTCCAAAGCGAGGTCTTGCCGACAAGACTACATTCCCTCCATCTGCCATGAAATCGCACAACTCGTCTTTGAAGCCATCCTCGCTCTCTTCACCAGCTAGGCGATTATTTTCTCCCTCTAGGCAGAAGATGCCTGTTCGGATATCACCTGCGCCAAAGAAGAAACACTCTATTCCAGCTTCCACACCAGCGTCTGAGAGGCAAAGTAAGAGTCCCGGTAACGTTGATCTTCAAATGTCATCTCATTTCAGGTCTTCTGTTTCACCGCAGCGTTCCGCGAGAGTATACAGAATGAGTGACGATGAGCTGGCTCAAGAGGTGGGCGAAGATCTTGATTTTGATCAGTCTGTCTTGAATATCCGAAGCCCATTGAAAGCGCCCAAGGTCAAGCCTATTGTGAATGATGAACTGGATCCTGTGAATATAGACCCAGCAGCGGATCGAGGCGACGATGACGAATTGGACGACCACGATCAGGAGAGGTATCTGGTCCAATCATCAGAGAATGCTCTTGCGGAACAATCGGGGCAAGGTGGCCAAGATAACGAGGAGACCATGCTCGATCCTGAGCCGGAAGTTGAAGAGGTTTTGGAGCAAGAGGAGGTCGCAGAAGTTGAGGAAGAATCCAGTCGGGTTCCTGAACCAAAGTCAATTACTCCACGAGTTCTCGAGAGATCTAGCAAGAAACCTAGGGTATCTGACGCCCTGTTCAGCCGCCTCAGAGAAATAGATGACGACTCAGAAGATGAACTTGCCGCGGATCAAACACCAGACATGAGAATGCTCAAACCTAAGTTCCGACCAAGTTGGAGTCAAGCAAACATTCGATCTCGTATATCGACAGGCGTCGTCCCCGCAAGCACGTCGAAAAATCTCGGGTTTACTCCTCTCGCGGCACAACTGAAGGGATGGCGTGCTGGCAGCCCTGAAAAGAAGGTCGGACTCAAGAATATGTCTGAGTCACAGGGTATTTTCTCGCCTCTTGCACAAATGCATATTGCCGGGTCAGTGGAGGTGAATAGGCAAGACACACCTGTCCGTCACACTCAGAAGCAAAAGTCATTGGCAAACAGATTATCTTTTGCTCCTTCGATGATAGACAGCCCTGCGAGGCCTGAATTCTTCGCCGAAAGTATGGCCGCGCAAGATTTTGAAGATCAAGTCGGAAGCCACGAGGGTGTTGAACCAGGTGAATACGAGGATCTCCATGATCTTATCCCGAAAGATGGTGTTGAGCGAGCTGCCTCAGGAACTGATACGGCTAGTGGTAGTGAGGGCCGGGGAGACGAGTCCGAGAGCGTTCATCAAGAGCCGGTTGATCTCACAACCGACCTGATCAATTTTACGAATGCTTCGAATACTGCCATGATTGATTTTAAAGCTCTGGCGAATGAAGCAGAGGGCCTTGCTGCCGAAGAGGAGCAATCCATGCTGTCCACTCCATCTGAAGTGTATGGTGACGAGAATACGGCCCCTGTTGAACAGACAACGGAAATCTTGCATAGACGAAATGGCCACGAAGAAGTCATTGAGGAGACTATAGACAAGAATGTCCTCATCAACGACCCACAGAATGATGATGACCGGGAAAAGAACAAGCAAAATGCCCACTCGTCCCGTGAAGAAGCGGACATTGTGGAGGAACAAGCTCATGAAACCTCGATTCCTTCTATCGAAGTCAACACTTCTATCCCTTCGACAGGCGACGCTGAGCGACTGGGCATAGATGATGCTGTCGAGGAGATCGATTTCAACGTTACACCGATTCGACCAGATCCTAGTCTTCCACGGTACGTCAGCACAGTGGTTTCCAAAGTCCCATTACGACCTGAAGGTCAGATTCCGTCTGTTCTGTCCCCTCTCAAAGTGCAGAGAAAGAGACCCAGGTCTATGTCTTCATCCAGTTCACTTGCTCTCAAGAAGCCAAATCTTGGAGTCAGCTCGAATGGTTTTGTGTCCGTGGCAGAGCCTCTTGCAACTCCCAAAGGGAGAGAAGAATTCGGGTTTTCGCCTCAGAGGAAAATTCGCAGTGCAGCGCCTAGTCCGGCACATTCTCTCTCCGTCAATGTGACAACACCTGACCGGATGAGCTTTGTTGTTGATGACTTCGGGGATAGCACTCTGGATGGAATTGAATTGCCGGAGGACGAATCGATGTCTGATGATATCACCAACAATCCCAGTTCCGATCAGGAAACGGAAAGACTCGATCATGATGAGAGCGTCTTGACTATTGGGTCTGCATTCTTCAAGACACCAAAGATCCCCGCCAAAAGTGCCAGTATGCTTTCGACTGTCAGATCCAATGAGATTGCAACATCTCCCTACGCCATGAGTCATGGGCAGGCAACTCCAAAAGCCACTCCTTCAAGGACGGCGGTGTCCACATCAAAAACACCGGCTACGCTCATGAAGTCAAGGACACCATATGCTTTACACCAAAGCAAGACTAGCGCTAAAACTCCCCTAGCAGGTCGTGCTCCCCTGAAGCCAGTCGGGTACGGGTTTCTCCATGGCGCTGTCGTTCATGTCGATGTTCATACGAGTGATGGAGCCGATGCCTCGGGGTGTTACGTCGAATTGCTCATGGAAATGGGTGCTCGATGTGTCAAAGAATGGAGATGGAACCCGAGAGCCAGCAGCTCTGGGAATGAACCAGTTTCAGCCGAGGTACCAAGTACAGGCGTTGGTGTCACACATGTTGTCTACAAAGATGGCGGGAGGCGAACATTGGAGAAAGTTCGCGCGGCCAAAGGTCAAGTTCTTTGCGTCGGCTTAGGTTGGGTTCTCGACTGTCAACGCGAGGGCAAATGGTTGGATGAATCGGCTTATGCCGTTGATGCAAGTATCATGCCCCGTGGTGGTTCCAGAAGACGCAAGTCCATGGAACCTAGAACGTTGATCAATGAGAACGGATTCCTCTCCGCATCCAGGGCGAATAGAAGGTCATTGTCTGCCGAGTATGCAGGTTTGACGGAAGAGATGAAGATGGATTTGATCAATACTCCTGTTCGAGGCCGAGAAGACCAGATTGAGGACGAGTCTGAGATCAGTTCCACCTACAACTCGCCCACAGCAGCGACGGTAGGTGAAGGTGGTCAGACTGCTGATGTCGGCTATTTGCTGTCGTCTGCACAAGCGCCTGATAATGACGGCGACCAAGATTCATCGGTGATCAGACACACGCATACGCCTCATATCAACAATAACAAGATGAACTCGAACCAGGCAAATCCAAATACTCCTCCATCCACGAACTTGTCCGTGGACTACGATCCACGCACTGCAGCGACGCCGTTGACTCCGTACCTGATCGCTAAGGGCAGGGAGTTGATCCAGATGAGTGCGCCGCCAAAACAAATCAACAAAGGCATTTTTGATCGCGATGACGATGGTGAGAATGAAAATGGAGGTGTTGCAGGAGGGAAGAGATTTCAGATCAAGATGAATGGGAATGGGAAAGCAAGAGTCTTGGGCGATGCAGCGAGAAGGAGGACTCTCGGAGCCGGATTGGGGTTTAAACCGGTTGTTGGAAGTCCATTGAGGAACGAATAATCAATCGTGTCCGCCAGAAGGATACAGTTTGACAAATTGGCTAAGGAAAGGGAAATGGGATATGATGACTGCTCGGAATTTGTCTTGTGTTTATTCAGATCGGCTTGAAACGGTTTTTGGTCTGTCGTTTGGTTTTGGACTTCATACGGCTGGGATTGGATTTGGATCCAGAATCAAAACCGTGCGAAGCGTACATATAGAGACGAGGCTTCAAGTAAAATGTCCATTTCCTTTTGTACATTTCACCTTTCGCCTGTTTCCTTCACCATTTTCTTTCTTTTCTTTGTCGTTTGACCTTTTCATATTTCGGCTTTTTTCTTTTTCCCTTCTCACCGTCGCGAAGATTGGTAATGGAGTGGGCTAAGGTGTCTCAAGAAGTCTAGCTTTTATATCGTCTCATTCATAATGATATTGACGTTCGAGTCCCATTTACGTCCATTTTTCTCGTATCATTTTGATTCTCGCGATAAAATCCCGCAACTAAAAATGCCAGTTCGAGCGCCTGTTTCTCATTCAGCCTTGGATCGCAGAACGTCGCGTAGTTGAGACTCAGGTCCTGTTCAGTCAGTTCCTCGGCGCCACCAACGCATTCGGTCACGGCTTCTCCCGTCAACTCAAGGTGGACGCCGCCCAGGTAGCTGGACATGGAGCGGTGGATTTGGAGCGCTTGTTTGAGCTCAGACAAGATATCACTGAAGCGTCGGGTCTTGATCGTGGAAGTTTCAGGATCACCAGGGGCGGATGTGGAGGGAACTTGGACCGTTGCATTTCGCCCGTTGCCATGCATCGGGTCGCATTGCCAGACGACAGTGTCGCGGTGGGGGGAGGCTTGGACCGCGCGGATATGACCTGGTAAATGTGTGGCGATTTTGTCGTGGCCATAGCGGGTTATGAGGACGATTTTGCCGATTTCATGGCTTGGGTTGAGGATGTCGAGGAGAGGGACAAGGTCTGAAGCTGGCATGCTGGGGCCGACTTTGACACCGATGGGGTTGGCGATACCGCGACAAAACTCGACGTGAGAGTGTGTGAGTTGGCGAGTGCGATCGCCGATCCAAATGAAATGGGCGGATGTGTCGTAGTAGCCTTGTGTCGGGGGTGGAGGGGGTGGAAGTTGTGTTGGAAGCGAGGCTTGGCGGGTTTTGTGAATTGAGGAGGAGTGAGATGGTAATCGTGTTGGCTGAAAGGCGTTGGAAGGGTGTTTGGAGAGACGGGTTAGAGATTGCTCGTATTCAAGGAGTAATCCTTCGTGTGAGGTGAAGAGGTCGACCGTCTCGAGGCCGCCGCCTGTGTCGAGTCCGATCGTGCGCATCATCTCTAATGTGTCGGTGATGCGCTCCACGATCACTTGATATTTATCCCGGACCGTGGGATCGCGGACATGGCCTAGACTCCAGTCCAGTGGAGCATGTAGGTCCGCGAGACCAGAGGAGACCGCCGCCCGGAGGTAATTCTGCGTGGCGGCTGAATGGAAATATGCGTCCACGAGTCTCTTTGGGTCTGGTTCTCGGGCTTTGGGGTCTGGTTCGTAGCTGTTCAAGATGTCGCCTCGAAAACTGGGCATGGCGACGCCCTTGACCGTCTCCATGGGAGATGAGCGTGGTTTGGCATATTGTCCTGCCATCCGGGCGACGCGGACGACTTTCTTCTTTGCTCCATAGATCAAGACCAGCGACATTTGCAGGAGTAATTTGACCTTGGCCTCGATCATGTCTTGGGTGCAGTAGTCGAAGAGTTCGGCGCAGTCGCCGCCTTGGAGTAAGAAAGCATTTCCCCGTGCGACTTCACGGAGCTCGTTCTTAAGTTTGACGATTTCTCGCGGACTCACGAGAGGTGGGAGCTTGTTGAGTTTGTCGATGGCTTGGGTGAAGCTTTGGGTGTCGTTGTACGTCACGGATTGGAGGACAGGTTTGGATCTCCAGCTTGAGGGTGTCCAAATGGATGAAGGGCCGTCTTGTGCCATATTTTAAAGCACGCGGATAGAGAATTCAGAATCCGGTCCCGGTCACTGTATATGTCTTTTCTTGGGAGGAGGGAGAAAATTATTGAATCTTCGATATGGGAGCAGATGTCTTCGTTTCGAGTGTGCTCGCGGAGTTTGGGGGAAAATTTTCCAGCGCCGTAGAAATGCTCAATGACCCTTGGCCCACAAATGAGTGCAAATGTTTGTATTGAAGGAGACATGGCCCTCCCCCCGATCATGAGGTGGCCATGGTGATGCACGACAGTGAACTCGGCAGAAGGAAAAGTTCTCGATGTCTTATTGTCAATTGGGGCGCCATTCCTCTTTGGGAATCACAGAATTGAAACTCGAGAACGCACCCTTTCATACTTACCTTCCCCGTCACGCCTCATTCCTCACCCACCACCGAAATGGCCGAGCCCATACCATCGGCTTCGACAGCCGTAGACGCTGCGGACGATGAAACCTCTCAGAACCTACCCGCCAGCGCCGAGGACCGCAAAGCTGCGGCGGCCCTCAATTCATTGAATGCCAATGACATGTCCCAAGAGAATGGGGAGACGGCCACCAAACAACCCTCTGCAGCGGATCAAGAGGCCTTGGGGAAAGCTATGTCAAGACTCGAGATTGCCGGTGGAGTCAGGAAGAAGAAGGAGGATCCTAAGAAGGCAGAGACAAAGAAGGAGGTCGAGGTGAAGAAGAAGGTCAAGATTGCGGCTGAGGATGTCAACTTTTTGGTGCGTAACAGTGGCAATCGCTTGGACGCGGTGAGAATATGGAACTGACATGAATGCAGATGGAGGAACTGGATCTCTCCAAGCCCAAGGCTACAGAACTGCTGCGATCTCATGATGGAAATGCCACTCTTGCCATCAAGGCCTTCATCACACCAGCCGTTAAAGGATAGAAGATCCAAAAGGCCCCCTCCTACGATCCGAAGGAATCAAATCACCCCAGCGACCAATTGAGTTGTGTTGACTGAAGCGGGCGGTTATACTCGACTTATGAGTCATCCTCATTACGGAGTACATAGAGCCCAACCTGTCCGGTTTCGATTTTACGCTCATGAGCAGATTTAATATTAATCAGGACTAGGAGAAAGAGAGATCGTCGAGCGAACGAGTTGGTCTCAAGCGCGGCGAAGCCAGCATTCGTTCGAGCCGCCGACTTGTCCATTGTGTTTCATGGTTGACAGTTGCATCTCTGAACTAGGGAGTCCAGCGAACTTGCGTCCCCTTGTTGTCGAGTACTGCATCAGAAAGTTGGACATGGTGCGAAGTATGTGACACGATGCCGATAGTTGAGTCCTCGGTCGGGCAGATAGATCCTGTATACGTCAATGGGAATAGATCCCGCTCTGCAACCAGACAGTCAGGATGTGATGGTATTGTCTTCTCCAGTCCTTTTTCAGCGTCTGCCCTCCGGGTCATCTTCGGCAAGCATGGCTTCCGATTCGTGATAGCGATAAGTTTTCTTCTCCATTTTCTTGCATCGTGAACCCACTTGGCTCATTTTGGGACGGATGAGACCGCCGACGGAGTTGCTTTGTATGAGGAATGGACGTACGCAGGAGGGTCTTGGCAGGTTGCGGGAGAAATATTTGTAAATTTGTTGATCCCCAGATGTGCCCAGGAGAGGAATAACTGTATAGTCTCGATCGAGCACATCTTGACAAAGCGCTTTTCCTGTTGAGATGGTGAGGCCAATGGGTGTACAAGAGTGGACAGTAAAGGAGGTTAGCCACCTTTTTCTTTTCTCTCCCCAGCAGACGAATTCTAAATTATACCAGGCGTACTATCCTTCAAAATGTGGTCTGGGGGAAGGTCCTTACTACACTGAAGAGCGTCATGAGCTTCGGTACATGGTGTGTCAGTCGTTTTGAGTGATGCTGCACCCGTGTTGACAGGGGAATCAGGATATCAACAACAAGAAAATCTTCATCATTGATCTGGCCAAAGGTCCCGATTCGATCCGGATCATCGACACCAAGATGCCCATTGGCGTAACGGCAAATATCGAAGGCGTTGATTCCTCGGAAATCATCCTAGCCGGGGCGAAGGACGGCGTGACCAAATTCAATCTCAAAACTGGAGAGCATGATTATGTGGCCAAATATTGGAGCGGACCAATGGCACCGGACCAGACAAGAAGGTAAGACACGGAAAGTGGGAGGATGATCGATCTCTCACTTCCTTGGTAGAATGCGATCGAATGATGGCGCCGTCGACGCTCAAGGTCGATTCTGGGTTGAAGCATTTGTTGATCCCAAAGTGTCTGAACTGACCCCAGAAGGCGTCTTGTTTCGACTTGATCATGATGGAACACTACGCACCATGCACGAGAGCATGATAATCCCGAACGGCATCACCTGGAATGAAGATGACAATACCATGTTCTTTACCGAGTCTATCTCACAGAACGTGTATGCGTGTGATTACGACTCCCAAACCGGAGATATCTCCAACCTGAGAGTCTTCTTCCATCTGAGCGAAGAAGGAATACATCCCGACGGGCAGGCCATGGATGTTGAGGGGAACATCTGGCAAGCTTGCTACGGTGGTTCCAAAGTGATTCGAATATCCCCTCAGGGTGAGATAACTGGGATTATTCACCTTCCAACACGTAATATCACTTGCCCTACCTTCGCTGGCACCCAATTATTCATCACTAGCGCCGAGGAATCTGAGCCTGACCAGTATCCTGAGTCGGCCCAATTTGCTGGAAATTTGTTCAGAGTGGATGTCGGAATCAGGGGCATGCCGAGGTACCGGGCTCGCTTGATTTAGAAGACTTTTCGTGTTCTTCTAGAAACGAAACGGTCGACCAGGGGGGAGGGTGAAATTAACATCGATGCAATCGTATCGAATGAAACGTCATGGCTCAAGGGGGAAGAGAATGACAATTCGCGCAAGGTCGGGTTGGAACAGGGATCTCTTCCCCAGCACAGGGCTGACTGCGCCTCGACAAGGCTGCTGGCCCCTGGTCGCAAATAGTCCTGTCTAGGGTAGACGAGGACGGCGCAGGCGCAGCCTTATTGCTAGGATCTCCATCCCAATAAAACAAGCGAGAGACATTCCTTTGATCAGCCATTTCGAGAATGGGATTTCCCGTACATGCCAATGATTCCCTCAATATTTGAGAAGATCAATTTCTCCAAGCGGTCTTTTGCGACGTCCTTAGGCCCTACCGTATTCTCTCCCGGAGCTAGTCATGGAACATTTCCTGTTTCTCGAATGCATCAGCATCTCCACAGTCCTTGTTCTATCGAAATTTGCGGGATTGCGAGGTGCCACTGATGTGGTACGAGCGCATGCTTTTTCTCAAATCTTGTTGCGCACCAAAAATTCAGACGAATTCAATGTTGATTCTCGAAAACACCCCCGGCAAATGTTGGGCTAGGCAAGGGTCACCATCAAGCCCGCCTGCGACAAAAAGGTTCTCGGCAATGCAAGCAGCCTCCCCCCAAAAGAAAGGTCGTCCTTTAATTTTCAAGGCTGTCAAATTCAACAACCTTCAAAACGATCTCGTGCAAGTCCGGTAGGCAATCTAGGTGAGCGGAAGACGGAACGTAAGATCCTGGGGAAATTTGAGGCTTTTCGTTTCTGAGACAAGGACGACTCTCCTCGCAGTCTGCCTAACAATCACCTGAAGTCGACAATACACACGCTCTCTCTCTCTCCCTTAATAGGGGTGAACCGCTTGCGAAACGAGAGATGACAATTCAGAGACAACACGGATGTCTGCCGCATTTCGCCTTTTTTTGGGGGGGGGGGGGGGAGCGATGATTGGTCCCCCGTACATTATCCCGAATCGACACCTTGCTTATACCCCTCGGTGTCGTCAGTGTGATTGGATTGCTCCGAAATGGGACGTACAATTTGCTTTGGGAGTGAACGAGAAATCAATTCTTGTTCCTATTGTTTGAAAATCCTGCGCCTCACCTCGCCGTTTCCGGGCCCTGACTCTGGCTACGAGCAAGGCACCAGAATGGCCACGCTAAACAGAATGGTGGACCGACCGCGCACCGAGCCTTCGTCATTGACAATAAAACGGAAACGGCCCCTGCGAGCATGGGTGCAACCATGACCAGGGATGGAGACCCTAAGGATTGGGTTGCAGGGGATGCTAAGCCCCATGGACAGCAAATCCCACGTGGCCGACCTTCCTGACCAGCCGTCTCCCTGGTTATCCAATTATCAATTGTCTACGGCCATTCCATCATCTCTGGCTCCAAGCGGACGGAAGTCGGCCAATGGAGCCGGCCCTTGACTAACAACAAGGAAACTGCATTGAGAATGACTTTCGCCCCGAGCAGTGTCCCGGTGGTGTGGACTATGGACATCGCCGGATTCTCAAGAGTGCTTGCTTCCTTGGTGCCCAGCTGCTACACTAGTTATGAGCAAGCTTGGACCATTTGGAAACATTGACCGATATGGTTTTCGAATCAGTATCCCAGGCCCGGCACCATCGCCACGATGGGAAGTGAATCGTACCGAGATCTTCGACTCTGATGTCTAACAATGTCCTGATATCGGCGTCCTTTACAAAATCGTACCGGATGGTTATTTTGGCCCCCCACTCTTAGGTATATTCCCTCCACTCAACAATGCGCGCCATGTTGCACAAATGACGTGCCGAAGTCTTCATGATCGACATGAAATTATACGAATATACAACAGGAATGCAAGTCAGGGGTTCTGGAGGGAATTGCACTAAACGCTCGCTTCACTGCGATTTGTGAGGACACTGCAGCAAAGCTAACCGCAAGAGAACTGAACCACCGCCGCCAAAATTGGACCTCAGGCTCAGAGAACCACAGTATTGGCTCAGTGGAGAGCGGAGCATTCCACAGATGGATGCGTATCTGATGTTGCTGGATGCAGCAATTAACGACTGCAGCAGGCGCAGAACAGAGACTCTTCACCGTATTAACCCACGACTTGACCGGCTTCTACGTTTAACTGGTCCGCAATGGGGACCGTCGATCAGCCCCAAAAAACAAGTAAATGTCCGCTCCAAAGAGCAACGATTATCCAATCAATCATGACTTGATCGGTCAGGAGGGCCACCAGTTGAGATCAACCACGAGGCCTCTTGTGAATATCAGATGCCCTGGTGAGAGCCAGTGAAGTCCAAGAAGTTCGGTTGTCATCTCAGCCATCGGCACGGATCCGTCCTTTTGACCTTTTAGGCGCCCATTTCAACAGTTCGGCAACTATGGGAACAACCACGTCCGCTGGCATGGATTTATCTTATCTTGCGGGTCCCCGAATACAGTTCACCTGCAGGTTTGGGGCTGCACTGCTGCAGATGCGCGGGAGCTGGCCTGGGGACTTGCATATCGCACCAACCACCTGCAGCTCCAATCGTGTCCGAGGCAGCCAAACGGAGGATTGGATGCATAAGGTCACTCCGTGGCGTGGAACGCACTTGCAGCACTATCTGCTGTTAGTCATGAAACTGACTGACCGTATCCAAAGGACATCGCGATGTGATGTGGTAATGCTGTGTGCCCGGATGGGCTGCGATATCACTGACATAGTCCAACCTTAGAAAGCCTGCCTTTTTATTGAGGAACGACCCTTGCACCATTTTATCCTTCGTGTGGGGTGTCGTTCGGATCGAGCTGAATCCATTCATCGTACCGCTACGGAGACCTCCGAACTTCACAATAGACGTCCAGATTCAGCATTCATGGTTCCAGCCCACCAGGAGGGCGGAACATGGCAATTTGAGCCGAACCACTTTCTCCTTGACCTGGGGAGAAGAGATGACTACTTTTTTGGGGTTTCTTTTTTTTTTTTTCTTTTAACGGAAATTTATGACCACACCAGTACCATGATTGTGCAACATTCCGTAGGTGAGGACGACACACCATTGCGCTCTGGTAGTCTTCCAAGCCGAACTCTACTGTTAACACATTTTTGGGACGCTCACCGTGGATCTGATGTTCTGGGACTCCCGGCTCAGCCTGCGGCTTCTTTTCGGTCACCTTGTCCCGGTAGCTTACCTGATTCGACGGTTCCCACAGCTAGGAACTTTTTTATTCAGCGCTGCCAGTTCGACCGTCTAATCAATATGCCCAACACAGTATAGCATGGGGGCTTCTTCATTAATTATACCCACGCTTGATGATTTACGGTCGGGATTGATATCCACAAGTGGTGAAAATTATGCTGAAGGAACCACTCGCACATTCGCGACCCTCCCCAGAAGAGGTATATTGCAGGAACCTAAATTTACTCATGCAGGCAAGACGAGTTGAGACAGTCCCAAACCACTGGCTCTTGCACTTCTCACCCCCTTGGAGGTCATGATCGACATGATCACTCAAGACGCGCCTGCGGCCGGGACAAGCATCTTTGGCGTTGGCTCCGATCCAGTGGATTGGTCGACTGGATTCCTCCCGCCACTTACGGAGACTGTTTTTTATGCTTTGCGAGAGACAGCTACTAATCTGATCGCGTCACCAGCTTTGCTCGCAGCTGGGTCGTTGTCTTCTTCTCGATCACGGGGAAATAAACCCAAAGGGCTCCGGCCCTTATTTTATTTTTGGGGGGGTTGGTTGGCAGCAAAATTTCCCGGAATTCAAGATTACCAATTTCGTAGAAAGCGGTGGTCCTTTTTGAGATTATTCCCCTCGAAGATCGTCAAAACCTTTTGGATCGGCTTGGACCATTGCAATGAAACTTGGGAGCCGGAGGCCGAAGACATGGGGGTATCTCTCTTCTCGTGCGATGAACATTTCATTTCCCAACCAGGTCACCAAACGAATGCCAGGAATAAAGAGATCACCTACTGTACCTTAACAGCGCTGTGACGTTGAGCGTGCGCTGCATCCCCCATCACTCGTCCAGGGTTCAGGACAACATCGGGGAGACTTTGTTGGTCCCAAAGCAGAAGAGCTGTTCGTATTGGACAGGGGATGGAGCTCTGATGCCTGATCCCAGGCGAAGATGTCATCAGAGCCGCACCCAATGGGATGATGACTGCAGCGTGCCCCAATCGACCCTGCTTAGCTTCGCCACTGGGCCAGCAGATTTTCTGGGACGACGCTACGAGGGTCCAAAAACCGCTTGCACGGGGGATGCAAGCCGACGTCGGGTCAGGCTAGCTAGGAGCAAGTGGCTAATGCACCTGTTAGCCTCTTATGCCAGACATGGTTGCATAGCAGACTTTCGGGCCCCTGGTCGTTCTTGTCAATGTCATTATTCTGCCCGCCCCGCGTACAGGAAGACAACCTCTGATCATGCTAGAAGACGGAGGAACCGACCTGTCAAAAAAGGTTGCTCGCTGACTTGTCTGGATGGACCACGCTCACCCCGTCCACCTCCATGTCATGGGAGGATTTCACGTCTGTCGTGCCTTTGGGCGACGACCCAGGCTTTTCCCCCCCCCCCCAAATAACCTGTGCGGACCCATGTCTCTACCCCTGGCCCTTCTGGTCAGGGCCCCCGTCCTCCGTTTCATGCCGAAGCCCTGTCAAGTACGCCCCACGGCTAGTTGACATTTACCACTGCCCCTCCCCCCCTCCCCAAAAGGCGTCCGCAGCGCCACATCACCGCCGTGCCGACTCGAGTCGCGCTATCACGTTGCTGCCCAGCGCTGCTCTCATCCCGCCTGCCGGTTCCATCACGCGCTTGTCAAAGGCATGGCTCGAACGATGAGCTAAGTCCACCTAGCTGCCTGGCTTGCTTTGAACCTCGAGCGAAATCTGATCACTGGCGTCTGCCTCTCTTCGCCCATCCGCTGCATATGCATGGCTTGATTGTCTACCGGCGGACGTCGTGACCCACTTCCCTCCTCCTTTCTTCTCCTACTATACTCCTTGCTCACCGATGGATGGATCACTGATGCTTGCTTGCCGGGGTTGGGCCAAAACGTCCCTGTCTCGAGCGACGCTCAGATCGTGACGACGCAACCCGGCAAAGCGCTAGAAAGCCTGGAAGCATCAGAACTCCAGCAAATAAATGTGTTCCGGTTCCCCGTCCCAGGAATTGTGGCCAGCCATTAAATCGAAAAGGGTACCTTCTCGAGTCCTGCTTACCGTCAACTCCGTACGATGAAATATTACGAGCTGACCCTGGGCCAGTCCGTGCGAAAAAATTAATTGCTCTCCTTTTGCTTTCGCCATCATCATAACTCCTGGTCTGCCTGGCTTCGTTGTGCTGGTTTCGAACGGACCTCTCAGGGCTAGGGTTTCCATTTGATGACTCTCATTTGCCGCCTCTTCTTCACCCACCGCGAATTATCTGACGATCCGAGCAAGCCTGGGGACGTTTGCGCAAATGCGTCTGGTCTTGGAATGCGCAATCTTCGTTGCGGGTATCTGTCCCTACTTGTACCCCTCGTCTGACTCCTAGAAGTACTCCCGTAAGTCTGGCCTCGCGCAAGACTACCATCCGCGGCCTTTTCTCTCTGACCTATCTAGCATCCGAAGACCAGCGGCACCTTCACCCTGGCTACTCTCGGCGTCAGTCTCTCTCTTCCACAGTATCCGAGGCCACCTCCAAATCCGGGTTACTTCTCCCAACCGTGGGACTATTCATCTTGCCAGACCGGTCAGGAAACTCCTACGGGTGCTCAATATCGGAGGAGGGAGGAAGGCGGAGGAAGGCCGCAGGAGGCATATCCATGTTCGCGACTGGGGTACCAGCCGCACGAGGAGGCTCCGAAGTACATGTCACAACCTTCTCCCACAACAGAGCATCCGTCTGTCACCACTCCTGCCACTGCCGGAACACAGAATCCAGTTTCACAAACATCTGGCGCCAGTGCTGAGTCGTCAAGACCAGGCACGGCCAGTGCTCCGAAGACGGAGGCCTATGGAGGCTATGGTGGATTTGCCCCGGGGAGACTTGTGACCGAAGTTGGTGGAGGAGCAAGTTCTCGTCGACAGTCGGCCGAGTCAACTGCACAAACTCCATCCCGAGCCCTGGGCGTGCATAGTATTTTGAATCCTCCAGCAGATCCAGAAGAGAGGGAGCTTCCTCACGTCAGACTCCTTGGTCAGCCTGCCATGAGTATCACCCAGAGTTTACTTCCGGCGCCGGCTGAATCTCCGCGAAGTCGAAAACGAACCGATCCCAGATCGCCGATTCAAACTCGAGAGCAGGATCAGCCGGCTTCCGCCCGTCTGGGAAGGCGTGTTCTGACACCAAAGTCGCCAGCAGTTCGTGCTACCAGTCTGGGAGCGAGAAGGAATCCGACATTTCATTCTACCATTCAACCATTACAGCCTCTGCCAGGACCGGCGGGGCGGACGTACACGGCCGAACCTGGGCCATACCGGACGTCGGAAATCCCTCCCCTACCATCGCTGGCTGTCGCGACTGGATCGAATTTGCCCAATCTAGCGCCGCTCGAAACGGGGGGTCAACCTCGTTCGGCACATGTGCCTGAAAGTCCTGCCCGTGGCCTGGAGCCGATCTTGCCGCAGAGTGACCGGCCATCCACCTCTCAGACAGCCTACGCCAAGCTCGAGCAGCCTTCCCCGAGTTACCGCTACGGCCTTGGACGGACGCCATCTCAACCTCAACCTCCTGGTACATTCAGAGTCTTGCCAGCCGCCGGTCCGGGTGGATTTGGTCAGGAACACCAAGCGCATGGACCTCATGAAGGCTACCAAGCCGGCCAGGCTTCGTATCAAATGACCCTAGACACCGATCAAGGTCCGATGGTGGTTCCGGTCGAATTGGACTTGCAGCAGGCATCGAAAGTAGCAGACGAAAAGAGAAAGCGCAATGCAGGGGCGTCCGCACGGTTTCGAGCGCGACGAAAGGAGAAAGAGAAGGAAGCATCGCAGACGATTTCGGGTTTGCAGCAAGAACTTCGAGACTTGATTGAAGAACGAGACTACTATCTTGCTGAAAGAAACTACTTCCGTGAAATGGCGACGAGACACGTTCCTCCTGGGCAACTCCTCCCTCGACCTCCATCCCCTCAACAGCGGAGACTAGCGGCGGCAGCGGCGGCGGCAGCGGCGGCAACAACAACAACTGGAGGGAGCTCTGAAAATCCACCTGCTTTAGATGAATCGTATCGCGACTTGCCAGAGAGTTCGACGGCTCAACGCCGTCGAACTGGTGACTACCAACCTACATTTATCGGACGACAGGCTCATTCACCACCAACGTCTGCATATGGCGCTGGATTTCCATCTCAACCTCCTCTACCGCTTCCTCCGCCTGCTGGATCGAGTCAATTCGGAACGCCTAGAACACTACCTCCAGGACCTCCGCCTCCGTCCATAACGCGATCACAATCGTACGACCCTTTTCGAAGAGATCCTTTTGACAGGAGTTGGAGCTCGGGACGGTGAAATACACACTGGAATCTACATCACCAAAAGAAAAAATGAGGAAAAAAACAAACAAACAAACCCCCACCCCCTCCAAACAAGAAATTTTCTTTCTGACGAGATGACCATTCCTAGAGAGACGACTTATGAGGGCAACCTCAGACGCAGCATCCCTTACCTACAATGGTGGGACATGATTACGAATGACCGAAATCAGGACAGGATGCTCCACTGTCGTCATACGGGCCCATTTCAAAGCCCCTTTTGCACAGATCGGAAGATGATACACTGTTGGAATTACTTTTCTGTCGACTAATAGCTCCTTTGTTCAAGTTTTGTTGAGTGTGTTGCATCTGCAAGATACCCCCCACCCGACTTCTTTCTTGAGAATAATTCTTCTTTACACTTGTGGCGTTGGGATAATTTCAGAGAGGGATGAATGAGAGAGGAGCAGGACCAGACACTGCAAGAAGGACCCAGAATGGATGAAATGGCGCTGTTCTGGCAGGATCAGACCACCACATCGTTGGTGAATGTACTTTTGTATATGTATCCACGAGAGACGACCCATACGCATCACAAATTTGCCACATATATTTTACATGACATTGGAATTCGGCCGCCGTATCTCGATTTCACAAGACGGCAGCAAAGTGATTCTTTGCCAATTCTCACCGCTTTGCCTCCACTATTTGCTCGAGGACTCTGAGGAGGGGGCGGTGAGCACCAGACGCTCGTGGGTATCCAGCTTTCCAGTGCTGATCGTGGGTCAGGACATTCTTCAGGCAGCCAGCAGTTTAGTTGGCCCTCCGAGCATGCCTTTGGCACAGGTCCAACCCCTCAACAGATGCGAATGCTGTCAAAAGGGCACAACTAGAGCTGGAGCTAGTTGCGCACCTGATATGTCCCACGACCCTCGATGATCACTTGGTGTCAATAAGTACCGCCAATCCCCTCAAGAAGAGGCTAGTCATGCAGTACTGGGCCCAAGAGAAGGAAAAACAGATGAGATCCGTACCAATTGGAAAGAAATAGATTCTAAAAATCGGCTCCCTTGGCGGTGTGGGCGGACATGGGCCTTTGAGATCCAGAGGAGTCGCCTTCAGGTGATCATCAAGCCTAGCGGAAAACAATTTTAAAGAAAAATAGTTTGACTCCGCCATCGAGATTCGACAGAGCAAAGAGGGAAGTAGGCTGGCGCTACAATCGCGAAGAGATCAAGACTAAGATTAGCCGCGTCCTTTCTTTTCGGCTTCGACTTACGCCTACCGATGGTTGGCCAGGATCATGGAACCAGGGACCACGAGGCCAGCCCGCCACCTCACCGAGATCGAATGCACGGTAGATCGGAGAAGGGCGGGGGCGGTTCAGGCAAGAAGAAAAGGGACTTCGCAAAGGAAGTGGCTTCTCATCCGCTTGAATTGCTGAAGAAGAGAAATCGCCAACCGCTTACAGAGGCCAAGCAGCCCCAACAGCCCCAGAAGGCGAGCTGATCGAGTAAAATTCTCCGGTTCAATTGGTTGCTTTACCAGTTGGGCAACAATTGTCGCTTTTCTGCTGATTTGATCCCCATGCCTAGTATTCTCCGAAGAAAGCTGGTCTATCTAGGAAACTGTCAAGCTTGATTGACCTCAAGAACCAAGACCCTATAGAAGTAGAGTGTGCCGTGACAAAACGGAGACGGGGTCACGTTGGAAAACTAAAGGTAGTTAGTAGTGGATGAAACTTGACGGCGATGTTCGCTGCATGGCGGCCTAAATCTGCACAACAGCCGCCTCTGTTTCACACTGCATTGCATTGCATATGGCATACCGCCTTGCGCAACTAACGACTAGGATCATGGGAGGGAAGGAGGGAAGGAATGAGGGGGGCCCAAGGCGGTTCATTGGGTTCGTCAACACGTGGACGATTTGGTACTGTACCTAATAAGAATGAGTGAGACAGCCGGCAAAAAAGAGTCTCATCGTCTCCGCGCACTCTCGCCTGAAAGTGAGAAAGCAGGCACGATGACCGACACCAATGGCTAGAAGTGCATGATGTGGAGCGGACACTTGGTGATAAGCGTGACGCAGTTCTGATGCAGGTGACGAAGTTGACCAAAGAGTGTTTTGCATGCACAGCTAACCAACTATGCATACACTTGGCTGCTTGCTGATGTTCAGGAGGTATCACCTGCTTGGTCTCTCTAGTTTAGCGGTGACAAACCTCCGGGGACCCGTACCTCCGGTTGGTTGGGAGAATACAGGAGGCCTTTGGGGCCCCCCCTGCTTTGGTTCTCTTTCGCTTGCAGCTTGCATGTTGCATGCATATTTGTGCAGAAAGGAGGGTAAGAGTTTAAGGGTGAGGCGACGAGTCAACTACCGCGCTATATTGAAACTCGTACACACCCGCTTCCGCATCGGCTTCTGTTTCGAGCCGAAACGAAAACGAGCACCTTGACACTGTGACGGGGACGCTGGGTGCCTTAGCTACTGCAGCAGGGAAAACATGACCGGGCGCATTTTCCTGCTGAAAGTGCCCAGCGAGAGAGGGGAGATGGCGGAGAGGAAGCCGGACAAGGAAACGGATGACACAACACCCAACTTGAAGTTGGAACTGCGACTATCTATCTGCAAGGGCAGTGGCACACACACCGGAGGATAACTCAATTCCCGGGTCGACACGTGGCTGCAGGACATTTGGTGTCGGATAGCAGCTAGAGGCCAACAACACTCCGTCATCCTCATCCATCACGAACACGAACCGACCTTTACGTCCTAAATTCTTATGAGTGATTTTATGTTCTTTTGTCGTGGGTAGGTGTTGGCCAGGCCCTAAGCATGAGAAAACGGGGAATATGGCAGGACATGAAGGGAGGAGAACAGAAGAAAAGACGTGGGGAATTTTCTTTTCCGTTCAGCGGCCTGCTTGGAGGTGAGAGAACTAGACCTTAGTGAGCCGACCAGCTAGGTCCTATTACCGACGATTGCAGCTTGGAGGTGGGTTGCTGGCAGTGACGCTGCCGACAGGCCAGCCCTGGTCTCCGACTCCTGGGCCATCCCTGCAGCACGCGGAAAAACAACGTCTTGTCATCGGGTCATCATGCTATGGCATTGGACAGCCGTCTCCATTCCGCTCGAGTGGTGGAATGAACGCATGAATGGAGAATGGGACAGGCTCCCCTCAAATGTTTTCTTGGATATGGGATTTCCTTTTCCTTGCTCTTTCAAAGTTATCATCTCGATGTCGACTTCGGATGTTGATATGTGCCTTCGTCGTCTTGCGTGCGTTATACTTTATCCGGTCACCGATCGATGGACGAAGAATCAATCGCTGGAGTAACGTGGGCGCGGAAGAATCCCACAATTTGTAGACAAGACCATCAACAGCTCATTTCGAGCGGTGCCAAGCTAGATGGAAGCTGATATATGTCCGATCCGCGCAGTGAAGGAAACGTGAAGTGAGGTTGCCGCAACTAGTATTGTCTGGTAGAGACTTTTCTCGGCGGGGAGGTTCTGAAATACTAGTGGCCACGGGACCTAGAACTCTGTCCTTCATGTTTGGCCGCCGTTTCCCGAACCGTGGGCATGAGGTGGCTCTACCGTTTGTCATAATAAATTGTACTTACTAATCGTCGAACTGACCAATGTCATGACCGTTTTCGCGCAGATTTCAGCAGAGCTGCACGCATTCAGCAAAGGAAGTTCTTGGAATCAATGCGCCTCGTTTCAAGATAGTCTTTGGTTCCTGTAAGAAGTACAGTGTCGGCCTCAAACTCACTCCAATCTTCCCATTGGCAATGGGTATGTATACGTCCATTCCGATTCCTTCCCAAACAAATTGCCTGAATGGGATGACAGATTGCGCAAGGCTGCCAAGCTTGACCCCATTTCAGCGCGAACGCATTTGTCTCAACATTGCTCACTTTTCTCTTACAACACCGCGTCGTCTTTTCCTTTACGCACCTCGTCATCGTCACGACGGAAAACGTCGTCAGTGCCCTGCCGCGACATACAATCTACCTCAGTCCTTCCCCCTAGGCGCGCAGTCTTATTCCTTTCCTCTAGTCAAAATGCCGCCCAAGAAGCGCAAGGCTTCCACCGCGCCCGCAGCCTCATCCGCATCTAGCACGTCCGCAAAGAAAGCCCGCATCGACGGCACCTCCAACATTCCTGACCCGATCCCAGCACCGAATCGGTCGCTTACCGGTCGTCCAAAGAGAACTTCGGTCAGTGAGCCAGTGTACCGTCTCGCCAATCGCCCCTCATCGACCACCGCGGCGCAGAATGATAACGCTCCTCCGTCGGCGGAAGTTCCCGTGAAGAGGCGTGGTAGACCTGCCAAGACAACGACCACACATCCGACGACTGTCTCTCCTGCTCCTGCTTCCAAGAAAGGGACTCTCGAGAATTATGGCGCCGGTCAGTCTTCTTGCGTGCCGAGATCTGTGAAGCAAATTTGAACGCCTGCTGACATACATTCGCCGACAAGCTTCCACGACTGCGACTCCCGCGACTGTCACCGCCAATCCAAGAGCGCGTTCAGTGATCCGCCAAAAGACAGCTAGTGTGCCTGCAGCAAAGCGAGGCAGAAAGCCCAAAGCCTCTGCGTCCGTCCATACCGGCCCGGCCCGACCTATATCCGACTCTGAAGACGTTTCGACCACGGCGGTGAATGAAAACGCTCGGAAGGCAAACGTGGAGGACATGGAAATCCTTGACCACGGTATTCAATACTGGCTGATGAAGGCTGAACCCGAATCACGCATCGAGAAAGGTCACGACGTCAAGTTCTCCATTGACGATCTTGCGGCCAGGTCTGAACCTGAGGGGTGGGATGGTAAGCTCGTGTTGTCTCATCAAGTGCCCCGACCGGATTTCATTGACATGGTTCTAGGTGTTCGTAACCCCGTTGCGCGCAACAACATGCGGGCCATGCGTAAAGGCGACCTGGCATTCTTCTACCATTCCAACTGTGCAGTCCCCGGTGTCGCGGGCATCATGCGCATCGTGGCAGAGCACAGCGTCGATGAATCCGCATTCGATCCGGACCATCCGTACTACGACCCCAAATCCGATCGCGAGAAACCGAAATGGGAACTCGTCCACGTGGAATTTGTCAAGAGATTTGACAATTTTGTCACGCTTAAGGAATTGAAGTCGTTCGCGAAGACGGGTGGTGCGTTGGAGAATATGCAGATGCTCAAGCAGTCTCGATTGAGTGTCTCGTCGGTCCGGCCCGAGGAATGGAGATTTATTCTCAATCTCGCCGGGGAGCCGACCTCGTTGGGTCGCGGTGCTGGAAAAGATAGACAGGAGTCTGGTGTTGATGGCGGGGAATATGATACGACGGGAACTGGCGATGGAGATGTCGATGGAAATAGTGATGCAGTCAATGGACTTGCAGGTGGTGTCGGTCTTGGTATCACGGGTGCAGATGCCACTGGAACTTCTGAAATGAACTTTAAAGCTCATCGCCAATGGAAACGGCCATGACGGTGCCGAAGCCATGGATGCTGCCAATGAGACTGAAGGGACATGAATGGGGATTGATCTGACTGGATCGAGAGAGCGCGCACGGAAATGGCTTAACAGAAGACAGGGATGTGCAATGGCATGCCATGAAATGCCGTGAAAGGCACCGGCATCATGCCGTATCACCAGATGAGATGAAAATGGAGTCTTCGCTCAGGACGAAATGAGACATACAGCCGTTGAGAAGCTGAACGCCGCCATGAGGTGCGGCACAGTTGGCACCCGGCCGGCCCTGGGGCGCATCCCTGCATGCGCACGATGCGGTCCCAGAACTTCGGATCGCTCCTTTTCGACAGGACGTGGCGACATCACAAAAATTCGGAGGATTTTCCTGCCACGGTTCCTTGGGTTATGTTGCATCCCCGCGTCGCGTGCTCGGCGGCTACGCATCGAGTATTTTGGCGGATGGGGCCCAGGATGTTTCAGATGGTGGTGGACAAGACAAGGGGGCACGACTCGCTGCGACGTCACCTGCGTACCATACACCAGACACCATTTTGGTGGCTCGGTAGCGGAGCGGAACGTCTGGCCAGATAAGTGGCGTCCGAAGAACCGATATGGCGTATAGTAATGATCCCTACACCGGCTTGGCAATCGTCGAAATGCAATTTTCCACATGTCAACTGCTGGAGTGGGGATCCGACCGTGGGATCTGCTGCCATAACAAGTTCCCCCACATGTTAAGTAGACCACGAGAAGGGAGAGCAAGATCTGCTGGGTGCTCAACCCACCCCTGATCCTGGATATTTCTGGGGTTCGAGATCGGGCAATTGACGTTGGCGCACTGTTCTGCATATCCTTGACCAGGGCATCTGCAATGAATAGTCGATAAGGCTGAGAGTCCTCAGGAGCTTGTCACAGGTATGCTAATGCTTAATAGGAAATCTCAGCCGCGATGGCGGCGGATATCTTATCGACACGACACAACGGAGCTCTCAACTGCCCCTCCTCTTCCATCATCGACTTTCTCCCCCCTCCCAACAGTTTCTTGGAGCTTCTCAATTTCCCCTCTTTCTACTTCCTGGTCGGAGCTCAGCGACTAACTAGTCACTCATCCATTCAAACGCTCATCACCGTTCGACCCAACGCTCCAAACAGGAAAGCAAGTCCCGAATCTCAAACCAATGAATTGAGCATTACCTTCGCTGCTTTCCTCGAACTGGTCTGCTTCCAATCAGGTTTCGAATCTTTTCAGGCACCGTGATTAGCCGTCTGGTCTCAAATTACATGTTCAAATCCTGGACCAGACCTTGGGTTTCTTCTTCGCACACATTTGTCGCCCTACATCTGTGCCTCAGTTCCCTGCGGAAGTTTTCCAAAATGGCCGATTTGAAAGTTGATCTCACTGCTCCCAACGGCCGAAAAATTACTTTGCCAACAGGTCTTTTCATCAACAACGAATTTGTGAAAGCTACCAGTGGACAGAAGATCACCAGCATCAATCCTACGTGAGTAGGCCCCCCCACCCCCCAAAAACCAGCTACCACCTATCAATGTTACTAACATCACATCCCTAGAGATGAATCAGAAATCTGCTCCGTCGAAGCTGCATCTGCCGATGATATCGACAAAGCTGTCAAAGCGGCTCGAGCTGCCTTCAATGATCCTGCCTGGCGCGAGATGCCTGCTACCGAACGAGGTATCCTCATGTACAAGTTTGCCGACCTGATTGAAGAAAATAAGGAAGCGCTGGCGACGTTGGAGACGTGGGACAATGGAAAACCATATAGTGTTGCCCTGAACGAAGATTTGGGCGAAGTCATCAACACCATTCGATACTATGCAGGTTGGGCCGATAAGATCCACGGCGAGACAATCCCGACCACGGGTCAAAAATTCGCATACACCATCAAACAACCCGTCGGCGTCTGCGGTCAGATTATCCCCTGGAATTATCCTCTGGGCATGGCATCCTGGAAACTTGGCCCCGCACTCGCTTGCGGAAACACGATCGTTCTCAAACCCGCCGAGCAAACTCCCCTCTCCATCTTGTATCTGGCCACTCTGATCCCCGGCCTCTTTCCTCCCGGTGTGATCAACATTGTCAACGGATATGGCAGAGAAGCCGGCCACGCCCTCGCGTCACACTTGGACGTGGACAAGATTGCCTTCACGGGCAGCACCGCCACCGGCAAACAAATCATGAGAACCGCGAGCATCAACATGAAGAACATCACCTTGGAAACCGGAGGCAAATCCCCGCTCTTGGTCTTTGACGACGCCGATCTTGACCAGGCCGCGAAATGGGCACATATCGGAATCATGTCGAACATGGGCCAGATCTGCACGGCGACCTCCCGCGTGTTGGTGCAAGAAGGCATCTACGACCAATTCGTCAAAGCTTTCCAGGAAGTTGTCAAATCGACGTCCAAAGTCGGTGATCCATTCGCCGACGACACCTTCCAGGGCCCTCAAGTCACCAAGGCCCAATACGAGCGTGTCCTGGGATATATCGAGGCCGGCAAATCTGAAGGCGCCAATTTGGTCGCCGGCGGCGTCCCGCACAAGAATGTCGGCGACGGCAAAGGCTTCTTCATTGAACCTACCATCTTCACCGGCGTGAAAGATCAGATGAAGATCTACCGCGAGGAGATTTTCGGCCCTTTCGTCGTCATCGTTTCTTTCCAGACGGAAGAGGAAGCTCTCCGCATGGCCAACGATACCACGTATGGTTTGGGAAGTGCCGTGTTTACTACGAACATTGAGAGGGCGCATCGGGTTGCGGCGAAGATTGAGGCAGGCATGGTTTGGATCAACAGTTCGAATGATTCGGACTTTAGGGTCGCCTTTGGCGGCGTCAAGCAGAGTGGCATTGGTAGGGAGTGTGGTGAGGCGGGCCTGGCGGCGTATACTCAGACGAAAGCTGTGCATGTGAATATGGGGTTGAAATTGTGAGCGGGCAAAAATCGTTAGAAGAAAACCGGCGCGGCGGATCGGGGTGTGTCTGAATCTGAACGTTCACGTTAGATGATTGTGCTCTGTTTCATGCGTGTGACATGAAGTAGACGTTTGATCACGAGACAACAGTCAGAATCAGACTCGAGGATCGAGATGTGAAGCGAGAAAGAGATACGATAGTGGTCGTGAAAGGAGTCAAAAATTAAATCAAAATCAATAAATAAAATAAAAAGGAATCTTGAAAATTCATCCACATCGTATCATGTCGTATCTTGAGATTTCAAAACTAGGTAGAAAGGAAGGTTGAAGAATTGCATCCTCTTGTAGCGTCCTCCCTCTCCCCTTGGTCATCAAGATAAAACCTCATCGGACGATTGCAACACCCAGCTTTTACGTTTCTTACGGAGGAGATCGGGCAGGAACATTACATCTGGGAAATGAACTGGAGCTGGAGGCTGGAAGCACTTCCGCTCCAAGTTGTGCGGGAACGCGAGAAGACGAACGAAGTGATGAGGGTTCAAAAAGGGCTCTATCTTATTAAAGACTGTGATTGTTATCAAATCGTTCGACCTGCAGTCTCTTCTCTCTGTCATTTGATCAGAAGATCATCGAATCATCACCGAAATCCTGACTACCACGGACAACATCCACGAACAAAGTTCCTCCAATTCAGAACTCTCCCGCGAAGTATAACTTAATGGGGCTTAACACTTGGCGATAAAACCAGTCACGGAACATCATGACGATGCTTTGACCAGGAAACTGAAAAGCAGGCACAACAAACTGCTGCTTCTATCACGATCGAGTCCGGGCGTACCGACATATTCACGTGTCCGCCTGGGTGGTGTCATTCCTTGCCCTGCTATGCCTTGTCCGAATTTTTGGCGTTCCGCGGCCATGATGAGGTGGAATTCGTCTTGTCCATGATGAAAATATGTGCGTGTGTCAGACTGATAATCTTCGGCCTCGAGACCTGCAAAATCCTTACCCAAGGCCACGGAGCAAGTGTTCTGGAGAATTGCCATTTTCTACATTGTCACACTCTTCATCCTTGGACTGATACTGCCGCCGGATGGCGACCGCCTTCTCGGCGCAAGCGGAGCGAACATGAAAGCCTCTCCTACTGTCCCTGCGATAAAGATGACGAATGTGACAGCTCTAGTTCCCAATCTTCAACGTGGTCATCGTTCTGTCTGTCATCAGTGTTGCCAATTCCTGCCAGACGCCAGCTCTCGCGCCTTCCAGGTCCTGGCGACCAATGGAACAGGACCTCAGTTCCTTCGGTATATCGACAAGGCTGGCCGTCTTCTATGGTGGATCGTCTTGCGACTCTTGTTCGGCTTGTATCGCTTTTCTCGGAGAAGCCAGTGCGTCCGGTGAGATCTTCACCTGTTTATTGTCTCTAACGGCACTATCGTTCTTCGTCTGGGCCGGTATCAATCTCTCACATATCCGCTTCCGAGTGGCAGGAAGTACTACGGCTATTCAACCTCGCAACTACCGTATCGCACCCTCTCTGGTGTCTATGGATCTTACTTGGGTTTGTTCCTCAATTGCACCGCGCTCATGGCGACCGTTGACGTCAGCTTGTTCCCATTGGGCGGCAAGCCTGCTGCGAAGGTCTTCTTTGAGAATCATCTGGCTGTCCGATTGTGATTGAATTCTATCTGTTTTGAAAACTCTAGAGTCGGGATTGGTGTCTGCTCATCCAGCCTCAAGATATGGATGTCACGACTGGACTGAGACCGGGCTGGGATGCGATGGTTGATGAGGCGGAAAATAAGCCAGCGGGGATGGAGAAGGGATTCTGTCAGGGTTCCCTTGAGGTAAATCGACTGATGCTCGCTGCTGGCTTTCGGAGGAACGTACCCAACCTTAGGATTAGGGCTCATTATGACCGTACCGAAATGGCAAGAGAGGTGGTTGATACTGTAAAATGTCCATTGCCCTTGGCTTTCTTCAAGCCAAACCCAACTGGCTTGCGGCTTTCCTAGAGAGGTGGCCCTGTCTGCCTTGCCATCGTATAGCCGGAAGAATTCTTCAGCTCAAGCTAAGCCGCCCATCTTCGTACAGTGAAGGGACGACGGCCTGTTCTAGCAAGGTATTCTATGGTTGCTCGCTGAACGTTGAACGGTAGAGTGGCCCCCTCTTGGGGACACTGTCTCCGTGATCGATTCAGACTCATCAAAGACGGTTTAGGTGCATTTTCTGTGCACACTTCCTGGCCTCTGTTTATGTTGAACAACGTCAAGGAAAACCAAAAATTCTCTTCAACCGAGAACCCACCCGCCCCTCCAAAGAAGAGCCCCTTTGCTTAGTCACCACTCACGTGATATCAAACTTCAGGCTTGGCAAAGCGCAGGTGGCGTCTTCACCCTGCGCTTTTTGGGGTCTCCATAACATTTCATGTTCACATCGCCCTTGGTACGAACTCTCCAACTTTTCCTTTTCAGTTTCGCCTTTTAATCATCTCCATGACCTCACACTAAATTTTGCCGTCGACAGACTTAATTAGTGAGAGGTTCCCATCTCAAATTGACAAAAGCGAAGATGGCTTCGGGACAATCATGGCTAGATCAGGACTTTGGCGGAGATGATGAAGAATCCGACAACGACTTCAACCCCGAGGTCGACGCGGGATCTGATGCTGGAGGTGATGACGATGAAGACTCGAAGCCTCAGGTCGCGAAGAGATCAACTGATTCAGATTTCGAGAGCGAACCTCGCGTGAACGGCAAGTCGGCGTCCCCAGTGAGAAGAGATAAGGACCCTCCGGTTGATGAAAACGAAGAAGAAGGCAATCAGGAGGACCAAGTAGAAAATGGCGAGGATGATGAAGGCGAAGGTGAAGGCTTGAATGGAGAAGAAGACGAGGACGAAGAAGACGAGGTGGACGAGGAGGGTGAAGATGAAGACGAGGATGAGGCAGTCACAAGTCGACCGCGAAAGCGCCGGAGAAGAGGGTTGAACCAGTTCTTCGAAGAAGAAGCCGAGGTCGATGAAGATGACGATGACGTTGAAGCCGACGAAGACGATTTGGGACCCGAATTCATTCAAGATACCCATCCTGATGATGATCTACCCCCCGAAGCAGTTCACGATGATGGCAGACATAGAGAATTGGATCGCCAGCGACAGATGGAAGCGTCGATGGATGCCGAGAAACAAGCGGCCGCTTACAAGGAAAGATACGGACGCAGAACAACCACGGCGTTGAGCAACAGTTCCTTTGTACCGCAAAATCTACTCATGCCGGATGTCAACGACCCTAGTATTTGGGGTGTCCGATGCAAAGCTGGAAAGGAAAGAGAAATCGTCGGCAAGATCATGAAAAAGTTCCTCGAGAGTAAACACAGTCGCAATGCCATGCGAATCTGTTCGGCGTTTGAAAGAGGTGACGGACCTATGGCGGGTTACATCTTTGTGGAAGCCAGGAGCAAAGTCGATGTTGACGATGCGCTGGCTAACATTCCCGACGTCTATCCCCGATCAAAGATGAATTTGGTCCCGGTCAAGGAAATGCCTGATCTCCTCCGAGTCACCAAGAACAAGGAGTTGGAGGTGGGCGGATATGTCCGTATCAAACGTGGTCTTTACCAAGGGGATCTGGGCATGATCGAAAGCGTCGAGACCAATGGTCTCGAAGTGACTATTCGATTGGTGCCCCGACTTACCTACGGTATGGATGAAGATCAAAACCGACCCGGAGGAGTCGCTGATGCAAAGCGAAAACGGCCCAATGCTTTTGGACCGACCAACAATTTTGCAACGAGACCTCCACAACGACTGTTCAACGAGAATGAAGCAAAGAAACGACATGACCGATTTCTCCAAGCGAACCGACATCTCTCCGGGAGAAGTTGGAACTACAGGGGTGATCAGTATGAGGATGGTTTCTTAATCAAGGATTTCAAGCTGCAACATCTCGTCACGGAGAACGTCAATCCCAGACTCGACGAGATCACCAAACTGACCAAGACAGCAGCGGATGGTTCGGAAGTTCTTGATCTCGAATCTCTGGCCCACAGTCTGCGAAATGCCACGGCGGAGGGTAACTACATGCCGGGCGATGAGGTGGAAGTTTACGAAGGGGAACAGAGGGGTATTGTTGGCCGGACGGAAGCTGTCAATGGCAATATTGTCTCCATTATGGTTTCGGAAGGTGACCTTGCAGGCCAACTGGTTGAGGTGCCGGTCAAGGGCCTCCGAAAACGCTTTAGAGAGGGTGATAATGTGAAAATCGTGGGAGGAAGCAAATACCGTGATGAAGTGGGAATGGTGCTCCGGATCAAGGATGACAAGGTCACCGTCCTCGCCAATACCAGTAACGAGGAGATTACCGTCTTCAGCAAAGATCTCAGAGAAGCCACCGATGCAGGCAGTGGCGGAGCTGGAGCGAGCAAATTTGACGTCCAAGAACTGGTGCAGATTGAGTGAGTATTGGTTTTCGTGATGGGTCCTTCCTGGTTGCTGACTTCGCGTGCAGTCCGACTACGGTTGGGTGTGTCATCAAAGCGGACCGAGAATCCGTTCGAATCCTCGATCAAAACGGTTCATTGACCACCAGAATACCGTCGCAAGTCCAGAAAATCGAAGCTCGAAAGAACGCCGTGGCCACGGACAAGAATGGTTCAGAAATTCGAGTGGGCGATGTCGTTCGAGAATCGGGCGGAGAAGGCAAAACCGGAACGATCTTACATATTCACCGTGGATATGTGTTCGCCCACAACAAACTGGGCATTGAAAATTCCGGCATCTGGGTTGCTCGCTGCACCAACGTCATCACAACTGCTGCCAAAGGCGGGCGAATCACCGCTCCAACGACGGATTTGACCAAGATGAATCCGGCCCTTCAAATCAAGAGACCGGATATGTCCATGGGCCCTCCACAACGACCTGGAAGGGATCCACTTCAAGGCAAGTTGGTTCATATCAACAAAGGTGTCTACAAGGGACATCGAGCTCTTGTCAAGGACACCACGGCGGGCGAAGCCAGACTTGAGCTCCAGACAAAGAACAAGATACTTACCCTGAGCAAATTCGACCTTTCCATCATCGAGTAAGTGAATCAATCTCCTTTGACGACATGGGGGAGGGCACACTAACATTTGATCAGTCCTAATACGCAAGCCCGAACCAGATATGAAGATTGGACTAAGCACCGTGGTGGACCATCTGCTATCCGTGCAGGTCAAGGCACTCCGGGATCGCGTGTGCCTGATGGAGGCTTTGGAGGCCGAACTCCAATGGGTGTCATGGAAGGAGGCCGAACTCCAGCATGGGGTGCTTCCTCACGAACACCTGCTTGGGGTGGTCCTGGCAGCGCTGGTCTTGAATCCGGTCGCACCCCGGCCTGGAAAGGTCCATCTGGCTCACAAACCTCATATGGAGGAGGTGGAATGACTTCTTACGGCGGCCCGGGCAATTACTCTACCAACACCGGCAGCCGCACACCGGCCTGGAGTTCCGGTTCAAAGACGCCGTACGGCGTCGACCATGGATTCGGCTCGTCCAGTTCCGGTTCGGGCTTTGACGCTTTCGCCGCCGGCTCACGGACTCCTGCTTACAACACTTCCTCATCACGGACTCCAGCGTGGAGTGGTCCAGGCAATGCCACATCGGCACCTACGCCGGCCGCACGTCCCTATGATGCGCCGACGCCCGGTGTATCGGCACCGACTCCATCTGCATCAGGTCGGTATGATGACGAGGTTTACACTCCATATCTCGGTGCGCCGACGCCGGGAGCCGCTCAGGACGCGCCGACGCCGGCCCCGAGCTTCTCGAAGAACGCGAACAAGGAGCCTCTCAAGCATAATCGATTGGGAGGATTCGATGCGCCGACGCCCGCTGCGAGTGCACCGACACCGTATGCCAGTGGTGCTTTTGATGCGCCGACGCCCGCGGCGGGAGGACCGAGGTACGTGGACGACGACGATGAGGATTGATTTCCGTGCACCATTTCGGGCAGCACGACGTTTCATTCGGCATTGTGGTTGAAGTCGGATTGGGTAATGATGAAAGAGTAAAATATCAGATATTATGGACGAGGCCAAAAACAAAACCCTTGTACGGTTACATTTTGCGAGACATAGCATGGCATGATCTGTGAGATGGCACAATGACACTGCCAAAATAGCCAAATGCATCGCAATACACAATTGTTTGGGCCAAAGTCTCTTCATGTCTGCTGGCTAGGATCAGCAATAGCAACAACGTCAGCAATGGCGAGGAAAAAGTCCACCCTTTTCAGTTTTCGTGCTGCTATTTGGAGAGCTCGCGAGGCTCAAGCGCTCTTAGCATGTTTGATTTCCCTCGCTCCTGTTTCTTGGGCAGGTGACATCCGACTGCCCGTAATCTTGCAAGGCCTGACTGAAGTCGAACAGTGCAGAGTAAGGGACGACGATTTCGGAATGCTTCGCACCGGTCCTTGCCAAATGTCTCAGACAACCCTGGACGATCACAGCAACACCATCCATGCCCGACTTGGTCCCCCGTTGGTGATTATGGCTGTCGTTGGTTATCGTCATTCCTCAAACATAAACATCAGGGCAGTATGCTCTGTTCATTTTCATTCTCTTATGGATCAATACAGGAATTAATCCTTGAATTGTGCCAATAATGATGTCAATCTATTGGAAATCTAAAATTTTTTACAATCTAGCTTGCGACGAAATTGGAATATGGCCAATGGCCAATAGTAAATGTCAATCAAAAGTCAGCCCCTGTACCTGCACCGGCAGCCAGAAGCCGGTCTGTCGATTTGGTCGAGTGCTTCGTTTGACTGCTCGTCGGGGTTGATTGATGATGATTGCGATTCTATCCTTGCACTATTGTCCTGCCGTACTTCCGTTGTGCCTTGTACTAGAAGCTGAGTTTGGCTCTGGTCATTTGCCCCCTCCAAACTCGTATTCGCGCGCTCTCATTCCGATTGAAATTTTCAGAGACCAAATTTAGAAGACATTTGCCCGAAGGGTATCGGCTGAATGGGGCAATATCCCCGTGCCCCAAACTTTCCATGGGTGTCCCCTACCAGATATACTATCCTGCACCGGTTGTCGGTAGCTGGAGTCCAAGGGTGGCGGTTCAGAAAATGCCAGTGTCATTGTCACTATTAACGGTCCCTGTCATCTGGTAAGGTAACAATCGATCAATCAATCAAATCATTTGCGGTGTACCCGGCTAACCACCCAGGCCCGTCGCCTCGGTAAGAATGTGGTGGTTGTTGGAATTGGTGATGATTGGGGGGCCCTTCTCCTCACTTCAGGTGGAGGTCCTCGCTTCGAATGGGATTTGGGTATATAAAATGCTAGCTCCGTACCTCGACCTGTGACCTCCATTAGATGGACACCAACGACAAGCACGTGGGATGTATATGATGTGGACTGACTCGGATTGCCTAGTTTCCCAGATTGGATGCGACGTATTAGTAATTCGGCCTCCTCTTTGCAGTTTGATGTGCAGGTTTCTTTGCCTCTACACATCGGTTTGATCAGATCGTGGAGGTTGAAGTGGTGACTGAGGCGAGCGAAGACTATAAACAAGTATTTGGGTATTTGGGGTGATGTTGAGGAGCGTATCGGCGTCCATTGCGTTTCGAGTCTGCGGCTGGGATCCGTATGAAAGGAATTGAATTATCCCTGTGCCATCAATGGCGAAATCAGCAGACGGTGTCGCAGAACCCGAGCCTGCTCCTGGCGTCGCGGCGGGGAGTGCAGCTTCGGCCGGGGCGGGGAGGTCGAGGCCAGATACATGTTCATCTGCCATCAAAGTCTTGGTGACAGGCGGCCTCGGATTCGTGGGCTCCGCGATCGTACGCTCATTGCAGGAATTGCATCCTGAATGGAGTGTTTGGATCCTTGACCATCGTGAAGATCCGAGACATGGAAAAGAGCACAAGAATGACGGGTACGAAGACGACGAGCTGGATTTACTTAGGGGCTGCGCCTACGAGTATGTGCAAGCTGATATCACGGATGAAACGGAGGTGAAGAAAGTATTGGCTTGGGTCAGGCCTGATGCGGTGGTGCATACGGCGGGTATTGTACCGCCGTTGAGTGAACGGTAGGTTCTTGTCTTTAGTCCATGTCCATGACCAATCTCTGACCCTTTCTTACCATTGGGGTCCATGGTGACTTATCTTGGTGTAACGACAGATATTCACGCCGTTTAGAACGTCTTGTCAAGAATGTCAATGTGAATGGAACACGACATGTGGTGGAAGCAGCCAGCATCAGCGGATGCAAAGCTCTTGTGTACACGAGCAGTTGCTGCGCAGTAACGGATGATATGACTCAACCGTATGCGAATATCGACGAGAGATGGCCGGTTCCCGAGAAATCTTTGATCTATGGCGAAAGCAAAGTGGAAGCCGAAAGAATTGTGATTGCTGCCAACAACCCAGGCCGGATCGAGAAAACAAGAGAAGGCGACGAAGATAGCCCCCAATATTCAATGTCCACATGCGTTTTGAGGCCGTCGGTTCTTTTCGGAGAAGGAGACAATCAGCTGATACCTCCGATCCACGCATGTATCGCGAAACAAGAGACTCGCTACCGACTCGGAGATGGAACTAATTTGTGGGACACGACGTACGTGGGCAATGTGGCCGATGCACATGTTTTGGCGGTGGAAAACCTGTTTTCGGCCCAGCCGTCGGTGAGATGTGGTGGGATGCGGAGGGGAACGGCGGCAGGCGAGACGTTCTTCATACAAAACAACGAGCCGATTTCATTTCGAGAGTTCAGCCTCGCGGTTTGGCGGGAGTTTGGACATTACCCGCCGCCGTTGGAAATTCCCATCCCAGCAGGACTGGGGTGGATCTTGGGCTTGTTCGCGGAAGTCATTACGCGAATCTACGGAACAACAACGACCCTCTCCCGTGGAAGCGTCATGGATGCCTGTGCTATGAGGTATGCCAGCGGTGATAAGGCCAGAGAAATTCTCGGCTATCGTCCCAGAGTAGGGCTGGAGGCAGGCATCAAGAGAGGCTGCCAAGTGAGTTAAGTTTGTTTGACGTTTTATCCACTCCTCCCCCTTCCTCCCCCCCGGGCGCAAGTTTGGGGCCTTTTTGGGGACGTAGTCTCGGCTGCTCGGCAGAGGCTTTTGCTAACAGATGCAACGTTGATCAGGATTATGCACGACGGTTGAAAAGACGGCAGCCTTGAGGGACATGTTTTGCGTGGTTGAAAGTTGCAGTTATAGAAACCCAAGATGTCGGAGATTGGTTTTTGACACCAAGCCAGTTTAGTGTTTCTCGCAGAGGTGTTTGCGACTCATGTTTGCCTGGAAAACGCTGGCCTGTGCACCTGTTTATGTCACAGCACGGCCGTATATCCCATACCTACATAGAACCCGGAGGGACTCCTTGAGGGGGCAGTACCTGCCACTTTCCGGTCAGACTGCTGTACATTTCGGGAGGGAAGAGTACATAGCCAATATATTTGTGAGCAAAATAATGCCTCGGATTGTGTTTGGAGAAGGGAACCCTGCTCGGGGAATGAGTCAAGAGTTCCTCGCCTTAGCAATGCTTACGGTACACAGACAGCAGAGATCTAGACCCCTCTAGGAACATGTTTAGAGCGTTTTCAGTACGGAGCCGTGCTTGGGGGCCAGGGAGGGTGAAAAGAGGTAGCGCAAGTCCGAACCCCACCGGGAATACTCTCTTCTTTACCGGATGTGGTAGTAACGTACCACATAACGGGTACTTGCCCGCCGGATGATGGGGTAAGACTGCTAGGTTCCTGGCTCTATTTTCTTGGTAGGAAAGGATGGGCACAGGATTAGTTCTATCCATCCAGGCTATGAACGCGGGAGCAAAGCGAATGGAAGCTTGATTGCGTCTCTCTATTTCTCCTCCAATGGGGCATTTGCGCCTGATTCATTTCCCTTTCAAAGCTCTGGATTCAAGTGGGATTGTCCCGGGTTACACCCACGCAGGTACTCGCTGACCTTACGGCAAGTGGCTAGGTACTTGCCGTTAAGTACTTGACGGCCGTCTCACATTCAGCGCCCGGCGTTCGGAAAATGACGTTTTCCGGGCTTGGCAGACCCGGGAAGCCAATCAAGATGGTGGAACGGCGACCAGGCTGGTAACAAGCCTCCTTGATACCTCGACATCACCTTCCAGGGGGAAACCATTCCATCACCCCTTTTCCCCTGTACCACCACCACACCACACATCACGCCCCAGGCTCTTGATCCTCCCGTAAACGTACTGCTTTTGGGTGGTCATTGCTCTCCCAACCAACTCCTGTCTCCATCTCCTCGCTCTCCTTCACCTTCTTCGTCTCTTTTCGCCCTGAACAGTCTCCTCGTTCCTGGAACAGCGAGCTCGCTTCACTCCCATCGATCTCGCTCCCTCAGTCATCGTTCATCCCGCCCTCATGGAACCCATGATGGCATGATCCATCGTCCAGCCGTCCATCTTTAGCAGATCCCCTTTGGGGGACCACTCTTGACGCTCTACCCGAGTCTGGAACTTTTCCGCTCCCTTAGAGTCCTAAAAGGAATCTCAGTTCATGGTCCCGGAGGCTCGTACGTACTCTCTGGCCGGGTCCCCCGGGAGGAAAGCTCATTTCCATTTCTTCATCTCTTTACGGGCACCGGCCAACTTACCCAATGTCCACCATATCCTCAGCTCCCGTATTCCCCGGACCTAAGCGGACACCATCATAACCAGGCTCTTCCATGCTTCCAAAGGTTCCATCAAACTGCCACTGTTAGGCACCATCGCCACCCTATATTCTCTTCTAAACCTTGGTCCCCTCCTTCCAGAAACTTCGAACTCGTCACCTCACCCAAGGCCGGTGCAGATCATACCCATGATCGGCGAACAGGGTGCTCATTCAAAATTTGGGCATCAGTGGCATCGGATGGTCTTGTCCTGGAGTTTTGAACCTTCTTCAGGGATCGACCTAATCCTCGTTCCCTCGGGAGGCCCATTTTCCTTTTTTTTTTTTTTTTTTTCCCCCCCCCCCCCTTTCGCCTTTCTTTTTGGTCCCCTGTTCCTGGTGATCTACTTTAACGGCCAAACTTTCTTCTTGAATCGAGCATCCGTCAATACCGTAACTATTGGCTGGTTTTCAACCTGGAAAATACAAAGTAATTTTGCAACCTGCTTTGTTTGAAGGTCGGCAGCTGGTTCCCTTTTCCTCCGACTGCCTTGACCCTTTGGAAATTAGTCTCGAGGTAAGTTATGCAAATCTCGCGACACTAACCCTCATGATGCAGGAGGTGAACTACACTGTAGTTGGCTGGGACCTGACTGACGCACTGGCTAGCCCAGGGTCGCGTCGCATGCCCATCCACCCGCTACCGTTGCCAACCCCCCAGCCATTGATCGCCGCCGCGTTCTCGAAACGACCACCCAACGGCGCAACGAACCTGAATGCCCTTCCCCTTCATTCTCCATTTTAGGGCTGCTCGCGCGACTTACAGGCATCATGCTCGTAGACGGGAGAGACAGTGGGAACTATTTTCGCGACCGAATTGGACATTCTTTCGCGTTGTGATACTCGATGTTGGAGAAACGCGTGACTGGGCTCAGATGCAATTCACGTTCTACCTAGAAGACCAAATCCTCCATTCACCGACTCTCGGGCATCAACTGCAACGAACATTGGCGAGCAGCAAATGTTAGGCATTTCCGATCGATGAACGTGCCGGCCGTGCCCGTGACGTGCACTCCCGTATTCAAGAAGAAATTAATGAGCTTCCAGAAAAACCAGGCCCCCATACGCCATCGCTCCCATCCAGGGCCAACTTGTTATGCGGCACGAGTTCTGTGGCGTTCGTCCTCGGGGAGCCGGCTCCAACAGACCTTGTTAGACTTGCTAAAAAAGTGCACAATCCAACGGGAGACGCCTCAACGCCTCATCCAAGGTGTCGGCAACAATCCGCCGCCAAGTTTTGTCAGGCACTTTTGTTTCAGCCCCTGTCAAGGTGGGCCTTTTCTGTAAGAAACTAGGCCACCCCCGGGGTTGCGGAATGAGTGGACATCAGACAACTTACCTCCAAAGAAGTTCCAGAATCGCATTAGGAATGGGTCGGGAGGGCCAAAGCCACTGCCTCGTCCCCTCTCCACGTGTCTCTGACGAATTCCATATCACTATTGGACTTCATCTTTTCTTGTTCCCATTTCGTGCTGAGTCTGGCATCAGAAAGAATGCCCAATACTTGATGGGCGCCCGACGCGAAGCCCCTGGCCATCGGATCAATCCTCTTTCTCCTATCAGAGTGGGAGCCCGTACACACAACTTGCCGGCATACTTCTTCGGCTCTACTCCTTCTCCCGAGTGCATATCACTTTGACCGGTTTGATCATGTTGGCCTTGACATCTCCGATCTCAAGTCTACATTCTACCTACCCTTCTTCGGGACTCGCCCCTGGTGTTCAGTTTGCTCTTGACTTGACCGACAACAACGCGGGCATGACTGAGCAGGAGGATTTTCTGTTTTCGAGACCACCAGACACCGCCAACTTAATGCCGCTTGCCGAAAGCCCCTCGCCATTTTCCGTACAAAGGTAGGTGGGCTCGTCCGTCGATTATTTCGCGTGGATGTCGTGACTGAGACTCCAAGTTGCAGCAGATTTACGCCTTGGTCGTTGTCCACGTACGACCCGTTCGCTGGCGAACCCGGCGGGCGTATATCTCCTGATCGAACGGAGAGACTGCGCCAAAGGCTGCCGCCAGAGATCCATGGCGCAACCCGCGCTCCTACGACGACGGCCGTGGGTGAACCATTCCGCCCACTGTCGTTTGGTTCCCAATCTTCTGCCCTCAACTCGGACCCGGGCACATTTCCGCCGCATAACCTTCCTCCAAGGTCGAATCCCGACGATCAAACGATGGCCCTCCGACGACAGAGCCAGGACAGTTATGGTCTGCAAACGGGGTCTCCGACCAGTCAAGGCTATACGGAGTATGACTTGGAGACGCAGAACCGACGTGGCTCAGAGATGGGTAGGACTACCCGCTACCATACTCGTCGCCGACCATTCAACCAGGATGAATTTGACGGTCCATCTCAACTCCTGCCTTTGCCATTACCGCAGCAAGAGCATGCCCGATCTCAAGCACTTCCTTCTCTCCCGGTCCACCTGGATATGAAGGAACAAGACGAAATCACCCTCCGTGTCAACGATATTTTATCTCGATGCGCATTTCACTTCGTGGCGAAATATCAATTCCCCATCCCGCTCGAGCGAGACAAGCCCCGTGTTCGAACCCCGGCAGATCGAGAATGGACAGAATGGGCTTATCTGCTGAAAAGGCTTGCCACGAAACGGCGGATACCAGCCCGTGTACTCTATGATAATCAAATCAAACAATTCGTCACCACACTAGAGAATTCGATCGCTGTCAGACAGAATAGCAGAGACCAGCAAACCAGAACGCCCAAGGACGACCGTTACATGCTGCAACTTGTCAGTGCCGGCACTCAGGTTGCTAAAATTTTGATGGACTCATTGTCCATGGAACAGCTTGATGCTCTATATAGGCAGACGGAGAGCGTAATCCTCGAGAGGAGAGCCAGACTCAGGGGACTGGGATTCCAATGAGGGAGGCTCGCCAGACTTGTTAAAATGATTTTACTTTGTTAACAGCCATGATAAAGAGGGAATCACTTCTTTGCTGCTGATGTTGATGCCACATACTTCATTCCAAAGGGAACATTGCTTGTTACTAATTTACTGAGCCAAATTATACCCCTGTTGGTTTCAACCTGACAAGATCCTGCTGGTTCATGATCAAATCCCGTATCGCTCATCGTTTCACACGACCCGGTGTGTGGTTATTTGGCTAGTAATGGGGGGGGGGG